AGACAAGCCATTTTGGCAGGATTCTATTAATCTTACGCTATCCTCGGAACAGTAAGAGGGGTCATGGGTGGGCACGTGGTTTTTACAACGGATGGTCTGATTGTAGAAAGGAGCTTGGGCCATCTACGATATTGTTATGGAGTGCTCCACGAAGCTTTGTGACAAAAGCAGTAATGTTGATGTTCGTGCAAGGATCGTCGGTTCTTTGCGTGGCTGAGGCTGGCTGGGGTCGGGTATATGGGTCGCAGGCGGAAATGAAGATATCCGGCATCAGGAAAAAAAAGGGATGAGGGGGAAATGTAACTACATACGGAGTACTTTGTTCTCCGTACTTAGGTCAATACTTGTTTTTTTTATTCCCTTGCCGCCTCCAATATTTCCTTTCCTTTCTTATTCTTCGATCAGCTCGCATCCGAGGCAATCGCCTTCGCCTGTTGAATCTGGACTATTTGCTTTCTGTGTCAGATGAACCATGATCTGCTTACTCGTCGCCCCACTAACTGCCGCCGCCACGACTCGGAAATTACACCCTGTGGATAAACCGAACTAATGAATGACTTTAGGCGGGTATGCGTAGTTTGTGGCTCACAACTTCTGACTCCCGGCCGACCCTTACTATGTAAAAGGGAAATGAGCAACAATACTCCGTACATTCTCCGGACTCCGCAAGAAAGAGTACGAGTAGGAGCTATGTAGAAGGGAAAAACGCCGACACTCGGACCTCCTGCTCGCCCGTTTTTTTGCAGTGGAAATTATCTGCAATCTCCTGATCTGAGAATAGAAATGGTGGAACCCAGCGTACAAAGAGGCGTCTTGCAGGATCTCCGTGTTGCAATTGTCTGTTGGCCCGCTCCATCCCCCTCCATTGACGGAGTAACTAATCCTATTATTGCGTACGGCGTGAGCCGAACTCCATATTCCGTACTTTGTTACGCAGGATCCAATTTGAGAACTTGAACACGAGGCCGGAGACATTGATTATTTAGGAATGAATATTCGGTTTTACGATATTGGTCAGGGATCTGATTGATTGCGAAAGGCGGGGAATTTGTGAAACAACGATCCAAGATTCTGCAAGTCAGCCTAGAGATTTACTGTACAAGGGTGTCTACGGACATCGGTGGCCTGAGGAGGTCAGACTTCAGATTCAGACCTGGGGGCATGCAAGTTCAACGTGCACAAGGAACCAAAAGTAGTAAAGGTAAAAAGGACGATGGAATTTTCCACATAGAAAAAGCAAAAAAAAAAGGAATAGAAAAAGAAGCGGGCGGTAGTGGAAGAGTGCAGCAGACTTGACTCCTGTGACGCTGCAATGCATGGTTCCTGACTCGCGAATGATATCGCTTGCTTTGTGTTGGTTTTTATTTTTGTTGATCGTTGGACCTTCCTTACCTTTGCTCCATTGTTGCTTTTTTACTTCTTAACGCCGACCGAGTCGAAATGTCACATTCTTCAAACAGCAGAGCGAAGGTTACAACATGAAACATGAAACCTAATTACTCAAGGGTACAATCCTCCTTGCGAGAGGATTCACCTGCCACGATTCATGATCATGAGCGACCGAGGCCACCCACTATGATGAGAAACGTTGGGACATCCGATGCATTGTCGGATGTTGGATATTAGTTTTGCCATCAAGGCCAATCAGCAAAGCTACAGGCACTGACGACAGAACCTAAGGACAGGGCTAATGCTTCAACTATCACACCGCGAGCCAGTCACCCGGGTTGGTAGCGAGCAGTAGTGTCGGGCTAGCACGGAGGGATGGGAGCACACACGCACATACACGTTGGTCTTTTCTCGTGACAAGAGATAGCCATGCAGAGCATTCGCAGGTTGGAGGTCGGAGGGTCTGTGGACAGTCCCAGGCAAGGAGGGTGGATGTCGTATCTGGCGATATTGAGGTCACATTGTATCGGGATTTCGGACCTCATACTCGTTAGAAGGTGACAGGTGCTCTCGGCACACGGCTATTCCCAGAGTAGTAGGAGACGATGGATTCTTCACGGAGGGTGGCAGCCCATCTCCGCGGTGGACGAGGTCTCCACCACAATACGAGTCAAGGTTTGCCTTTGATGACCAGACTATTTCAACAGTCTCTGGTTCGCCCCCAATGCCCCCATTCTTTGCGATCCACTGGTACTCACTCATTAGACTCGGTGATCTCCGTGCACGGAAGTGCCTTTCACGGGACCACTACGGAGCCATGGAGAGTGGACTCCGGAGTACTACATATATAGTGGGCACAGAGGTAATGGAGTATGGACCATGATAGACAATGACGACCTGGTGTTCTGAGACGATCGGTCTCCCCCTTGTTGATCTTCGTGGGGCGCGGCCGCCTGACGACATCTTCACTTTCGGAGGTATGATTGGCTGATGATACGAGGCTGCGTCGGCTATGCAATTTTCCTTCTGAACTTGATTAGCGGTATTGTAATTTCAGCTAGTGCTCTCTACTTAGGCGATGTACAAAATACAGATACAGAGGGGGATTTTGGTACAAACAGACGCTGACATTGGAGCCTGACAGCCTCACCCTGCCTTCAATGATATGCAATATTCCCAGGTAAGTATCATTCTGCGAGTCAGCCATGTCCCCCCTGTACTCACACCATTCATTTCTGTACTCCATCATACCAGGTACGATACGCCCGTACGCCTGTATATACTCGTAACCAATTCAATCCACATACCCACTCAAGAAAGTCAACTTGTAAAGTCTAACAAAAGCCGAAGCCGCTATGTATCTAAGTGGCACCAAACTAAACAGCGCCCACCAAGCTGATACGCTCAGCCCAATGTAAAACGCCAGCAGAGCCTCACATAATCTTCTCCTCGCACTAGGGCTGCAGTAGTCGTCGCCCGCTAAACGAGGAACTTATGCTAGCCCCGCCAGGCGCGGCCGAGTTGCAAAGCCCTGCTTGCTGCAGGATGTGCGGAGGCGATTGTAGATTAGAGACTGGAGACTTGGTCTGGTCTGGCCAGGGCTAGAGTATGGAATATGCATTGAAGTTGCATTGCTGAAAAGGTGCCAGCAGCCGGAGTACGAGATCGCCGGTTTGGGCTGCGGGTTTTTTTTTATTTTCACGGAAGATTTATTTTTGTTACGAGTATTGACTCGGAGTATCCATAATTCATGATCTGGTGAGATGGATATCGCAACTGCTACTATTGATGTTGATATTCGTTTGCGGATCTGATATTCGTCCGTCTGTGTATTTACGTGTGATATCGGTGTGAAACGGATTACACGGGCACGGAGACGGAAATTTCTGTTTTTTTTTTCTATGTTTCATTTTTCTTCAGCTACGTGGGCATCTTTCCCTCCCGTACAGAAAAAGGCGAAAAGAACGTAAAGATGCCCGAGGCTGCATTTTGCATACATCGACTCCTTCCTAAAATAAGTCAATTACAGCAGTATACTAGTAGATGTAAGCACTAACTATCGATAAAGTGAAACCCGGGGTATCACACTACAACTTGAACTTGAAATCTGTAGATCTACTAGTATATACTACAGTACATAGTTCGGACCGGGATGAGGTCCATACATGTAATATTTACCCTAAACATCCATGGATCTACTATACACACCTGCATAGGGCTCCCGCTCCAGACACACTGCATGGGCATATAAGCACACCCCTACGATATTTTCACCATTTAACTAGTCAGCTTAAACCCACTCATCCAGTCTAGACTGAACACCACACTCATCGCTCAGATCGCTCCTGATGAATCGGCTGCATACTGCATGTAGCAAACTGTTTCGGGGCATGCCAGTGCGGGCTTGCCGAATCATAGACCGGCAGTACTCGCTCGGGATCTAGCCAATCTGGTACAATGATATTCATACTTCAGCCCTCTTTCCGGAAGGTGCACTTATGCGAATAAGATTCTTCTTTGGGTGTTGGTTTAGTAAAGTTTGTTTTTGTCGGCAGTTGGGGGTACCGGAATTTGGTTGGTTGATGAGGTAGTACTACATCATACATCATATCCATGGAATGCCATATAGCCTGAGTACCTAGTATGTCACGGTAGATAGAATTATGGCCATCTGCAGCCCTGGAATACTATGTAGCAGCGTAAACCACTAATTTCAGGCTCTTGTTAGTATATTCTCCTAGGCCAATGTCCTTCAGTCGCCTACTAATGTATTTTTGCCTCTAATTCAGATGCACATACAGTTAGGCACTACCTACAGTAATACTTACTTACTGCACAGCTCGAACGATGCGCTAAGCCTAAGCTTCTATTTTATCTTCACGGGGATTTTTTTCCACCCATCATATCCATTCCATTCATCGCCAACTCAAATCTTCCTAGGCATCACTCATTCTTGAATATCGTCAACGCCGACAATACCCGACAAGCCCCAACTTCTCAACGCAACCCCGCATCGGCCCCCACGTGGCATGGGTGGCTGTTGAACATTGCAACCAGTTCCCGAGGGAGAAAGACAAAGCGAGAAGGCTTTTGGGATGGCCCGGTGATCTAATCATGAATCATGAAATGGGGATGAGATTCGATGAGGTCACGGTCACTGGACCGCATCGTGACTTTGTAGAAACTTGCATAACCCGGCGATCCCCACACGAATTGGGTCAGATGAAGAAAGGCATTGGTGGAAGGTAGGAGGTAAGAGACGTGGTCGATGTCAAATAGAGTCAAGAGTATGGAGGGTATGTAAATGACTACCGCCGGGCAAGGATCGTGCAGCAGCCACGGCGTTTGCGCAAGAGATATGCGCAAGGAATGACTGGTTCTTCTGTGCCCGAAGAGCGAGAAGGAAGGAAGAAAGAAACCTTGAAAGAAAAAGGGTTGGCAGGGTTGTACTGGTTCATCCTTGTTTCAGCTTGCTGCATATTGCACACCATCTCGGACAAAGCCACCAGCCACCAACGACCAACGACCAACAACGACAAAGTAAAGACAGTAAAAAATCATAATCATTTGTCCAATCGCAGTTTATGTACTATACATCCCCCTCCAATCAATCAATCACTCTCGTCATCGGAATCCACGTGTCCGCCATAGCGCTGCCGATAGCCACCAAAGGCAGAATTGAACCGGGCGCCGCTCTCACTTCCAGAGTCGTCAATGTCGAATTCCTCGTCGTCAGACACGCCGTGGCGTCGGTATTTGCTGTAAATTGCGGACGGATCATCGTCCTCGTCTGACGATGACAGTTCCTCCTCTGGGTAATCATTGGCTGGATTATTCTCGGCTGAAAGGAGAAAACAGAATCAGCGATAAGTCAAATCACGTAGTAATCGAAAAATAGAAAGAACGAGGTTGGGGGTATTAACTTGAAACTTACCGTTCGAATCAGCATCCTCACTATCCCATTCCTCCTCATCATCCTCGATAAAATTCTCCCAATACTCCTCATCCTCAGCCGTAATGACAATAACACCGACACCGGCGCGGGAAGCCTCGAGATTCTTCAACTGCTGATCAGACTCGAGTTCAGCCAATGGGTTCGTAAGCATATCTGTCTCGGCCAGTGGTCGCCGGATATACACATCATAGACGTAATCATCATCATTGTCGTCCACGGCCTGGGAATCGTCATTCGCACCGGCAGAGGTATCTGCCGTATCTTTCTCCGTAGACTGTGCTGGTGCTTGTGCTTGTGCCGCCGTAATGCGAGATTCCTTCGGCAACCGCGGCTGGTATTTAGTCGAAGAGGGCGCGGGCGAAGCAAAACGAGAATAATCAGGTTTGGGCGCAGGAACACGAGCAGGACTAGCGTGGGGGTGAGCTCCAGCTCCAGCGCCAACGCGAGAATCATCCTCGTGAGAACCATCGTCAATCTCCATATCATTCTCCAACTCCAGCGCAACTTTTTCAAATTCCCGCGCCAACCGCTCTGACTCCTCATCCCAGGACTGAGCAGACTTGGCCCGGGCAGATTTCTCCAACGTCTCCTCGAGATGGGATTTGGCCGCGGAAACGGCCGTTTTTCGTTCTTCGCGCCATTTCTTCTCGGCTGAATTCACGACTGGTCTTTTGCGCGGCTTGATTGGCGCTGCTGCTACTGAGTCTTCGAGAGCATTATCAACCACGATTCCCTTATCGTTGAATTGAGCCTGGGTCTGCGATTCTCCGACTAAATTTGCAACCATGGATGCCTTTCGCGAATGCTGGGTCCGCTGTAACTGCTCAACGAGAACGGCGACACCAGGTGAGCCCTCGGTACGCCGTTTTTGAACACCGCCCGCACCCCGGAGTCCCAGGGCCGGAGAACTAGTTCTCGAGATCTGGAATCTGCGTACAGAGACTGCGCGGCTTGAGGGTGTTGCGGCGCCGCTTGTCTCTGTTGAGACATGGCCCGAGCCTGGCGCTGAGCGCGAAACCCGGGGGAGGATAGCTGCTGCTGCCGCCGCGTTGCTGGGTGATGGGGACGTAGGCGCGGTTGAAGACGTGTGTTGAACATTTGAAAGCGAGTCTGGGCGTAGAGTACGCTTGCGTTTCTCATCAGCGTCTTTCTGCGCTGCGGCTCGGCGCTGGGCGTCGCGTATTTCTGCGCCTGGAGACGTAGCCCGGACTGTTGGGACGCCGCTGGATGATGATGATGCTAATGATGAGATTGGTTGGGGAGTTGCATTGGCTCGTCTGTTCACATGCAGACTGCTCACGGAGCGTGGGCTGCGGAGGAGTCGCTGTGCTGCTGGGTGTGGTGATGCTGAGGCATTGCCATTGCCATTCTCATTCTCATTGTCCAGATCACTGGCTTTCAGTGGAACTCTTTGGAAGACGAAGTCCGTGAAACGGCGCTTCGTTTGGTGGAGGGCGGATTGGATGTCTGGGATGGGATGTTAGTTATTGCTGTTGGGGTTGATTTGGGTTTGTGAAATCAATTGGAAGTTTGGGGTTTTTAGTTCATTATGGATGACTGAATTTTGGTTATACGTGGGGGAGAGGAGGAACCAATGGCTTGAGCATAGTCAAAGTCCTGGTAGACTTGACCTGGCCTTCCATGGTGGGGTGTAGATCGTGGGGTCAAAAAAAAATAACCATGGAGAAATCTGCAATGGGCCTATACATACACAATGTCTCGACGGGTTCTTCCTCACGCCGCCGCTTGATATTGATCTGCTCTGGCGGAAGAGCCATGTCGAAGTGGATGGGGGATATAGGCTTGCTTTGGGGATCGAAGCCGAGAGGTTGAAAGATGGAGATGTCATTTCACGCGAAGAGCTGAGTCAGGTCACGTGATATGCAGATCGGGGGAGATGTGCAAATAAGAATAGTACTTGGAGAGACAAGGAGCTCGTCAATGAGAATTGATCGCTGTTCTAATTGTATACCGTACATTGTAGAGGACCACCATTGCGTTGACTCATTTCATTCTTCCCCGGGAACTTTCCACTATGTAATTACACATCTGCAGCCCACCCCAACCCAACAACCAGGGGGCGAGTAAAAAGACGGGGTATTTTTCACTGGATTGTACCACCCGATGCAACCTGCCCAATGGCCAAAAACGTTCAATAAAGATCAAAAAAAAGAGAAATGTCAAGAAGACTGAAAAGAGGGACCGATATCTGGAGACGATGGGAGGTATAGCGCGGTGCAATCACAAAGACTATGCAACCCATCCAGAAGGGGCGAATAACATAAGATAAAAAGACAAGCCCTTGCCTCCATTTTTGTGAGATCGGGAAAGACGAAGTTAGAAAAGAGAGAAAACATAGCCAGCTAGCAATACAAAGTGGTAACGAAGAAGGGAATTAAAGGGGATAGAAGGGTCATTGGCGGTGAAGGAGACATGCTTGGACACAAGGGGTTAATCCAAAACAATCACAAGAGCTGAAACAAAAGAAGGAGAAAAGAAAAAAGAAAATGGGGTTAGAAGAGAATGTCGAAGAGTCAGAAAAAGGAAAAAAATCGAGATATTAAGACCAATACAAGAAACGAAGTCAGATGCAGAGATGGCGTCACGATCAAAATAAACTATATGTAAAAAAATGATAAAAAGAAGAAGAAGAAGAAGAAGAAATAAAAAGAAGGGAGAAATGCCATTAGAGTTCACCAAGGGTAATGAGTCGAATTATGCATCTTCGGAGAAGAGGCGTGGTCAAGAGGAATATGCTCATTTGGCGCCAATTTCCTCTTCAGCCCAGCCAGGCAGCGAGTTCTCGTTCTGGATGGCAAGACCGAAACCAGAGTGGTTTATTCCGCCCAGAGCAGACGAGAAGCTGGAAAAGCTGGCCTGGGGCTGATGGGTAGTGCCGGTACGAATGTGACCACTCTGTCCTGAGACAGGTCCAAAAGGCTCCTGTGAGAAAGACGGCAGGCTCACAGCACGCGAGTGCGACGCACGAGGCACGCTCAGGCTGCTAGTGCTTGCTGTGGCATGGTGGCCAGAGCCAGAGCCAACGCTCAGATAGCCGTTGCCGGAAGGCTTGTGTTGATGGTGCTGGTGCTGATGTTGGTGTTGGTGCTGGTGTTGATGCATCGGTGCCTCCATACTTCCATTGGAGAGATCGCCGTTGCTAGAGCTGTTGTACAGGGATTGTTGCGGCACCTGGGACTGAGCCTGCAGGCCGGCCAGAGCCATTGGGTCACGCAGGCCGTTCTCCTGGTCCTGAGATTGCTGTGACATTTGGTTCAGGTACATAGTCAGGGGGTTGTTCGAACCCACATTCAGCACACCGGAGGGAGATGACACGTTTTGTAATGGGTGACGCTGTTGTCCATTCTGCGAACCGTTGGAGCCCGAGGCGGGCGAGAGTGCCGGGCGAGTTGGACTCGGCTGGGAGCCAGACTGGCTGAGAGGCTGCTGGAAGCCATTGATGGCGGGTGAAGGAGACTGTGGTCCTTCCAACCCCTGTCCGTTACGGCCCTGGGAGTTGGAGTTGTTGCCAGCCTGGCGCGGAGGGTTACCGCAACGATCCTTGCCGAAGTTGATCTTGAAGCGGCGGTAATCCTCGCGGTTACGCATGCCCTCGATCGCCTTAATAGCGTTGGCGATGTTGGTGAAGTTGACAAATGCGCAGCTCTTCTCACGCAGAGTGTTCACCAATTCGATCTCTCCGTATTCCGAAAAGTCCTGACGCAGACGTTCCTCCGTCCAAGCTTCATCCAAGTTTCCAATATAGACATTTCGAGATGCGCCGCCGCTCACTGCGAGTGCAATGGCTGGCGGGAGAGGTCCGGAATGCTTGCCCCATCCGATCTTCAATCGTCGGTTGTGGATCATCAGGCCCTGGAGGTTGCTCAGGGCGTAGAAGGAGGCGGCCGAGGTCGGGTCGATGAAGGTAACGAAGCAGATGTGCTTGTCGGGGATGTAACGGATGTGGTGAAGAAGACCCCCACGCACGACGTTGCAGATTTCCTCGATGGTGGTCTCGGGGTGGATATTTCCAAGGTAAATAGTCCGGTTGCCGAGGTTGTTGACGCCGCCAGCCGTGGTCGCAACGGCGGCCGCAGCCACAGATTGCTGGGCCAGCGCGTTCGAAATCAAATCGCGATCGGCCGAGTTCAGAACATGCGCATAGCCCGGCGCAATACCGAGGAACTGCGCGGCGTTCTGCTGCTGGGTCTTGGACACGTAGGCGCATCGATCTTTACCGTAGAAGACGCGCTTAGGAGCCTGCCATTGGGCTTCCTGGGGGAGCTGTGTGACGGCCTTCATGGCATTACTAATCGAGAGGAAGTGAACGAAGCCAATGGCCTTCTCCTTCACGATCTTGACGGTGTCAATGGCACCAAACTTGCCGAGCTCCTCGCGCAGGTTGTCCTCGGTCGTTTCTTCGGGAAGGTTGCCTAGGTAAACATTACGCGACGCCCCGGACTGCTGAACCGCCAGGGCGACGGAGGTCGGTACCTGAGAGGGCTTACCCCAGCCGACCTTGATGTCATTCCCCTTGATGGCCAGCTTTTTCAAGATGGCATCGGAGTGGAAGTGGGTCGCAGAGCTGCTGTCCAAGAAAGAGATGAAAGCGCAGTTCTTATCGGGGAGCAGGCGCACCGACTCGATCTGGCCGCTGCGCACATGGTTGAGGATTTCCTCCGCGCTGGTCTCCGCCGGGATGTTTCCCAAGTAGACTGTGCGACTGGTCCCGGACAGCATTCCGGGTGTCACTGAGGCCCCCGGGCTGCCCAGGGCCGCGTTGCCGAGGCCGCCCATTCCATTGATTGGAGACTGGGGCCCCCCCCCCCAGCAAGTGCGACGCGCCCAGTCCATCCGTCGAGATCATTCCGGGGTACATTCCGGGGTTCTGCATACCCTGGGTCGGGCTGCCGAGCTGGTGGTGGTTCTGGTGGTTCTGCGCGTGTCCATTGGCATTGCCCTGGGGAAAGCCACCAAAGTTGGCAAACTGGGGAGAGGCAAAGGTCGAGGGGGTTCCAGGCTGGAAGGGACTTCCCACGAGCAACTGCGAGGGCAGCAGGGGGGGTATAATTCATATCGTAACCGGAGGACATATCGGCGGTTTGGCCAACGGCAGCGGTGTTTATAGCCGGTATATTGGCGCGACGAGCGTTGCGGTTGGAGAAGCCTTGGTTGTGATGGTTGGAGTGATACGCGCCGTGGGAGAAGCCGGTGTCGCCGTTCATGGAGTATTTGGAGCCAGGGGGGGATCAGACGCGAACTGTTGATGCTAGAGGCATCCGAGGTTTGCATGGCGAGGTGAATCTCTCACGCTCAGGGGAGAGGAGGAGAGGAGTTGGAATCGTCCCAAGAGGGGAGAAACCAATCCAGGGGTGAAAATGAATATTTAACGAGCGTCGTCCAGGGGACTTGGCCGGGGTGCAATAAATATCAAATCACCATTCAGGGGGACCAACTCTCGTTCTCTCTCTGTCTTTCTTCGCAAACACGACCGGGGTGGAAAAGGGAAGGGGTCCAAAGTCAGAGGAAAGCCACGGACTGGAGACGTGTCTGGAGGAAGACCGGAAGTTAATTGGAATGTGTTTCAAAAGGGCGCGAGAGCACGCGAGAGAGAGGACTTGGAAGATGAAAGAACGTTGGAAGGGAGGGGGGTGGAGGGGGACGCACTTTTTTTGAGTACTCCGTAGAGCGAAGTCAGGTATATACGGGGGGGTCCCTGCAAGAGAGAGTGCGGAGCCGAAGAAGAAAAAAGACTATGCAGGGCAAGGAGAAGACATTAGCTGAAACAGGCTAGGTGGAAGAGAGTTGGACCGAACGGTACGAGACTAAGGCTGAAGAAAAGGGGGGGAGTGGAGTGGAGGTGGTGGTGGTGGATTGGATCAATGGTGGCATTGGCATGGGGTAGGGGTAAGGGTAGGGGGGTTAACATACAGAGAGTGACGAGGGTCGGAAGATCAGAGAAAGCGAAGAAATGAAAAGAGAAAAGAAGAGGAAAGAAAAGAAAAGAGGGAGGTGAGGAGAGGAAAGAATGAAAGTGCAAGGGCGGCAATGGAGATGGGGGAAAGGGGCAGTCAACAGATCACGTAAGTGAGTCCACTGAGTATACTGAGTAAGTATAGAGTATACTAGAGTAAGTATATACTAATATTTACTGGAGTAATGACTTTATATTATCCATGAATAATAATCACTTGAAACTACCACCAGTATACCTAGTATACTATACTGACCCGTGGTCCCTGTAAACATGCGAACACTTGGGGTAAAGTCAGATGACACACTAGACAAGGAGAACTTGAAGTGTATACTTGACAGTAAATACTACTACATGCCAGTACTTACTTATACTAGGCTACTGTAATATTGAATAAATAATCTGGTTTTAACTAATGAAATACTAAATTACAAATCTCTACCAGGTACCATTCCGAACGGGCAGCCAATACTAGTTAGTTAGTACCTAGTGAGTAGTACTATTCAGGTACATATAGTATACTATTACATTACTGAAATATATCCCAGGTCAACATCCTATAACTTATAGTCAATTACAACTGAACCAACTACTACCTGTAGTATTCTAGCTACCCTTCAGATTATTGTATTCCACTCTAGTACTACTCTACTACTATACTACTGTAGTCACTAATACTAATAACTACTGACTAGTTAGTTAACTAATACTAGATCTCTGCCTCAGGCATCGCGGGGATCCCGCATCGCGGAAATTTACCCCTCCACACCAACTCAACTTCTCCTTCAAGTTCAAGTGTTCACCTCAATTCGCCTCAGAGGGTATCAAGGTATGTTCTCCCTCAATTGCTCCTCCTCATTGGCCTGCACTACTTCCTGCAATCCTATCTTTGCTGCTTATCTCCCCCCGGAACACCCCCTACCTCCCACTTCCAATGACTCACATCCGACATGCACTAACTATTGAAATTGCGCCTGCAGCTCCTCCCTTCCCGCTCTCCTCGCCTTCACACCTCCCTCTACACAATGGCGCCCTCCATCTACATCGATGAGGACGTCGGTCGCGACGATGCGACCGCCACCGGTACCGAGTCTGCCCCATACAAGACCCTCATCCACGCATTTGTGCACCACGATCCCACCACCGAGGGCATCCAATATTTGACCCGCAAGTCGCAGACTGACGCCGCCGGCGAAGATGTTGACCCGGCCGCCAAGCTGGAGTGGAAGCCCGCTACCAAATCCGCCACCAAGAAGGCCACCAACCTGCTGGACCAGCGCAAGAAAAAGGCCGCCAAGGAGCACGATCTCGCCATCCGCGAGAAGGCCGAGTCTGATAAGCGCCAGCAGGTCCTGGAGGATGCCAAGAAGATCCTCATCAAGGAAGACACCTCTCTGCCTGCCCCCGTCCGTATTCGCCTGGACGTCACCGACCCCGCCGTCGTGAAGCTGCGCAGCACCGAGTCCGATGTCCCTGGTACCCGTGTCCGCGTCCTGGGTCGTGTGCACCGTATGCGTGCGCAAAAGGGAGTCGTCTTCATTACCCTGACCGATGGCTACGGATACATGCAGTGCATTCTGACCGGCGATATGGTCAAGACCTACGATATCATGACCCTCACCCTGGAGACCTCCATGTCCATCCACGGTGAGATGCGCTCCGTCCCCGCCGGTGCCCACGCCCCCAACGACCGCGAGCTGCACGCCGACTTCTTCACCATCATTGGCCGCGCTGCCGGTGACAAGGAGGCCATCACCACCCGCGTGGCCAAGGACGCCGACCCCCAGACCCTCCTGGACAACCGCCACCTCGTCCTGCGCGGCGAGACCTCCTCCGCCGTGATGAAGGTCCGCGCCGCCACTCTTCGGGCCTTCCGCAAGGCCTTTGAACAGAACCGCCTGCTGGAAGTGACTCCCCCAGCCATGGTCCAAACGCAGGTTGAGGGCGGCAGCACGCTCTTCGGCTTCGACTACTACGGCGAGAACGCTTACCTGACCCAGTCGTCGCAGCTATACCTGGAAACCTGTCTCCCATCCCTGGGCGACGTCTTCTGCGTATGCCCATCCTTCCGCGCCGAGAAGTCTCTGACCCGCCGCCATCTGTCGGAATACACTCACATCGAAGCCGAGCTGGACTTCATCACCTTCAACGACCTGCTGGCTCACGTCGAGGAAGTCATCTGCCGCGTCATCGACAACATCTTCGCCGAGCCCGAGATCACCGCCCTCATTCACAAGATGAACCCTGATTTCAAGAAGCCCAGCCGTCCCTTCCGTCGCATGAAGTACGCCGATGCTATCGACTGGCTTGTCGAGCACGATATCCCCAACGAAGAAGGCGAACCGCACAAGTTCGGCGATGATATCGCCGAGGCTGCAGAGCGCAGGATGACTGATATCATTAACACCCCGATCTTCCTTACCCACTTCCCCGCCGAGATCAAGGCCTTCTACATGAAGAAGGATGCCGAGGATGTCCGCGTCACTGAGAGTGTCGATGTCCTTATGCCCGGTGTTGGTGAGATCGTTGGTGGTTCTATGCGTATGGATGATTGGGATGAGTTGATGACTGCTTATAAGCGCGAGGGCATGGATCCCAGCCCTTACTACTGGTACACTGACCAGCGCAAGTGAGTTTTCCTCCCCCCCCGGAACAGGACTTTTATCTTTATCTGTTGCTCTCCTTCTTTTTTGGTTTTACTAATCCATTTATCCTCTAGGTACGGTACCTCCCCTCACGGCGGCTACGGTCTGGGTCTGGAGCGATTCCTCGCCTGGTTGTGTGCCCGCTACACGGTCCGCGATTGCTCGCTGTACCCCCGTTTCACCGGCCGTTGCACCCCATAGACGAGCATATCCATTTTCTTGCTTGGCTTGTTCAAGTTTTTAAGCGAGTTGCAAGTTGGTTGGCGGTTTGAAGAAAAAAAAATTTAAGAATGAATGTTTGTGATGATGGTTGCATGGCTATATGAATGAGTGATTTGAATGGATTGCATGGAATGCAGATATGTTCGAGTTTCTGGGATTTTCTTATCAAAATACTAGTAGATCCATGAATGAAAGTTTTCTTTTGATTGTTTCTTGGGCGCATTATATGACTACTAACTAGTAGTGTTTTCTACTAAGTTGGTTGTGTCTTTCGGTTAAGGGATTCGCTGATGAAGGTACTCGAACCTTGGAAGTAGTGTAGTGAGTGTTGGAAAGTACTCGTTCAAGTCCACCTTTGTACTATTCGTCGAGCCCTCAGCCTGTCATAAATGTGGTAATGTTTACGTTTGCTCTTCCGAGATTGACCTCTGTATTCCCGCTCCAAGCCTACAGTCCCGTCCTCGAGATATAATTAGTCAAATGAGGTGTGCCATGCCACGGGGATTGAAGCAAGTTTGACGCAGTCCGATCTTTGGACTGCCGCAAGGTTCTTGCTTGTATTACTGCGGACTGGATCTGTGTCGTACGCCCTGAGTATACTAGTATGATGGCTTCGCTGGGTGTAGTCTTGGCTTCGAGAGACTGGTCGTGCTTGCTCTAGGTGTTTTGTGTCTTACCATTCTGGATTGGGGCTTGCAGGGCTCGCAATCGTGATTGATAGCGGTCTGCTGAGGATGTTTGTACTGGTCTCAGGGACATGGGAGAAGGGGAAACGGAGTGTGGTTGTTTTCGACATAGTGTCGTGTGGCGTGTTTGATGGTGTCGTTAGTGTGAAGGGATTGTTGATTGCCACGGTTCTCGTCCCTCGCTCGTCTCAACTCAGAGCTGATGACTTTGTCCTGAGGTTGTGAGTCTGGCTAATTTGTCGCGTAGACGATCAGTTCCATTCAGTGCTGCTGCTGCAAATGTTGAATTGACCTCTGCTGCCCTGGGCGATAGAAGGTTTTCCAAGGCCCCCGACTCACCGGCGTCACGCTCTGAAGGCTTCTGGGTTCAACGGCCGTGGCTCGTGTTTAAATTGATCTCCTAAACTGACCTGGCAGCTGGGTGGGATGGAATTGAGTAAACAGCTGCTTGTGCGTGCTGGAGTTGATTGGAACTCGGTTATGTTGGTGATGCGTGGTTGTGTTTAGAAGGTTGGACGAGGCTGGGTCGTGATGAGTGCTGGAGGTGAAGTTGTTGACGGTGATGGCTGTTGTATGCCACACGCGAGTCCTAGGAATTCTGTAGACAGAGTAGTGAGTGGGTGATACCAAAGGAATTGTGATGTCGATGCCGATGCTGGGAGAGGAGTCTGCAGGGACAGAGAGAGTTGAGGGTCTCTGGCTAGGACCTGACTGAACACGGGAAGAAGGAGAAAGAAGAAAGAGACTAGGGTGTCGACGCTGTCTCCGCCATCTTCATCTTCTCTGGTGCACTCCTCTCCTCTCCACCTCATCACTCATCTTCGGGCTGTTTCCTGACGGGATGAACTTGAAACCAGATGGACTGGCAAAAGCAGTCCCGTCCTATCCTTTCCTCCTTCCTCCACCGTTAGGGGGGGGGGGGTCCCAAGGACGGAATGTAGAACTGGGTGCTCCACTGGCTCTGAGGCCATTGCCGGATGACCGGAGATAGAATCCGTGCAACCCCATTCGGTGTGTCCCCTCGCCTGGAGCCGGGGGTCCGACAGGTTTGCAGGACTATTATCTTTGTTCTTTTTGTCTTGACTCGTTTTGAATCTTGTCGAAATATCAGAGAATGTCCCGATGACCCAGCTGATCAGCCAAACTGGCTTATATTGATGCCCTTGACTGTGGGCTGGGAGAGAGAGAGGTTGAGAGGGACTGAGAGTCCAACACGTCGATCCAGCTGGTTTCCTTTTCCATTTACCTCCACATTGGCCATTGGGCCCTTCTTCATCTGGGTTTGCCGTAGGACCTGGGGGTTTTGCTCTTTATTCTGGTTGATCATTAACGCCCATTCTCCGAAACCATGTGTCGCAAGGCTGGAAGTTCGTGTCAGTTCTCAACCAGACTTGAATCGACACGCTGCTTGATTCCTCTGGTTCACTACGTCATCGCTTCTCATCTTTATTCTTATTACCATGGCTAGTCACGTCACGCTGCATCTTCATAGGTGATGTGCGCGGGTGAGTACCAAAGGACAGTGGCAATGATATCAAACCAGGGGTGAATTCTCTCCACTTGGGCCTTTCTCTCACAGCAAACACACACGTCTCCACAGCAAAACATGCCGTCTCTGCCGAATGTCTTTTCCTCTTTCCCCTTCCCTATTGGGTTTTTGATGGATAGGCGGGCAACGATAAACATATGATTCCTTGAACCTTATGAGGGGTTTTGTTCCTTTGTTTTTCAGCAAAATTACTGCGGCCCTTGGGGCCAATGATGACTTGGGGCCTGCTGAAAACCCAGCCACAACGCCGCGTTATCCATGGCTAAGATGATACAATTACCAAGGCAAAGTATGGATCATTCTTAATGCTGAGAAACAACAACAGAATATGGAAACTATCTTTATCTGCCAGCCAATCCCGACCCGCAAGAGCTGTCATGAAAGCATCAGCCAATTCATTTCACACCTCCGATCAGTGCCAACCCCGCCTCATTCTATTGAAGCGTATTTATGTCGATCCGCCGAATCGTGCCTTTGGGACCCTGCCATACCTGGTACGTTCTCGATCGTCTCGTCTCGTGTCGTCTCTTGCCTTCGACCTTTTCAACGGAATGGCCTTTCGGGGACGCGATACAGAAGCGGAGATGCAAGTTTCGAATGGCGTGCATGGCGCGACAGGTCTACCCACGGCTGCCGGAGCGAATGTTGCGCTGCAAGACTTCCTCGAGGAGTTGGTTGATCTGGTCGTGTGAGGCTCCGGCGCGGATCGCTGCGATGACACGTGAAAATGAAGGGTGTTCTGCGTGGCGGATGATTTCGAGCAGATTGTCCAACATTGCAGAGTAGAAAGCCGGGTCTTGGGTGCCTCCGCCGCTGTTACAAGGTCAGCGGGATGTCGAGGCCGTTTTTCACGTCGGCGACGACCCGCAGCCTTGGTCTGCTTCCTTCCTCCAGATGGTGGGAGGAGAAACTCGCAAGGAGCGGGTCTGAGGTCGATGGCGTACGATGAAGATGATGCTTACCTAGAGCTACTCTGCTGCGAGCCTTGATGGCCCCCCCCGCCTGGGTTCGACGAGCCCTGGGACGCCATGCTGTCAGATGGGTCGCCGTAGAAGAGTACACACGTTGAAAGGATGGCCTTGAGAGAGAAAGGCTGATGAGATCTGTACCACGCTGGATGAGCGAGGCTGAGGAGCGTTAGGGTGGTGAGTCCCTGCTGGAACCGGATTGCTGAAGCAAGTCTGTCAGTATGCAAATGCCAGGCATAATCGGCAACGAGAAGGAAGTGAAGGTAAGGGAAAGATGCAAAGGAACAGAGAATAATGTAGGGACTTCTAGGGTCGCCCTGGTACTGAACCGCCCTCGATGTGGTGCCGGTGGAGGGTGGGGAGATGGTTTCAGGGTAAAGGATAGACAGACTAGGAGCGGTCGGCCATACTACTAGCAAGCGGATAGCTCTAACGGGTAGATGCTGTTCGTTGTTTGGATTCGAGACGCGGGGATGGTGGGTGAAGTGGAAGAAGAGAAAGGTGGGACGCTTGTGAAGTCTGCATTTTGAACTCTTAAGACTATGTAGTCGGCCTTGAAAACACGAAGCCTTCGCTTTTGTCGCTATACCGATTCGTCCTGCGGTAAAGTGGCCCGACAAATGAAAGAAGGTTGATCCACCTTCTCTCTCCAATCGACCAATGCTGGAACCCGTAACATTTTTCGGCAATTTGCTGGGGCATCTTTTCTTTGATATGCCGTTGTTTTCCCACTATTCGTAGCTTTGCGATCGCCTACGGAAAAAAGTACCAGCCAATACCAGCCAATAGCGGAGACACCAACCATATTTCCTCGGAGGCTTGAAGCATAATGGTTGATTCGCCTCTTAGCCTTAACCTTTTGCCTTTTGACATGGAGGTTTGCCGCAGTGGTTGCATTCATTCGTTGGCTTTGGCTTTCCATAGAGACAATGAGATAGATGGTGAGGCGATGGTGTTGTTTGTTGATGTGGCCCGAGATCTCGGTTTGCAGATCAAGTCAAGGTGCTGCTGACTGAGGTCGGGTACTTTCTCGGCCAACATTGCTTCCCTTCTCGTCTCACATCAGGATTGACGGGAGAGTTGAAGTCGGTTGGGGTCATCCTCATTGTTCAGTTCCCCATGATGTTCCTGATCTGGCATTTCTGTCGCCGCAGATGAGGAGGTGTTAGGTTGCCTCGTTGGCCCGACTTCTTGATGTTGTCTTGTATCCAGGGACGGGCCGAGTCATGCGAAGCCTCAGTTTTCCACGAGAAGATTCTTTGATGGCATTTATCCACCAAGGAAGTGCAATATAATAGTGGAAATCGCGCAAGTATTCGACTGGACGCATGTAATGCTGTTGAGTTGGGCTCCAATCCTTGGATCTCTTGGTTCATCTGGGGCAACTGGCAACGCAGTGTCCCCTTTCTCATACGCAATTGAGTGACCAAGAAGAGAAGAGGATGTCGACAAGGAGAGATAGGAGGGTGGAGAAGAGAGGAAGTCTCCAAGTTTGAGGTCACCTGCCACTTGGTCACTTGTGGTCACTGAATGTCACTGACTCTGGCAACTCTTCCTCGCGCCTTCCTCGCGTTCTGTTGATCTCTTAACCCGCTCCTTCCTCCAGCATAAATTCAAGCCAACCGAATCCCTTCGACTTCTTCTTTCGCTCCTTCAGCCTTCATCCTTCGTCCTTCTTCCTCCGCCATCCGCCATCCTTCTCCATTCATCCTCCTCCATCCGTCCTACCACATCGCCAGTCTCTTCAGCAAGGATCATCCTCATCCACCACGATCTCCATCACTTTCCTTTACCCTCACAAATCCATCAACTCCCCCAAACAATGCTTGATTAGATGACTCTGATGCATTATCTTGACTGGCATCGAAGATGGTTGCCACGATCGTCACCGCCAGGGATACCCAGCACAGGCTTCTGGTTACGATAGGTTTCGTCCCGTCATACACCCAAGGCATTCCCAAGGCACCATTGTAACCTCAATGTGGGCTTCCTTGATGCTAGCCAACGGGCCGTCCCTGGGAACAATGAGCTGGACACGCTCCACTCAGACAGAGTACCGGAACGCCGCAGGGATATGGAGATGGGTTGATGGGTTTGTGTATGTATGTATGGTCAACAGAGATGCTCGTCAGTTGCCAGAAAACTGCACGAGGTTTTGTCTCAGACCATTACTGGTCCATCACCATGAGATCCAAGGGTGAACGAGAAGCACCAGAGCCTGGCAAAACAGTTCGCTACGGGGCTTCAACTTCTGCATTGCAGTGTCCATCACATACTAGCCATGATTGATATGGTCCACGGGGACATCGAAGCATCCTGGGAAGAATGACAATTCATTTATCCTGCTTGAACCCGTTTGCCTGCTGATCCATCCCATTCTTGAGTATCTTGGCCCATGTTCTTGATCAAGTATAAGCCTCCAATATATGGGCTTTGCCGAATGACAGTGAATCATATTCAAAATAGTGACGCAGTCGACGGGAGCAGAAGACCTCAGGGCGAGCAAGACCTCTGAAGCTCTGGTCAACTTTGTGACTATCTGGATAGTCGATGAGCACCATCAGCTCCAAATAGCGTGGCTAGCTATGTGCCAACTCATGGGTCCCATTGTGAATATGATGCAGTGTGCAGTCAGGCTCGTTGTGTCGACCGGCGAGGTTGTCTGTTTCTCGTTTTCGAGTTGTCCGAGTTCATCGTGTTCTGGCGTTATACGAGGCAGGTGATCTTCAAAGGCATTGTGTCATGGTCACTTGCGGCGTGGCCATCTCAGTGATACCTCCACCATGCGATTGCGGTAGTGTCCGGTGGCGACTTTGATCCTGGCCAGTGAGCTGCTATGTACTAGCACCCACAGGGGTCATTTCTCATTGGTGTATCGAAAGAAGCATCCGTGGTCTTGGTGGTTAATCGGCGGCGGCGGGGGTATCATCTTTGCGTCGGGGGTATCGGTCGGCGTGCAACATTCGGAAATCGGGGCGATGGACTACTATTGCCATCGACCTTTCGCAATTAGACTATCATCGTCAATCTTACATCGCGGTCGGTCCTTCGGATGACCTGTTTTCATGTCAGCAGTATCAAGGTACAGTACTCGATCGGGCAAGACCACCATCGCCATCGCTACGTCTTCTTCCACGTCCCCGTGGGGATCTGGCATAGGGACTGTGGCAAACATCTCGTCAAGTTGCTGTTCAAGTGGCACGAGGCTGTTAGTTAGAGGACATCTATCTTGACCATGGCGATGAAGATATCGATAGTGTGTTGATGTCAAGTCAGTAATGCGTGTTCCAAACGGTCCTGTTCACCCTCCAGGGTTGCCCTGATCTGTTGTATCAACAGAACACGACGGTCATGGACGACCAGGTGATGCATAGGGGGTAAGCATGCTAGAAAATGAAGACAGTCATAAAGTCTTCTCAGGGAAGGTTGCCATGGCACCATTTCTCGCGGATCACGTCCTTGTCCTTCGACATAGGAAGAGACAAGAGGCTATTCCCACAAGGAGCGAGGGATAATATGAAAACCCTTTCCCTGGCTCCCTGTGGCACCAATTGGGGCTGTTTACCTCGTGGAAAAAGATTCCCTGCGAAGCTATTGGGGCTACCACCTCGTGGAAAAAGATTCCCTGCTAAGTTATTGGGGCTCGGCTCCACCTGATGCCCTGCCAAAACAGAACATCAAGGTTACGTGCTCAGAGGAGGCCAGAGACGTTCCTCGCAAAGAGTCGGGAGTTGAGTAGTCGATGAGAAAAAAAAACTGGGTTGATACCTGCTTCGGAGGGCCATGTCTAGGACAATCCGCGTGGGTTATAGTGACAGGCAACATGAGGGAACTCAAATCCATCACTTATGCGAAGCGAGTGACATTCCAGGAGGGATGGCAAACTTATTGAGGCAAGCTTTGGATGAATGGCATTGCCCGAGCTTGATGGTACCCCATGGGCAGATGCAAAGGGGGCATCGTGCGATGCGTGTACGGAGGACGGAGTACGGAATCGGCAATTTATGGTGCGCCGTCTTAACACATCGTTACCTGCAGGAAGATCCATGGGGCCGATCCAGGCGAATCCAACCAACAACTGCCTGGCGCACTTTCTCACTGGTGTACGTATGTGCTTCCATGCTTGGTCAGGCAGCTGGAGCTGTGAGTCGCGGGGCCAGGCCCGGCCACACAGCCTTCATCCAAATCAAGTGACTGCAAGTGCATGCTACCAAACTTACAACCCTGAAGGTATGTATGGCTAAGTTACGGCAAGGTACCCTGAACCAAGGAGAACAATTCACATGTCAGATCATCCACTAACATACTAACATTGAAACCTCGATAACTGACCAATACAAAAGATGGCATCTCCTGTAGCCTTGGAACAATCTTCTTAGGGCGAATGGCTGACGTATTAAACGAGTAAGAGGCTTTGGTCAGCGACTCTCCAGCCTATAGTAATCCTGGTTTGCCACATATTAACAGCTGATGGCGACTGATCAACAGGGCCGGTCCAGGGCTGAACTGTTACATGTAACCATGCAGTAATTTTCACTGCTTTACTAGTATATTAAAATAAGCTTCCCTTTGCCTAGCTTGGGATTCTGCCTTGATTTTGGGGCGACACTTCCAGGGCGGCCGTTTCTGCCGCGCGCCCTGGTGTGGCTTGCCGAAGATGATTGGGGGGGGGGGTTTGGCAGCGATGCACTGCATTCCTTTGTGCGGAATATTACTAGTAGCTTCGATTAATCTGGGGAATAAATTCGGGCTAACCTTTGCGTCAAGTTGGTCCTTGTAATCAAGTTTCAACTACTAGTTTGACCCCAGACATTTGGTTTAGTAGCTGCATTGCTTAGTGGCTGCAAAATGACCAGTGATTAGTAATCGTCTTGTAGTAACGTAATTCCCGCCCGACCGGGTCACCTTCCCGACCGGGTCAACCCATCTAAAATCGCGTCTTCCTACCAATCTACCTAACTCAACCACCTACCATGCCACCAAAACGCACTGAATCCTCGCAGAAGTCGGCTCATCAAGAGGGCAAGATCTTATTAGCCCTTGACGATATTCAAAATGGCCGTATCAAATCTCTACGCGCGGCAGCCAAGCTATACGAAATACCCTTCTCTACACTGCAAGCGCGTGCCGATGGTCGAACCTCACACGTTGATAAACGCCCAACTGGTCATAAACTAACCCAATTAGAAGAGGATTCGCTTACTGAATAGATATTCTCTATGGATATACGTAGAGCAGCGCCTAGGCCTGCTACTGTAAGAGAGATGGCTAATATCCTACTGGCTGCATATAGTAACCAACCTCCGCCTACTGTTGGCAAGAATTAGCCATCAAAATTCGTTCAACGTCGCGATAAGCTTCGTACATACTACTCAGTACGATATGATTACCAACGTACATTAAACGAAGACCCAAAAGCCCTACAAGCCTGGTTTACAACTGTACAAAGTATAATTAACGAGAACGGAATGCAAGCAGAGGATATCTATAACTTTAATAAGACAGGCTTTACAATAGGCCTTATATCCTCGCAGAAGGTAGTAACTCAAACAGAATACTACAGTCGGAGATATCTTCTACAGCCAGGAAATCGTAAATAGGTTACTGCTATCAAAGTAATCTGTGCCGATGGTTATTCGCTACCGCCGTATATAATTTTTAAGGGTAAAGTAGCTGTAGCAGATTAGTTTAAAAACCTACCACAAAACTGGCGATTTAAGGTCTCTGATAACGGCTGGACTACCGACATAATTAGCCTACGTTGGCTACAAAAGCTTTTTATCCCATCAACAAATTTGTATATACGCAGCCGATTTTGCCTACTGATTTTTAACGGCCATAGTAGCCATCTTTCGCCCTAATTCAACCAAATTTGTACAGCAAACAATATTATACCTCTTTGTATACCTTCGTATGTATCACATCTACTACAACCACTAGATATTGGCTGCTTTACAGTTATTAAGAGAGTATATAGCCGTTTTGTCAGCGATCTTACACATAGGGGATACAACCATATCGACAAGTACGATTTTTAAGAGAACTATCAACACGCACGGCTAGAGGCTTTCCAAAAGCTAGCTATTATTCAGAGTAGCTTCACAGCTAGTGGCCTAGTACCGGTTGACGCAGAAAGAATACTTTCAAAGCTCAATATCTCTCTACAAACTCTGTCACCACTAAACAGCCGGCCAAGCAGCAGATCAAGCTAATCTACGCCAAAAACGCCTAGAACTGTCGTTCAGCTACAAAAGCAAGTTTCAATGCTTAAGGATCTATTACACCGGCGGTCAAATAGCCCTCCGAGCCCATCAAAAACTATATTTGATCAGATTATCAAGGGCCACTGCGAAGCGCTACACAATACTGCATTGCTTGCGCAGGAGAACGCAAATCTACGTATAACGAACGAGAAGATAGTTAAGAAACGCAATCGGTCAACTAGGCAGATACCCTGCGAAGAGGGATTAACTGTTGAAGAGGGCCTACAGCTACTTACGCAGCTAGATTTGCTAGCAGAAGAAGCTGTAGTAGATTCGCATACGCAGGGCGAACTGCCTACTCATGCAGATAGGCGGGCAACTAGGGCTCCGCCTAGGTGTAGTAGGTGTAGGGAGATTGGCCACAAGATTAATAAATGTAAAAATCGCTATATCTAGTTGAATTAATGGGTGTTGGCTGCGATAATCGATTTTGAACTTCTATAATGGGGTTAGGTGACCCGGTCGGGCGGGAATTACGTTAGTTAGTTAACTAACTAACTATTTAAACTTGAAGATATTCAGATTTATATCAGTTAGATATAGTAAACCTCCTCAGCAGATCGCTTTTTTAACTAGAACGAATGAATGTGGAAGACCTACGTGTGACTATTTCTCATATTGAACACGATTCATAAAGGTTCCAATCTCACTAGTATCAGTCGAAATGTCATCTCCATCCCGGAGCACAACCTTGGGATTTCGGGTGCAACCAATCCCGGCAGGCATTCCGGTTAGAATAATAGTCCCGGCTTCTAAAGTGGTCCCTTGGGAGAGATATGATTTCTGTTTCCTTACGTCGAAGATCATATTGGCGTTCAGCCCGTCCTGTACGGTGGTCTCATTGTAGATCTCTTTGATGGCCAATTTATGGGGGTCAGGAATGATGGCCGGGCAACCAAGACAGGACCTGGTTTCATTCTATTAATATGAATCAGGGTATACTTCGCTACTACGATTTACTCACCGATCGGGCAGCTTCCATCAAGCCCCTTGGGTAAAGCAAACTACTACTGGATGGTTGTTGCAGCACAACACCAATATAGACGGGATATATACTGGCATCTTCGGTTTTAGCGCCTGATCCTTAGCGGTCCGATATCCGGATACTGATTCTGAAAGGTAGTCCAGGAGGGAAATAAGGTCCCGGAAGAGGTATGATTCTAAATGAGTATATCGAAGGATAATAACAAGTGATGTCGAAGAATAGGAAAATATACAAGTGAAGGCAAATATTGAGTAGGCCGTTTCTCAAAGAAGAAACCAGAAAGGCTAACCCTAGACGTGGGCATGCTGCGCCTGTCTCACAATGTGTCGTCGACGCACAACTGGGACAATGGAGCTGGAGCTGGAGCCGCTGCTTGACAAAGGAACAGGAACTAGCGAAGACGGAGGGGAAGGGGGAGGGGGAGGAGCCGTGACAGATGATGGTGGTGGCATGGGGGTTGATGATGAGGAATGAAGAATAGACGACGGAGAAAGGGCAGTTGACGATGGGGGAAGAGGAGTAGAGGAAGGAGAGACAGGAATCGAGGAAGATGGGGCCGTAGGAGTTGACGACGAACGGTGAGGGATAGATGCCGAGACTGGAATTGAAGAATGAGGGTGATCCCAGGATGAGGGACGAGGAATAGTCGGTAGTGGCGATGGGAATGATGACGGGGGCGCAGAGGTCAAGTAACGAGGAGAAGGCTTGGAGTAGCTGGGCACCGAGTACGAAGGAGCACTGGAGAAAGATCCAGTGGGAAGACTGGGTCCAGCGTTGAAGCCAGTGCAGAAGGTGGGAAGTGTATAGACATATGACTGAGAATCATTAGCGAAGAAATATAATTTAATCCCAGGATAACTCACAGCGAGCGTTGCGCTTAGGAAAGGACTTTCGGTATTATCCTTAATGGCGGCTTCTCCGATCAGGGCAGCGCCAACCGAAGGCAAAAGCTTGACAGCTTCATGCTTTCCCTTCTGATCCGGACAAGCATCGGCAGAGTCTAGAATGTATTAGTTGTAGTCCCTTTTTCGCAATTTAATACGGAAACTTACTGGCTGCCAACGAAACAGTTGCACCGCCAAATGGCTGGAGCTTGACGCCAACATCGAAGCCATGATCTGTTACGAGAATTAGCATGGGAAGTACTAAAATAAAGAGCAGGACATTATCTTACCAAGGACCTCCAATGCAAGCTGAATCTTCGCAAACAGATCCAATTCCACAGATCCACTAAGGGCAGCATCGACAGTGAACTCTTTGGGAGTGAAGTGCGGCTCCCAGCCGCTTTGCGAAACATCAGGGTTCAACAGGTCGATCGTCATTGATGCCGAGTCGGAAAGACTAAGAGTGCCTCCAGTCGTAATTCCAGCACTACCCTTGAGTGGTCCAATGGAGTAACCCCACCCGAACTCAAGCTCAGGGCCAAGATCCAGAATTCCACCAGCAATAGAGATTCCATCAATAGGAATTGTTCCCAGAGGGTATGTCTTGCTGATCTTCCCCGGGAGGTTTGCAACAATACCGACACGAGGTTCAAATACAGCCTCAACGCCGTGAGGCGACAGAACAAGCTCGACGTCCTTGGGAATTCCCAACCAGGTGGAGATGTGGAAGCCAAATTCAAATTCTCCCTTGGTACCACAGCCCCAGCAGTCGTAGGACAGCTTGAGATCGCCATCACCCACCTGAACGTGGCTGAGGGGCAGATCATGGTTCACATCGAACGAGTAGGTATCGTCATAGTCGCGCTTGTTTGAGGCCGGGCGGCCTCCAACGAAGAGCTCGTATGAGTGAGAAACCTTCTTCCAGTCACTGGCGTGGCCAATCGCCTTGATTGTGTTGGCAGAGTCGTCAAATTCAACATTGGTAATGACGAATGGTAGACGGTCCTCGTTCCACTCGCAGTGGCCTTGACCAGCGACAAGCACAAATGTTCTGTCATCCTCATCGTTGACCCATTTCCACGCCTTGGCGCCGTAACGATAGGCTTGGTCATCTTCGAAATTCATGGTCAAGCTGTGAGGACTGCATTGGGTGGACTTCAACATGGGGTAGAACTTCTCCAAGGAGATGATGTTCTCGTGTTTTCCGGGGTAGAAGGAGGTGAAGTTTCCAAGGGCATATCGGCTGTTTCCAGTAGATCCTGTTCTGCGCATTAGTCGGTTGTAAATATAGGGGAAGAACTCAACATACCACCCCATAAGAAGGTCTCAGAACTGAGGAGATCCAACATTGAGTAGTCATTGTCTCGAGCTCCCTTTTGGCCTGCATTTCGAGGTAGGTCGAGAGGCTTTAAATTAACAGCTGATCCAAGAGCAGAGAAAAGACCGAAAGCCAGCCATGAAAGGCCTTGAATACCCATATCTGCTCTTATTTTGCCTAGAATGACCAGGGCTAAACAGAATGTTGAGGATGAATAATGAATATTAGCGAGTCTCCGCTGAAGCCTTCTCTTATTGTATCAACAAACTGACACGGGGCGCTGGATATTATTAAGGTTTGACTGGTCGATCCGCCAGAAAAGGCCCGCGAGATCATACCATGCTGAGGCCGTAATGGCACGGGAATCCTTCGACACGAAAAAGTGCCCCGTTTCATCTCTAGCCGGTGGCGATCCCTGCCTACAGTGCCAGTAACGATCTCCTCGTTCCTGCGCATGGCCCCCAAGGGTGGAGCAGTCTACAACCAACGAAACCATGCTGTGCCTGGGTGGCTGAGCTTAAGCTCTGGGACTGCATATTAAATGTTACATGGCGCGTTTCGGGCACTCTCGTAAGAGATACTCGAAGCGTGGTGGGCATCTCGTATTCGAGTGCTTATCCTAATTTAAAGCCGGTAGCAGTTAGGGTTTGCGGCCCGCAGGGCAGGCCATTCTATTATTATCATGCGCAGGAGAAAATAAAATCAATAGAGGCTGGAGATGGCTTGGAAAGATGTAAAGCTTTCTAAGATTGAATTTATAGATCGTCTTAAGTAGGCTGCTTATGGTGGGGTAAGAGAATGTAAACATTTTGGTAATCCACCCTAACCTTTCATTCCACCTCGTGTTCCAAAATATCATACGGGATACCCACTTCAGGAAGTGCAGATCACATTGATAGACCCTCTACATGACTATCATTGTTCACAAAGGTACTTCAAATGATACTAACTTTCAATTGGGATGTGATTGCAACGTTCCGATGTAAATGCTTAGAAAAGTACTCCGTAGACAGTCTTTTTAATATATTTCCGTGTTTCACATAGCGTATCTCCACTCTTATATTGGTTTAGCAGATGAGTATGAGTTTGCCCAATAGTAAGAATTACCTTGTGAAGTACTCAGTACCCGCCTTGTGCAGCCGTCAAAGGCCTCCAACTACAAATGTTGTCGATCTTATCATGGCGGTTGCCTGTCGGCCAAAATCACTTCGTGACATTATATTAAACCATACGACTTTCCTTGTTAACCCACTCCAATGGACTTTGCGTTATCTTGATCTGGTGGGGCGTCGATTAAGGAATTGAATACCCCCGCCAACCACTTGTCAGGTGCAAAGTGAGATTTGGCCATCTCCAGTAGTTCAGATTCTATCACGATGACTTCTTTGCGGACCACAAATGCCCGTGAATATTCACCTCCATTTTTAACGAAGTCTTAAGCACTTTGTCTCTTCTCTAGAGATTTTGATGGCATTAGTGTATCTAGAAAAAAACTCACATCTTTACTCCCACAACTGCGACGTCTACGACGTCTTGGTGGGTAAGAAGATACTGCTCCAGCTCGGCGGGGGCGACTTGCAGGCCTTTCACTGCGATCAGTCCCTAGAGAATAACCATTAGCTTCCTTTCCACCTTATAAAATTATGAATGTTCATGGATTCCACTTTCAATCGATCTACAATGTAGACGCATCATCTCCCACCGATATAACCGATGTCACCAGTTCGAAGCCAACGATACCAGTCCCGCTGCACAATTGTCTCTTCGGTTGCGTTCGTATTCTTGTAATATGACTCGGATTTCATGATGTTGGGACCAGCCACTCAGATCTCTCCAATGGTCACGTTAGGGGGTGCAACGCCACTGAAATCACGATCATCGAGTGGTTCAATTCACGCAGCACAATTGGGATTCAACCAGCCAATAGATCGACCATCGTCTTCATCGTCTGGAGCAGATCCAGTGATCGAGCAGATTCCCTCCGTCATGCTCCACCCCTGTTTGACTCGCACACCGGATTTAAGATATAGATTTTCTATGACCCGTCCTAGGTCAGGCTGAACGGGGCCGATCCTCTTAGTAGTAGTACTGTTAAAATACTATGTGGATATTAAGCTAGTGCTGGCGACGTTAATGTTGGAAGCAGAGTGCTAGTACTCCTTGCACTGCCAACCTTCAAGTTGGCCCCAGGGAACTTGAAGTTCTCGGAGTCCGAGTCATTCTGGAATAAGCAGCTTGCTAGAGTGGCCCAATCTACTAGAATACTATATAATGCTCAAGTTCAACTTCCGAGGTTAAAGTTGTATTTAATCCGGGCTTTAACTACAAGAGGTACTAGTAGATCCGCTAGATCTCCGAGAAAATTTGCAAGTTTCTTTTGAATTGAATTTGGAGTCAATGTATTGACAGAACCGCTAAAAAAACACAAACACGATATCCACATGCAGCAGAGCATTCTCGTATGTCGAGGGACTGGATGTCATTTCCAAGTGCATGTCCAGGGGCGCCAACACCAGGTAGTCACTACATTACAAACGGCAAATGTGCATACAACAATATCAAACATACCCTGGCCTTGGTTCAGGCTTACTTCAGTTGGGTCTTAAGAGACTCGATCTCAGCGGTCAGGCTTTGCATCTGCTGAGCCTGGGCAGCAATCGTCTTGGTCTGTGCTGTGATCAAATTCTTAATCTCCTCGAGTTCCTTGTGCACGGAGCCTGTTGCGACAACTGGTTCGCTGGCTGGGGAGGAGGAGGCGGGGGGTGTGGAGGTCTGTAATGATTAGCAAATGAATGGAGCCACGTAAGATAGTGAAGAACTTACCACGACGCGGGGTTCGGGCTTGGGCTCCGGCTTGGGCTCCGGCTTGGGCTCCGGCTTGGGCTCGGGTTCCTTGGGTCGCAGAGGGCTGCTCACTCGGGGAGGTGTGACCTGGATGACAGGAGAGCGAGGGGTACGCTCGACGGGCTTGGGAACCTCCTCAAAGCTGGAATCATCATCATCGTCGGCGGTGCTGACCTCATCTTCCTTGTCATCGGCGAACTTGTTAACCATGGCGGCCATCGAAGCACCTTGATCCTTCATGGAGGGGCCGGGACGAGCGACGGGGGTGGGCTCGGAAACGGGCTCGCGGGCAGCCGGCAGTGAAGCGGGCTCGCTCTTCTTAGGAGCGGGCTCGGCAGCCTTGGGAGCAGGGGCATCCGTGGCGGTGGTGGGCTTATCCTGAACCCCAGAAACTTCCTTTTCACCCTCGCCGTCGTAGAGGCTGGCCATAGAGATCTTGGGCGGGATCGCCTCCTTGCCCTGAAGCCACTCTCCAGCGCTCATAGCAGGAGTAAGACCGATAGTAGGGGGGTAAATATCGTCCTGGAAGGTCTCGGATTTGCGAGGAACGATGAACGAGATTGGCTGAATATAAGTATCGTCAACGGTCTTGTACGCACGGGTCAACTCAGTGTCATGCATGTTCACACCCCGCTTGGGCATGAATGCAATTCCACGCTGAGGGTCGGAGGACTTGTACTCGTCGAGGGGCTCAAACTTGTCGTTCTCGAGCTCGAAGTAGCGGATGTTGCCATCACCACGGCCAGCCAGGTAAAGGCAGTTGGTGCTGTCGTCCCAGAAGGGCATGTTGACACCTGAGTTCTTGTCCAGAGTGATGAAGCCAGTGATGGGTTCCTGCATGGCGCGAATATCCCACAAGGCCAGTTGGCGGTCACTGAATCTGGAGAAACCGGTGGTTGCGATCTGATCACGCTCGCCGAGCCAAATGGCGCGGCTGTTCTTAGCTCCGACATGACCCTTAGTCTCGGAGACGGCAGTCGCCTGGCGGGGATCCCAAATTTTGAGCTTGTTGTCGTCCTTCTTATCGGCACGAACAGTAGTCACCAGTCGGGCACCGTTCGCACTCCATGATTGCGACTGAACAACGTTGCCCGCGTTGAAGGTGTGCGTCTCTTTTTCGATTCCGATATCCCAGATCTTCACGGTGTCGGACGAGGTCGTTGCCAGCACGTCCTCGGCGGCGGGGTTGAACAGTACGTGGCCGACCTTCCTGCAAGGTTATTAGTGTTGCGCCCTCGCGTCGCATCGCGTAGGATGGTTGTAGATCCTCACTTAGACTGGCTGCTCAGCTTGCTAATAGGCTTCAAGCTTTCTTCAATGCTGTCGAGAGCCTCGGGATCGGGGCGAACGGTGTGATTGTCGGGAACTTTCCAGAGAAGGACCTAAGAAATGATCAGCGCGATCCGACGGGAGGGTTGTTTTCTCGCGCCCAAGAGCTTACCTTTCCGTCATCCGAACCTGAAGCAATAATATCATCATGGAAAGGGTTCCTGGAGTGTCGTTTGTAAGCTTGCGATGTATGCGCCTTCCTTCTCTATTTCCCTTACCAGTCGGTGTCGAGGACGGCGGCAGTGTGGCCACGGAACAAAGGAATGCGCTCTGGGAGTTTGCCGGTTTCGTTGAGGGGGATGACAGCAAAAGCACCACCACCGCTGGCTTGCCAATTGAGCGAGAGGTATTTGGGGTTAACCTATATCGGAGAACCGTTAGATCGACAATGGGGCGAAACGTCAGGGGGCGGTGCGGGTGGCACGAGGGACGGACCTTGATTAGGTTGGTATCCCAGGCATTGTTGGAGATACGGAGGTTATCGTAACATTGGTCCTGGAGGCCGCAATGGGTGTCAGATTTGGTCAAAAGTCATTCCCGACAGGGGGACACAAGGGGGTAGATATAGAGGAGGGATGATAGTACCTTTTTCGTCGGACGCCCGTAGACGTGGCCTTGCCAGAAACGAGCACGGTCAGCGGGATGTTATGAAAAGAAGATGCGGGACACCAAATGATACTCACGATACTTGGAGGCACGTACAAAACGCCCGGACATTTTGAGTACCGACGGTCAGACGGAAAGATATGGAAAAGAAGGGAGCTCGGAGAGGAGGAGGTAGAATGGAGAAGACCCAGCTGTCCACCAGCAACGAGGGAATGCGGGAACTGGGGCGCTTTGGGTGTTTCAGCGGGCCGAGTGGAGTCCGCGCTGCGTCGGCGGCGACTGGAGGGAGAGTGGCGATTGGTCGCAATTGAGTTTGGGCAACGTGACCATGAGGGCAGTCAAAGAAAGAAAGAGTAAAGGCACAGGAATGAGATATGGAATGGGTTGAGAAGAAGAGAATAGTTGACAAAGTCAAAGACAATAATAATCAGCAAGTTGTGTTGTTCAGGCAGTGCCTGCCTCGAGGGTGACCGTGTCACGTGGTCTGCAATTGCCCGGAAATGATAATGATCACGTGATATCTTACATAACACGGCGGGACCCGACGCTAGCCCCAATCGGGGCAAGCCCCGCTGAGTCATCGTTTGTTTACGGCGTCGCTGGGGAAATCAGCCAAACCAGCCAAACCCGCCCCGACCAGCCAAACAGCTTGCATCGCATCGCATTCGCATCTACAATCCCGCTTCCCCTCATTTTCACTCCCCTTAAAGAGATCGTGGCAGGTCGAGAATTCTCTCTTCTCGCCCGGATCATTTACTCCCCGGTGTCCTGGCGATCCCCTTCTACAGCAACCATGGATGATGAGAATCTGGTATGTTGCGCCTGTGCGCCAGTGCCCCCTCACGTCGTCGCATGATTGACACCAGAACCAACATCAACATCAATTTCGGAATAATTACTCACTCTGTCATAGTCTCACCCCCGGGCCTCAACTCGGTCGCGTCTCCCTCAACCTGGTCTGCGCGAAATGACCTCTGCAACAACCAATTCGCGATCCGGCATCCTGCCGCCTGGAAGCATTGCCAACAAAGCCACCAGCGTCTCTCGTATGAACCGAACCGAGATCGAACGCCCTCCTTGCAGAGACGTATCTTGATGACTGACCATGATTGCTAGCAACTCGATCTAAAGCCCCGAACCCTACGGATACCAAGCGCTCCGGATCAACCATGCGACAGCCCACCAGCCCGACCAAGGCCCACGCCCGCGGAAGCTCCTACGCCTCATCGACCATGTCCCGAAGCAATTCAACAGCGACCCGCTCAATCAAGGGTGGCTTCTCATCTACTGTCGGTGCTGGTAGCATGCGACCGGCCTCCTCAATGGCACGACCGGCTTCTTCGATCGGTACCCGCAAACTGAACGGCTCATCGATCTCTCGCCCCGCCACCTCAATGGACACCCGCATGGACGATGCCACAGGAAGCGTCCTGGGAAAAAGAAAGGGTATGCAGTTTTCCTCTTTCCCTCATCGTGTTTTTCCCTTCCCCAATGGATCCCGTGGAGGGCTCAGCTTGAATGGCCCTCGGCGCAAAAACACAACATCATCGACTGCCGAAAGCCAGATCACTAGCTTGACCACCCAATTTGCGTCTGTTTCCTTTGCGGATAGTGGTGTCCCAGATGTTGTGCCATGCCCACTGTTCAAGCAACCCCCAATGGATCATACTCCCTTCACCCCGATGAGACCTGGCAAAGCGTCGCGTATTTTCCCCGCGACGCCATCCCAGCCCCAGCGGACTCCCTTTGTGCACTTTAATAGCAGCACTCGCAAGCAACCCACCCCCCTCTTCCTCACCAAAAATTCTTCTGTTCAGGTTTTTAACAGCCGTATAGATACCCAGTGGGACCACGAGCTCAGAGAAAAGCAAATGAACGACATGTTTGAAACCTTCATGTCACGGATGAACCAGCAAGGCCACAATAGTGCCGGCCTTAAGGAATCGGTCGATTTCTACAAGACCCGAAGTGAGTTGACCCGTCACGCCGGATGTGGCGACTGTTCTAATGACTGCCTTTAGTTGACGAGCTTGAGAAAACTCGCGATGCCATCACAGAAAGCAATACAAACTTGCGAGTGGAGATGGAGGTCTTGAAGACCCAATTAATAACTGCCGAGCACTCATTGAAGGCTGCTCAACGAGACCAGGAGATCGCCATGGACGATCTTGAAATGCGCCAGCGCATTGAGATGGAATCAATTCGACAAGACGGCAAAAAGGACTCAGAAGCGCTGAGCGCCCGTCATCAAATTGAGATGCAAGAACTTCGACGGCAACTGGAGAATGAGATCGAAGATGAGAAGGCAGCACGCGTTCGTGAGCTCGGGAAAATGACTTCGAAAAGCGCCTCCGCGCTGCAAGAATCTGAAATGGAACTCAGAAGCAAACTCCGCGAAATTGACTCGGTCAGCAGCTTGTTGGAGAGCACGAAAGCCGAATTGGACCGCGAGCGAAAGCACACCAACGATCTTCGCCAGAATCTAGACACAGTCAGTAGCAACAGCGTCACTTTGGAGTCTACGATCCGAGCCCTCAAGGCCCGCATTGAGTTCCTAGAGGGCGGCCGAGAGGAACAATCTGAAGCGTTTGAGCGATGCAATCAAGACATGATGGACGCTCTAGCCGAAACCGACGCAGTCAAGGAGAAGCTGCGCAGAGAGGAAACACTTCGTCGAAAGCTTCACAACCAGGTCCAGGAGCTGAAGGGAAACATCCGTGTCTTCTGCCGTGTCCGTCCCTCTTTGAACAGCGAGCCTGCCTCCCAGATCGCTGCTATGCAATACCCCGATGAATCCGAGGACGCCAAGGAGATCAACATCATGGGCCCTGAAGAGAAAAGCAGTCTTGGGACTGTCTCGCGCAAGAATAACAACTTCTCCTTCGATCGCGTCTTTGGCCCCCGCACGCAGAATGGAGAGGTTTTCGACGAAATCAGCCAGCTTGTCCAGAGTGCTCTTGATGGGTACAATGTTTGCATTTTCTGCTATGGTCAAACTGGCAGTGGTAAGACACACACCATGTCTTCTCAGGATGGTATGATCCCTCGCGCTGTTCACCAAATATATGAAACCGCCCAAGGTCTGGAGGAGAAGGGCTGGCGCTATACCATGGCTGGAAACTTCGTGGAGGTGTACAATGAGAACCTGAATGATTTACTCGGCAATCCCGATGAGTTGGACAAGAAGAAGCATGAAATCCGCCACGATATGCAGCGCGGCAAGACAATAATTACGGATATCACCACGGTGCAATTGGATTCACCCGAGATGGTGGAGTCGATTCTCAAAAACGCAGATGCCAATCGTTCTGTGGCAGCGACAAAGGCGAACGAGCGATCCTCGCGATCTCACTCCGTCTTTATTCTCAAACTCATTGGAGAGAACCACATCACCGGCGAGCGCAGTGAGGGTACGCTCAACCTGGTCGATCTCGCTGGTAGCGAGCGCCTGAGCCATAGTGGGGCCACAGGTGAACGTCTCAAGGAGACTCAGAACATCAATCGCAGTCTCAGCTCGTTGGGTGATGTGATTGCTGCTCTTGGCCAAGGCAAGGATGGTGGTCACATCCCATACCGGAACAGCAAGGTAATTTCCCCCAACCATTATGGTCCTATACCTTTATTCATCCCAACATTCTAACACTTCATACAGCTTACCTACCTGCTCCAATTTTCCCTCGGCGGCAACTCGAAAACCCTCATGTTTGTCATGGCCAGCCCGTTGCAGGCACACATGTCGGAGACGTTGACCAGCTTGAAGTTCGCAACGAAGGTGCACAATACTCATATCGGCACAGCAAAGCGACAGGCGCGTGTTCGCGACACTTGAATATTATGATACCTCTCCCCGTTTTGCATATAGTCCGGGTTTCCTTTGTTTCTTTATGTCTTTTCATGGGTGGGGGTCTTTAACGACCCTGTCCCCCACCTTGGCGTTGGCGTTGGGGTTGATTGATAATGATTGTTTTTTTACGGGTCGGAGGTGTGTGTCCCGGGCTTGATGTCGTATTTAGAGCAATGCACAGTACGATGTTTCTGATACTTTTAAGTTTCGCAAATATTTCCATCCTATACTACAAGTCTCTCCATCCCCAAAAATCGAAAAGCAGGAGATGATGGAAAGTAAATCATAAAAGCCAGGAAATCCATTTCCCACTCGTCGATAATAACAGCTTTGGAACGACAACTTGGGTTATAACAACGCAGATGTAATGACGCAGCCTATCAACAGGTGTTGACAGAGATGACCTGTTGGTGTTTTTTCTTGGACATTCTGTCTTATCTATTTTGACACTACTATCGTATTGTCAAGCGCATTCTGACACCTCCTGTCGTACCCACATTATAAATTCCGTCCATGATCAAGGTCATCTTTGGAATACTATTTCTCAACAGCTCATCCAATCTTTGTTCAACATCCCTTGAGTTCTCTCCCGTGAGCGGGACAGCATCTATGCGGTGTTGTTGGAGCAATTTTAGCATGACGGCAACGAACTCAACCTGGCCCATCTTCTGTCCTGGACAGATACGAGGGCCTTGACCCCAGGGAAGAAAGCACCCCTTTGGTGGTTGATATATGGGACGTGGAGACCCGACAGGGTTTATCCAGCGAGAAGGCCGGAAAATGGTCTCATCGGGAATTCCTTCATCATTTGCATTGACCCATGATGGATCGGAACCGCGGTTGATATCGGGCCAAACTTCAGGATCAAGATGTAGTGCAATATGATTGATAATCACAGACGAGTTGGCCGGAAGGGCAATTATGCCCTTACTTGTCTTTATCTGTTGAGTTGTCTCGTTCGTTCTGAGAACATGAACGACAGGTGTGTACAGACGCAACGTCTCTAGCATGACTGACATAAGTCGTGATGCCTGCGGAAAGACAGCAGAATACTCTGGAGTCTCCGACGCGTCTGGGGAAAGCAGGGCATCAACCTCTTCAAAAAGCCACTCTTGCCATCTAGGATACCTAGCAAGCAAAACTATGGCATATGAGAGAGTATTTGCTGTCGTCTCAAAACCAGCTGCTGTAAAAAGAAAGAGGTTGCCGTTTAACTCATCCCTGCTGAGAGATGTTAACTCGCTCGATTGTTCATCTGACGCTTGCAGGAGATGGCTCATAATGTTGCTTTTTTCTGATGCTGCATCCTTGCCTGACATACGTTGGCGTTCTTGGTTAAGCAGGATCTCAGTGTGCATCGGAAACTCGCGCTTTGCAATTCCCAGTTGTTTCATAAATCCATGTCCTGGTAGCCAGAATGGCCAGTTCAAAAGTACACCTGTTGGGATAACTATCGGACCAGTAACAGATTCCATGACAATCTTGCAAGCTTCGATATATGTCATTTTGAATCCCGATTCGGACTTGTTGTCCGAGTCATCTTTTTCCTTCCATGGTGTCTTTGCACCCATGCCAGCTTCACTGAGAACATGAATTGTAATCCGCTTGATCATATCAAACATTTTTATCGTTTCAATAGAGCGCCTTTCGACTTCGCTTTCAGTAGAAGAAAGCTCATCTAACATCCCCGTGGTCTGACATATCGCTGAATCAAAGATAGTCTTGGAGATACGTTCGTTGATCACACTGGCCACAACTTTACGCTGCTTCGCCCATATTTGCCCATTTGTCGTAAGAACATTATGGCCAAATTGCCCTAACAGAACCCCAACCAGTGGCGGCATCTTAAAATCATCTGTTCGTCGCAGGACATCTGTGGCGACGATCGGATCGGCGGTCCAGAGCTCCAACGGTCCACAACTGGCGACCAAAAATGACTTTGGGTTGCCTTGAGGGGCTGCATATTCATCGAACGGGCGGCGCTTCTCATAAAAATCCCAGCCATAAATCGTCAGCGTAAGACGATTCCATATCCGTGTTGGGAGAATGCTCCTCAGCCACGGTCGTAAAGGGACGGTCGTCAATAGCCAGATTATGTTACTTGGATCAATCGGGTATATCAAGAAAGGCAACCCGGTGGCCTTTGCGGCGCTGACATTGCGAGCTAGCCGCCAGGCGTAGTTCGTGATGAAAAATAGCACCAACGCGCTGACGATTGCGAAGCTGAATTCCATTTTCTCACTTGTCCAAGTACAAATCTCAGGTCAGCGTGCCATCATAAATGGCGCATAAAAAGAGTCCACATGCACTCTAGGGTTCTTTTAAACGAATAATAGGAATTGTAGCCGATGCGTAATCATCAGCAGAATAAAAGGAATCCCAGAGTATATCGGTGTTACATACAAGTATTACTAGTAAATTTTATGGCCCCACTCTTCCTATGTCTTCGAATTTACATACTCAGAACTGTAAGTACCGTACGCTTGTGGATATATACCCTCTGATTGGAAGAAACTTGATAGATGGGGAACGGGCCGAAGCCTGTAAGTAAACTACTTAACATGGGATAGTTACAGGATCTATACCCAGACCCAAGTTCGGTAAAAACATATACCCAAATCTAAGAAAGAGCAGAAAATACAGTAAAATACAGTATGTATAGCTTATGCTATGATCAGTGCTATCAGCCTTGGAAGATATAAAACACTAGTCAGCCTCAGATCAAGGGATTCCGCGGGTAAGCGTACCCAAGTGGGCTACCAGCAGGCACTACGACCTGGGTACTCCGTACAAATGGCCAGGCCGACAATATACATGTGAAATTGAACCTGATTTCCGTAAATCCTTCATGCAGGTCAGATCTGAGGTGGCATGGCCCACAGCTTAATGCGGCTAGTGGGGCCGCGAACCTAGTGTTTATCTCCGATGTAACCAACAATCAGGGGCCAAAACCTACATGAATTGCGGGCCAATGACTGATATTGTATTGTGACGGGTTAGGCTCCAGGCTGTCTGCTTACTAGAGTAGAAATACGACAAAACATTGATTGCCTTGAGACATTTTTTGTCGCCAAGTATGGAGCACTCTATCGACCATACTGAGATTTCTGCAAGCATGTGATGCAGAAGTCTTTGGAAAAAGCTAGTAAACCCGATTTCTGGGTGTTTTTTGTTTTCTTTTTGAGATTACCGAAACTTCGTTTGTAAAGGTTTTGCCATTCCTCAATCTATATTTTTTGACTCCCGAAGCCCCGGCTGTGATACATGACGAGCTCAACCAGACATTCATTATAAATACTGCAAATTTTTACCAGCCTGGTTTCACATTATCAAATAATAGCTGTATACCTTGAATTCCATCTCGACGCTTTAGAACAACAGTAGGGTCGCGGCTTAGAGCCGGCAACCCCAACATAGTATCTTTTCGCGCGGGTACTACTCCCCATCCAAGAGGCTCCCCAGGCGTGGGCGTAAACTCAAAGGCTAGGATAGATTTCGCCAAAAGGCCAACGGTCAAGTTAAGAGCAAGGTATCGCCCGGGACACTGGTGCATACCGGGCAGACCAAAGACGTTGAGATGCTTGACCAGCTCTTGGTTGATCTCCCCGTCCTTCTGAAGAAATCGGCTGGGTCGGAATAATTCCACGTCTTCACCCCAAATATCCCTATCAAAGTTATGCAGATGGATTGGAGTCATGAGAATCGATCCCTTCTCAAGTTGATATTTATTGTCAAAAAGACTGCTCTCGTGCACCCCACGCGCGACCGGAGCATCTCCGTACGTGCGCAGAAGCTCGTACCAGGTTGCCACTAGAAGTGGACAGGAGCGCCGGAGATGGTCAACTTCGATGCTCATGTTTGAGGACGAATCATCAACAACAGTTTTAATCTCAGTGAGAAGGGACGTCAAAAGCTCCGGATTGGCCAGGACTTCACACATTGCCCATATCATGATGTTAATGACATTTGACATCAGCCCGACGATAGCTGTCAGATGACAGTCAGTAAATCCCTCGCGAGGAATCTCAAGGGACTCATAGAGAGAAGCGAGCTGCGCAAAGAGCGTTACCCCCTGCTTCTCTTGCTTTCCGTAACTCTTATTTTCGGTACTTTGGCTAATCTTGTCACGAACAGATTTTCGTGCTGAACGAATCTCAGACGGGACCAGCCATGGTATCGGGTTGCGCAGACTCTCTAGATTTTGAATAAAGATCCTGTGGGTAGAAAGGTACTCAGCTGTTTGAAACCGATTCTAGAATTTTCACGAGCAAATTGTGCGTACCTCAGATTATCACGGAATTCTTTCTCTTCGAATGGCCCTTCTTCGCCCCAAAATACACCGCCCATCGAGCGAGAAAGGAAATCAAAGATCCAAGATCCCAGGCTAACATCTGTTGTTGACCCATGTTTTGGAGCCGTCTCATCCCAATATCTATCAATTGTCGCATCCATTTGGCCTGCATATTTTCGAAGGTTGTCCAGTTTCCTGAGCTCACCGTTGAACAACTTTGACAAACCTCGCTTGAAGTCACCAGTATCCGGATCAGTGAGGACTTTCTCACTTGCAGGTAAGAGACCCATTGAAGGGCCGACAGCGACACGGAAAACAGTCATTAAGCTCAGGTGAGGCATACTCGTGAATTGTTTCATGCTAGCCGAATCTAGCGGGTGAACCAAATGCATGTCCATTCCGGGGAGTTTAAGAGTTTTGATTGGCGAGTTTTGGGTCGAACTGTGAAGTTTTCGTGTGAATAGCGGACACATTTAACAGAGGAAAATATCAGTACATACCATAGTGACGAAAGGTAGGGGTTTGAACCTTTGGTTGCAATTCCATAAATATGGCCTGCGAAGGGGATCCATGAGGGGAAGATAGGTGGGGGTGAGCAAGAAGCCTCTTTCGTCTTTGACGTTGGTCTGTGACTAATTGCAGCATAAACAAGCCATGCAAATAGCAAAGCCAAGACAAGAGTTTGAAGCGACATGCTCGTATAATTGTTGTGAGGATGACTTGATGTTTGCTGTTTTTACAACCCTTCGTCGGCCGCAAAGTGCTTAGCTGGCATGAACAAAAATATTGATAATCTGTCAAGGTAATACTACAAGTCGAACTTGAACGCCCTAGGCTTTTTCTGTCTGCCCGGGGACCAGCGGGCTGTGTTGATTCCATGAGTCTGGCGGAGCCGCCGGGGCAGTAATCACACGTAGTCCAGCGGCCGCCGAATGGATGCCCAACCCGTATTACCGTACAGAACAGATTGATACCATACAGCCATGGCCCCGTTTTCTAGCGAAGAGCATGCTAATTGGCCTACATAGTACATTCGTGGCTTTTAACCAAAGTCACCGGCTGACTACGAGTATGGTTGTAGACTTCATGTCTTGCAGGGCTAAACCTCATGCATGAGACATTTCTGCTTTGAAGGCCCCTCCAGGGTATCGGAGTAACTCCTTAGTGTGCTCTTTAGCCGAAAACAGACACCATAAAATGCGTAAGATATTGCGGCATGCTGCGTACCCAGGAATGATCTCTGATATATAGCCTGTTATACTTCCTTTGACCCGAACTAGACTTGTTTATTAGTCTGTATTTGGGGGACCCATGCACTAAGCCGCAGTAGAAACGCACTGGATTTTATATACAGTCGTATGGAAGAGCGAGTTGTTCATGCACCTTTGTGTATCATCCGACGGCTTATCATGCTTCAAATACAAGAATCTAGATTCTTACTGCCCCATAGCATTATTTTTGGTCATTTATATGTGGCCCGCATGTGGTAGCCCCGACAATGCCCCTCTCGTCACGCCTTGGATGGGATTACCAGAAATATGGTATTGGCGACGAGGTTCGTAACATTGTCATGGAGGAATTCCTGAAGGATTGAAACTTAAATATGTGTCTCTTTTCCCATGCCCTTGGACTGCCTACTTTTTACAATCTCTCACGAGCACCATGGCACTTCAACTACTTTGCCTATCAGTGCTGACAGCTGCGGCATTTTTGGGATTATGGCGCATAGTATACAATGTATTCTTTCACCCACTACGGAAATTCCCCGGACCATGGATGGCCGGCGCTACATCAGGTTGGAAAGCATACAAGGAAGTTATCAAGCAAGAGACGCTGGCTCTAGAGCTCTTTGATCTGCACGAGAAATACGGTGAGACAAACTGGGAAAGCAATCAAAAGATGGTCTTCTTTATTAATAAAAATACCTTCAGGTGAAATTGTTCGGATCGGACCAAATGAAGTAGGATATCACTGAGTCTTTTTTTTTGCTTTCCCTTTCTATCTATCATAGTATCCTCGTATCACTAACGTGAGTTATCTGCCTTTAGCTCCATTTCGGAAATCCATCCGCGTTTCATGATATCTATAACAGCAGCAAGAGATGGGACAAAGACCCCGGCCTCTACCGAACCCCCGGTGTCACGACTGGGTCTTTCGTGTTCCTGAAATATGCCCAGGCCAAGGAGCGCCGTGAGGTTCTTCTTCCCATTTTTTCCAAAAAGGCAATTACGAACCTGGAGCATCTTGTCTGGCGAAATGTAAGTTGGCTATTGCATTCCGTCTAGCAAAAAGTTTTCTACTTCGTAACTGACATTCACTTCAAAACACAGGCAACCCGCCTCGCCTCCTCAATTACCAAAACCAACGCAACCAAAAGCTCTATCGATCTCCTTTATGCCTTCCGGTCCTACACCCTCGATACTATCATGTGCTTCACCTTTGGAAACTCTGTGAATGCGACCGATGCACCGGGATTCAGCGACCCTCTGATCTTAGCGATGGACGCAAGTCTGAAGCTGCTGCCATTTTTGAAGAACTTCCCCTTGATTCGCGATCTGGTTTTTGCCATTCCTCCGTCTCTAGTCATGAAACTCGTTCCTGATGCTAAACGGCTGGCTCCGCGTCTCTATCAAGTCCGCGATCTCATTCAGCAACAGCTGCAGGTTGTTCTGAATTGCCCCTCGAAGCTCGACGAAGTGCCCCATCAAACTCTATTCCACCGTATGCTCGATCCCCAGGCATACCGAAAAAAGGAGGTCCCAGACCTGACAGCCCTGCACGACGAGGGTTTCACACTTATCTTCGCGGGTGCGAATACGGTGGCAGACACACTGCTAATGGGTCACTGGCATGCGATGCAGGATCCCCTCCTGCTAAAAATGCTCAGAAGTGAACTTCTGACTGTTTGGCCAGACATCGAGAAGCAGCCCTTGCTAGCTGATCTCGAAAGCTTGCCACTGCTCACAGCGACTATTAAAGAATCTCTTCGCTTTATCCCGTCCGGTGTGTCACTAACCCGTGTCGTGCCTGAGACTGGCGCCGTCATATCGGGCCAGCAAATTCCGGGAGGAGCCACGGTCGGCATGGCGATCTTGCACGTACACCAGTCTGCTGAAGTCTGGGGTAAGGATGCTCTGGATTTCCGGCCTGCGAGGTGGCTAGAGAGCAAGGAGCAAGTAGAGAGTGAAGATGGAAAGACGAGGCCCAAATCTCATAAAAAGAGTGACTTGGATCACTGGCTTGTGCCATTCAGTCGAGGTCCTCGCATGTGCTTCGGGATGAACCTTGCTTGGGCAGAGATGTATATCGCTTTTGCGACTATGATTCGAAACTTTGATATGGTTATTGACGGAACGACGCCTGAGGATATGGTGTGGCGAGAGTGCATTGCAGCCTATTATCCTAACAGACACTTGCATGCATGGTGCCGTCCCACTCAGGCTTAGGGAGGGGGTAGAAGATTATAGAGGTGGGTTTAGAGGAGTGGCACCTATAGAAACTTGAATGAAACAAATACTGGCACCACTAGATTCATTATCGTGAAAGTAAATTAGTAAAACTTCTGAAACTATCTGAGAATTGCAATTAAAGTATTAAAAAAGAGTTCTATCAATCCTTCACCTAATAATATTGCAAAGAATATCGCTTTTGTGATGAGAAGCAAAATGCATTGGGTATCAGAAACCCAAGGATCTTAAAACAGCAGCCTCATAATTCAGGAAGCGTCAACAGAAAAAGAGCCTGACAGGTGTCAGGAACGAAAGTAGAGTTCGAATGGGCTCCAAAGTAGGAGCCCATTTCGTACAAGGAGCAAAGAATTAGCCACATTGACCATTTTCGCACGGTTAACGCGCTGTCTAGATAACATACTGCAAGCCTGTCAGCAATAAGTCTTGTCTTGGACATCATTTGAAAACTTACTGGGATGAACAGATAGGGAACCTCCTTCTCATAGCGCTTCCAGGCCTCTCCGTATTTGCGACGGCATCGGTTGATATCCCGGTTGGTACGGTGGATGATCATGGCCATGAAGAAAACGAAATAGAACCAAGGGAATGGACTCCTATAAGTTATGTGTTAATGACTGCAGTTCATAGCTTTTGCGAAAGGAATTGCTTACTTGAATCCAGTAATGAGACCCCAGGACATAGAGAAGAACATGTCAGGTACATAATTGGGCTTCCGGATAATAGCAAACCAGCCATCGACCATGATGTGATCGCCAGCATCGGTTTTAATTGTCTTGGGGTTCTTGATAGCTTGCCAAGGCACCTGGGGGAAAGTGTTACGTTTGATAAGCTGACCCTTCTCCTCATGACGAAATGCGTTCTTTTGGCCATTGGCACTGTCCCACATCCAGTAAAAGAAGATGTACAGAACGGCGAACACTGTCAGTGCGAATCTGTTCCAGCGATACTCAGATGGATCATGGTTGGCTAAGTAAAGCGCACAATGACAATAGGAGAATGGCACACCGGCCATATTCCAAAAGGTGAGCAAGAATCCGAGCTTCTCATAGTACATGTCCCTGTTTGAATATTAGTTTGGCCACTTTTTCAAAGAATATATTCATTCATCTTAGATTGACTTACCAACTTGTGATGATCATTTGCTCTGCCTTGGCACAAGCATTGGTATACAAGTAATGGGCTCCAGCGAGGAAAATGACCTCAGCAGAAACGTAGCCATAGGTTTCGTACTGACGAGCTGCCACGGACAAGGTGATAAGGAAGAGAATAAACCAGGGAATTCTGACTTCGTAAAACATCTTGAAGTCCAAGATACCGATGCGTGGGTTCAACTCGGCGCCCATGAAGAAATCGTAGATGGGCGAGCCCGACATTCTGTGGGTCCGTCCGCGCACGATAGCCTGGAAGTAGACGATGAAGCTGTTCAGGAAGCCAGACAGGATAGAGACAGTCATGATAGATCCGAATTCGTCGATCAGCGTGTACAGAGGAAACACGCCGGTGAAATGCAAGGTAGCAACGATTGCAAGTGTCGCATAGAAACTGCAGTAGGCAGAGCAGTAGTAGGGAAGCCTCTTTCCGTTTTCATGAAGCAGGGGACGGCCATAATTGGAAACGCCGGGCATGTAGCAGTACATCAAAGACTCCATGATGAAAAAGACCCAGTAGATTACCCATGCCTTGGTGGTGGGATAGGCACCCTCATAGACCAATTGACAGAGGTGGCGGCCAAAATCGGACCAAGACTGGTCGACCTCAGGCAGAGGAAGCTTGCCATCGTAATAGGTTGCGCCAATCCACATGTACCACATGATGATGGGAAAACCAGTCATCAGCAGTAATACGCCAATTGAGCCACCAAACTCGAACTCGTCGGACGCGCCATCTCTGAACTTTGGGGCAGGCTTGGATTTGTTCTCCTTGACACCGTTGGCGGGTGGAGCCGCAGTAGCGGTAGCTCTCTGTGACACGGCCATTGCTAGCAATTGGGATAAAAAGGAAACTTGGATCACAGAATGATCGGAGAAATTCGATTGTTTTCAATCGCGCAAGCTCAGGGGGCCCGTCATGTGACCACGTATGCAGGGTTGTCCAGAAAGGAAAAAGAAAAGAAAAAGAAAACAACTATTACGGAGGGGTTCGATTTTTGGGTAATCTATCTTGGCAGTAAGAACGCCTGAAACAAGATACTTCCGAGCAATTGTAACCACCAGCTCAACCACCCAATTGGAGCAGCCAAAAAGTAACCCACCACAATGCGGCTGCGGGATATTTTACACTAGTCTCACCACGATGTTAGGTAGTGGCTACTAGTAGAGTATGTATTCCATTCGGTATTTGGCCCCCAGTTCCACTACTTGCAACGGTGGCATGTAATCTGAAAACCGACCAGTTACATAAGTTACTAAGATACTTTGGTCTTATGCGGAACTTGTTTCTTTGTCTTTTAATGAGGCGGCGTCTTGGAATGTGACGATGCCGGGTAAATGACGGGGGCTCAGCCACGATCTTCGAATATATCTTTGATTCCTTGCGCCCAAGCTTCCAGAGTTGTGGCTGGTCTCCCCAGGTATAGCTTCACATTTTCGACACCACTCGCATAATGAGCACGTTCCGCATCCGCGTTGTCGGAGTTATCGAGTTTGTCGACCATATACAGCGCAACAGGCTTTGGCACGCCAGATGCCATAAATTGCCCGATCGCCTCGTCCGCGGTGACAGGTAAAAACTTGATCTCCTTGCCCACAATCTTCGCAATGATCTCCACTCCTTCCTTTTGAGGGCGGATCTGTGGTCCATAGATATAAACCTTTCGCTGGTTGTTCTTAGGCCCTTGCACCAAGACTGTCCCACTGACTTGACCCATATCGACGGGAGTGACAAAATCCATTCTGAACATTGGACCAAACATCTTCAGCTCGCCGGAAACAATGCCATCCTTGAAGCGCAACAGATTAGTCGCGAAGCCACCGGGGCGGATTGCAACATAGTGATCAGCGCCAAAGATCTCATCCAGGTTAATCTCAATTTGAGCATGGATGAAAGGAATCATATCATCGGGCTTTACGTCACGCGGGTCCCCGGCAATAGTGTAGCTGCTGAGAAACACAACGAATTCGATGCCAGCAGATTTGAGCGCAGTCAACGTGGATCGCATGTGGTCGGGCATGCCGTTGGCTCGGTAGATGAAAGCACGCTTGGCTCCAGACAACTGCACGGCCGCAGTGACGGTGTCAGGCTGGGTTAGATCAGCCTGGACTCTTTCAAATTCTCCTGCCTTTTCAGCTTCTGGGGTCAACCCTGGAATTGCTTTTGTGGTATCTCTCATTGCGAGGAACACCTTAGCCCCAAGCTGTTGGGCGGTGCGGGCCACAAAAGACCCAACACTACCGGTCGGACCGAACACAATGACGGAGGACATATTGGAGATTGAATATCAAAGAAGAGGAGGAGAATCGGTGGAGTGCCAGTCTGTTAGTGGTCGGACGCGGGTGCTTGGATTTATACTGTTGCTCTTAACACCGCTTATCTCCGCCTCGGTCTAGTAGGTAGCGGAGGGCCCGAACTTTCGAGATCAACAACAAACACTGGACCCGGGCGATGAAGTCAAATTTATTGACTATACGGGGCTTACGCGAGATTACTGAATCTGGCGAAGAAATGGAAGTCCCCATGCATACGCCTATTCGAAGTACTGCTACATGATTAGGTACTGGGCGATCACGGGGGTGATGTGATCATGACATACCCATCTTCACTTCCCCCGCACAGCCCGGATTTTCCACTCTTTTCACATCCATCATGAAAGCTTAAGTCATGGCTGCACAGCAAAGTCAAAGCACTGACTTACAGAAACGATCCGTGGTCTCTTCCTTCATCTTCACTGGCACCGATGATAGCCTGCGGGTGGCGTTATTCCGACGCAGCCAACAAACTAGAACATACCAGTCAGTTCACAGCCCAGAAGAAGTTTTCTCAGCTAACCAGACCTACGTGGTAAAGAGGCCGTCTGGCCCCAATATCGGGAACGATCGAGAATAGCGAATCACCAGTCCGCGCTGCATGGAGAGAACTCGAGGAGGAAACACGCCTAACGGCCCGCGAAGTGACATTGTGGCGACAAGGCAACCCGTTCACCTTCGATGATATCTCAGCGGGACGACGATGGACAATTCACCCCTTTGCATTTCAACTGCGGCTCAAGGCACAAGACAAAATCCAAATAGACTGGGAGCATGACGGGTGGGACTGGTACGATCCGAACAAAGTCACTGATGATGAGACATTCAATGGTGTTCCCCGTCTAGTTGAGAGTCTAAGACGAGTTTGGTTCGAAATGGAGATGAACTCAGCAGCAAGTGAAGCCCTCCGCTCGGGTCTGTATCAATTGAAAACAGACCACCAAAGCGGATCCCACGAGTTGACTTCCATTGCTGTGACGGCTCTTCGGGATGTCCTTGTACATCTTCGAGGCGATAGGAATTGGTGGGCTACCACATGCACAGCAGCATGGCATCTATGGAAGAACGGGCGAGAAAGTATGGGCTCGGCAACACTCAATGCATTTCTCAGTATTCTTGCCGATATCGAAACTATTCTCCCTCTGACGCTGGAAAATGAGTCCTCATGGGACCGTATCCTGGCAATGGTTGATCACCACTTGGAGGCGCGCCGGGAGATCCCAACACGAATTAAGGAGACCTTTGTCAAGTATCTCCAGGACAGCTTTCCCTCAGCTGCAGAACACGGGTCCAAGGACACCCTCACCATCCTCACGTTATCTGCCAGTTCCACAATTCGGGAAAGCATCATTGATGCCTTTTCGTCTCTTTCGATATCAACTCTGGACCTACGTATCCTAGAGTCTCGACCCCTATTCGAAGGGGCTGCTATGGCTTCAACGCTGCTATCTTCGTTTCAATCAAAGCACCTAGCCGCATCCGGTCGGCATCTAAAGTTGACGATCTACACCGACGCATCAGCAGCTATAGCTGCATCCGATGCCGACTTTGTGCTTCTTGGAGCTGATAGCATATCGTCGTCTGGCTGGGTCAGTAACAAGACTGGCTCTTTACCCGCTGTTCTAAGTGCGAAGCATATAAGCCCCGGCGTGAAAGTACTCATATTAAGCGCAGTGGACAAAGTCGCTCTGCCAGTCGAGTTGGAGCATGAGGGTGAACAAGAATATAATGATCCCGTGGAAGTTACGACGCCTTGGGCTGGCAGCGGCGTGAGAGGCATCGATTTACTTTACGAAGGGATTCAAGGATCCCCTCCCAAGACAGCGAATTGCCGTGTTATGGTCAATAACATATATTTTGAATGGGTTCCTGCTGGTCTGATAGATGGATATTTGTGTGAGCATGGCTTCTATTTTGTGGCTGACATTCGGAAGAAGGCAGACGAGGTGAAGAAGAATGCTGATAGGTATTTCGGGCTTGTTGTAAGCGATTGAATCAGATGCAGGCCGGACTAACTACAATCTGAATTACGGAATCCGGTTACTTTTCCCGATTTTAATTTAGTTTCACAACCCTGCTAGTAGAACCGATGGGTTCGTATCGATATATTGGAATAATACGATGTAGATTTGACTGTAACACATGTACAAACAAGAGGTCATATAAACAGAAAGCACTATGAAACACGAAATAAAATAGGAATCACCAACAAGTTCCTTATAACAGCTCCCACATATCATCACAAACTGCAATTATGCAACTGGCTACTAGGTCGGGCTAGTAACCTTTGGTTGACCACATGAGATCCTGTAGTAGCCACGCTGATACAACCATCTATTCCACCCAGTTGGAAAAAGTAGCCTGGCAGGCCTGCTCTGCACGCAGGCCCGAGCTAATGTCACTGCATATATTCCAGCCCTGCCCGGTCTGGTACTCGCTGCCGGCGTAGTTGAATTTGAAGAAAGGGTCCGCGACATCCCAGTTGATGTTGGTAACAGTGAGTTTATCCGACAGCCACTCTTCTTCGATAACATAAGGAATGCCGCAGTCGTTGCCTTCTTCGTCAGGGGAGTAGACGCCAGCACGCTTGCAGACATCGTCATAAATAATAAAGGCCTTGGAGCCAGAAATTCCAGCAAATGGATTGCTACCGTCGAAAGTAGGGACGCTGACCTGGCTGATTTGCATCGCAAAGGTCCATTTATTGGGACCTTCGGCAAGGCACAGCTCAGAGCGGTCTTCGCTAGTTTTCTCGTCGTCTTTAATTTTGTTGTTAAGCTTGCAGTCCGCGTTCACGACAGCAGGAATTGCAAAGAGGGCGAAGCCCGCAAGGATCTGAATAGATGATTTCATTTTTGAACTTTGAGTGTTAAGTCACTGAAGTTGAGTATGAGGATAAGAGTGAAGACGAAGATCCAAATCAGCACGAGAAGAGGGTCATTAATGGCCTTTATATACACTTTCTGGTCCCTACAGTTCGAAATTCACGGTAGTTTTTGGACAGAACTTGCGCCACCCTCTCCCGAATATCTCGTAGGACTTGTCTTACGACAGGGGTAAGAACCCAATGAGCCCAATTCTCCAATACCACGCAATGAATTGACCCGCTTCAAATCTTTCGCCCCCAACATTGACCTGAGAGCCTGGCTCTTCACACCTTTGGCCCCAAATAGAATCACCCTACTAATATTAAACTACCAAGTGCTTGGCTAGTTCCAAGCCTAGGTCAAAGCTCTACCAAAAAGCTATTAAACCCTTAGAGATCTCTATAAATAAACCAAATCTTCACTTGAAACAGTAAAATCATAGCCTTCCGCAAAATAAAATCAAGACATACCGGTATCTAGTATGCAACTTGAATGCTGGAAATCAGCCCTGGCGGCTCTGCTGATGTTCCCGGATCCCCATTCTCAATATAAATCATTCTGGCCAATCATTGATGCTACCATCTTTCAGCCCCCTTTTTTCATAGCGGCCTTTACTATTTCAGGGCTAGTGCTTAGGCTTGGCTTGTCCCCAGCTGCCATGACCAGTCTGCAGAGACTTGTCGGGTCCATCCGCTAGGAGAAATATGCAGGATGTCTTACTTCTGGCAGGAGTGAATGGCCTTTCTCATGCCATATTCCGTTAGAATGAAATGGCACCTGGACCCTGCATCTCATCTGAGCGCCCACTCAGCCCCTTCTATGAGCTAAAGTGGCGAAGGCAGGCTTGTCTGGCAGGTTACTGCTTATCCTAATACTCAGCCGCCAAGACGTGGCAGTCTGGCTTTCTTGTCGTTAAGAGTGCAAGATGGGAGGCCTTATGCTTCAAGTTTCTCTGTGGCCCCAAACCCCAAACGTCATTTCAGATAAATTGCCTCATGCCAGGTCATGGGGATTGTGCAGTCTTGTGAAAAAAAAAGGTAATCATTGCAACGCTAATCTGATGATATTGCAAAAGTAGTCGAAGGGCAATTCATCTCTTGCCTATGCATCCGCGTGAACAGAAACACTTTTAACAACCATATCAGGAACAATCAATTTTTCCTGGATGGAAATCCCATTAAGATAATCATTAGTATCAACCCTCCGATACCCATCTTCCATCGTTTTCTCAATACCCGCCTGAACATGTCTCTTTGCCGTCCGATCCCGCGCCTCTAGAAGATCCGTTTCGACGAAGATGCGGTAATCGCAGAGCGTCGCGAGGTCTCGCCAGCCCGGTTCGTCAAGGAGAAGATAATTCCCCTCGACGACGATGATCGATGTATCGGGCGTGATGGAGATGCCTTCTTCAACGGGATCTTTCGCTTCGTGGTCGAATGTTGGTGCGCTGAGGACGTGGTCTGATGGCCATTTTCCTTCCTTTGGTAGGGGTGTGTTGTCGGCCCATTGGCGTATTTGGTGCATGAACGTCACAAATCGGGAGACGTTGAAGGTCCAGGGAGCGCCGCGTCGGATATGTGCTTCTTTGGGGTTTGGGAGATCATCGAGCTCGCGGCGGGAGAGATGGAAGCCGTCCATAGAGAGTAGAGCGGCTTCCACATTTGGTTCATTATTTAGATGATTTACCACAGCTGCCGCGGTGGTTGTTTTGCCTGAGCCGGGGATTCCCGCGATGGCTACGATGTAGCGTGGTTTGAGGGAAATATTGGCTTGGTCGCGGATGGTTTCCGCAAGGCGGTGGTATTCGGTGTCCATCTTTGAACTGTTAGCATTTGTGATCAGGCCTTGAAGGAAAGAGGAGTTTGGGACGCACGTTGGATTCAAGTTGAATTTCAACTTGAACTTGAAGGCTGCCAGTGGAGAATGTGTTTGGTGGTGTGCAGTAGTACTAGTATCTATAGTATAGAGTACTACCTATACTTGTAGATTTCTAAGGTTGAAGGTATTGTTACGGCGCCGCCCGGCAACACTTCTTCAACGGATCATAATGGACTGTTAGGTGAATCTTTTCTACAATTTCAATAGTGCTCGATAGGTCTTCAATCTTTCTGGGGCATGGAATTGCTATGTAGAAGCTGGTGGAGTTGTCCCCGGGCGACTGTGCTCCACGGACGAGTGTCCTCCGACTGGGATGCCATCGGCGTTGATCCGAGTCGGCAGCCCGAGATACCCTACAATGGACTACAGAGTTGCAGATGCCGATCTTATCGAACAGGGCGGGGTGGAGGGGAAGAGAGGAGGGTTTGCTCTCGCCGTTGTTGGTCTCTGAGGCCGAAGGTGGAGGTCTTGGTGGCCCCGCCATTTTACCCCAAGTTGGAGGAGTCGGACTCTTATTGGAGAGGAGGGAGGGGTCTGGGAACCCGATTTCCCCGCCATTTGGCGGAGAGGGAAGGGAGATTATTATAGATTGCTAACTCTGCTCGTGAAGTATTCCTCCAAGGGCATTCCGAGTCGGCTCGGTCTCGCGAGCTTCGAGAATGTTCGCGCCCGCCAGAGAGTAGCAAAGCATGCAGATATGGTGGTATAATAAAATGCATCGTCAGATTTTCGAGTCGTTGAATGTCGTATACGCTGGGGGTTGAATGTCAACTCATAAGAGGTCATGGATCATGTTGTTGCTGTGCTTTGGAGTGGAGTCTGTTCTCTTCCGGGAGAACGTTTAGACGGGGGCACTATTGGCTTTAGAATTGGCACATCGGCCTTTGGCTTGCGTTTGATCTTCGGTTTCGCTGTGGGATCGACGTAGAAGCATAGGAGTTGTTCCTGGCAGCAGTGGGAACACTGCGGCTTGGCGTGATCGCAAACGACATGCCATTCACGGCATGCTTTGCAGTCGTCGTAAGGCTGGCGGGTTGGGCGGGGAGTTGTCGATGGCTCACAGGGAGGGCTCCACCACGTCGGCCACAGCCAGTGAGAGAGTCGTCCACATATTCCCGAGCGCATATTCTTCTGGACAGAGACGGTCGGGATGGTCTGAGCGGGTTGCTCCCCGTGGGGTTGTAATCTGGAGATAGCCAGTCAGTCAGTCAGTACAGGGAGATAGAGGGAAGGAAAGATAGTGAGGAGGTAGAATGTAGTGAAGGCATCGCAAACAGGGAGTGTCCGTACAAATCCTTTACACCTACTGAAACTGACCTTGAGGCAAAACTCATGACGGTTGACTGCTGCTGCTGCTGCTACTGTTTGCTCTTGAGGGGTAGCAAAAAGAAGAAGTGGGCACCATTTGGATGAAGGTAAAGTCATTGAGGACCCGGACCCCGTGCAGTTTTTTAGTAAACCGCACAGGCATTCCAGTGGAGTCGGATGACATGGCCTTGGAGTATTTGGAGGTGTGTGGTGGTGGTGGTGGTTGGTGTGATGTATGATGGGGAAGTGTTGGCACTGGCTGATCTGCTGACTTGTTTCTCTTTGGCGGGTTTATCTCCCGTGGACTTCTCCACTTCAACTTTCCATACTCTCGACTCTTGACTCTCGACTCTTGACAGATCCATACAATGCTTTTCTTTCACTCAGCTTTCTCCTCTGTCCCATCACCATCACCAAATGGACCGCATCGCCAATACCATCCGCGCCGATCACCGTGATCTGGCCTTGTGTTACCGCCGCATTGTTGATGCCGCTGATGAGGACGAACAAACCCGTCACCAGAACCAATTTACTTGGGAACTGGCCCGTCATCTTGTTGGAGAGGAGCTCGTGCTGTTCCCGGCCATGGAGAATAATGTACGTGACGATCCAGTGGATGAGCAACAACAACAACACCACGACGACGACGAATACCACCCACATCAAAAGGTTAGTATGTTTGGACTGGTTTCATTCTTTCTCTTCCTTACTTCTGCTAACAACTGCAGATCAAAGAAAATCTCCAAATCTTCCAAGATCTCCACTGCTCCGACCCACGCTTCATCCCCACCATCACCGTCTTGATGGATGATCTCGCTGCCCACATCCACACCGAGGAGACTCTGGACTTGGTCAAATTGGAATCCGCCATCACGTTAGAGGAGAGTCAACGTCTGGCCCGCCAGTTTGCTCGCACGAAATGGTTTGCGCCCACGCGTGCCCATCCGTCGCTGCCAGATCGTTCGCCCTGTTCGCCCTACGAGACGGCGACCGCGCTCATCGCGGCCCCACTGGATCATCTGCAGGATCTCTTTCGCCGGTGGCCCGATCCTGAACTCTACCCGACAACCGATCCGGAGGAATAGACTTGATTGGAATGAAGGGCTAACTTTAGTCTGGCAATATTTCATGTGCGCAACATCCATACATACAGTGCCGACCATTCTTGCCTTTCATATCCGGAAACATAAAGATACTCTTTCGAACCTTAATAACATGATATGCCTCCATGAAACTACACGCATGAACATCACGGTTATTGGCGTGGATAACCTGGATACCTAGATAGTACCTTGGTACCCAAGTTTCTATCTTCTGTAAACAGTGCTAGGTTAATTTCATGGCAGATTGCGTAGAGTTTTTGGGCAAAGCCATTGACTCCCAACACTGGCAGCGGAAGTCCGGGCCCCACCCTGTGCATCGATCTCTTGCCTAATATAACATAGCCTTGTTTTCACGCCAGCACCCAAGCGCGAGGCTGTGAAATCCAGTGGCCTTTAGATCCCGAACCCCCCCGCTTCCTCAGGCCAGAGAACTGCCAAGTTCTTCAAATTCCTCGCCGGAATCCATGAATGACGACCTAAACTGAAGACTCAGCTATCACGGACAACGAAAGTCTGGCAATGGCTCGTCATGATTCGGATAAAAACAAACCGCGAACTCAGACCAGGCCTGTCGAGTTTTCGTCCCCACAAAATGAGCAATATTCACCCCTTCAGAGCTCCAAAGAAACATCATCAGGTCGGGGTCACGACGCTGAAACCTCTTGGACTTGGGAGATCTCTGGTGCCCTCCTCAGTATAGTCTGCATCGGCCTACTGATCGGCTTTCTGGTCTACGCGAACGGGATGCCTTATGCCCGCTGGCAGTACTCAATTTCACCTAAGGCCGTGGTCTCCATCCTTGCGGCATTTGCAAAGGCTGCAACTTTAGTACCTATCTCCACGTGTCTCACCCAGCTCAAGTGGAAGAGGGCTTGGAGAATCAGAATGTGTCTAGAGCAGACAACTATTCAGCTTTACTACTTTGATATGCTTGGCAAAGCTAGTAGAGGTTCCTGGGGCTCCTTAGAAGTACTTTGGCGTATGCCGTGGTCTTTGCCGATAGCAGGGGCTTTATTGATGATTTTATCACTTGCACTTGATCCGTTCTAACAACAAATCCTTGCCTTTACCTCGCGTCAAGTTGCCGCCCATAATGAAACCGCTTCTATTCAAAAGGCTCAAGAATATTAGCCTTGGTGGGTCACGTCGATAAAAGAAAACGAAGTTAGTTATAAGCTGGATCAACCTGACCCAATGCTGGAAATTGCTTTGTTTCAAGGACTGGCACAGAAAAACGACCCACTAAAGCCTATGTGCTCTACATCCAGCTGCATATTCCCTGATTTTACGACACTGGGGTTTTGCTCACAGTGCGTGGATGTCACAGAATCGTCATCTCAAACATGTATCTCGCCAGAGGGTGATTTACATTGTTCATACACAAGCCCTAGTGGACTGCAAATTACCCCCTGAGACTTCGCAAATAACCAGTGATCCCCCGAGAAATACTACTCAGGCTACGCATTACCCCTCGAACTCAAATATCAGCGCATATGACTCGTTTACTTCGGATATACCTTGTGATCTGGTTTCAATATTGCCAGCGCAGTATGTGGATTTGCTCATAACTACACTTCTACAAGTGTAAACTTCACTGAGCCCAAGCCTTCCCTAACTGAATGCTCTATACATTTTTGTGACAAGCAGTTCGCCAATGTTAGCTATCTTCCAGTGAGCGCTCAGGCTCCAAGCCCATCACGGAGTCAACGTCTTATCCCCGAATATGGAGGTACTGGTCTAATACCATCTTGGCATGACAGTTTACAATTACTGCCAGTAGACGATGCTGTAACATCCTCAGGGTCGAATTACTCCATGGACATCAGTACAGAGAGTCTGGTACTAGATTATCTCCATTCTATTTTCAACGCAATTTCTTTTTTCAGCGGTCGGCAAAGAAATCAGGTATTTAGTTCACCTGCAGCGCTGATTTTATTTAATACTAGTCATACTGATGTGCCCAGAGCATTCGACTCCATGGCGACAAGTATGACTGACAGTATTCGAACAAGCGCCGGAAGCATTCATATCCAAGGAACGGCCTACCGTACTGAAGCTTATATCAATGTTCGCTGGCCATAAATAATTTTCCCTGTTGTCCTTGTGCTTCTTTCAATTATGCTGCCGGTCATCACGGCGTTGATTAATAGCGGCCAACCTGCGTTATGGAAGTCATCCATCTTTCCACTCTTACTTGGCCAATTGGAAATGGAAAACAACCATCTCACACAGCTACGCCGTCTAGATAAGTTACAGCCGTAAGCTAAGAAGATCAAAGTGACTGTTTGTGACCATGACAACACCCTGTCATTCGTCGAGTTTAGTGGTGGTCGCACTATTGAGGGACATGAAGCCTGATACGGGTGAAAGGATTCTTCAAATACATCCCATGGTGTCTGACCACGATATTGTAAGATACAACTACCAGTCCAGAAAGTAGTATGAGAAGAGGGACTCTCTACCCCCTATCCAATCAGAAATCACGTTCAAGTTGCACGGCTTTATATCCCGGGAATCACCTGGGCAAGTCAGAAGAGCTACAAGATGTGCACGCAATTATCAGGCACGAGATGTATAAATACCAGTGCGCTTTCATCCGTCCGTCCATTTCGGCTGGTTACAGTTCTGCCCCCCGCTTCTCATTTTGAGCTATACCATACGGATCCAAGGCTCGTGTGCTAGCCTCCATACTCGCCGGGTGATGGTTGCCCGGCGCATGAACTTCACGTCGGGGTTTATCCCAGCCCAATTCATTGCTGAGCAAGTCGCTGGCCTCTCGCTTGGCGGTGTCCGAAACATGGGGGTTTTTCAGCGCTCTGGTTGTGTGATTAGCTCGTCGATCGGGGCTCAATGACTGCACCTTGCAGCGGATCACCTTGTGTCCCCCAGGTACTCACGATTGATAACCACGCATCGCGCTGATCCTTTCCTCGGCGGTGATGTCCACTTCGTCATTTGCTGGAGATCTCGACATGATGGATCTTTACTGGTCGCGATGATTAAATTATCATCTGTGTTATTCAATCAAACGTAGACTTGATACGGGGTATCCAGTGTCTAGTGAAAAGAATATATCTGGGACAAGCTCCGTCAGTTACAATTGGCTTCTGGCCCGGACCTGCGTCATGGCGACGTCCAGCTGGCAAATCGCCGGAGTCCATCCCAGCACCATGGACGCTCGAAAAGCTTCTAGTCTTGCGATGCCGAGGACATGGCGCTAGGCTTTCCAACCCATGAGACTGACCGGATGATCCACCGGCTGATGGTGATCCCCGCAAACTATAATGTAGATACGAAGTCAAAGCTTCACCCGACACCTACAACAGATATTGGGACGAGCCTAAGAATTACACGGAGGCAAGGGCAATGGTGGCAAGGCATTTATTTCCCGCTCAGTATCTCTTGTTAAAGGCGTTCGACGACTCAAGCCTGGCCACAGCTGATGTCAGGCCTGCGTTGAGTGGCGGCGGAGGCTTTGGTGGCCAATACGAGTGCAAGAGATGTATACCTATAAGAGCCGGACAGAGGTCCCGATTTTTTTCCACGGTCATCATCGCATCACCGCATCACCGCTTGCAAGTCATCTTTCATCTGAAAGGGTCGCAACGGTTTCTGGTTGATCCCAGTTACATCATAGTATCAGATCATATCACGAAACTCATCGGCATCTACTTCCACTTCCGCTTCCTCTCCTTCCATCTCCGCTTATTCGCCATGCCGAACCTGTTTAAGGAAACCAACCTATTCGAGCCCGTCGATGGGTCCAATTCAATCTACGGTCGGATTCTGCAGAATAAATTTCCCACGGGGACGAATCCCGATCCTTATGAGGTGGACCCTCTTCCGGTGGCCGAGTTGGAAATGGAGGATCCCTTGAGCGCGGAGTATCGGTACCACGATGAACCGCTTGGTATGTGTGGAGCTGGGGGCTTTTATTCGGAGAGTCTTTGAGGTGATGTGACGCTGATTCGTTTTGTACAGCACAGGATAAAGACGATGAGAGTATTCATCTGGGGAAGACTCGGCCAGTGCCGATGAAGTAGATAGATACTAGAATATAAAAGAATAGAATAGAGTATTAGAACCGAAGAGAATCAATTTGACCACTCAATACTAGTAGTAACTAACTAGTAGTTAGTGGTGAACACATGAAACACTGGCAGCCACTGCACTCCGCAGGTTCGTCTCAATAGTACTGTGCTGTGAATGACCTACTGGATTTTCAATACTGCTAGAGTCTAGCACCTTGCATCTACTCTGCTACTAGTAATCTCCTTATTCTGGTGTGCTTAGAGTAAATACTACTCGTAGTATACTCTAGTATTACTCCTGCTGTAGTAGTTGGATGTCTTGGCAGTCACACTTTCCATGGGAACGTCAACGTCAACTTCAACTTCAACTTCTCCTTTTCTCTTCTCCAAGTCCCACTGCCGACCGTCGCAAATTTCGCCGACTACTAGTACCAGTTAGTACTTAGTAGTGACTACTCCTCCGGTCGCGATGTGGATACCCAGGATCAATTCAGCCGGCCTAGTCTCCAGATCGACGCGGGCGCGCTACGGCAACAAGATCATCAACACCGGAATGTGAGATGATTCATTCGATCATCCACCACTGCAACACACTCCCTTGAGGTGATCTCGTACACATGAACTGGAGAACCTCATGAGACAGATCAGTCCACGGTGTTCACCGTATGCCCATGGAGACTCATGGATGCCCCTGATGGCGTTGCTAGTGGTGTTCTCCTGTTTCACCGATCGTTTGGCGTCGTGCAATCACGTTTCAAGTTGACACTTCCAACCCTTTAGGCGCCGGACGGTGGCCACTCACGCCCTTCCCATGCCCCACTCCAATGAAGAATGGATGATCTTCCACGTCGGGTGGATAGACCAGCTGGGCTAGACTCCTCCTAGACTGCTCATTTTGGTGCTGGCGGGCTTCGTCACCGCCGCTGCTATGGCCTGAGACGTTGCATTCACCAGGCACCGGCCTGTCACTGGTGGAAGATGATGGGTCCAGGGCAAGGTCCAACAAGTGAATAAACTGTCTCTGATTATTCCCAAGAATCTACAAAATGCCAGAGACTGCCTGATCTCGCGCCTTCTCCCCTCCTCTCTCCACGCGTACATTCTTCATTCTTTTCTCCTTGTTTTGTTGACAATCCGGCATTGTCGAGCCTCTCCTTTTTGCTCTCTGTCCTTCTTTATCGTCTCTACGATCGCTTCCAATCCCTTCTTTTATTTTTTTCCCCCTCTCCTTGCGCTGCGTTTCTCCCTCTGAATTGCTAGCCAAGCTTCTTCATATTTTATTATTATTTGTTTCATTTTTCTACGAGGAGATATGGTTTCCTCATCACTTTCGCTAAGCGCTGGTTCGCTTTTTCTGCTGGGTCTGGCCTCGTCTGCGACTGCCAGCCCAAGCTATTCGCTGGTCGAGAATTGGCATGGCGACAAATTTCTGGATTTTTTCAACTTCCACGTCGGTAAAGACCCGACCAATGGCTTCGTCAACTACGTCGACCAGAGCAGTGCTGAGAGCTCGGGGCTGGTAAAGGTACTTGACTCGGGCAGTGTTTATATCGGTGTCGACCACGAGAAGACAATTTCGACAAGCTCCCAAGGCCGTGATTCAGTGCGCATCGGCAGCAAGAAATACTACGACGAGTCCCTGGTGATCACTGATCTAGCCCATATGCCCGGCAGCGTTTGTGGCTCATGGCCTGCATTCTGGTCAGTCGGCAAAAACTGGCCTGGTGACGGTGAGATTGATATTATCGAAGGCGTTAACCTCCAGGACCATAACGAGATAGTCATGCACACCGCTGGTACCTGCAGTATCACCGATTCTGGAATGACGGGTAGCGTCAACGCCACTGGCTGCGGTGAGGACCTCGGTACAGTCGGCTGTGTTATCGAGGGTCAGGAAGGAAGCTATGGTACCTCCTTCAACAAACAGGGCGGGGGTGTCTATGCAATGGAATGGACCGACGCGCACGTCAAGATCTGGTACTTCCCTCGCTCCAAGATTCCCGCCTCCATCACCAGTGGTAAGCCCGATGTTAGCCAATTCGGTACCCCGATGGCCTTGGTTCAGGATGGCTGCGACGTTGCCAACAGCTTCAAAGAGCAATCTTTCGTCTTCGACGTCACCTTTTGCGGTGACTGGGCTGGTGGTGTCTTCGGCGAGTCCGGCTGCCCTATGTCCGGCTCCGACTCCTTGGCAAGCTGCCACAGCTACGTCGCCAACCACCCGGCTGCCTTCAAGGAGACCTACTGGGAGATCAACTCTGTCAAGATTTACCAAACCGGTGTGAAGCGTATCGCGGAGACCACCACTGCCAATACTGTCGCGACCCAGGCCACTGCTACTCACGCCTCCGTCGCCAAGGATACCACAACCAAGACTTCTATCACCGACCACACCGTCACCAAGGCCGATGCGGCGCCTTCCTCTACCTCGCAGACCGAGGCCCAGTCTGCTGCTGTTGAGACTTCATCCACCCGGGCAACCAACGCTGCCGCATCCGCTGCCACTTCGGAGGCTGTCGGTATCATCGGCGAACTGACTCCTACTTCGACCGCTGCAGCTGCTCCCACCACGGCAAATGTCGCTACGCAGGCCGTTGTCGAGTCCGCGTCCAAGGAGACAAGCTCCAAGACCACCCGAATCGTGACTGAGTTCGTTACCGCCACCACCACTCTCTGCCCAGTTGCCGAGAGCTCGTCTGTCGCCGCGATTCCCGCAAACCATGAAACCGCTGCCTCCTCGTCGGTCGTCGCAGAGACTGCTAAGGTTGTTGAATCAGCCAACTCGTCCCCAGTTTCCGAGTCAGTTCCCACCCAGCCCCCGACCGCCTCGCAGTCTGCCAAATCCGCCGGGACACAACAAGCAAACGCTGCCACTACCCAGGCTGCACAGTCTCCAGCCCCTACGACTCCCATCGGTGCCGATGCCATCTCCAATGCGCCCGCTGAGCATGGATCCTCCTCCACCCAGCGTCCCCTTCCCACCATCATCCCTGCCCCTGGTGTCAACCCTGACTCTGCGAGTGCCATTGCCAACCAGCCCCAAACCTCGAAGGCACTGATCCCCACCGCAACCGGTGCTTCTGCCCCCTCTGGCAGCACCTTCCCGGGTACCCCCAGCAGCTCTGGCAACTTTGCTCTCTTCACCAGCGGAGCAGACAAGCTGTCGGCTAGATTCTCACTCTTTGCCGTTGCTCTTGGATTCGCCATGGCGGTATGAGATGTGTTGTTGAGTTTCTGTTTCATCTAATAAGCGTTTTTGCATTCCGTATTTGATGGTGGCGCTTGCTTGATTTCCCCTTGATTTCGACATATATAACATAGGCCCTTTGTTCTCGTCCATAGATCATAATACAGTACTTCCCGAAACTGGTGCGACCACCTACCCTCTTTGATTGATTCTCCAGCCCCACCGCCAAGACACACTAGTCCATACTGAGAGCTTTCCCGGAGTACAATTGTAAGTTAGACGTGTATTGCTTCTTACAGTAGATTACATATTACTGTCAAGTAACGTAGTTCCCGGCCGTCCCGAACAACCCATCCAAAATCGCGTCTTCCTACCTTCGTACCAACTTCAACCACCTACCCTACCACCAATTCGCACTGAATCTTCGCAGAAATTAGCCAATCAAGAGGGCAAGATTCTATTGGCTCTTTCAGATTTAAATGACGGCCGTGTCAAATCTCTTCGCGCAGCAGCGAAGCTATACGCAATACCGCTTACTACCCTATATGATTGCGTATACTGCCAATCTTCTCGCGTTGATTCTCGCCCATCGGGCCATAAACTGACCCAATTAAAAGGGGATTTGCTTGTTTAATGGATACTCTCTGTGGATTTGCGTAGAGCAGCCCCTACGCCAGCTACTACTGTACGAGATATGGCTAATATCCTACTGGCTACGCATAGTAGCCAGCCACTATCTACTGTCAGCAAAAATTAGCCATCAACATTCATTAAACAGTGCAATTAGCTTCGAACACGCTTCTCGCAGAGATACGATTATCAAAGGTCCCTAAACAAAGACCCTAAGTCACATTGGCAGTGGTTTCTTACTGTACAATCTATAAATGATAAGAAAGGTATTCAACCAGAGGATATCTACAATTTTAATAAGACAGGATTCGCATTAGGTCTTATTGCAAATCAGAAAGTAGTTACGTACGCTGAATACTACGGTCGGAGGTCTCTTCTACAGCCAGGAAATCGTAAATAGGTGACTACGATTGAGTTAATCTATACAGATAGCTATTCATTACCGCCATATATAATCTTTAAGGGTAAGGTTACCCTTGCTGGTTGGTTTAATAACCTACCAAAAGACTAGCGATTTCAGGTCTCAAAGAACGGCTGGACTACTGATGAGATTAGTCTACGTTGGTTACAAGAGCTGTTTATCCTATCAACAAATTCGTATATATACGGCCGATTTCGTTTATTGATTCTCGATAGGTATAGTAGCCACCTTACACCCCAATTCGATCGAATCTGTACAGAAAACGATATTATCCCTCTTTGTATACCTGCACATTCATCACATCTATTACAACCACTAGATGTTGGCTGTTTCACAGTACTTAAACGCGCATATGGTTACTTTATAAGCGATCTTGCCCGTATGGGATATAACCATATCGACAAGTTTGATTTTTTAGATAACTACCAACACACACGGCTAGAAGCCTTTCAACCAAATACTATTTAAAACAGCTTTATAGCTACTGGTATAAATCCAGTAGATACAGAAAGGGTCCTTTCTAAGCTGAATATCTCTCTACAAACATCTACACCATCAAACAGCCGACCAAGCAGCAGATCTAGCCAATTCACACCAAAAACGCCTAGGACAGTGGATCAATTGCATGAGCAAGCATCCTCGCTTAAGCAATTACTAAAGCAACGGTCAAACAGCCCTCTAACACCATCAAAGATCTTACTAGATCAGATTATCAACGGCCATATGATAGCGCTACACCACACTGCATTACTTGCGCAAGACAATGCGAATTTACGTGTAGCAAATGAGAAGAAGCGCAAGAAACGCAATCGGTCGAAGAGGCATATACCCTGCGAAGAGGGTTTGACCGTCGAAGAGGGCCTACAGCTAGTTGAACAGCTAAATCAGCCAGTGGAAGGTAATGAGATAGGATCGCATGGGCAGGGCGAATTGCCTAGTCAGGTAAATCCACCACGTACTAGGGCCTCACCTAGGTGCAGTGGGTATAGGGAGATTGGCCACAAGATTAATGTATGTAAAAATCGCTTTATCTAGTTAATTTAATTAGTGTTGGTTGAGATAATCGATCTCGAAATTTTTTAATGGGGTTGGGTGTTCGGGACGGCCGGGAATTACGTTATGGACTTGCGTATAAATTCAATACATCCGACACTTTGAAAATCATAGGTGGCCCCACCAGAAGGCCATGAGCTTTTTAGTCCCACTGGCCCTTCGGAGGCCTAGTTCGATGAGCTTGAAACATGGAAGCCTAGAACACCACCTCTGGCCTGGCCGATGTCTCGGGCACCAGAGGTATTTGAACCCTAACCAGCCTAGAACCACGTAAAGGCGAAGCGTCTCACTTACATAGTATTAATGCCCACGTCAACGACTTGTGTGACGTCAAGTTGAGCCACTATCTCAACTCACCCCATCGCTTCATTTGCTGAGATACAACCATAGTGCTATAAACACGTAGACATAAGAATGATGTCAAGAAACCATGACGCCTGGCTGTCCAGTAAGACAAATATATATCCCTCCTTCAATCGATTTGAATGCGAAGGCTTCCAGCCGAAGACCAATTTATTAAAACAAAAATAAGTAATTACATTCACAAAATCAATTCGAGCTGAAATTCTTGGTGGAAGTACACAATGTGTGCCTCGATCACCACAGACGTCAGCAACTATGGGGCTCAGGGATATGGCGATCCAAGCCATAGGATGAAAGCCTTGACCTGGCAAGGGAAGAATTCGGTCAAAGTTGGTCAGCCATTCTGCCCATCACGACCTTCATTTCAATCTCTTGAAATAATGAGCTTTTCTTGCTCATACAATTTGTTACAGTGGAAACGGCTTGCCCAACGATCATCGATGAAGGCGATGTCATACTTAAGGTGACGGGTAGCACCATTTGTGGAAGTGACTTACACCTATTCCACGGTATGTCGTGACTTTTTAGCAGTTAATGAAGTATCGCTGGATCTGCTCATGCGGTATCTGATATCGATATATAGAGGCTATCCCAGATCTCCACAAAGATGATATCCTGGGCCACGAGTTCTGCGGTGTTATCGCAAGCGTGGGGCCCGCAGTCAAGAAGGTTAAAGTAGGCGACCGCGTTGTGGCATCCTTTCAAATTGCCTGTGGGCAGTGTTATTATTGCAAGAAGAAGTTATCCTCAATGTGCGAGCGGACAAATTCAAGCGAGGCAGCCTATAAGCTATATGGACGTCGAACAGCTGGTATATTTTCTCTTTTAACGCCTATGTTGATGTTAGTGAGGCTATTGTACTAATGCCCGTCCTAGGTATGTTTGGATACTCCCACTTTACGGGGGGCTTTGCTGGTGGGCAGGCGGAATATGTTCGTGTCCCATACGGTGACGTGAATCTTCTTCAGCTGCCTGACGACGTCCCTGATGAAAAAGGTCTCTATCTTTCTGATGTTCTAGCAACATCTTGGAACGCTGTTGTTGATACTGGGGTTGAGGAGGGTGATACTGTGGCAATCTGGGGAGCTGGACCAGTTGGGCAAATGGCCGCTGAGTTTAGCTTCTGCAATGGTGCTAATAGGGTTATCCTTATTGACGGCGGCCATGGTAAATGGCGACTAGACTTTGTCAAGAAGATTCTACCCAAGCTTGAGACAATCGAGTATACGAATCTCTCGAAGGGCGAGTCTGTTACCTCAACCCTGAAGAAAATGTGTGACGGCCGTGGGCCTGATGTGGCGATTGAGTGCGCCGCTGGTGAGTATACGAAAGGATGGGGTCATTACTTTGAGAGGCTGCTGGGTATGGAAACGGATACGCCTGAGCTTATCAACGAGATGATTACCTCTGTCCGAGGGTTCGGGCGCTGTGGGATCACGGGCGTATATGCCGGTTATGTATGTGGCACCTTCCCTATGGCAAAATAATTCTCCTGACGTGGTAATACAGTGTAATCACTTTAACATCGGCTCCTTAATGGAGACCGGGATCCGTCTTATTGGCAATGGACAAGCCCCTGTACAAAAATACTGGAAAGACCTGTTGAAATATATTCAGCAGGAGAAGATCCATCCCCTACATATGGTCACCCATCGGTTCAAGCTCGAGGACATGGAGCAGGTTTATGATTTATTCAATAAGCGTGACCCGGGTATGCAGAAGGTTTTCGTCCAGACAAAGTTTTCCGCCCCTCCAGCAGCAGGGACACCTGCGTTAACAGAACTCTGAGCTTTCACTATGTTGGATAAAAGTTAACTGAAAAGCTCGGATATTTTATGTGGGTTTCATGTCTTTTCCATTATGAATTGGGCGCTCAAAAAAACAAAATTGCGAAAGTTATATTTATTGAAATCATACTGCAGTGAAAAATGAGGGTAATCCTTAAAAATGTTCAACTGGAATCGAGGAGCGTGCCATATACCTTCGCTATTCTGTTTCTCTTAAAACAAAAGCCCAGACAAGAAATCCTAGAGAATCTTGTTTGCAGTACTGAGGATTTTCCCATAATATTTCGTATAACTTATGTGCTGAGTAGAGAAGCTTAAAATAAGATTCCCCTTTCTATACTATTCGTAGTGCAGGCGAATGCCTCCAATATACGTGATTTTTTCTTCAGCTTGACAGTCCAAACATTCGTATATATGAGAGCGCCAGACCTGTATCTACTTCTACCTACCATCTACACATCTCAGCTCCGAAATACACTGTTTTCTACGTTTTGATCCATTGTCTTCGTTAAACTAGTCTGCTAGGGCCCCATGGTTCTCCCTCTTGATCTGCCTGTTTTGACAAAGCATGCTAATATGCAATCGACCCGCTACACTAGGTATCAAGAGAAAGGAAATGCGTTGCTTGCCATATTCGAAGTAATATGATGATATGAATACACTCGTATAGACATGACGCCAGGAACTTTTTTAAGATCTGAAACTGAATAATTGGCAAGTCCTAACAAACCCAACAATGATTTTTCACTTCAGCCTCTGCGGTTCGAGCGATACACCTCTGCACATAATTTAAGCCTCATGCAGAGACAGATTCAAGTCTTGACCAACGACCTTTCCGCCTTCCAGTTGCACCTGTTCGATAGGTTGAAACACGAAAAAGACACGTAAAACACCAGAATTGTCTTTCTTTTCAGTCATATTCCGCCAAGCATGAGCCGTACCTCGTTGAACAAATACATCACCCTTTTTCAGTAACTTTTTCTCACCGGAATCAAGGACTAATTCTGTAGTGCCATCAATTATGACACCATAGTCGAGGGTCGCTGTTCGGTGCATCGGAACCGCTGAACCTGGAGGTACCTCTATAATTGTGCAGGAGGTGCCGTTTGGCGGATTTAAAGGCGATGGATCCGAGAGCTGGGAGTGATAGTGCTTAATGTCAAGATTGGCCTTGGACTCTGGGGTTGCAGAAGTTGGAGGGGAAAGCCCTTGCACAGGAAATGTTTTGGTATTGAAGGCCAGAGCATAGTCTGAAGTTGTAGGCTTGCCGGGGGAACCGGGAACCCAGTAAATGATACCTGCTCCCCAACTGCGTCACTAAAGATAGCTCGGCCGCTTGTAGGATCATGGGTTGTTATGATGCGACGAAGCGGCTCGGGCTGTCTTTGTCCGACTGACATGTTGAGATCAATATCAAAATAGAATAGAGCGGATACCTAGGTATAGTGTCATTCAGCACTTAACACGTTAACTGAGCAATATTGCGAATTAGATCCCAGCAACACTCCCTACTATATATTATTAGCTGTATGAGGCATATGACGTAAATGTAGATCATTGTAAAGCCATAAGTTAATAATGGATCAATGTCTCTTCATAGGATGAAAAGACATCATTGACTTTCAATTTACCATTGACCACTTTACCAAGATCTGGGAACCCAAGGAATGCTTTCCTCCACATGATAGGCATGTTCTTATTCAAAGGATCATCTTAAGATCATCGTCGCATCATTCAAAACATTAATTCATGAGCAAATCATGGGTGAAAGTGGTTCAGCATAGTACTGTGTCACTTGAACATGGGAGTGGCAAAGAAAAGTCACACCTAGATTCTCGAGGCTCTTGAGTTTGACTGTTTACATCAGAGTGGAAAATAAAGATTCTAGTTCCTTGAGTTGCTAATACAGTTACGAGACTGTACGTATCAGCGTAAATTACAGTAACAATTTGATACAGGAACATTGATATTCCGGGTCTATTCCTGATATAGACTAATGAGTCTTGGCACTGGGGTTGGAGAATCAATCGAAGAGTGTAGGTGGTCGCACCAGTTTCGGGACCTACTGTAGTCAACAATCCTCGCCGCAATGCTTCTCATCATGTCAATTAATAAAAATGTCAATTGAATTCCAATCAAATGCTCTGAACATCTAGCCAATCTATACCAACGCCTTCCATGACAATTTCATCCTGTTAAGCTTTCATCCACCGATTCATCCAACCTCGCACGTAGCAATTCAGTATTCCATCCTCAATTACCCTCAACCTTCCATTTCTCAGAGTAACACTGTCCCGCTCAGCCTTCTCCGTGATAAACCCCTTCGGTCCAAGCTTTGAACCAGCGCCGTACATCTCTTCATAATGATCGATCAGTTTGACCGCAGGGTTGATATGCTCTTCACCCCGCTCTTCGCTCTCACGAAGTCTTCGCATCCATTTTTCAAAACTGACAATCTCGAATTGGAATCCGTTTTGCTTCAAAGTGGAGAGCATTGCTGACCATGTGAATTCACGAGAATTACACACGTTATAGACCGAGTCTATCTGCCCACATGTTATCTTCTCTGGTATAAAGCTAGAAGTGTGATTTTCATCTTGACTGCCTTCACTATCCGGGGGATTCGATCTCGAACTTGGACGGGTACATGTCTGGACTATCTCCACAATTATAGAGGCTAGCTTGTCAACTGGAATCCAGCTGCAAGTAAGACTTAGATCCGGCATTACCTTCAGCGTCAAGGCTGACCGGATGAGCAGTGGTAAAGCTTCCGAGTCATTCCACAGACCCTTCTTCGAATGACCGGACACTTGGCCGATGCGAAGGGAGTAGGCGTTTGCTCCTGAATTGCGGGCATTGGCCACGATGTGCTCGCCAATCAATTTGGATTGTCCGTATCCCATGTATGCTTCAGTGAGGTTGGCTGGGGCTTCTGGGACTTCTTCGACGGACCGAAGGGTTGTTGAGATTGATGAGCAGAACATTAGGACTGCTGGGTTGGATTGTGGAACTGAGAGGGATAGTTGGATCAGGCTGTGGAGTCCGTGGATGTGTGATTCGAACTCGGACAGTGGGAGGTTGAAATTGACTGGCCATGCGGCGTGGATGATGTGTGTTGTTGTGCTTTGAATCTGATCGAATGTCTCTTCGTCGAGACCGAGATTTTTCTGATCTAGGATGCTGTGTAGAGATATTATTTTTGATATCTGATCGACTGTGAGATGAAGGTCCCTTTCGATGAGACTTTGGAGAACAGCCTCCTGCGACGATGTTTTTCGAGTCAGGCAGTAGACTACCGAAATGGAATCGTCTTTCAGAAGTTCATGAAGGACATGTGCCCCAATTGAACCAGTTGCACCCGTCAGAACCACGGATTTGGAGTTTGAATATGGACTGGGTTGGGCGATGTGGTTCTGGAAAGACGAATATTTCTGTATCAAATTCGATATCGCCGTCTGGTCGTCTTCGGTCGATGTCACAGATTCACCTTGCTGGAGAGCGCATATATTTGCAGCAAGACAGGCAATGCTCCCACTATCGTATACCATGTTGAGGGAGATTTCCTGGTTCTCGAAATAGAATTTTTGGAGAATTAGTCTTCGGAGCTGGATTGCCCTCAGACTATCAAATCCCTCTGCGAAGAAATTCGCCTCAACGCTAGATAGGGAAATTCGTAGTTCATCACGACAGAGTTTCTCCAAGAAAGACTTCGTTTCGACAAGACTTAACTGAAGGTTTCCGCTGACCTTCTCGGCCTGTGCATAGATACTGTCGATCAGATCTGCGTAAAGTAGATAAACCTGAGCTCTGATCATAGATCCTTTGTCGGTTCGTGGAAATTTAGAATCAAAGGGGAGAATGGCGACCAGATCGATTGATATTTGAGAGAAACGCTCTGCGCGGGAGTTCGCCTCCTCGACCGTGGGCCAGATGGCTTGGAGGAATTCTTGGTCGCTGAGACCAAGACTCTCGGCCTCTTGCGAACGAATGACAAGTAGGCCCGGGGTCACTTTGCCTAGTCCCACAATTACAGCTTCATGGATAAGACTGTTCTGCTTGATGAAACCCTCAATGGGAAGTGGGAGCACCTTTTCCCCGTTCACAAGTGTGACTCGGTCATCCAATCTGGATGCATATTTCCATCGATTTGGGATTGTGGGATGCGGCGTAAATACGTCTTTCGAATGAAACGAGCCGGGTGGTTCATTTGAGTTGGATGTTGTTAATGCTGGATGGCCGGCCAAATACACACATTCATAGAGGGAGTCGCCAATGGGTTTCATCCAGATATACGGTCGGATGTTCTCGAAGAATTTGAGGTAGTTCCAAAAGGGATCTCCCTCAGGTCGCGATATTGACTCGGCTACCAAGCCTGCTTCGGTCCTAAATTTCCACGTTAAAATGAAGAAGTGCACGGAAGTTGATGCAAAACTTACAAGCCAAATGAACCACTGAACTTCACACCCTCTCTCACCAGCCGATCGCCAAGTTCATCGGGGCATGGCGCACCTCCGTATGTAACAAGCTGGCACCTTCGAAGGCAATCGATCCCACGTGGACTATCCACTAATAGTTGTAGCATATATGGTACCGCTGCTACGGACTCAGGCTGTGCCACCTCTAACACCGAAACCACTGGTTGAGCCGTTAGAGGGATCGCTGCATTCCACATGTACGCAGTCTTTCTCATCCACATCGCCTGCAATGCGGTGGAGATACCATGCAAATGGTACCACGGGAGTGGATTGAAGGAAGTCAACCCCGGCCCTCGAAGTGGGTGCGTCATCAAGGCTCGGTGTGTGAGATATAGAGGTTTCGGGGTCCCCGTGGAACCAGACGAATGGAGAATAAGTGCAACTTTGTTCTTCTGAACTTCGGGATTACGATTGCGGTGCAAGACAAAAAGTGACGTTTCGCTAGTGTCGAGGGATGCAACTGGCATTGGGCGACAGCTCAGTAATTTCCGTTGCAAAATTTCACCCATTGTTGTCCGAGTGCTTCCGGTACTCCCATATATGATAGTATCACATTGAGCCGAGTCAAGTAGGGAGACACATGCCTCTGCGGACAGACGTGGGGAAAGCATCATCACGGCGTATCCCAATCGACTCAGAGCGAAGAACGTGATTACCATGTTGAGGTCCGAGAGCGTAAGAAGTGCCACTGTGCAGCCGTTTCGTTTCGGCTGTGCGAAATTGAGATTAATATCTAGCAATTGCAATTGCTGCAGGGACTTACTGGTTGGAAACCATTGACCATCAGTACCGAAGCAACCTGGTCGATCATCTGGTCCAGATCTTGGCCTGTATAGTAGCTGTATGATGCCGCATCGTTTTCTGAATTGGGATATGCGAGGATTGGTCTTTGGACAAAGTCCGCAGCTCGGTGTCGAATCAGGTCGTCAAGAACATGGAGTTGTCCGAACTTCTGCACCAATGGATCCGAGATACCGGAAGAGGCCGCGGGTGCGGTCTGATCGCCTTGTTGGATACCCATGAGGATACACAAGAACTTCAGAAGAGGTAAAATTTGGATGAAAATGCCTAAGACGAGAAATGGTGATACTTAAGGGATTCGTTCTGTGCCGAAGTCAAATATTAGCTAGGCTCCTATCATACACTTTCTGTTTATCCTCACTGCATTCAGGATTCTCGGGATGCTGCTGTCTTTCCGTTTTTAGTTGTGGATATCCGTTCTTAGTTGTTGGCGCTCAAGCCCCCAAAGTCTAATTTATGCTATGCCAAGGCTCTCTGGGCTCCTCTTGCCGAAGGTTTGATCGCGCCCTAACTAACCCACCCGCCTAGCTTAGTTCTCCACCGTTCACAGCGTGGCGCCAGTTGGTAGATAGTTTTTTACACACTCTAAATGTCATTAAATGTATCCATCAACTGTATAATTCAGTAGCCTTTTTCAACTTTAGTCCTCTGAATTGTTGAATCAATATATTCTTCAGTGATACTCCGTACAGTTTGATGGGATGTGAGTTTATTTCAATAAACTTCCAAGGTTGCATACTATAGTGCTATCCTGGGCCACTAGTGCCAACCAGCCAGCTGTTCATCGGAGGAAATCTTATACTGATCCTATACAATATCTGTGTGCACTCAGCTGTTTGAGTCCTGTAAAATTACAATGTCGGGCACTAATGCACGCTAATGCGACTTCAATCTGGTAGCCAGACAGTGTACGAGTACTCCGCAGTTCGCCAGCCGATGCCAAAAACAAGCCACGGGCTCCTTGAATAAAATACTCTACTTTCTAACATTGGGGCTTATGTGGCAGTAATCACAGCTGAGCGACGGTGATCCAATGGCAGCTGCAGGTAAGCTGATAATTATGCACAGTGGATATTCTGTTACGTGATTTGTCGATTGCTTTCTGTATAATAAACCATTCTCGCATGCGGTTCAGCGACGGTCTGAAATGATTTCAGCTACGGAGTAAATAACTACGACATTAGTTGCAATCACGACCGGTGGTGGTGGTTACACTGCAGGTGTGCCCGAGTTGCTGTTCCGGTTCGCATTGAAATCCCGTTGGCCAACAACAGCTTTCATCCCGCTGTCACGAGTCAAGGGGTACAAGCCACCACCGTGAGCGGACCGGCCGTTTGTACTCTTGGACCTGCGCCAATCTAGCAAAAATCACTGATAATAACTAAGATAAAGGGGCGTTGAGAAGTATACTTCGTTCTTGGTTAACACTGCCGAAGTGGATTAGCAGACCCATAGCTGAAAACAATGCCCATTAAGTAGAGGACCATAGCCAAGGCATTTAGCTGATTGAATTACCGACCAAATGAACACGGGTATTGAAATCTACATCCCGAACATTGCCGAGGTCCACTAACTAGGCAGACTTGCTAGACCCGGCCCACATCATCAACAGGTATTAGGAGAGTATGAACTTAGAAAAAAAATTGCAAGTCCTGCTGGTATTGTGCAAAATCCCGCTTGATACGGGGGACTAGATCCGAGAAATCGATGAGTCCTTGCGTTGACTCAACGGCCGCTGGGAACGGTCCTGCAGAAACCCCTTGTGGGGCAATCTGGATCAGATCGCCCTTTTATATGTGGCCAGGTATGTCAACCGTTCGATCGGGACTGTACATTCCAACTTTGTTTGCCGTTGATTGGTTTCCAAGGACGGCCCGTGTATGTTAGTCGCATTCCCCGCGGAACTGCATAGATTGCCCCGGTGGAGCGAAAAATGAATCAATACAGGTTCATGGTATTTGCATGTCTGACCTGTCACCTTTTCTAGAAGACTGAGTGCTATCCTGCTAGTCTGTATTTCGTACATTCCATCTGCCCAAGGCATATCGATTGTACCGGGTCTCGAGACACGGATCCGGTGTATTGTGTTAATTACTATCGGCTCGGTCAAACAATATGAGATTCAAGGGATTCGCTAGGGGCTTTCAGACAGGGGTGCCGTTTAGTTGATAGAGCTTACCTATCCCTTTGCCAGTGATATGAGATAACTCGTTTTAGCTGGTTCCTTAGCTAGAAGAACGTTCGAAGTCAAGGAAGGGATACATATGAATATGCCAATGTTTTCTAGTATTTGAAGAATGGTGAAGGAACGCCGTTTAAACTTAAAGCCCCAACCACGACCCAAAACAGGAAACCAGGAATCTAAACCAAATTCTAGAAGGCAATCGCCTTTCCCTTTTCCACCGCCATCAATCGTTCCAACATCCTTCGCCATGCCTGGCTTGCCCTTACGGCATGTTCATCCGGTACGGATGGGTCGTCCACCCCGGTAGTTCTGGAGAAGACTTCCATACTAACCCATCCGGTATAACCTATTCCGTTCAAACAGGCTTCTGTCACCGGTACTATAGGAAGATACCCGCCCCGCTCTTCTTCACACGGGAACAGACGAGCATTCCGTGACCAGGCTAGGAGCGTGGATAGTCCTGGTGTCCGAAGGAAGGAAGATTGCGGGTCTACCCTCTCACCATCAGCTAGCTGTACCATCATGACGCGGTCCGGGTCAATATCTCGGACGAGTCGATCCATTGATGCTCGTAAATCATCGTCTACACTCGGGGGTCCTCGTCCGGATGGACTGGTCGGATCAGCCCACACCCGAGCTGCAATGTTAAACGTATCCAGACATATACCCAGATTTGGTCGGTTGGCTCGCTTGACGATTTCCCAAGAATCCTCCCACGTATTGATGTAAGTACCCCATGCCAATGCTTCATAGGCGATGCGAACCGGGAATGCCACATCAGCCGCTTCAGCCAGGTCTGCCACTAGCCGATTCCGGTCACCTGTGATCTCAGAGGAGTCGAGGAAGGAGGATGGAATGAGAATGAAGAGACTCTCTCCAAGAATCTTGGATAGCTGCACCCAGTGTTGGAGTTCGTCGATACGTTGAGCATGTTGCACAGGATCTATCAAGCCTTCATAGTGTCGAAAAGGTTGAAGCGCTAGAACCTGCAGGCCCCGCTCGGCACATAAATCGTGAATGGCGTGCGCAGCGTCGATCTCGTATTCTCGGTCGGTGCGGCCCGTCGACTCACATTCGTGGGAGCGTAGCGTCTTGGCTAACTGTGCGAGGTCGTCATGGAACAGTTCCAGACCTTTCTGGCCGTACTTTGCTGCCGCATCGATTTTGGCTGTGATGGAGTGCAGATTCGCAGCACCGAGGCTTACAGTAGCGACAGCTGGCTTCCAACGGAAAGCGTCTTCAGCTGGTGGAGTCGGGAGTGAATGCATCGGGCGCTAGTGATTGATAGTCTCGGCAAGGGTTTGAAGATGTCAGGTGGCAAGAAGTGTCTTCGGTCGTCAGGCGTGTGTATAAAAATACTTCATTTCAAACACCATCGGCTTGACAACTCCCACTGTTCAAATTTAAATCAAACAGATCCACGAGCACCTGATGTCAACGCATCTGTTTCCGTGTCGATCGGAGACTCTTCAAGGTCAGGGGTGAGCAAATGCGTCAAATAAGTGGGCCGATACAGTCAATCGATGGTCCAGAACTCAATCGATCCAATGGCAGATATCGCTGCGTGCAACCCGCACTCCACTGACGCGGGAGAAATGTACCGTTGGGAAATTGCAAAGTATGTCCAGGAATCTTCCGGGTCTACCTTCGAGATGTCCGGCTTGCTGTCGTGAGCTGCTTTCGGGTGGCGGGGCCGTTTGCTGGCTTCTGGTATTGTCCTCGGAATGGCATGGCTGATGAGCTAACCCTCCGAGGATAGCGCCGCATCCGATGCAACTACCTAGGTACGAAGCTGAGGACGGTGGCCATCTATTATGAGAAATTGATATAAAATGGACACTCTGGACCGGGTAGAAGAGGGCTGCATCTGCCATTGTCTCGGGTACCAGTACTACATACAAACTTCTGGCGCATCTCTCAATACGCACTCTCCTCCTCGATACCATGACCGTCACCACTCCACTCTACTCGATGGTGAACCATCTTGGACAGTTGGCCGTGCAGGAAGGCTCGAGCCCTTCACCACAGACCCACCTGGAACTCTTGCGGATGATCGACCAACTTAGACTCGCCGTTGAATCGCCGACGGAAACCATCCTACGTCTCATCTACCAGGTATAACAGAGCGCCACCAAGCTGGTCGTTTTGTGAATTAAATTGCTGACGTGACCGACCACAAGCCCCCGCAGAATGCCGCATTACGCACTGTCATTGACATGCGAATATTTCCGCTGCTGATGGGAAACCAGTATCGCGAGTCGGGAATTTCTGCCGATCAGCTAGCAAAGTTTACCCATGCAGAGAAAGATCTGGTCGGTAAGAATCTCCAAATTTCTTTATCTCCGGCTGAGATCCTACGCCACAGGTGTCCTTGGCAGATCCCGCTAATCAGCTAAATAGTCCGACTGATGCGTGTCATTGCATCGTTAGGGCTTTGTTCAACCCCAGCTCCGGAAGTGTATCGGGCCAATGATAAGACGGTGGCATTGATTCAGCCTATTGGTAGAGACGGGGTACCGTGCATGTAAGTACATGCATGCAGTCTTTCCTTGAACCCACTGACATGTCAACCAGATACGACCTCACGGTGCCTACCTTGAGCAAGCTCCCCGAATACCTGCAGACTCACCAATATGCCAATCCACAGGAGTATACCTTGTCCCCGATGAAATGGGTTGTTGGCCAGAGTCAGTTCGAGTGGCTGGCATGTCATAAGGATCAGCAGGCGCTGTTCAACTCGTATATGGCGAGTCGCCGACAAGGCCGACCAATGTGGTTTGATACATACCCCGTGGGGCGGTTGTTGGGTCATGGGGTACCTTATAAAGACAGCGTCTTTCTAGTTGATGTGGGTGGTAATCAAGGCCATGATTTAAGCCAGTTTCGATTGAAACATCCTCACTTGCCAGGTAAGCTGATTTTACAAGACCTCCCCGACGTCGTCGAAGGCGTGTCCAGTAGGGACTCGGGGATTGAAGTGATGGGGTATTCATTCTTGGATCCCCAGCCAGTGCAGGGCGCGCGGGCCTACTATTTCCGATCCATCTTCCATGACTGGCCGGATCAAATCTGCCAGCAAATCCTGCTCAATACGATCTCGGCCATGGCCACGAACTACTCTCGCATCTTGATTGTAGATTTCGTGTTGTCGGACACGGATACTCCACTCATGCAAGCGGCGTTGGATATCCAGATGATGAGCATTGGTGCCGGCGTCGAGCGATCAGAGCGCCAGTGGCGAGTTTTGCTGGATAGCGTTGGACTGGAAATCAGTGGAATCTGGAATCAGTCGTCGGGGATGGAATCGGTGATTGAAGCTGTGCCAAAAAGCTCGACGGTGACAAGTTAAGGAAAAGAAGAAGCGGTAGAAATATGATTACTGTTGTAGATTTTATTTTTCCTAGCCATTTCCAAGGCAATTTAAGCTAGTAACTTCTCTAATTTGATCAAATTCGTTCTATTTTAAGACCAAGCCCTTTGCGACTGTTTCCGCCACGTCCTCGACGAGACGAATCGACCGAAATTGCAATCCACTCTGCTCTAAATGTCCTCGTAGCGCTGCTTGATATTCACCATTCTTCATCAATCCTCCAGTCAAGACAAGTTCCGACTTTTCGGCAGCCGAGAAACCGTTGGATCGACTATCAGTCAAACGAGCAAGGGTCTTATTGATGAGACGAGAGACTTGAAGCTGAACGATTTTCTTTGCAGCATCGTTGCCCTGGGCAAGTCTCAAGACAGCCTCTGCCACCCCAGCAATTCGAGTCTTGATATTCCGACCTTCTTGCGTAGAAAGAATCTCCGTCAAAAGATCAATACTTCCATCTTCTTCTGTAGGACACCCAAGCTTCTCGATAACAGCCAGCTCAAGTTCACCTAGATCGTGCGATTGTAGTCCCAGGGTGCGCTCTTCTAACACATCCAGCGTGAATTGGATCGCCTCACGGCCAATTGAATAGCCTCCACCTTCGTCCCCCAGAATGTGCCCCCAACCCCCGGAACGAGCCACGCGAACATACCCATCCTCCTGGTCCCAGTTGTATCGCATGGCAACACTACCAGTACCCGCGATCAGAACAACTACTGGCGGATGGTTGTCGTTGGAAGACACGGTAGCAGGCAAAAGATCTACATCGCTAGTCAATCGGAACGCGCCAGTTGTATGATTCAAGCCAAAGGTCTCGCTAAGTTGAGGAACCAAAGAGTCCTTCAGCCCGGTACGATCCAAGCCAGCCACCCCAATCCAGACCGAGTGGAATACAGTCTGCAGATAGCCTTTCCAGGCGGATGCGGTCAGCTCCTTCTCGGGAATGTGCTGTTTCAAGGCATTCTTGGCGGCTTCGATCAATGTGGATACTACTCCATCCACATTCGAAATGGCATCGGTACTAGTTTGCAATGTTAACGAGCGAAAAAGTCCCAACCAAGAAACGATATCATACAGATTGCATGGACCGGCATATCCGCGAGTCGTGTTTCCTGCTGCATCGGCAACTACCGCAGCGCACTTGGTACCTCCTCCATCAATGCAAAGCGCGAATTTCCTCGCGACCTCATTCGATACGGGCCGGACATTTGTCACTGCCACGTCCAGTGCCTTTGAAAGGATCCCCCCTGCATGCTTCAGATCTCCCTTGCAAGTTTCGACAGACTTGCCGGTCTCCGCAACAAGAAGAGCAAGCTTAACGCTGTGCTCACACTCGCTGAGCAGTTCGTCCAGATCAGATTCTACCATCGCGGCACACTTTGAGCTCAGTCGCTTCAGAATGTTCTTCGAACGCTGTTTCAGTTTCAAATTGGACGCTTGGAGATCAACCATCTGTATAATTGTTAATTATCATCGCTTGTCGTGAATGTTTAGGCACTATAGTGCCAAGAGAGCCCATACCATGTTACCGTAAGTCTTTCCAGTTCGAATCATTGTGCCAGTACTGAGCATATTGAGAACCAACTTTGTCGCCGTTCCAGCCTTCAATCTCGTGCTTCCAGTAACAACCTCCGGGCCCGGAAGAGGTGCGATCAGAAAGTCCACATTTCCAGACATTCCGATCATAGAGGGTTTCGCGCAGACAACACCAATAGTGAAACATCCCAATCTCTTGCCGAACGCGAGACACCCAAGCACATATGGTGTACGGCCCGAACTGGCGATTCCAATGATGCTATCCAGTTCGGGATTGAGGTTAAGATTCCTCATGTCCTCTTCGCCAGCGTGCTCGTCATCCTCGGCACCTTCTTGGGCTTGTCGAATTGCCGCATCTCCACCAGCGATTAACCCGATGAACTGTTCACGAGGTGCTGCAAAGGTAGGTGGTATCTCCGAGGCATCCAATACGCCAAGTCTGCCGCTGGTTCCGGCCCCGACATAAATCACTCTGCCTCCTCGGCGCACGCGCAATGCCAACCCATCGATGGCACCTGCGATGGCGGGCAGGCACGGTGTAACACTCTCGGAAACTCTATGGTCGTCCGCATTAATGATGGTGCACATCTCCAATGTTGAGATGCGGTCGATATTGACGGTCCGGGAATTGACCCCTTCCGTCTGCAGATTAGTCAAATTGCCGAGATCCATACTTGTAGGTTGCTCTCTGTTTGGGGGTTTTTAAGTTCGACGGGATATGAAATATCGAATAGTCGAGCAGCTTTGTGCAAATCGCAGCAGACTGGAATATGTGCAGGCTACGTGCAGGAGAAAAGCTTGCTCAGATGTGATGTGACACTGTTGTTCTTGCAAACCCGATCTCGCAATGCCGGCGCTAACCAGCAAATTTACCGACATCCGATGAGCCAAGCCGATACCAAACTATTGCGGGGGGCGTTACTAGACAATGTTGCAGCGAGCCCCCCCTTCGTATTCCATGTTACAGCCTCACGCGCCACATGTGTTTCTAGGCGAACCCACTTCGGTTCAAAGAGATGTGTGGCCGTGGCGGTTTATGCACACTATGTTGCTTGTGTTCTGAGTGGCGCAATGAGAGACATTCCCATCGACGTAGGTGAAGCGTGGGAGGTGTTCGTTCAGCTTATGCAAATTCAAACCAAGGTTTAGCTAAAATTAGCCCAGAGTTGAGGCCTGTCAGAATATTGTACACTGTCCGACTGTCGACAAATCAGGTCACACTCACACAAGCAATCAAATTCTTCACTGGCACCTATCGCGTGGTATTTCTGGATCCATGGTCGGGCCTGACCCAACACGCGAGACGTGGAGAAGCTCGTTTTTCTTCCCCAGAAACCTGCCCAATGTGGAGTACGGCGGTACTGCGGCAATTGTGAAGTCTGGGTGCTCGGTTCCTCGACAAATGTTGATGATCAGAGATTAGAATGCATTGTCGTGAGTGGTCTAATTGGCTTGATAGTTCCCCCCCCACTTCAAATACCACGACATCTCAGGAATCTAGGGATTAGCGTCGTCAGGGTCGCAACCCGCACGTCCTCGAATTGCCCAGCCCACATTCAGGCCGCCGAATCGAACCTGAAAGCCCTTCAAAGATCGCCGTCTCCCCGGAATTTTGTGGTTTTTTGGTTTCCCCATCCCATCATCCCCGCCAATCTACAGCAACATGGAGGACGGCAACCGCGTGCAGGAGACGACTGGCTCGATGTCGTCGGAGCCACACAACAAACGCTCGACTTTGTACACCATTTATTCGAATTCTTGGTTCCAGATTCTGTTGATTAGTTTTATTTGTTTTTGTTGTCCTGGGGTGAGTCCACCAGCCACTTGGAGCGCAATTGTTCGTGTTTTGCGTGATGCTCATTCTCGTTATAGATGTACAATGCCCTCTCAGGACTAGGAGGATCTGGACAAGTCAACCAGGCTGTTGCTGCAAATGCCCAGGTGGCTTTGCTTTCTGCGACTGCTGGTACAGCGCTGTTTGTCGTTGGTCCAATCTTCAACCGCGTCGGCCCTCGCGTCTGTCTTCTCATCGGCGGCTGGACTTATCCCTTGTATTCCGGCAGTCTGCTCTGCTTCAACTGTAAGCCGTCCATTAAAACTTGAAGATATACTATGTGTTATCTATGACAACATGACTGCTAACATATTTGCTAGCTACTAATAATGGCTCCTTCGTCATCGCCGCCGGTGCAATCCTCGGTATCGGCGCATCCTTCCTTTGGGTTGCGCAAGGAGCCATCATGACGACCTACGTCCCTGAATCCCAAAAGGGTCGCGCTATCGCAGTTTTCTGGATCATCTTCAACCTTGGCGGCGGCGTCGGTTCACTCGCTAGTTTCGGTCTCAACTATAACTCCACCAGCGGCACTGTTTCCAACGGAACATACATCGCCCTACTCATCTTGATGGCAATCGGCTGGTTGTTGGGCGTATTTATTTGCCCACCCGCTGCCGTACGCGTTAAGCAGCTCCAGGCGACCCCCGAAAGAAGAGAAGAACTGGAAACAGACCCTGCTCGTTTCAGTGCGTGCGATCGCAGACTGGCGCGTGTTGTGCATGTTACCCCTGTTCTTCTCTGCAAATGTCTTCTACTCTTACCAGCAGAATGTCGTCAACGGAATGACCTTCAACATTCGATCCCGTTCGCTGAATGGCGCCCTCTACTGGATTGCGCAGATGCTGGGCGGTCTGATCATCGGTCTCATCCTTGATCTTCCTGGTTTCAGCCGTCCTACGCGTGCGCGTATTGCTTGGGTCTTCCTCTTCGTGACTGGTATGGCAACTTGGGGTGGTGGCCTGGCTTTCCAGAAGTGGTTCGATGAGCGTACAGCGCGGGGTCTGAAACAGGATATCGATTATACCGATGGGTCTACCTCGGTCGGTCCGATTTTCTTGTATATCTTCTACGGCACGTACGATGCCTTCTGGCAATCCTTCTGCTACTGGTTGATGGGTGCTCGGTCTAACTCTCCGGCTGTTACTGCTGTTCTGGTGGGCGCTTATAAGACTTTCCAGAGTGCCGGTGGTGCCATGGCGTGGCGCATCAATGCTATGGGTAAGCCAGCTATGACGCAGTTTGCCTTGGATTGGGGTCTATGTATGGGGTCGCTGGTTATTGCCATCCCCACTGTACTTGCAGTGACTTTGACCAGTGAGTCAGATGATGATATCAATGCGCAGCGCATGTCAAGCGATGATGAGAAGCCCCAGGCCCAATTGAAAGAATAATATGATCATGGAGGGGGTAATTTTGTCTGTTCTTCATCGCACCCCGTCGCATCCTTATACATGGAATCTTCTATTCACGATAATTGTACACATTCACCTGTCCAGTTTATATTCCTCCGGTCTATAGTCCGGTATTGTAGCCATCTCGGAGTTGCGCCGTGGTGATTGATAGCCATCCCACTTTCCCAGGGATGATATTATAAATTAAATTAAAGTAAATTAAGATAGTATCTAACTATATAATGCTTATTACTTCTCCCTTACCTGCAGAATCAATGATGGTGTTGCCAATCGCAATATACCACCCGTCTCATGGTGGTAACCAAGGTAGTCGTATACTTCAATTACCGAGCGGCAACTGGCCAGTTTATCCGCCGACTCCGCAGCTTCCTTTCCTCTTCACTTCCCTTTACCACCTCCTCTCTTCTTCTCATCCTCCTCAATTCCTCCCTCCTCCTCGACCTCCACGCCCACTCTCACAATGGGTCTCATCAGTCGCACTCTCAAGATTTCTGCCGCGGGTACGGTCGCCTCCATCGGTGTCTTCTTCGGCGCCACGCGCAATGACGTCTTCCAGCCCATGGACTCCTCCGATCCCATCTTCTCCTCGCCTTTCTTCCAAAAATATAACCCCAACCGCAACCCCACCCTGCATGATGTCTGCGTCCGTCGAATTGAGCTTTCCAAGATCGAGCCCTCCCTGTTGGAGAAGAAGGGCAAGCTAGTCGAGGCCTTTTGCGCCGGTGTCTGGGGCGGCATGGGTGAGTCGGTTCCTTCGCATTCGAATTGATACGCGTGCACAGCTAATCCGCCAATCTTCTCTCCTGTCTAGGATACATGGCTCAACGCGCATACTTCGCCAATAAATACCAAGGCCCCGAGACGGCCACCCACCTCTGGGATCGCAAGGACCTCCTCTCCAACACCTACGAGGTCGGCACCGTGATCACCGACCACTTCGAAGTCCTCGAGAAGACCGACGAATCTATCACCGTCCGCTGTGGCGATACCCCCCGACACCCCGACATCCGCAAATCCGACGGTCTCTTCGAAATCTCCGCCGTGGTCAAGCAGGAGGAAGGCATCGCGGAGTTCAAGCTGAAGAGCTGCTTCTACCAGGGCGAGGGCAAGGCTGAGGGTTCTCCAATGGGTCCCGTTATGACTTGGTTGCATCAGCAATATACCAAGCTCTGGATGGAGACTGCTATTCTGAAGAATGTTGTGAAATAAGAGTCCGTGGCTGAGGGCTTGCGACCATTGGTGTATATACATTTCCATTATGCTCTACGACTTGACACTGCTAGGTGGGAATGAAAGGAGTTCCCCTGGCCAGCCTGTGCCAAAAGGGACACAAACCTTTGTGTGGATTTCCCAGGTTATCGTGAAGGAAAAGAGAATTTCAATGTAGAGATGCGATGCGATCAAGAAGGAGACAGAAACCTCACTCGGCAATGTCATGTTCCACTGGGAGTAATCTAGAGCTCATTAGTACTTTGATTATTATTATCTATCTTCATTCAAGTTCAAGTTTGCAGCCAAGAAGCTATATCAGGGTGTTGTGGCAGATCCCGTGATATAATACTAATACTACTAGGAGCGCCGAGTATCTGCCGCAATATTCCTTCGTCACCCCACAACCTCCACAACCTCCACAATCACCCCCAGTTCGGACACGAGCCCTGCTGTGGCCATCGTTCTACCAGTATAGAAGTCGATTAATTACAAATCAATCACTTTCGATCCTCTACGGACATTCCACCCTCGGGATTCCCGAGCGGCGCCCTCCAACAGGCCCAACGATTCTCAACAGAACTGAACATATCCTCAAGGTTCTGCAAAACGATGGCAAATGCACGATCGTCAAATCCAATTCGGATGGTATGGAATCAGGAGAGACGTGCTTTGCTTCATCTCGACCATTTCCAGCGAGGACTGGGTCGGTACGCCTCGTCACCGACCTCGGGACGATCTCCACCAGGCGCAAAGAATGTCGGAAATCCCGGACATCTCTCCTCCCTATCCACATATTTTCTTTCTCACCGGACCCAATGAGGCCAGTCCCTGGCCAATCGTGCATTATTCCCTATTATCTCAACTACTTCGACTGTGGGGAAGCCCTCGTCACAGGCCGATCGTCTGGGGATATTTGAGGACCCAGCTTCGCCCCGTGCCGACTGGCTGATCGACTCTCCTTACTTGGTTCCGGGGTCGATAACACTTTATTCACGACGACCGATCATACAGCATGACAGATACTAAAGTGGAATCAAACCTATACTCAACATCCAATCATTTGGAGTCCAGGCCTGATCGGGATGGGCACGATGTTCCTTCTGTGGCGGACTTGAAGTCGACTTTGGACACAGCAGAAGAAGATCCAAATAACCCCCCAGGTAGATTCCCCATACTCAATCCGGGCGAGGCACAACTAACTGGTGTCTGTAGAACTGGTCTTTGACCGCCAAGATTTGCACATATCTGACCATCTGCTCCTTCACATTTCTCGCCAATACCAACTCCAGCAACTTTACCGTCGCGACCCAGGCAATCATCAAAGAATTCAACGTTACCCAAACCCAAGCTGGATCCTTGGTCTGTTTCAATGTCTTTCTTTTCGGCGTGGGGAATATCTTCTGGGTTCCGCTGATGCGGGTCGTCGGCAAACGTCCGGTTTACCTGGTCTCCATGCTGCTGCTCTGCATCATAAACGTATGGTCGAGTCGGGCCAGTAGCTATAACGAACTACTTGCATCTCGCATTGTCTCTGGATTTGCAGCGGCCGCGGCAGATGCCACCGTTCCGGCGGTGGTGGCCGATATGGTCGCAGCCAAAGACCGGGGCCACTACATGATGTTTTTCCACCTTGCCATGACAGCTGGTCTGTTTGTGGGTCCCATGATCAACGCTTTCCTCGTTCAGCAGCAGGATTGGCGCTGGATGTGCTACTTTATGGCAGTCGCTGTCGGGGTCATCTTTGTGGTCTCAATCTTTACTATTCGGGAGACTTCTTATCTCAAGCGACACCGAGATGAGAGTAAACGGACTCATCTTCAGTGGATGTCGTTGACTATCGGATACAACCGGGATGCCTCATTTTTCCAGACTCTGCTGGATATCCTGGGCAATGCTACTTACCCACCAATTCTCTGGTGTTCATTCACTATCGGTATCTCCGTTGGATGGTGAGTAGCCTCAATATCATATCATGTCTACCCTTTTAACATTGGTTTAGGAATATTGTCGTTCAACTAACCTCCTCTCGGACTTTTACCAAACCGCCTTATAACTGGAAGCTAGGGAGTGAGGGTCTTTTCCTGCTGTCGGGGTTCATTGGCGCAGTGTTGGCCTTTTATATCGGTGGTCGACTAATCGATGTCGTCTCGTCCCGAAGTACCGCACGACATGGCGGCGTCCGTATGCCCGAGTATCGCCTACCTGCTATTATCATCCCCGGTGTCATTGGACCAGCTGGGATTCTTATCTTTGGACTCTGCATTGCCCACAAAACACATTGGATCGGCCCCGCATTTGGATTTGCCATGCAGGCCTTCGGTCTCGCCGCCATCTCAAACGTGGCTGTGACATACTGCCTGGATTCGTACAAACCGGTATGGCATGATTAATACTCTCTCCTCGGTTGCATTGAAATTAACACTTGACAGGTAACTGGCGAAGCCCTGGTTATTATCTTCGTTATTCGGAATACTATTGGCATGCTGCTATCTCTATATGCCGCGGATTGGATCGAGAAGCAGGGCCCTGCACCTGTGTTTGGTGAAATGACGGCGATCCAAGTGGTGAGCATTCTATTTGCCATTCCGCTCTATGTTTGGGGCCGTCCGCTGCGAGACTTCACCTCTAGATATGGACCGATGAAACGATTTCAGACCGCTTAGGCAGATCATTTGTCATTATTTTTGTGAACTCGCTTATTGGGTAGTAGTACTCCAAGATCTCTTTCAACAAATATCATGAATTTCGGTAGTACTAGTCGTTCAAGTTGGCACTGCCAGTGGGCTTGGAGTATAGGAATCGTTTCAGTATCTGCGTAGCATAGATAGCATACGTGACTCTGAGTCGTGAATATCGTTTGTTCCCGTAATTCCCAGTCTTCCCTAGTAGCTCAAGAGGAACTCAACAGAGGTTTTCTAGAGACACTAGGTTAATTTCTTGACTCAGTATAGGGATCATATGGGGGAGCTGGTATATCCTGCAGGGGTACCTTGGACCCGGATGAGGCAGCTTCATACCTTCTGCGCCGATAGCAAAAGAACCTTTTGTTAAATGGGTCGTTAATTTCAAGGTATCTTGAAGGATTGCATACAAATTTCAAGCTTACCAGACTCTAGCAGCTAAAGAAGCAAGAAAGGGAACCCCAAATCTCCTTCCTATTAATAAAAAACATACTTAGATTTACTGGGCTTGCTTGGCTGTAGGAACTTATTAAACATAGTAGTCTCTATGTACTTTTGTGAAGAAGCAGTTTAGGTCCGTCGTGTGTACTCTGAACTGGTAATTAGCTAATTAAGATATACCGAACAAAACTCCATAAGGACTTAAACAAGTAAACTCAAGTGTTCGATACCAGGCAAGCACTGATTTGAATGATATCGCTGACTATATTATATTTAATGCTTAATTGCTGCCAAAGACTTGCAAATTGACTCTTAATTTCAAGGGACATCGCGGGTTTGCTGGGCTTTTTCTCTTTGTATGGGTCACGATTGTAGGACCTGATGATATTTAGATTTGTATCGAACAGGGGACTGGTTGGGCGATATCGGTGCTTTCGTGGTGTACTTGCGAGCTTCGTTTATGGATTGGACTGGAGAATTGGGCTCCATTGTACCCTGAAAGGGTTGATAACGTTGGAACCCAGAAAATGGTGTCTTTTATATGCACATAGAAGGTCATGATATTGGCGAAACCGATGTCAGTTGAACACATGCACTGGAAGTATTTCCTCAACTCCACAGCGGGATCCTGCTTGTAATCGTCGCATCATGCAAAGTAAGCAGAGATTGGATCTATTGAAGACAATTATTGTTATTATACATAATTCATGGTATTTCACACACAGCGTTAAACGCTCAAGGATCATCCATCAAGAGTTGCAAGGCGAATGGCTTTCTCAACATCGCGCTTTCGGAACGCTGGTCCGCGACCGAGACAGATAGGGCCGAGGGAAAGATCTACAACAAGGTCAGTAAATGTATGGACAAGAAGAAAAAAAGAAACATTGATCTCGGCATTACTCACATTGAGTGAAACTCGCTGCGTTGAGCTGCGGGGACGAATTAAACCGGGGACTGGAGGGGGGCGAGCTCGGGTCCTGAATACGAATCCCCCGCTGCTGTAGCAGCCTTTGCACACCACTCGCATCCATCCACTCATCAGCACCCGATTCATTGACAATTTGCCACGCTCGAGAGGATACGGTGAGTTGTTCAGGCGAGTAGCTGTTCCTCCTTGAATTGAGAACGTTTGTACACAATTCGACCGTGTCTCCCATGTCGTCGTGCATGGTGGCGAAGAATCCGAAGATGAAGCGGTTGCGCTCGTCGATGGTCAATCGTTTGCCGAAGATTGCTTTGACCCTTGGATCGTCTCCAGATGAGCTTGTTAATAGATAATATCCAGTCTCGCAGCATTGTCGGACCAGACGGTGTGAGAGCGACCAGCAGCCTTGCTTTAAGAGGAAGTTGTCGGGCGATGCTATGGTCGAGAAATTCAAGGCGGGATAAGGGATGGATGAGAAGGGGATATTCGGAGACGACGAGACTATTCCGAACGGTAGAATTGCTTGTTCTTGGAAGGGTGGCGTGGGGGGGGAGTTGTGACAGTTCAGCCCCTTGAGCCGCGAGGTCCGACGAGGACTGGAAAGCGTCACCGATAATTGGCAACTTGAATGAATCAAGTTGCGTTATGGGCGGATTGTAAGTTGAGATTATATCTTGTGTATCGCTGAGCGTGGGAGACGTCGATCGCAATACGTCCGCCGGGGCTGCAGGTGCTTGTTCGGCCTCTTCGCAGCCACTTTTGGCAAGCGACACGCATTGCTGTGTAACTTTTTGCAGAGCAGCTGTGACACGAGGCTGATTTTGAAGAATCCCAGCCTCGAACAGAAGACTACTGAAGGAAAGGAACGACTTGCTGAGCTCTTCGATGCCCGACTCGAGTTCCTGTACGCGAGATTGCAGATTGACGATCGTGGTCTCTTTTCTCTTGCGATATACTTGCTGCGCGACGCGAAGCTGCTTTCGACGTCTCTGGATTCCTTGAGTCAGTTCCAAACTTGCTCTGTAGTTGCTCGGGATGTACCCACCTCGGGAACTTGCTGATCGTCCGCCACAGCTCGTGGCCGGCCTCTCTTGCGAGGCGCGCGCGCGTCAGTCATTGCTTCGATCATCGTGTACTGCTTTTGAGGCCTTTTCTTTATCTTGAAGACATGCAGTGATGTAATGGATAATCTGAGAATGCGAAAAGGACGTGACGGGGTGGGCGTCGGGACTGTTGAATAATCGAAAAATCGGTGGATCGCCATGATTGGCCCGAATTCTCTGCCCAAAGATTATTGCTAGGCGGCTCCAAGGAGTTTTACTGTACAATACGGATGGCTCGTTTGTTACGGTTTATGCAAGACATTTCCTTGACTGACCCTAAGCTAAGTTAGTTAAATAACCTATTGGCTTAATTATTAATTTGGCACCGCTACTACTACTCCCATCAGATCAGATATTGGGCCTTTGCGTCTGGATATTTATTCATATATCTTGGTGGGGTAATGGCTAACGGCAGATCCTCAGATTCTAATTTCAAACGAAACACACCGGCAGTCATTTGTTATGAATTGTGAATAACTTATGGGAAGCATACCCAAGAGAGGTAAAAAAAAGAACATACTGCTAATTTTAACCCGCAGATCTCGAACCTAAAAAGATATTGATGATACCCATTGCATCATCCGGTCGGTGTGTTGTGGTAGACAGGTCTGCTTAACGATCACGAGAGACGCAAAAAGGGCAAATAATTCCAAAGTCGTCGGGGATCCTTTGGATCGAAGCTTAGCGTGTAGAATTAGGAATAAGCTGTATAGTCGCCGAAAGACCATCACCAGCTCACGAGTTACAATCAAGAATCGAGGCTCATTGTGGTCTCCTTCAGCTCCGTCTTAAAACTTGAAGCATGAAACATTTTATATGTCGATTTGATGTCTCGGAAGAGCTCGCCTGGGTTGAACAATGCGAGCCAAGCGTAAATTCCCAAGGGACCACCCTGATACCGCTTTACGCGGGGGCGACCGGTCTCACCGTTGACTACAGCGAGGTACTGCTGGGAATCGCCAGAACGTTTAACGTTCATTTTCGTGTAGGACTTGATGGAATAGGCGTGGTAGAATAGAAATGCAAAGGGAACCACCTGTAGACAGATAATCAGGGTAGGCAATCCAATGATGATGTCTGCATAGCTCAGGGTATCAGAGGGCTTGAGGGTGCCGGTGGCATCAAGAACCATAAACACGATCTGTTTGATTGTCAGTGGCTTGACACGCTTTACATTGAAAAGGGGTTAGTCTTTCTGACCTGCTCTAAAAACTCAAGACCAACAACAAGCTTGAATGCCAAGAGCTTCATCATTGGCTTCTGTTCTTGCATGTGAGATTTTAGGTTACCGTGGAACCTGAGGATATTGATCATTGCCATGCCGAGCGATATGATTCCAATGATAGTGATCTAATATTCGGGCCGTCAGATTTGAATACACTGTCAAAATATACACCGGGTGTACTTGCCCATAAGTGAGCGAAATTGGCTTTGTTACCTTCGAGGCAGTAAATTCCCAGTGCTTGTGTGATGCTCTGAGCAATAGCAAGAATAAATGAGACGATTGGATACTGCAGAACAAAGAACCAGGTATACTGCGCGCGCAGAAAGTCAGATGAATCTCCTGTTGTCATATTGGTTTCGAATTACCAACCTTCAACCACGACAAGCCGTCCGTCGTTTTGGTTGTGCTGTATCTCTTTGGAATTCTCAAAGATGCAAAGAACTCAGCTCTGTGTCGGTCGTTTGGTGTCACAAAGTCACAGAGTAACATGAGAAACCAATACAAAGCAATACCTTGGAAAACCTTCGTCCATCCAACCAGGTATACATATGCGTTGGGAAAGCATATTGAAAGCAATGAATAGACCGTATATAATGGGAACAACGTGGCGATTCTCATAATTCTTGAATAGATTTCGGTTAGTATTTCCAGTAATCTAATCATTCCAGGACAAGGCTTATTAAAATTACTTGACCTGTTCATTTGGATCACTTAGATGCGTTGCATGTCGACCCATAACCACGAATATCACCAAACAAGTGATACCCGTGCAAGCGCCGGAGAGTATCATATTGAATTGGTGAAATGTGAAGTCCCCGACAAAGGTTTCAGATGCATCTATTCAGGAAGATAATCAGTTTATTGAGTTCGGAAGACCATCGAGGTTAATTGCTCACCAGGGACTAGATGTGCCGGCATCGGGCAAGTTGGCTTGGCTTTCTCCATTGTTATCCTCGATGACCGGGACAGATTTGTTTTGGTCAGTGTTTTATAAAGGTGGAGGTTCAGTAAAAGTATGAATTAGTCTTGAATAGGAATTATTCAAGGTGAGTCGGTTGTATGGTAATTTGAGAAAAACAGAGAGATAGACCTGGCTTTTATATCCATGAGCTACTGCGAACTGAAGTTGCGTCGCCCCATTGAGTCTCAGCCTTGCTGATATTTTTAGGGTATGATATATTCCGAATACTCCACAAATGAAGTCAAACAGCCCTCCAACATGGCTCTCCGACTCTGCAGCTGGACGTCATCAGCCCAACTAGTAGATAAAGCCTCGCGGATTCCACTCCGAATGGGGAAGAGGAGGTATAGAAAGTTTCTAAAATTCAGACATTCTATTGATCGACCTACACGAGTACTGCCCTTGTGGTGGGGGCTATATCTGGCGCGCTAGGTGATTTGTTGTGTATACGAAGCGGCACTTTCAGATGGGTCAAACATCTGATTTACCTCAAAGAGATTAGTGTGAGCGGGAACAGGACCCTCTACGCTAAGTATATCTAAGCCAATCATATTTCTTCCATATTTAGTCTTACATGGCTGTGACCAGCCAGACGGCATCTGGTATACTCTTTTCAGCAAGTATATGTAGATCAGTTTAGGTCAGTGGCTTCTCCCGCATGCTACGTAGCCAAAGCCTGGTCTGTGGGGCCGCTTGGGGACCCGTGGCGGGTTTCAGGGCTGTGAACGACACAACTCATTCCTGACATCAATTCGACAGCAAAGGGACTTAATATTTCTTCATCCCTGCCCATGGGCCGGCGACTTGTGATCGGTGAGTGTAGGCACGTATAGGTGCATACATTCGCGAATTTAACTTCCACTGTTATTCGTAGAAGCTGAAATTCCGTAGGGGTGTAGAGAAGTTACAAGAATTACTAGTATTCAGTCTATGGCCGAGGCTTATAGCGTCACGGCTTCCCGTTTAGTATTGTGGCATGCGTTGACGGAGCTAACTTTGCTGTTTCAATGTATTCAATGTAGAAACAGTCAACCCAAGCACATTCTCCGGATCAAACCTCGACTTTAGAACCTTCAAAACTTCTATCCTAGATCCCTAAATCTTTTCAAGGTATTCCTCCGTTGAGTCCGCCTGAAGGTGAGAATTCTATAGCGAAATGTAGCCCGTTGGGAGAATATAACCCGGAGACGCCTGCAGAACATCATCTGCAACGCCCACTGCCCAAGCCTCTGCCTCAGACTGCATGCTAGTCTAGTTTGAAAACCCAAGGGTCTCGAGCACGAAATGTGGATCCCGCGCCTCAAAGATCGAAGCAACCTGAGAATTCGTCCATTTTCCGCGGATCTGGTGAATGGACATCATTGTGCCGGGATTGTTTAGCAATTCAGCCTACCGCGCCCGATTGCTTCAGCAGTTTCCGAAGAAATCACAGTCACATTATGCGTAAGAGCGGAGCCATATACTCTCGACGGTACGTGGGCACATCCGGTATTGTTGTTGGAACAATGGCGTTCATCATAACAGGACCAAGGGCAGCAATTTTCCGGCTCCAGTACTGACCTCCTTCAAGGTCACCGCTACTCCAACCGAATCTAATGGCAAAAGCGCGTCCTTGAGGGCCGTTGAATATAGTTTGTTGGAGAATCAACTCGACGGGGATATCCTCTTCCTCAAGTTTTCGATGCTCGGCATTATACTATACGAAGGTTTTACAGAATCTCCAATAGCAATAATAATGAATTCAACTTCGTGTATGTTCTAAAATAATACAAGTGCGTCCTGCCACAAAATGGCAAGCGAACTCTCCCATCAAACGAGTGACAAGGCGTCAAACAACACCATAGTGGAAAATCCCCAAATCTGCTGGGTCATAATCTCTCAGGTGACAGATCACCTATGATAAACCTATTTAGGCAAGGGGGAATCCGAGCAGAGAGAGACCAGTGGGAGTAGGGACTGCCTTTCCAGTAGAGGAGGGGGTGACAGAAGGAGTGGCAGAGGAAGCGACAGGAGTGAAGCTGGGAGTGAACTTTGGAGTTCCGGAAGGCGCAGTAGAAGGGGTAGCACTCCCACTAGGAGTCGCAGGGGTGCTAGTAGGAATAGGGAGATCGCGCTTCTGGGCTCCAGCAGAGGCGAGGGCAGCAGCCACGGACTGGGCATCCCCAACCAGCGAGGGGAGATCAGTAGGAAGTGTAAGCGAGCCGTCGCGCTTCTGGGCGCCGGCAGAGGCCAGAGCAGAGCCGATGGATTGGGCGTCTGAGACCAGCGAGGGTAGGTCCGTCGGGATTGACAGGGTCTCGCCGCGCTTCTGGGCACCCGAGGAGGCGAGCGCAGCTGCGACAGATTGGGCGTCGGAAACGAGGGAAGGGAGATCGGTGGGGATGGAGAGATCCTCGCCGCGCTTCGCGATCACGGAGGCTGACCCCGAACCATAAGGTGTGGATGAGGGAGGGAGGCTGGCGGAGGAAGAAGCGAATGGGTTGGGCAGAGGAGGGTCACTCGGGGTTGCGCTGACAATGCTGCTCGGGGTACCACTGGGAGTACCACTGGGAGTGCGCGAAGGAGTGGGAAGTCCAGAGCCAGAGGCATAGACGGAGGTGCCGTTAGAGTTGAACGGGGCAGCCAGGGCAGAGCCCGAGAGGGCCAGAACAAAGGTAGCGACGGAGGTCTTCATTGTGAATAGATTTAGAAAAGATGTAGTTTGTCAAAGAGTGTTGTCTTGTAGAATAGAAGAGTTGATCTGAAGAGAGTTGATCTGAAGAGAGTGTTGGTTGTTTGATGATGAACAAAGCTAGACGGTTTCGATGGGTGCTTTATATCCTTTTCCAAGTGATACTGTCGGTCACGAACGATCTACTTGTTCATAATCCCAAAAATGAGTGAATCGTTCGCCGTTTAGCCAGATCCACCTCCATGGGGTCTCCACATCGACTGTTGCTTATCGTAGGGAGTGTTGGGGACATTCCCTCTGATTGGATTTGTCTGGCCCAGGGCAAGGAGATCACCGGGTGTCGGTATCGGTCGATTCCAAGTTCCACGATATCGATGGTATGGCGCCATCTAGGCGAAAGTTAATCGATGGCTTAGTGTAGATCATCTACCTTGAGTAGAAGCGTGTCTGGGGTCAACCGATGGTACAAGGTACAGTTTCCTGGAAAATAGTTGAAAGTCTGCGCGAATTGTCGACTGCCGGTCCCCACAATGGTATTTAGGTTTGTCGTTTCAGAGCCATTATTCAGTCACGACAGGGAAATAGAGTGGCAAGGGGAGAGAGAACTTGGTGGAGAGGGCTCACCACGAGGGTTGATAAGGATAAAAAAGCTGGACGCATTTGGAATTAAGCCCGACTGCGAAAGTATTGTGATTGGTTGAGGCATGGATGTAGAGAAATCAAAGCCTGGCTCACCAGGGACTATGCCAGGAACTTTTTTCGGTGCCGATCGACAATCCCTGTTGATCACCGTTGGTGAGCATTGAAATCGCCGGATTTGTGCATACAACCGATATAGCCATTAATGGTCCGCGTATCAAGGTTGTGGATGTGCATGAATTCTCCGCCGATGAACCACGGTCTGCTCGGCTTTGCTCCACACCAGCAAAATGCATTCCTTCTCGTAGCATGTTCGAGGCAGGGCCGATTCATGGCCAGGTCGGCAATTCAGATTACACACGACATCCGTGACCGTTCTTGCTCAGATAATGCACATGGCCACGTCAGTTTGAGATCTCCGTGCAAGGCATAATGATGGCCCACTGCCCCTTCGAAAAAGGATCGACGGTGGCGGTAGGGTTCCCGAGGCCGAGGCCGATGCGATAGGAACGGCACTCGGCACTAGAATACCATTTCAGCCCGAAGGATGGTCACATATCGGTATCCTTGTCGATTGGTAGATGCTTGAGGGCATTTGATGTAAAGTGGGATCATCATGCCTTGAGAATTGCAGTCACAGATAACAGACTCGAGGCACTGCGAATAGTTTGATAGAGATTTTCTAATCTTGCATGCCGAATGACTATTTAGGTGGATATCTCGCTGTGTGTTGTGTAAAGCATTAAGAGCCCTGCCAGTGGACGTTCCCCATCCTTCGGAATGCGTCCCCAGGTGGGACTTGGAGTAGAGTGAACCCCCTGCAGGAATTCTGACGTCGCCAATCTGGAGGAAACTCCATATTCAACTTGAACTCAACCCTAATGTCCAAGGATCGACCAGTTACGACGGTCTCCGTCGTATCCTGTGGCATAGACGAAGTGGCGATTCAAGTTATTAGATGGGCTCACGATGCCTCTAGCCAAACCACTCTTGCATCTTCGATGCAGATTAATTGAAGGTACCAAGGACATCTTCCAAGGTTGTCGGCCGAAAGGTCAGAGACCGCAAGCCTTGTAACATGACTCGGATGAGGTCGATTCGTTCGTAGTCTATTCTTTGCGCACCCCCAACCCCTAGCAGGATTCTGATGTATTTGGCTACTTTCGAGAGTTGTGAGAGAAATTAATCCATTAGTCCTTACGGATATTATCGTAATTCACCAGAGCTAGTATACACTGGTGACTCTATTTATTCATGGTTCAGCGCCGATCACTGATTCGTGGTCATCATGGGACCTCCAGCAAAGGAGCTCAATTGCGGCGAGTAACCTTGACCCACTGAGGTTCAAGGTTATCGCCAATGGCACGGCGGGCCTCCTTCTCCAGCTCGCGGTGGCTAAGGTCGCCGCGCTTGGAGATCTTAGAAGCCGAGTCCTCACGCGACAGCTGCACGTGCAGGTAGACAGCGGCTTTCTTGCCAGAGAACATAGCGTGTGGCACGTTGGTGCTACCGTCGCTGTTGGCATCTCCGATGGCGTACACGCCGAACTCACTGGCACGCATGCCGCTAGTGTCGACAACGATCTTCTCGTCGGAGACGTTGAGACCCATCTTGTAGGCCAGGTCGGTGCGCTGGGCAGTGTGGAAGTTCGTGATGAACGCACCACGCTCGACGGGCTCACCCTCGGTGAAGTGGACCAGGAACTTATCATACTGGGCGTCGAGAGTCTTGTTCTGGTGGACAGCACCATCCTGAATGCGCTCAATTGAGGTGATGGTGCGGTTGTCAATCTTGACGTTCCACGCCTTGAGCTGCTCCTTCCAGTCATCGTGCGAGGCGGTGGCTTGGGCTTCACCCTCGGGGTTTTGAGTTCCATTCACAAACGCGGTGATATCAGAGAAGAGGGTGTTGGTCTCCAAAACACTTCCGAAGACGTCTGACAGGTTACCCAGGACACCCAGAGGTTGATCACGGTGCTAAAAAGAAAAAGTAGTCAGCAAAGCTACATCCGAATGCTTCAATTTGTATATATATATGGAACTTACCTCCCAACCGTCGCACCACGGGCACCACCAGATACCCTTACCGAAGCCCTCCTGAAGGCCAGGAGTATCGGGTAGAACATCACGTAGACCAGTACCAAGCACAATTTTGCGAGCAGTGTAGTTCTTTCCGGTAGCATCGGTCACGGTGAAAGCAGAGACATCGTCGGTACCGGTGGAGGTGATAGACTTGACCGTGCCGTTCTTGAAGTGGGCCGAGGGGTACTTGGAGATCTGCTCTCTGGCAAGGCCACGGAACTCGTCAGGGGGAGTACCTAGTTTGGTCAGCGGGGTGGATTTGGAGAAAGCTGTCAGATCGGGGAATTACCGTCATTGCCAATGACATCGTGCATGTTCCGCGTGGGGCCGTTACGGTAGCGGTGGTCATCAAACAGCAAGGCTGAACGACGCACGCGCGAGACACCACTCAGGGCACTGAGACCAGCAGGGCCTCCACCCACAACGATGACATCGTAGTCGGTCTTGGGGATGGCCTCGGCGGAAGCAGCCAGTAGGGACAGGGAAAGAGAAAGGAGGGATGCGACCTTCATGGCGACGGCTTTGATCGAGGGTGATGGAAGACAATTGGAAACCTCGAGGACACGCGTGACAGAGAAAAGACAAGAGCCACGGGGATCAGCTGGTGGAGGCAAGTGCCCTCTTATGTATAGGGGTGTGGATATAGTTTGAGGGTTGCCGGGTGACTGGCAGCGACAACCCAGTGAAAGCTGGGCATCTTGCGCATCGTGGGCCGATCAAGATCTCGACTGGGAGATGTGGAGGAGAATTGGCCGGACTTGCAGGAATCATGCTCGCCGGAGCTAAACGCGGTGCACGATTGTCGGGATCGGCAACCCTTGCGGGGCGGGTGGTGGAGCGACAGAAAGAATTGGGGACCAAGAATCAGGCATTCGATGACAGCGACTGTACGGAGTTCTTGGACTCTCGGTATACAGAGAGTACATTGTGGTCAATTGTGGTATCTGAAATGAAGCGTAATGCTGGTGGGGAGAAGAGGAAGTAGAAAGTCACATGTTGAGGTCATGTGCTTTGTGTTTATGTTTGTGTGTTCACAGGGAAAGAGCGAGGGTCCTACTAACTACTGTAAAGACACTCGGGGAAGGCGCGACCTGCGAACTGCGATCGGCACTTAGTCTTGGCATTCGCCAATCACCTGACTCTTCCACCCCTTCCTCTTTTCTCTTTTTCTCTTCTACATCTACTCTCCTCCATTATTTTCTCCTCTATCTATGTTACATTTGCATTCTTGTACGGAGTATGGGAAGGAACATTCTGCTGTCTCGTACTTTGTGCGACCAGCACGCCATCTGCGGGCACCATCTCAGCTCTATCGATAGTTCGGTGGCGCCGCATCCCGTGGTGGAGTCCCGAACCAGCCCGCTCCAATCGCCACGAACACACGATTCTGCAGAATGAGATCATGAGATCAAAAATGGATAGAGTGGAGTGAGGATGGAAGACGAAAGCAAGAAAAAAAAAGCGTGTTTTGATCCCGATCAGTATCTACATACGGAGTGCAATATGTACATATGCTAATCTATGTACTCACGGGGCTGGCACTATCGACCCATCCACCCACCATCCACAGTCAAGATTTCTCCACTGACGTACGCGCTTGCTCGACTCGCCAGATACACCACCGACCCCTTGAAATCCTCCGGATCCCCCCAACGCCCCGCGGGAATTCGTGCAAGAATGCTGGCCGCCCGCTCCTTGTCCTGAATAAGAGCCGTGTTCATGTCGGTCGCGACATAACCCGGTGCAATCGCGTTCACATTAATCCCCTTGGATGCCCATTCGTTTGAGAGGGCCTTGGTTAGTTGGGCAACACCTCCCTTGGCCGCCGCGTAGGCAGGTACTGTCAGACCGCCTTGGAAGGAGACTAGCGAGGCGACGTTGATGATGCTGCCGCGGGAACCGGATTTGTTGGGTGGCCGAGTCAACATGTAGGCTCCCACATCGCGGCAAAGGGTAAAGACGGTGGTGAGATTGACTTGGAGAACCTGCAATAAATCCAGCATTAGCTCCGGTTCGAGTTGAGCTGACAGCAACCAAATACTCACCTCATCCCAGTCTTGTAGTGGAAACTGGTGGCTTGGATGCCGCCGCTGTATCCCCGCGCAGTTCAAAAGGATGTCGATATCGTGCCCATCCTGGGTTACCTTAGGTACTAAGGAGGAGATGGATTCTTGCGAGGCAAGGTCCGCCGTGTAAATTGTCGCTTTTCGTCCAAGTTGTTCGATTTGCTGCTTGGTACTTTGGTTGCTAGTATCTCTCTGCGATACGTTAGCCTTTTATTCTCGGGGCCTGCGATTTTCGCATCAAGGTCTTCTTACTTGGATCAGCACAATGTCTGCACCCGCCTCCGCCAGCGCGATGGCCATGGCCTGGCCGATTCCTCGGGTGCCGCCCGTAATCAATGCCGTTCTACCTGTAAGTGAAAAGAGATCCATGGTGCGGTTTGTGTGCGTTGGCTTCACGGGGAGAAGTGCGATCTTCTATATACCTCGCGCCAAAGTTCACCGAGCCCCCACGCCCACCCCGCAGATTTGAGGGGGAGGGTGGGGGTTGGGGTTGTCGAGCTGACGAGGGACGGACTATTCCACCGAAAGTCGAACTACATGTCAGAGATTGGGGACATCTCATGCTTACAAGGATCGAGACGAGACAATCTGTGGTTCCTAAAGCCTGAGCAATTGAATCTCGGCATCCAGCTTACGCTAATTGATTGACTACCCGTGGCTGCTACTACTAACACCGAGCTTGGATGTAGAAAAATGGCCATCTAGCAGACCTTGAATTTAACATAGCTGTATATACTCTATTACCACTCGCGAATCGACCCATCCGGCCCGTGGAACTCCTTTGGCTGCCAGGGCTCAGTCTCCTTACTAATTCGGCGGACCAAATCCTCATCAATCTCAATTCCAAGACCTGGCTTTTGAAGTGCATCCACATATCCGTCCTTGATATCAAATACCGTCTTATCGATGAGATAGCTATTTAGATCGATATCTCCCGCCTCAATATTGTAGTGCATACCCAGTGACATCTCTTGAATGACAAAGTTGGGCGTGGAAATGGCCACCTGCATTGATGCCGCAAGGGCGATAGGACCAAGAGGGCAGTGTGGCGCGATAGCAACATCGTAAGTTTCAGCCAGTGTCGCAATCCGCTTTGTCTCAGAGATTCCGCCGGCGTGCGCGATATCAGGCTGAAGAACGTCGACAGAGGAATCTTCGAGGAAGCGCTTTACGTCCCAGCGGGTATAAAGACGTTCTCCAAAAGCAATTGGGATGGTTGTATAGTTTGAGAGCTGCTTAATAGCCTCGGGGTGCTCGCAGAGGAGTGGCTCCTCAATGAAGAGAGGCTGGTAGGGTTCTAGAGCTTTGGCGAGCTGCTTGGCCATAGGTCGGTGTAGACGACCGTGGAAATCGAGTCCAGCATCTAGGCCCAGGGCCTTGACTTGCTTCAGACGGTCGACGCAGGATTGGAGGGCAGCGGGGGAGTCGAGCCAGTTGATGTCTTCGGTGGCGTTCATCTTGACACACTTGAGTCCTTGGGCAATGCGAGCCTTGCTAAGAGGTGTTAGAACAACCGATGCATCACTTGCACAGCAGGGAATACTCACGCAGCAGCCTCGACGTCGCTGGGTCGATCACCTCCAATCCAGGCGTAGACCTGCACCTTGGATCGCACCTTGCCGCCCAGCAGCTGGTAAACGGGCACTCCCAATCGACGGCCCTTAAGATCCCATAGCGCGATGTCAATTCCGGCCATTGCAGACATGAAGACAGGGCCACCGCGGTAGAAGCCGAGTCGCCAAATCAATTGCCAAATGTGCTCAATGTCACTATCATTCGTCAACCAAAAGGATCCAGAAGATAAGGGCTCGCGAGGGTGACAACTGACTCTGCCTCCAGCCCAACAAGACGAACGATGATCTCGTCCAACGCGCCCTCGACGGCCAGAGAGTGACCTTCGAGGGTTCCTTCGCCCCAACCAAACTTGCCTTCATCGTCAGTAACCTTGACGAAAAGCCAGCGGGGCTTTACCCGGAAGTATTCGATAGACTTGATCTTGGCCATGGTGCAGCAGTTTAGTTGGGTTTTAGAGAAAATACGATCGCGGGGAAAGGATCCAGTATATGAAGCTTCCCCTCTGTTTTTCTCACGCGTTTCCCCTCCATTGGCATCCCGCGACATCCCACGACATCCCACGCGGGGGTACACATCGCGGAGAATGGCGAGGGAGATACGCAAATGCGGAGAAGCTCCGGAGTTGAGCCGAGGGTTTCCCCACGCTTTGCCGTGGCAGAGATGATTGGTGGAAGAATTCAGCCCCAGGAAGCTGGGCAGCGTCATGAATTTGGGACCTGGAGAGGTAGATGATTCGTATTTGATTATCTCCTATTGAAGATCTAGACTACAACTTGTTAACTTGGTTTATTTGACACAGGTCGATGTGGTTTAACATAAGCTATAGATCTATAATTCCAGGCAGATTTCACCCTATTAATACACCTTCGATGACACTTATAGATCAATAGATACGTGGAAATACAAGTTCCCCTTATCCGTCAGGTCACTGAATGTCGTGTAATCTAACTAGAACTGACGCACGTCGTTTGAAGAACTCACAGAATCTTAGGTATGGCCTTAAATGAGGAGCATTCCTATAAAGCTTGACATAAAAGATCAAATTTCGCAACTGTTTACCCTTGGAACCAAGGGTCATCAAGAATTTGTCTCGCTGATGCTCTTGCAGATGGCTCAAAACACAATAGCTTCCCAATAATTAGTCCTAGCTTCGAAATATCGTCTCTTGTCAAATCGGGGTCATGCGGGCCACCGAAGTACAGTTCTTCCAGCCATTTCTGTAAATTTAGCCCGGTGTCTTCGTCGCTTGATCCATCGTTCATCGTATCCAAAGTCTCTCGCCATCTTTGAGGTAGATCGTCGCTTGCCATCTCGCACATTTGACCGATGAGAATCGGAGGTGTTATCAAGAATGTATCGAATGGCGGTTGGCCCATAAAGAGTTCAAAAATCTGCTGATCTATCAGTAACTGCCGTACGGTATTCACCCCAATCATTCACCCACCATACAACCCATACTCCATAGGTCAACACGATGATAAATGCTATCTTTGAAAAGAACCTCCGGTGCCTTGACAGGTAACGGATTGTGCAGCGTTTGGGGACCTGCGGTGGGTAAAAATGATTGCCCAAAATCAATTATTTTGATTGTCGGAGCCGAATTCCAAAGTTGGTTCAGATGTGATGTCGGCTTCACAACGTATTTTGGAATACCGGGCTCTAGACTATTCCCGTCATGTCTTCGGATATGCCCAATCTCTGGCTTCCCTAGCATCTCCATGAATTGTTCTTCGGTGAGATTGCCTATATATGGCAAAGTAAAGGCCAGATTGCGGGTATGTAGATCTTTCTTAAGTAAGAATTGCTCCAGATATTTCGAGAATGGGGCTTACCTCCATGTCCAATACCATTTTGGTGCAGTGTATCAAGCCCGATTAGGCTCTGTTTTGCAATGGCTTTGGCAAGTTTTCCAGGTAATCTGCCGCTAGGAAAGTGTGTATCAATTGTATCCGGAATATTTGGGCCTAAAAGCTCATAGACCATACATTGGTGACATCCATTCGGGCTCTTTAGTTCGAAATTATCAAGCAAATATATCATGTGTTTCGGACGAGGGTAATGAGATGCCAACTCCTGCATTATTTGGAGCTCTCTTCTTTCTCCATGTGCTGCTTCTGAAACAGATAATTTGACAGCGACATAAGCCCCTTCCCTATATATTTCCATTCTCCGTTAGCAGGACCCTTCGCAAAATATGATGCTGTACAACCTTTGATCTCTTGCCGCCCAAACTGTCGAGTATCCACCCCATCCCAGCTTATGCAGTACCTTATATCGCCCAGATTCCAGATTTTCTCCCAGAGTAACTGGGTAGTAGCCGCCTCGTCCATAGCGATGAAGTGGTTCCGCGTCAATAGTAGATGTATGAAGGGGTGGGTCCAGTTGGCTGGAGTCCGAGTGGGTGGATAGGGGCTTGGAGACTATGGATTGACGAGAAATGCTTCTCAAGGGGAACTTCAAGCTACGCCTCGAGAATATCCAGGAGGAAATCGCAATAGTCATCAGATTGAATCAAGCCTGGACTTCATGTCGATTGCGATAACTGGGAAGTTGCGATGTTTACGCGCTCCCGGAAGATGACGTATCACATGACCTTAGAAGCATCCGACATCCTCAAGAATTGTCGAATAGTGCCAACGCGGCATCTTTCACCCCAAGACTCAAGTTCCCCGCTAACCCCATAATGGGACGATCGACGCATCCTGGAGTTGAAAGCTTACAGTCAGTCAAAGGCCGATGGCGTTGTGACCCCCACGCATCCACCCTGCTCCATGCGGGGATTCGGGATCGTCTGACACGAAATGTACTTTTACGCCCTCGCCCGCAGATTCACTCACAAGCAATAAACTTGAAGACATCGAATGATGAAGGTGACACGCGCCCAAATTCAAGAACACAGCAGTCGGCAGTCCTGCTGGGTTGCCATCCACGGGGCTGTTTACGACGTGACAGGTTGGTCCAATTGCGTCGGCTGAGTCCACTCTGAGTTAACTAGGTTCAGATTTCTTGGATGAGCATCCTGGAGGTTCGAAAGTGATTCTACGATGTGCCGGTCGAGATGCAACCAATGATTTCGACTCGGTGCACTCGCCGGAGCTACTAGCTGAGACTCTGCCAGAGACCGCTCTACGTGGACATATCGAAGCAGCGGAGTTGGCCGAGATCACAAAAGCAGATGTAATAAAGAAAAACGCCAAAAGTTCATCACCAAAGCCAACAGATTCAGATTGTCCACCTCCCCCTCCGCCGCTCAATACTCTTATCAATCTCCACGATTTCGAACAAGTCGCGCAACGATATCTCGCCCCCAATGCCTGGGCTTACTATGCCTCGGCAGCCGACGACGAGATCAGCAAGCGGAATAATGCGAAGGCATACCAGAAGGTCGCACTTCGACCTCGCATACTTAAGAAGATCCTGAGCGTGGATATCACTACGTCCATCCTAGGCCATTCAGTCGCGCTCCCAATATACATGTCACCGGTCGGCGTCGCCAAATATGCTCATCCCGATGGAGAGTGCGCCCTTGCGGCTGCGGCGGGCAAAGAGGGACTTGCCCAGGTTCTTGCCAATGGCTCTAGTATGTCTGTTGAAAAGGTACGAGAGAGTCGTGTCATGGAAGACCAGCCACTTTTCTTCCAGCTATACGTAAATCGCGATATCTCCAAATCCGTTGAGATGGTCAAGCGCGCAGTTAAAGCCGGAGCCCGCGCAATTTGGATCACTGTTGATTCGCCAGTCGTGGGCAAACGAGAGATGGACGAACGCTTGAATCTTGATGTGTGCGCGACCGATAGCGATGCCCAGGGCGAGGGAGTGGCTAAGATCATGGCTAGCTCGATCTCCCCGTTCATCGACTGGGATATTCTGACGTGGTTACGGGAATTGACCGATTTGCCAGTCGTAATTAAAGGTATTCAGTGTGTTGAGGATGCAGTTCTTGCATATGAACACGGCGTCCAGGGAATCGTGTTGTCTAACCATGGGGGTCGTTCCCAAGATACGTATGTGAAAATTACCCATGGATTTATCGATGACGGGGGTTATGGCGCAGTATACTAATTATGAACTACATCGCAGGGCGCAATCGCCACTTCTTACTTTACTAGAGATTCGAAAGTTCGCACCGCATCTGCTCGATGGCAAAATGCAGATTTTCATCGATGGTGGCATTCGTCGAGGTACGGACATCCTCAAGGCCATTGCGCTTGGTGCCACAGCTGTCGGCTTGGGGCGACCATTCTTGTACAGCCTATCGGCCGGGTATGGGGAAAAGGGAGTTCGTCGCATGTTGCAAATTCTACGACAGGAGATCGAAGCCAACATGACCTTCTTGGGCGCGACCAGCCTAAAGGATCTCAAGCCAGAGATGCTTAATACAAGCCGGCTGGAGCGAGATTTGGTGGGAAGCGTGAAACTCTAGTCAATTAACAATCATATAATCTACTTCAACATCATTGAAATGCTACTTCCGAGTCTACCGTAAATACCGCAGTAATATTTCGCTGGCTACTGAGAATTGGTATTGCAAAGAAGCAAACTACTAACCTTCATCCTTCTTCTTACCCCCCTCCCCCACAACTTCCAAGCGGAACGAACATCCACAACCCCCACGCGGACAGCCACCGAACCCCGCCAGGATTTGCGGGGGTCGGTGATGGTGGGATGTTTGACCGATCGTGAGGGGGGCCAATAAAGCTAGATTCTGCAATGCGTCGTCGCTTTCCAATGTTACCATCCTCATCAGCATCATGTCTGACAAAATCGACGTCCTTCTATACGGCCTAGGAGCGTGAGTTTTACACCGAATCGCCCAGTGATTGGTATCTCTAACATCCTGCAGTATTGGCTCTTTCTATGCGTTTATTCTGAGTCGTTCCGACCGCGTGCGACTGACTGTGGTCGCGCGCTCCAACTACGATGCTGTCAAGGCTAATGTGCGTTCGCATCAACACTTGATCTTCTCCAAGTTACTAACGCATGAAAAGGGGATTACCATCAATAGCGAGAACCACGGAAATCACACTTTTCGCCCGCACCAAGGTGAGAAAGTTCATCCAATTACTCCTCGCCATCGGATTTGCTGACAGACACAGTTGTGAGATCACCCGCTGAGGCTGGCCCTGTCGATTATCTCGTTTGTGCGCACAAGGCTATCGACCAGGAAGACGTTGCAGTGAGATTGGCTCCAGTAGTAGACCAGGATCGCACGACAATTGTGATTATCCAAAATGGCGTTGGGAACGAGGAGGCTTTCCGCAATCAGTTTCCCAAGAGTTCTATTCTGACTTGTGTGGTAAGTAGGGTGCTAGTTATAGCCTCACATGAACACTCATTTAACACTTCTTTGCTTGCAGACTTGGGTCGGCGCCATCCAAAACAGCCCCGGTATCATCAAGCACACCAAGTCAGAAGATATGCAAATCGGTTTATTTCCCAACCCGCAGGTGAACAAAGCGATTGAGCAGCGGCGCTTGGATACTTTTGTTGCGCTACTCCAAAATGGCGAGACTAAGTTTACTGTTCTCGAGGACATGCAACCCCAGCGATGGGAGAAGGTGGTTTGGAATGTGGCCTGGAACTCGCTTACGACACTGACCATGGTCGACACACAAACTTGGCTGCATTCCTCACCCGACGCGGAGCCTTACACGCGAAGACTCATGCACGAGGTTATTCAAGTTGCTCGTGGTTGTGGTGTGCAGCTTGAAGATGGCCTGATTGATCAATTGATGGACCGAATCAATGCCATGCCCGGCATTGGCAGCAGCATGCAAACCGATTGCAAGAGCAATAGACCGATGGAAATTGACGTTATTCTTGGATTCCCAGTACGCAAATCCCGAGAATTGGGGATTAAAGCGCCATATCTTGAGAGTCTCTACGTGATTTTGCGTGCGGTAGATGGCCGAATTCGAGCTGCACTGTAGCGATATGATGGCGTGGGGTAGTTAGCCCCCAACACCTACCTACAACTATATAGGCTTATCGAATCTAATTTATTTCCACCAATGATGGATTGTGTACCTGTTTGATCAGTCCCGTCAACTCCTTGATATAAATAGTCTCCCCCACGTTGTCCCACCCCGCGCGGGGGTAGCTTCAGCTCTATTAGTATTGTATATCAGGGGCAACCTGCCAGTGTTCTATAATCCCCCCTGGGACAGAGTTGCTCAACATTTCTGGGTAGCCCCGATCCAAAATCGGTTGAAGGTTTCGTCGACCATCCCTCCAGTAGATTCACTGGTACTTCAACAGAGCAAAGTTCTGAAACTGCGTCAATACATTTAAGATTGGGAGACTGGGCTCCGGGTCTCCACCTTGAAGCCCATCATAGAATCCAGTTGATGGGAACTTGAAGTATTCTATGTCAAGTGAGATATTTCTGAGGGAATCCTTGATAGATTTTAGGCCCTCAATAGTCGATACTCCATTCCGTAATGCTGTCATATTACCCCATCAGCATGCCATTCCAAAATGTAGGGTCTCTAGAGAGGCGACAGAGAAAGCATGCTAGGGACTTGGGTCTCATGAATAGTTTACATCTGTGGATTATCTTATGACTTACTTGGACGAATCATTACAAAGTTTGCACACTTCTTTATAGCCCTTGGAAAACATTCATATCGGGCCGGCAGTGTCGTGGGTGTACTATTTATCACTCTCAACTTAGTTTAGTTTCCCCAATAATCCCCAAAAAGAAGTAGTACGAATCCCAAAAGGCCAAAGGACAAGTAGCATATCCCGGCATTCATGGGTGACCCCCACGTTTCCCGCGCAGGATCTTTCCCCCGTGGGACGATAATGTAGATCAACCCCCTCCTCAACCCCCTCCTCGCATGGTTTCTCCATAAATGAGAGAGCATGATGAACTCACTCACCCCACTCTGAAAGCTTGTCAGACGATTCAATGATCATCGGGGTATAAATCGTCGCGAAATCGTCGCAAAACAAGATCCACGCACTTCTTAAAGTATCATCTTTAAGAATCACCCCTTCAAGTATCCAAGACATATGAGGAATCGAGAGGCTGTGGGAATTCCTGATAAGCATTAAAAATGGTGTATCTCGGCCTCTCAGGCCGCAGTCTCATGGCAGGCATTTCCTGTTCAACTGGAATGGGCTTCGTCATTTTCGGCATGTTGCGATCCACTGTCATTTCTCGATTCCCATCCCCGAGAACTAATTTGTACCAGGCTATGACGACGGCGTCATCGGCGGTCTACTGACAGCTGATGCATTCAAAGAGACCTTCCATCTCAGTTCTTCGATGGAAGGCACTGTCACAGCTCTCTTCGTCATCGGGTGTCTATTTGGATGTTTGGGAACCAGCTTTTGCAACGGGCGCTGGGGCCGTTTAGCCATCGCGCAAGTTGGATCGGTTATTCTTAGCGTCGGAGCTATAGTTCAAGCATCGAGTTCTACCACAGCACAACTGATCGTCGGGAGAATTGTTGCTGGAGTTGGTCTTGGGCTCATCTCGAGTAATCTGGGCGTTTGGCAGTCTGAGTTGGCGACGAGGGAAATCCGCGGAATGCTTATGGCTGTTTCCTTGAGTTTTCTCATTTTGGGCCAGGTTTTGGCTTATTGGATTGATTATGGACTGTCGGTATATGAAAGTAGTGTGTCGTGGCGGTTTCCCATGGCTTTCCAAGCAGTTTTGGGCATCACGCTCAACATCATGCTATTGTTCATGCCAGAATGTGAGTTATAGGATGTGCTTTTCCTTGCTTGAAACAAAATACTAACAAACAGTCATAGCCCCCCGATGGTTATTCCAACATGACCGACACCAAGAAGGCACAGACGTTCTCCGAGTTTTGCGCTCTTCTCGCGGGGTGCTTGACGAAACTGCACTGAACACAACGGTTGCGGAAATACTGGATGCTTTGGCGCTTGAAAGTGAGCAGAAAGGCTGGATGGATCTCCTCAAAAATGACCATGTCCGATCTCGCCATCGTGTCTTTCTTGCGTGTCTTTTGAATGCATGCCAGGCATGGAGTGGGAGTACCCCTATCAGCTATTATACGACTGTTATGTATGTGGAAATGGAAAATTTCATCGCGTAGATCTGCTAACATTGGCTAGATTCGAAAACTCAGTTGGTTTTGATCGAAATTTCGCTCTTCTCATGTCCGGATTCCTTCAAATCTGGTTCCTGGTTGCATCTTTCGGAACCTGGTATAGTATCGAGAAGCTTGGGCGACGCAGATCATTCATCACTTCGGCTATCGGTATGGCTTCGGTGATGGCTATAATGGCTGCAATGCTGGCGATCAACACACATGTCTCTGGAATTGTCGCGGCAGTGATGCTTTTCGCTTACCAGGCCTTTTACACCTGGGGGTTTATGGGCGGACTCTGGGTAGGTTCCACGTTTGAGACAAAAAAAACAGACCTTCTTATGCTGACGGATGCACAGTGTTACGGCCCTGAAATTCTGCCTCTAGCTCACCGTTCGAAGGGAATTGGTCTTGCCACGGCCTTCCTCTGGCTGTCCACATTTGTGGTTATCGAGATCGTTCCTGTGGCAATTGAGAACATCGGGTGGCGAACTTATATTATCTTTGCAGTTTTCAATCTTGCCTTTGTGCCTATGATCTACTTCCTCTATCCTGAGACAGCCGGCTTTAGTTTAGAGGCTGTCGATCTCACATTCATGGACCGCAGCAAATCACCGGTGAAAAAGGCCGACGAGCTATGGAAGTTGATTCGTGATGGCCATGATGTGACTTTGACTCGGGAGGTTGAGCGGAAACATGAGGTCGAGCATGTTGAAGTTGCTTGACTGCCTACTTTGGAAAGACAATGTGAGAAGTCAAAGGGTATTCATTCAAGGCTCGGCTGGCCATCCAGGCCATTATACCGACGCCTCATGCAGAAAGACAAAGTGAAGACCAGCTTCCTCGTCCGAATGTCATGTCCACGTTCTATATCCAAAAACACCAAATGCTATCTAAACATAATAAACGCCCATTTGCCAAGTTCCAAGTGTACAAAGTATGGTATCCAGATGTCATCAAACAAAGAATCCCCAAAGCCCAAAAAGAGGTAATAACTAGAAGAATCGTTTCGCGTTCCACGGAGACAGAAGAAGAAAAGCAGATGAGTCCGAGAATTAATTTTGCCTCCGTAAATGGGTACCAATCAACTCCCGCAGTTGTATGGAGGTGGTTTTATTGGTATCGGAGTCGGAGGGGATGGGTGGAGGTGGAGGTGGAGGTGATCCAGCATCGGGTGATTTGGGCTCTTCATCTACGGCGAATCGCCAACGACCATCGTGGCCCATGAACATACGAAAGCCGTAACGTTTGTCTAGGGCGGCGAGGTGGTCGCGTCGTTTGCTATTATTCCAACTGTGGGTATCACCAAAATCGCTGAGCATGCGACTGTGTGCAATCCATGGGATGATTGCTCCGATAGAGCGCGGCATTCGTGGGCCTCGGAATCGGCCTCGGCGCGTCCCAAAGACAACCAGGACGACCAGGGTATCGAATGCGATGATTATAAGCGCGATGGCAAGTGATGGAACGGATGGCTTCATCGCCCAAGTACTTCGGATGATTGTGCCGTTGGTCGCCTGAATTGGTTCGTCCAGCTCTTCGAGGTATAGATCCCGCCAAATGGAAAAGTATGTACTGTAAACCCATTGATACACAGTTTGGGTAAGATCGGTCAGACGGACAGGGTCAAGGGAGTCGAAATCAGGATCTTCGCGCTGGTATAGGCGGGCAACCAAGAATCCTGCCCAGTCGTAGGATGAGATGTTGTATGTGCCGTTGTGAGATGTAGTGTTGCCCACGAAGCTCTCCGGGATAGCTGCAAACACTTTGTTGAATTGTCCCAGGCTGACCGTGGCGTTATCGAACATGGTGCCTTCCGTGACGGAAGTATTTTGGACGCGTTCATGGTAGTTGATCTGGCCTCTTGGGTCGAATACGATAGAATAATCTTGTAGTCGAACACGAGGCTCGCAGTGCAAAGCAATAGTATTCTCATCGGATACCTTGCTATTGGGCAGATAATCCCAACGACCAACAACAAGAACGGTCGATGTTTGGCAGACATCAGAATCATTCACCTCATCCGGAGACAGGAAATGAATGGAAAGCGAAATACCCTCGTCCTTTTTCCGGACCGGCATGGCGGCTTCACATTCCACGGATTTGTTGTCGAACAGCTGATATTTCCAATAGCTGTGGCCGGTGGTCTTGTTGTGGAAAAGCCCCTTCTCTGGAAGGAGAGGCTGGCACTCCAAGGAAGCCCCTACGCCTAAGGTAGTTGCTCCATACATAGCGTCGGGGTCGCGATTGTGCACCTGAAGAGGTACGAACGATTCGTTGGGGCTTGTCCAGGGAAGCATGGGGACGCCGCTCGTAATGCTCGTCTGGATCAGATCGTACTCGGTAAATTGAGCGGCGAAGTCATTTTTCCAGAAAACGGATGAACTATAGTTCAAGGTCAAATCCTTTGTCGGCAGGGTAGAGGACGTCATTTCCTGAGTGAAAAGACCTCCCGCCACCACCGTCAGCACCATATTGATAACACATGCGATGGATACAAGTCCCAGAAGAAGATGTCGATCTCGAACGGACTTGCAAAAGATGGCAACGGGGCTCTGAGAGGCGTAGTTCAGAGATAGTGACGATCTTGCCGTGGCCATTCCTCTTTGAAGATGGACCCAGGGTTCCAAAACGCTGAGATTGCGGTGTATCGATGTACAGAGAGAGCTGACAGAGGAGGCCACGACCGAAGGCAAAAATGACAGAACCACTTGCAGTGAGCTGGAATCCGACTGAGTCAGGTGTCGAAAGCGACCATCCCGAGCGAGCGACTGAACGACCAGGGCCATCAAAATTATCACGGCCGCCAGGGCCAGGAATTCAACAATAAAGAAAGGAATGACGAGGAAGTGAGGCATTGGATCGTTGCGAATTCGGAGGTTCTCACCCAACTGCACTGGAGAGCCATCCTCGGCGAGAATCTCCAATCGATTATGCCCAGAAGGACTAGATCGCCAATGACAGCGGGCGTTTTTGAAGATACGGCGCATTTGTCGGGTCGAGAATTGGTGGAACTCGGCGAGCGGTTCAGAGAGGATGTTGTTGGGGTGAAATATATCGGCGGCGATACTGCACATGGCGCCGATCGAGCCCGGGTCGCATTGAAGGAAGGTTTCGCGAGAACGATAGAGGAAGAGAAGATATACACCAGTGAGAGCGGCAAGGCCTAGAATCAGCTCGGACCAAAGAGCTGCAAATTTGACGACGGCAATGGCGACTTGGGTGGTAGAGCGAACAGCGGCGATGATGGTAGGCTCCCGGTCGGGGTCGAACAGACGTCCCAAGGTGAGAACGAAAGTCTGCTTAACGTCCCGTGTGATCTTCGAAGTGAATTCAGCCTGGGTCATGATGGATGAAGTGTCCAAAGTGAGCAGCGGCTGAAGATCGCCAAGCTCCTCGCTGATCACGGGCAACTCGGTCACGGTCCGGCCACCATCCGTGGAGTTGTTGCTGATAAAGATCATGTCACTGGTATAAGGAGCACGCTGAGAAAGCAACGCCTGGAAGTGATCGATGTTGAATTCCTTGGCCGTTAAAGTGCGGGTCGTGGCATGATGCAGATGAATCGACTCGATCGAGCTGTTGGGATGCATTGCGACTCGGGCCTGCGCCTTGTAATACATAATATCACAGGCGAAGGCGAGGCCGCTGGCCGAATACTCCTTCTCGGTCGACCCATCTGTTGTAGCGTTGACCGAGATCAACATGCCATACAAGTCGTACGGATCGCAGCCGGTGGCGGTGAATGCCTTGGTTGTATTGGGATACTCGGCTTCAGTCGTCGCATTGATGGAGGGCTCCCAGTAGCGGACCTGGAGGTAATCGGTTTCGGGAAAGAAGACGCTATCGTAGTGAAAATCCAGCACGCATTTCTTCGCCGCCCCATAGGTGTCAGACAAGTCGATACCCGAAGCGTCCCAGGTGACTCGTTGCAGCCCATGCTCCGGTGTCTCGATAGAAACGTTCATTTTTTTGTTCACGGGAACATTCTGACAGGATAGGTCGGCCCAGTACAACGTTTGATCCAGTTTCCATATCACATCGGTTTGCTGTTCATCATCGGGGACCTCGACAGGGGCAACGGCGTATTGAGAAGAGCGCGACCGGCGAAGTCGTTCATCGGAGGAAAGGATCGAGTCGACCGTGTCGTTGGCCTGGGTGGACATCCAGGTGGCTTGTGTTTCCAAATCAACCAGAGTCGGCCAACTCTGCATATTCTCATGTCGAATGACCTGCACTTCTCGTAGCTCAAAGATGGTACTCTGCAAGGCGGGCAAGATCATGCGGATGGAGAGGGTCAGCAAGGAGACCCATAGAACCAACCAGTGGTGGCGGCGAGCGGCATTGATGGGGGTGAGGATGGTCTGGCCGAAGTTGTAGTTGATGAAGAGCACGGTGGCCGGGGCACCACCCGGTTTGGACAGCTGGAAATAGGGCTCGAGCCGGAGAACATCGAAATCGGTGACGGACCAAAAAACGAGAAGGATGAGGGCGATAATGATGGGGACATAGTTGTAAGCGAAGGACTGGAGGGCGGAGACGTCGTCGGTATCGTCAAAGAAGACCAGACCACCCTGACGAGTGCTATATTGGCGCAAGCCCTCGAGGACCAGGAACATGGTCATCATCAAGCAGACCAGCGACGCAAGGTAGGGGGCACGCAGGGCGAGCGGACGCCAGCCCTGTTGATGTTGTCGGTCGGGGGCGGGGGCGCGGAAGGGAGCGATGAAGGCTGTAAGGGTTTCATGTCAGTTGAATATGATCAAAGGTATCTGATGCCAGGAGGAATCAAGCAAAACTCACCATCCCATTGCGCCCGAAGACCCCGTCCCCGCCTGTCTGCGTCAACGGCCATGCTGACGGGAGGTGAGCGAAGGGGGCGATCAGGGGCATTGCCATATCATGACGGGAGAATGGAGGCCAGAGGTCAGAGGGAGAGCATCCGGAAACGAAGGAGAGCCGATCAGAGGCGGGCCAAGTGTAAAACAAGAAGATAGTGGATGGTGGTAGCCAAGAAATGAGAGTGGACAGCCAACATGACGTCGGGAGAGAAGTTGATGAGAGAGAAAGTTGGACGCGCGGCGGGCTTGGCAGAGCAGGTAGGTAGAGTACAGTAGAGTATAGAGTAGTATAGTGTAGATATTAGATTAGGGTACTATACGAGATATATTAAATAAGATGGATAAAAAATTATCTCAACATGGTTCCTTTATTTATGTCACTCTTTACACCTATACTTCTGTTCCAAGGTTGATCTGGCGTACCTGAGAATATAGGGAGTCTCGTGACATGTATAGAGTGTAATAACGTGGAATACCCCCTGCCCGCCATCCCCCAAATACCATAGTTAAGAAATAAAATTATCTCAACACAACGACACCTTTATTCGATTTAAATTTTGGCATAGCGGCTATTCTCAAGTGACATAATAATACATTTTTTCTGTGATCATTTAAGTTATTATTTATGTATAATATCAAAAATTACGGAGTATTTTTGCTCAATATATCATAAATATATATTTTGACAGTAAAATTTTAAATTAGGGATATCCAAGCATATAACCCTGGAAGTAATACTATAAATAATACTATGTTATCCAGAATCCTATTACAAAGTAAGTGTTGTTGAGATATTGAGTTGTAATTTATTGCCTTGACTATGGTGTTTTGGGGGTGGCGGGTCGGGGGGGGATGGCGGGCAGGGGGTATTCCACGTTAAAGGTGACGGCAACACTGCCGCCTCGGGAAGCGATCGGCTCCCGGAGCCCAACCTGAGCTAGTCCCCCCCCGCCGCCCTGAGCTGCTCCCTGAGCAACCATGAGCAAGCCTAAGCGACCCTGAGCGACCCTGAGCGACCCTGAGTACTCCCGGTGTACTCCAGAGCTGCTCCCAGAGCTGCTCCCTGAGCACCCTGACCCCTCACCCTGGATGCTCCGGCTGCCCCACAACACGCTTCTTTTTGGTTTTACATCATCCGATGAAATGCTGCCTACGATCGCTCCTAGGAGCCTAAGCAAATATATGACCTAATTGTGTACGGTAGATGTTCTCTAGCGCTTACTTACTCGACTTTATCGCTTATTGACCATAATCCTCTATATCGTAGCAGAAACAAATTCCTACAATACACTCTCTGAAGAATTCTTTCAACATAGATAGTATGTATACGTTTCTTGGCGGAGTGTTAAAGCAGGGGATTTAGTTACTGTCTTTGGCTTTATCCTATAGATTGGTTCAGCCCCAGGAAACAGTGTAACGGGCCCGGGCCGGGCCCGATCTGATATCACGTGTTGGCACGTGACCTCTTCCGGGGTAACTAAGGCGAACAGCACACATATAACTTCCTTTCCTTAAGATTGTTGTAAACAGCATGCAGGCCTAGCCCCAATTGAATAGTTGTCGCTACAGCCCTTCACATAAGTGGCTCACTCGGTAGTGAATTACGTTAGTGATCACGTAGGAATCAGGCCGAAATCGGGCAGATAGCATAACTGAAACGAGGTCAATAGCCCCAGGATTCAATCGCCAGAGTAGGGTAATTGCCTAGACCTAAGGCTCACCAATTTTCGACACGAATCCCGTGACACAAACCTGATAGGAGGATAGTTCAGATGATTCTAATCAAACTTCTAAAAAGCCCGATCGAAAAATATGGAGGGGTGACCTAGTTGGGGGCGGGTCCGAATATACTATTTAGGCAGGGCAGACTATCTTCTGATGTCGCACCATCAGAAACGATTGATTCGCTTGGAGAAGAGAACTTCCAGTAGCAACTTCTCGGCTATAACAGCGCTGAAAAGTCTTTAAGATCGGGGCAGGAGCAGATGAAGAGCGGACGCGGGGGATCTCCGAGAGACCAGGACCGAGACAGAGGCCACGTGATTTGGCGCCCCACACACGGTACACGGTGCACCGCATTCTTTGGCTCGCTGTCTTGCTCCAAGATCATCTTCCTTGTTGCTACTGTATTTTATGTGATCATGTCTACCGTGAAACTGGCACAAGCCTGCGCCTATTGCAACAGAAAGAAGGTCTGGTCATACGACTTCCTAGTCCAGCTCAATTCGACGCCTTTTAACAAAGACTCTAGATTAAATGCGGCTTCTCCTCTGGCGAGAGCTCTTGTCAGACGTGCAAAAGCCAAGGGATTGAGTGTATGTGCGTTATTCTCATGCCCTGCTTGATCGCTCCACTCGTGACTGATGTGCCGTAGCCGTCGGACACGCAAAAGACCCAGGAGACCCACTGGTCAACCCTTACCAGACGGCCCAGAACCTGGGCGGCCGGGAGAGCGATCAATGTTGGCTTCTGAGAGCTTGCAATCTATATCATGCCCAGGGGCATCCCGTCATGCTTCTCTGAACGCCCGGCCACCTCAATACACCAGTGTCGCGGATTCGCAGCACGACTCGCCAATTGGGCATCAGGATATGTCTGAGTACCACCTGGAAGCTCAGAGTTTGGGGCCTACTAATTACGCTGAAACGCCACACTCAGTCCAGGCCAGTGACAAACCACACGAAGGATCTACCACGTACATAGGTCGGTCACATTATCTGAGCCAAGATACACCCATCGACGAAACTTCCTCTCGAGCATATCCGCCTTATCAGCCCGAAGACTCATCTGGAATAGGTGATTCGGTCTTAACCATGTTCAACGCATTTGATTTACCTGTAAAGTCCATCCGACAGGCTCTTATTGACAGTTTTATGCGGTTCTGCTATCCCTGGACGCCAATTCTTGCTCACGGAGAGTTAGATTTCTCTTCCGAGGACAACTCGTCACTTCTTCTTAGTCAATCCTTGTTTTTGGCTGCGAGCAGGGCTTCGTCATCTCCGGGGATTCTCGCATTTGCAACTCCAGCGCAGTTCTACCAGAGAGCAAAAGCTCTTTTCTTCATGAATCATGAGACCAACCCGCTTACTGTCATTAAGGCAACAATCATGTTACAATGGTATACCCCTGACGGGCCAGAGCACGTTTCATATGATGCAGGAGAGTTCTGGCTCAAGATAGGAGTGGGAATTGCACATCAAGTTGGCCTTCATAGAGATCCTGGGGTGGGAAATGATGCTTCGGTGAGACGCCGGGTCTGGTGGAGCCTAATGGTAGGCAAATTCGAATTTGACACCCAATGAGCAGACACTGATAGTAATTATAATAAGGTCAGAGACGCGCTCATGTCAGTGGCTCATGGCCGCCCGCGGGCTATAAACCCCGAAGACGTCAACGTTCGCCCTTTGCTAAAATCCGACTTTGAAGACTCTTCAGCAGATGGCGCTGAACTGTTCATACACTACGCAAGCATTTGCTGTATATTGGGAGATTTAACAGAATCTTGTTCTCGCAGCGCCTTATCGCAAGCGAAAAAGGACCACTTCCGGAGTCTCCTCTTCCGCTGGCCCAGAACATTGCCTCCTAGTCTTCAGATCTCGTATCAGAAGCCTGACACGGACGATTACTTACTTTCGGCCTACAACCTGAATACACGCCAACTCCATATCCCGTATTTTATAGGTTTGGCCATCGTCGGTCGCCCGAGCACCAAGGGCACCGTATCAGCACAATCTATACTCGCCGCATCCTTCGTCGCTGGAATTTTTGATGAACTCCTTGCGCGCGATGATATCGGCCACCTTGCCCCCATCTATAATCGCTACTGTGTTGCTGCAAGTTTTTTCCTCATATCTTTACGACCTTTCCCAGAGCTATGGGAAGCCTGCCAAACCGATCTCCGGATCCTCCGGCTGAGTCTCATAGAACTCAGCAAACGATGGAAATCAGCTATTGGAGGGTCTAAGGCACTCGAGTCCATTCTGACCTCGCAAAAACATAATGCAGTATCCTTCGCCGTAGAGACATCGTGGCTCACCCCGGATCAACAATTCTATTTTGATGGCTACTCGCTCGAATTATGCCATATGTGGAAGCCATACTCGCGATTTTGCGACAAGGTAGCCCTTGTGCAGGGAGCCAGCCTACCCTTGGCGCCTTACTCTGTTAACCAGGACCTACTGATTCCTCCACACTTCAATCTTGCAGAAGACGATAGCACTGTTCCATTTACACACCTCGCGGAAACGGGCTTACCGGACCTGTTGTCGTCAGATTTCTTATGCGAAGGCTTAGAGAGTTGGCTCCGAGGGGGATAAATAGCCCCTTTTCGTCATCTGTGTGATTTAATTCGTTTCTTTGCTTGAGAAGCTAGTAGGAAGTGTATGTTATGATCAAATGTTGGCAATGCTGCATGTTCCGGAGATCATCACCATTGCCAAGTCTAGCAATTTTCGTCATATAGTTACCAGACTTTCGCTGACCCTAGGCTTTGACACATCGATTCCGTGACAACCCTTGGTTATTTTCCGACTGGAGTGGTCTCGGCGTTTTGAGGAAGTTGAACTTACCCGAATGCCGCGGAGATTGCGGGGCCCCTGTGCGGTTCCACTGTAGTCATTTCTCCGGAGCCAAAACACCGAGCAAACGCCGCATGACGAGCTCCTGCGGTGGTCAGAATGATGAACAGTCTTTTCGATTTGCAATGAAAGATTGAGAGATACAAAAATCGAGGGTCTTCCTTTCTCTAACCATTTTCCAACGAATGAATTTTGCTGCTTGGCATATCAACCATGAGTACTACATCCCGCTCGTCAGCACTAGAGGTCAACGAAGATCGCACTCGATTTGTTCCCCCTCACGTCGGCCGTTATGTCCTACCCAATAGCCCGCTATTCGCAAAGCTCCTCAGACACGCCCGTCGCAGCCGTCTAGCCATCCGAGACAATGTTCTCAAACTCGAAAAATCCTACGGAGATCTTTTGGTAGACGTTTTATCTTATCGAGGGTTTTTGGAATCATCTCTGGGCAGCACCGTCCTGGAGCGCCTTGATAGGGAAGAGGAGGTGTACATAGGTGTGCTTGCCGCAGGTGGCTATGAATTTGCCGTCGCTATCCTCGCAGTGCACAGCCTCGGGGCAGCAGCAGTGCCGATGAGTACGTTGAAGAGCTTGAACTGAAAATCCGAAGCGGATGTCTTCTAACGGTGATACAGCACCCAAAAACCCCGTTGAAGAAGCTGCCTACTTTGTCCAGAAAGCTCGACAGGTCGCTATAATTCATTCGTCCGCCGCAGGAAAGCTCGCCCACTCAGTGAAGGACTATGTCAACCACCAAGGCGTAAATATCCAGTGTTTCGAGGTTCTACCTCATCTTTCAAAGGAAGCTTCCATCTCTCCCTATGATCTGACTATATCCTCTACTAAAACTCTCGACGGCAATTCTCCTGGGGTTGTCATCTTTACATCCGGTACAACGGGAAAGTCAAAGGGCGCGGTCATGCGTCGCTCTTATACCTATGAGACTGCTACCGCCATTGGTGACGGCTATGACATCGTTCCTTCCGATGTTATTCTGCATGTTCTCCCGGTACATCATACAACAGGCCTTGGGACATCCTTCTTTCCATTTTTGAACTATGGCGCATGTATCGAGTTTCAGACTGACAGTTTCGACCCGGCCTGGGCTTGGAACCGATGGAAACAGGGTGGAATTACCGTTTTCTCCGGGGTGCCCACTATATACATGAGGATGAAATGGTACTTTGAGAACCATATCGCGTCTCTTCCTGCAACTGAGAAGCAAGAGTATGTCACTGGAGCCAATCAAATCCGGGCATTACTCTGTGGATCTAGCGCGCTAGTTGACTCTGTTCAGAACTTCTGGACAAGTTTGCGGGGGCGACCAATTCTGGCTCGATATGGTGCATCAGAGTTCCCTGGTTGTATTAAAATCGGTGCCGAGCTTGATCCCCATCTGCCAGCGGGGTCGGTTGGCACAGCTATTCCAGGTGTGGACCTAAAGCTCAGCGAGGGGGACCATGGTGAACTTCTTGTGAAAACCCCCTGGATGTTTTCCAAGTACGTATCTACTACATATTCTTCATGTCTCCACAAGCCTAATGTTGCGTTGTTAGATACCTTTACGATCACGAGGCCACATGCGCAGCTCATGATTCCGATGGGTATTTTAAGACTGGGGATATAGCCCGACGCGAGGGACGCTACTATTTTATTGTGGGCCGGGCGAGTGTCGATATCATCAAGTCTGGTGGCTATAAAATTTCAGCTCTTGAGGTCGAGCGTGAGATCTTGGAGTTGTCTTATATAGCGGAAGCTACAGTTGTCGGGGTGGAAGATGAGGAATTTGGTCAGAGAGTTGCTGCCGCTATTCTTCTGGATTCACACCAAGCTAGATCTGGGGGCTTGGGGGCAACACTCACCATTGACCAGCTCAGAGCAGACCTAAGGAAAAAGCTTCCGGGATACAAGCTGCCGACCTTGCTGCGGGTGGTCGATAGTGAGCTTCCCAAGGGACCCACAGGCAAGATTCAAAAGAAGATACTGGGACCAAAGCTTTTCCCGGTACCGGGCTGGATGGAGGTCCCAGAGGTTCAACTAAGCGGGCGGAGTCAGAAGGAGAGAGCGAAGTTGTAATTTCTAGGTTGAGCCCCCCCCTCATCAATACGCATATTGGCTTGCCAAGTCTGCATTGTTGTTTCTATTCTACTAGACAAATAGCTACTTGTGAGGCTTTTTTTTTGCAATAGGATCAGCTAAGCGTCCGTCCTTGGGCGTTGTTTGATTAATAATCCCTCCCGCGAGTCATCTGTGCGTTGGTTTAGGAAGCACGGAAACACCTTCAGTCGCCCCTTGTTCACAGGCAGTGGTCGAGCTTATATCCTCCAAGACAAGTTCGTTTCATTTGGGGCTCTATAATCTGCTAGTAATGGTAGGGCTGTTCACGACAAATTATCGTCGGATTTTTGCCATATAGTTATCGTTATCGCATCGTCGGATTTTTCACGATAATTACCTGTCGTATCGTCGGCCTGAACACCTAACGATACGATAAACGATAATTATCGCCAAGATCGTTATCATATCGCATTATCGTTTTATCGTGAACCCCTAAGTAATGGCCTATCAGAAAAGCTAAACTCCGGAATAGATGGGTTTTGTTCAATTTGCTCACGGCGTTGGGCTGCCGAAACCCCGAAACCATTCATAGAGAACGTACGCCGCAGGACGCAGCAAACCTAGGCTGACTCAACCTCGCAGTAGAGTTTGAGAGGAGACAATGCTCCATATCTCCGGGCCTATCAATAGCTCTTGGGTGACTTCATCCATGTCGCTATTACTCTATGGATCCCCGAAAACCGGTAATCGGCATTTTGCCGTCACGTAATAACGCCGAGCCGTGTCTCAACCAACACTTTTATATCATTACTGAGGTGGATTTTCCGAAACAGCATCATCTCATATACAGTTTTGCATGGTGCTTGTTTGCTTCCATAGCATCCCTAGTCTTCTAACTATGGATAGAACATGCAACGATCCCATTCTGCCCCTAAAGAAAAAGAGGGGAAATGTGGCTTGTGCCAACTGTCGAGCGAGAAAGGTCCGATGCAATGTGGAATGCGGTTTTCCTTGTCATAACTGTGAAACCGACAAGACCGCGTGTTACATCGTGCGACGGAAGCGCCGAATACCTAGGGCCGATGGAGGGTGAGTCACGTATTCCCGGAATCCTGAATCTTTGATTGGCCTGACCTGTGATCAAGATCAAACGCAAGCTGTTATGAAGCTAAGCGCAAAAGGTCTCGCGTGACAACACCTAGTTCGCCATACTCTAGAGCGTCTCCATGTCAATCTAAATCCCCTAGAGATCATGAAGAGTCGGCGCGACACGCAAGAGCCCCAGCAACACCTCATTCTTTGTCATCAGAAAATCATACGACCTCTTTTGATCAGACAATAGCTGCGTGGGTCCTATCCTGTCCGGTGTCTCTCACTGTTGAATTACGCGATTCTTTTCAAGATATTATCACTCGCCTCAAAGTAGTTGAGCAAGCACAGAGGCTGAGACGACCATCGCAAGATAGGATATTGCAAGACAGCTTAAGGCACATCCAGAGTATCACAGGTGACCGTTGGGTGGAAGCTATTAGAACACCTTCGTCTATTTCTGGTATCGACTGCGACCCTTTCACAAGAGAAGAGACCAATGCCGGCTTTCCTCCTAGTGATTGGCCTGGGGATATCCAAACTTTGGTGAGGACGTGCAAAGACCTTATTACAGTGTCATGCCGGCTCTCTAGCATTATACTGAGCCCAACGGCAAATTCTCCGATCCAAATGGATACGGAGGCACCTAAATGGTTCTCAAACTCTGATGACGTGAACTCAAGGTCGAAGGAGCCAACGACGAAAGTAAACCGAGCTGCATGGGATGTGATTGACTCCACACTTCCAGATGAACTTGGCGCTAATAGCTTTGACCATGTACTGGAGATGCTGAATTCAGAATTTAATTTAACTTGAATTGAGCACCTAACAAACCATCATTATGTAAAATTGCCCGATACTATCAGAGAGACTGCCGGTTTTATTTGGGACCGACCATTGTCCAGGATACAAGGCCTTTGGTAGACGAAGATAAGACTGTATTTTTGCTTTGCAGGGCCGGTATTAAACTCGTATCGCCGACATTATGATGAGTCTGGTAATTTACCTACAAGGGGGTAAAAACTTAGATGGCCCATCATTCCTGTAGTGCCGGGGTTTCGTTTCCCCCGCATTCCGAGTTCCCCGTGTTCACCCCACACTCGTTCAATCCCTAGCCGAAACCCCGGCGTTCATGTAGACGACCAATATAAAGTCTGCGAATGTTGTGCAGTTTCCATGATACCATGTAAAGCAAGGCATCAATCCGGAATTCAATCACTTGCATCAATGGCCCCATCACTCCCAGGCCTGGGTCTACGAGGCCTACGCCTCAAGGTAGCTATGGTTGTGCTTGTTGTCATGCCTAGCTTCATGCTATTTGGGTACAACAACGGATCAAGCGGAGGTATTACGGACCTTGAATCATTTGTGAAAGTCTGTCGGCTCGACTGGGATATATGCTCTTTAGCTAACATTCTGAGTAGCAATTCCCCTCGTTGGATACAGTCAACGTGGCCGGCACTGCAAAGTCTCAAAACTCTATCAATTTAGGCATGAAAAGTCAGTAATCCCATCGTATAGACAGTGGCTAATGATTGCTAGGAATTGTCACTGCTTGTTACGATTTGGGCGCCATTCTCGGTGCCCTCTCATGTATCGTCTATGGGGATAAAATTGGCCGAATTCGAACTATTATATGTGGACTGGTCTCCTCGATAATCGCTCTCTCAATTGAGTCGTCAGCTTTTCAATTACCCCAGTTCATTGTCGGAAGACTATTGGTCGGTGCATCCATCGGTGTCATTTCAGTCAGTATTCCCGTGTGGCAGACAGAGTGCTCAACAACAAAGCATAGGGGTAAGTTCGTCATCATGGAGGGCATTTTCATCAGTACTGGCATTTCACTTCCGAGCTGGATTACCTTCGGCTTTTTTTCGGCCTGGAAGACTTCGGCGCAATGGCGGGTCACTCTTGTTTTCCCGGCCTGTTTTGCACTCTTGGCGCTGGTCTTTGTGGGCTTTATGCCAGAAAGCCCTCGGTGGCTCGCCCGAAAAGGAAAGCTTGAAGAGGCTCGAGAGGTTCTGGCAGCAGTCATGGATAAACCTAGCTATAGCCCCGAGGTGAATGCGGAGATCACTCATATCCACTCTCAGCTCGAGGCCAGCAAGGGGAGCTTTAGTTTGTTCTTCAGGAACAGCAAAGAACGCTATATTCATCGCACTGTGCTCGCTACCCTAGCCCAGAGCATGACACAGTGGTGTGGCTGCTCCGCATTGATCTTCTACACGTCGATCGTGTTTAGCAATCTAGGATTCACCGGCACCTCCCGCCACTTGATCAGTGCGGGGCTTGTTTCTACGTTCACTCTAGGAGCACTTTTGCCTCTTTTGCTGGTTGACCGATTTGGCAGGCGTGCTTTGTTCCTGCTTGGTGCGTCCGGGATGTGCATTTCAATGGCTGTGATGGCCAGTACAAGCGACAAGAAACATCTAGCAGCTGTGTCCACAACGTTCATTTTTCTATATGCGGCATCCTACTCAATTGGATTCCTCGGTCTCCCATTCCTATACGCAAGCGAGATTGCCACGACGAAGATGCGCTCGCCTATCATGGCCGTGGCCGTAACTGGCCAGTGGTTAGGGCAATTTGTGGTTGGTCAGATAACACCACCAGGGACAGTGCATCTCAAAAACCACTACTGGATCATTTTCGCAGTCCTCACTGCGTCTTTTATCCCAATCGTCTTCTTTTTCTTCCCAGAGACAAACGGAAGATCATTGGAAGAGATTGATGACATCTTCCAACAGTCGGGGACGTTTAATATAGTAAAAAACGCACGTTCTCTACCAAGGGATAGTGACCTCAATTCGCTGGACCTGGAGAGGAAATATGCTGGCTCGTTTCATGCCACTAGCAAGGAAGACCGTGTCGCCGAGGTAGAGGATATCAGTTCTCGACCAGTTAATTAGCAGGGATGATGAGCCCAGACACCGCGAATTAGAACGACAAATTTTAGATTTGTCCCAGCTTTGTCAATACAGAGACAGGAGAGACGAAGGGTGCCCTCTGGTTCTGTTGTATATAGGCAAACTAGCTCTCAGTCAATCAAACCCCTCAAAGTACAAGTAGACGTCTTGCGTTTATCAGAGGCAGAGGGTAAGAGGAGTAGGAGGGTCTGATCCCACCAATCACCGATGCCCTTTCCCTCCATCTCGAATATCTGCAGCATGGCGACTTATACCCTCCCAGGATAGATGTACTAGAAGAACTTGGCAGCGCAAGACTGTAATCGACCAATTCTAATTACAAGTCTAAAACCGTAGCAAAACTATACAAGAATCCTATTAGTCGCAGGATGGAATGGAAGAAAGACCATGAGAAAAAATTCTAAACCGCAAAGAAACGTATTTTAAAAGGAATTTCTAGCAAAAACCTATAGAAGAAAGAAAGAATATTTCTTTTGATGATACCATCTCTCTGGTCTTTCAGATTTAGTCTTTGGTATTGCCACTATGTTAAAGGAATGCCTGTCTTACGACCTCCCGCCAAATGTACGGTTTCCCTTTCTATATGTACATAGTCGTAACGCTCGAAGATTATGAAAGGCGTCAGATGAAAAGCAGCAACTCAATAGTAAGAACCCCCGAACTGGATGATAAACCCGCTCAAATTCGTATTGATTACATTGTTACCAGGATTGTAACGAACTGGTGTTGTTACCATTCGTGGATGCCTTATGCCTACGGCACCACTCTAGGCATCCACGCCATACACCTGTGTATCTAGCCTTCTATCCTAGCTTCCTTCTTATTCTCCTCAAGCTATTACTTTCGTCGAACCACTACTGCTTCCTTTGCTTCGTATGCTACGCCTTACGTTGATCTCTGTGAGTATCTGAGCATCCTCACACCTGGATGGCACCTATCGTCTGTCATAGTATTTCGTGTACGTTCACTTGGCAACATATAAATATTATCCTTTGAAGCTCTCCAGATGACCGAAGGCCTTGTCCGCGTCTGAGCTATAGTTTGTGTCTCTTCGTACCGGTCCGAATCTTTTCAAACTGTTCCTGAGGAATACCTTGAACCTGTCTGTCCAATCCCTCAAATAGTTCCGCAACATTCTGCTCATCCATCTCGCGCCTCTGACGAAGCCGAATTAAAGCTTTAATTTTCGTCATACTTGAGCCAACCAAGTGAGATCCCATTGTATCATCAATCTCTTTGAAGACATCCTCCAAAAATGCTTCTGGTGAGATGATCTTGTTGACAAATCCCACGTTGAGTAATTGGTCTGCTGGGATCATCCGGCTCTGGATCAGGGCTTCATTGGCCTTTGAAATTCCCATGCGCTGAACGAATCCATAACTTGCTCCGCCTTCGGCGACCAGACCCAAACTGCTGAAAGGTGTCATTACAAATGCTGTAGGGACTGAGTATATGAAATCGGAGAACGAAATCAGTGCAGCGGCGAGTCCGATAGCGGGTCCATTTAAAGCTGTCACTAGGATCTTTGGATGGGTGTAAAAGGCTCGCGTGATGTTGAGGTTATTGGCTACCGTGTGTTGCAGGCCGTGGCGGAAAACATCCGTGCCAGGGGGCGTGGCGCGTGAAATAGAGACATCGGCTCCTCTAGCGATCATTAGTGTTGTTAACATTCCCTGTATGAGGAAAATCCTTACGCTGAGAAGTATCGTCCAACACCTGTCAGTACAGTGATAGTCACTTCATCGCGTGTCGAGATTTCGCGGAGATATTTGGCGACTTGGTAGAACCCGTCTTTGCTTTGCGCGTTGAGTTTCTTCGGGTTGTCGAGAGTGATGATTGCGACTGGACCGCGATACTCGAGATTAACGGTGCTTGCCATAGCTGTCATTCAATTCTTGACCGCACTCACGAGGATGATTGAGGGAGACGATATACAGTTTAACTTTCGGGCTTTGGTTAGTCCTCAGCTCGGTCTTTGGTCCGGGATTACGTCCGGCAATGCCAAGAAGCACTAGGGATTTCGGCGATTCTCCAATTGAGCACGGTCCTTGGAGAGCCCGTGTGTTACCAGCACCTCGTCATTCTTTACTTCGAATTTCCGTCGAAAGAATACGGAACGGAGGAGAAAAGAACAATTGCTCTTCTTGAAGATGGTTTCGTCTGATTTTTCCGTTGATCGAACCGGCAACGTCTTCGTCATTACCCTACACAAAGCTCCAGAGAACCGGCTGAGCTCCGCACTATGTCAAGAACTGATTCGAACGTTCTGCCAGATTCAGGAGCAGCTTGGACCAGATGCGGAAGGAGCGGTCATCACGCGAGGCTGTAACACCAAGTTCTTCTCAACGGTTAGACATCTACTAGGAAGCATGTGATACACTTAGTAGCTAACAATGTTCTCTTCTTCAGGGGTTGGATTTGGATGAACGCGAGACTAATCCATTTGCTAGTTCTGATGGATTCTATCCAGTAAGCAGACTATCCATCGAGCAATATGCAAAGGAATTGAAACTGAACCAGTTCTCCTGCTCTAGCTTATTCACACACTGCTCGATTTTCCTTACCCAACTATCGCATGTATCACGGGCCATACATTTGGGGGAGCTTGTGTATTTGCACTAGCACACGACTACCGCATAATGAACTCTCGCAGAGGATATTTCTGTATGCCACCTGTTGATTTGGGGCTTCATTTTGACGGCATGGGCTCCCTCCTCCGGTCAAAACTGTCCCCGCAAGTGGCGCGCAAGATTCTTCTAGAGGCATACCGATACACTGGCCGGGAGGCTTTAGAAGATGGCATTGTCGATGCAGTAGCGGAACCAGAAGGGCTGGATAGTTTAGCGATGCAGTTGGCGACCCGTTGGAAGACAAAAGCTTGTGGAAATGTGTATGGCGTTCTAAGAGGGGAGCTGGTGAAACCCGCTGTAAAGAGTTTCAGCGCACTAAGCTACGTTCATTCTCGTCCCACGTCAAGAACTCCGAAAGGTAAAACTTTGAGAGGCCAAACCACAAAGACAGAGACTAGAGAAAACAGTCTGACCCATTACGCTCCAACCTCCTGTCTCCTTAGAGGTCTCGTAGAGTGTATTTGGCTGATCTTGCCTATAGCCCAGATGTTATCCCCGTGGATAATCCTTTCACACGGGAGCTGTAAGATGACTCGAAATCTTGCAAAGGTTTCAATCTTATGGCGTTCCTGTGTACAAGGGTATCTGGTCGGTCGAAAATGAATTTGAAAAGAAAGCTTCGCACTAGATGATAACCTCAGTGGAGTGGACGAAGTGAGTTCGTTTTTGTATGATGTGTGCAATATTGACACAAAAGAGTAGGGGTCTTCAGAGAACTTTGTAGACGTCTTATCCCTAGTTGCTACTCTTCCATCACGCCTCATAAGAAGCGCAAAATACCACCTCGCCCATCGATTCCTCTAGAGGACGTAACAGAAATCTGTGTTTTCAAACTCTGTGCGGTCCTACATTCCTGCTTCGTTGCTCCTAGCCTTGTCGGCTGGACCATAGCGCGAGTCGCGGCGCCCATTCACCAAAAACATGTAGGCTAGATTCATTCAGCAAAAAGGTACACCATAGCCTTGAGGGCTACGTGAGTTTGGTGGCATGGCATCGTCACGTCAACGTGGAGGTCATATCGCGGATCGAAATGAATATAAAAGGTATCGTTGAAAGAGAATTATTGGGAAGTTGTTAAACGAAATCGCCAAAAGAAGTTATTGGAGTCGACTATTCGAAATAAGTGAAGGCATCGTTGAAATATGTTTATACGAATGACGTCTTCAAAGATGGGCGTCAACTAAATTAACTAGATCTTTTCACCAGCCTCTGTTTTTCACCAGCCTCTCTTTTCACCGTGGAATGTCTGTAGTAATGAGTATCCAAAAAGGTCGTTGAAAGGAGTTGAGCAATATCAATCTAAGCCGAACTTTGAAATTATTAATGAGGTAGTTGAACTGATGTAATTGAGAATCCTGGAAACGCTTGAATACCGAGAATCGTTGGAAAATTATAAGGAAAAAAACCCGTTGGAGTCGACGATTTAAAGTGGGCAGAACCATTATTGGGGGATTTTACCTTTCATGATGTCTTTCAACAGTCGACTTCAACGACTTTAAATAGATCTGCTGGCCTTGTCAAGTATTCGTTCAACGGCTTTGTCATCCCCTTAAAAAACGGTATGTTGAGTTGCATTTATGACACCATAAATGGTGTCGCTACAGGATGGATGGCAGTGTTCACCCACTTGAGAAGTATTTGCTGAGGGCGATTCAATACTCGCCTACCCGTTACGAATTCGCTTCGTCTGTCTTCCTCCCTAGCTATCGTAAAGCTATCGCGAACCGAGGTCGCAGTTTCTGTTTTAATATGAACATCTAGCGGACCTCTTGCAAAACTTTCACTTTATCTTTGCTCCTTGCTTGTGTACAGCCGGCCGTTATCTAAGTTATGCTGCTTCTCTGTACAGATGAATTGGGTTCCCAATGGGGAGATGAAAATCCTATTGAGTGGGATTCCTGGCTTTATAGAATCGTCGTCGGGCCTTGTTTCGGTACACCAGGGAGTTCTCGGAACATTGCAGAATAGACAAGACAAGAGGGGAGAAAACTCAAACAGGGATTAGGAATATGATAGTTGGTATATTCGACAAAGGCCTTTGCGTGTGGTCGGTTGCCCAGAGATGGGACAGAACCTACCCAGTCATGCAAAGATCGGCAGGTTTGCGACGTCTTCCGAATTTCCATGGGGAAGTTAAAAAAGAAAATACGAGGTATCCGGAGAATGGCCGGCCCCTTGCGGCTGTTGAGCACCACGTTCGAGCCCATTGCAAATGCGAACGGGCAATTGCCGCGCTCAAGCCTTTACCCCAGATCAAATTACGTAATTTTAATCCAGGGACAGTGTTGCCCATGGGGTCCGGGGAAACTGCGCAGGGCTGGAGCCAAGAGACTAGGATGCTAGTGTGCTGATTGCAGTATAGCAGACTCCGATATCCTGCTTCGAGTCATTCATACTTAAGGTCAACACCCTGCTGATAATTCGCTGAGACGTTCCATGTTCTTTTACCTCTGAGATCGTCTGTTCTTGTCAAAATGCAGCTCCATCATCTTCTCACGGGTTCTTATACCAACAACACGCTGTTTCTCCTTGCGTTTGATACTATATCCCGAGTTCTGTCTCTCAATTCGACTGTTCCGGGATTTGGATTACACCAATTCGTGACCAGCAATGAAGCCAAAGACCGGGTTTACGCAACCACTATGAGTGAGCCTCCGCGGTTGTTCACTTGGGGTGTGGACGAGGACTTTCGGTTCACCCACTTAAGCACCAAGAACATCAGTAAGTTCATACCTGCAGTCAATTGTCGACATTGAATTTCTAAGAGGCTCGCAGCATCCTCGGCCTGTTACATCTCCGATGATGGCCATTATTCTTTCTCCGCTGGTGGACCAACTGCGCAGATCAATTCACTAGGTGATAATGGGGCCATTGGTAACCAAACAGACGAGCTCTATCTTATCCCTGTGGAGGATATTGATAGTGTGGATAAGACCCGAAATGCTGTCGTAAGCCAATATTTGAATTTGACCGTTACTTATGGGCTTTGTTTTATACTGAATTCATTGATTTAGTTACATGGCGCTCATGCCTTCGATGTCAACGTGAACAACAAGGGATTTGTTCCCCATCTGTCAGTTAATTACAGCCCCCAAACTATTACCGACATTGGCTAATTGTTAGTAGCGGTATGAACTCAATCTTCATGTACGATGTTGCCGATAATGGCACTGCTCAGCTTCTATCGATCAATCTGAGCCCAACGGAGGGTGATGGTCCTCGCAACTCGTATTCTAGCGAGGATGGGAAGCTTCTCTACGTGGTATGTGATTGATGATCCAAAACAATTACCCAATCAATCAACTAATTTGCTGTTTCACAGGTTACCGAACATAGTCAGTTATTTTTCCTTGCGATTTGAGCTTGCGCCAACTAATAATTCTAATTCCAGCCCAATGGCTCGATGTCTACGAAGTCCGTGAAACTGAACTCAAACATGTACAGCGTGCCAGTGTGATTCCTGAAGGTAAGCATATCCCGAGATTTTGAAAAAAAAAGGATGTCTTAACTCAAAAAACAGGTCTTCGAGGTCACTATACATTCCGCAGTAATACTGTCCGACCCTCCAGAGATGGCAAATACCTCTTCGTCTCCACTCGCAGCTGGGAATCACCCGGGGTAAACGGGTTCGCCGCTGTATTTGAGGTAAATGACGAGGGATATCTCACAAAGGAAGATGCTGTTACCTTTTACGAGGCACCCGTATCTCTTGGTTCTGCTGGCGGTCTTCGCGTCGCACCTTGGGAGGACGAGACTAATTGTGATCCAGAGGGTTTGACGGACTATATGTACCTTAGTGACACCTCTGAGGGATGGATGTTCATTTTGGGTTGGACTCCTTCTAACCATTCTTTGGACCTTGTTGCGTCGCTTCAATACCCGGACAACGCATCGCCATATGAGGCTACCTGGTTGAGCTAGAATTATTATCTTAGTCCACTACTGCCTAGCAATTTAGATAGAGCTGTCGTGAATTGAATGGATATCAGCTTTGGTTTTGTACAAAAATTGAGAAGTTATGCTTTTGCTCTGATCGGATGTAGAAGTAGTTTTGAGCGGCCAACATAAGTTCATTTCCATAAGGGAAAAGGTTTCCTCCTCGTAGTACTTCTCTGACGTGTGCTAAAAATGATACTTTTGCTGTAGTCTAGGGGGAATTGCAGAAACATTCAGTCATTACTTAGTGCTACATCGCGGAACAATGGCTAGAGCATGAACGATGATAATCCAGAATCCGACGACTTCATGGTCTGCACTATAGCACATCCATAGTGTAATAGCTATTTCTCATTGTAGAGGCGCCGAACGAGAAAAAAGGTTCAGGAATCTCGCCGTAGAGACAGATACAGTAAAGAATCGGAAAGCATATTCACTACCTCGCGAGTTCACCTTCCGGCATTTGCCCGCCAGTATTACTCAATAGCTATTCCTTCCACCGGGAGTCTTCCGCCAGGATTCGCGCCCCTATTCCAAACTTAACTTAAAACTCCCCAAAACGAGGGGACCTACATTCCCCACACTTTCCCCGCGAACTTGGCTCAAAACGCATCCCCAGACAACGCGACTGACTCAAAGATACATTTCCGGCGCTTTGGAACTTGTCGGCGAACTGCCGGCCTTGAGATGGGGATGGGAGCAGGCGGAATTTGCGCGATTTCACAAACAGTATAGATCTGCCATCCTTCGGTATGATGTAGTTGGGTATAAATGGGAGGGCGGTGACCATCTATTAGCTGTACTTCCAAAGACTAATTGCATTTAACGAACTATCAACATGGCGACCAAGCATCTAGCCACATGGGCCTTGGCCCTTCAGTACACGAACCTTACCCAGCCCGTGACCGACATGGCGGTCAAGAGTATTTACAACTGGGCTGGCTGTGCTATTGGCGGGTACGCTCTTCCCCCCGCGGGAGTTGCATATGATGCTGTAACGCCGATGCTGCCAGAAAACGCAGGCAATTCTTCTATTCTGGGATCTGACGCCTTCGTCGATATCCAGACGGCAGCTCTGGTCAACGGTATTGCCTCCCATGTCGATGACTATGATGATACGCATGCCGATACCCCTGTGCATCCATCCGGTCCTGTTTTATCTGCCCTACTGGCGGTTGCCGAGTGGAAAGCTCCTGTTTCTGGTGAAGACCTCCTCACGGCCTTTGTTGCTGGAGTGGAGGCAGAGTGCAAGCTTGGAATCTCTGTCTACCCTGAGCATTATGACATTGGATGGCGTAAGTCATGACCTCAAAGAAAGCCTACTAAACCATCAAATGCTAACCTCTTTTGCAGATATAACCAGTACCACTGGCTCGGTGGGCGCGGCAGTTGCTGTTGGCAAACTCATAGGCCTCGACCTCGAGAAGCTCCAGCACGCAATCAGTATCGCCGCTGTTCAAGTTATTGGAATGCATGAGTCGTTTGGCACTGACACAAAGCCATTCCATGTCGGCCGTGCTGCCCAGTCCGGTCTCTTGGCAGCGGTGCTCGCCCAAAATGGGTTCGGCAGCTCACTGGAGGGACTGGAGGCAGAGCGAGGCTGGGCTAATGTTGTGAGCACTCGCAATAACGTCACAAAGGAGTTCACCACGCTGGGTAATGTTTGGGAAATTACCAAGAATACATTTAAACCTTTCCCCTGTGACCGGATTATCCACGCTGCCATTGATGGTTGGATTCAGATCCATGACCAGGCTGTCGAAAAGAAGCTTGATCTTACCAGTATTGTGAATGTCACGGCCCGCACAAACCCCAAAGTGCTCTTTTTGACAGATAACCCCGAGCCAAAGACTGGTCTTGATGGAAAGTTCAGTGTTTATCATGCCGCTGCTGTCTCATTGCTCTTTGGTGAAGCCACTCCGGTACAATTCACTGATGAAGCTGTAAAGAACTCCACCGTTGTGAGTCTTCGTAAGAAGGTGTGTGTCACTTCGGACGATGCTGTGAGCGAGCATGAGGCTTTTGTCACTGCTGAGTTCAAGGATGGTACTAAACTGGAGGTTCATGTCAAGGAGGCTTTGGGCAGCATCAAGAAGCCATTGTCGGCTAAACAGCTTAAGGAAAAGTTTCTCGAGCATGTCAGTAATCACATTGGTAAGGAACGGGCCCAGAAGGCTTTCACTGGTTTTTCTGAGATTGCCAGCTCTACGGATGTTGCACAGATCTTGCGCCAGTTCAAGAAATGATCGCTAGACGACCCGTTTCTTTGATTTTGATAAACCAGTGATCTGGAGTGATCTTCTACGAGCAAGCCTAGAATACTTACTGGCTTTTGCACATCACATACATAAGTCGTGTCAAAAAATCATATTTTTTGTATCTTGAAAAATTCGAAGAGCCTGTGTGTCCATGAATGTGCCAGTGTAAGAGAGTTTAGATATCCAAACTGTCGAGTAGATAAAAGTATTGAACACGACCTACCAAGCGAGATCGCATGGAATGTTGACACACGTACAGGAAGAGGGCCTTGAACTGCCGTAAACCATCAAAGCGAACATTCCACGGCCTAACCATACATACATCTAACCTCAGCCACAGTAACGAAGACATACCAGAACAATATCTCTGTAAAAGGCACTTATATCACTTGAAACTTCCAACTCAAATTATAATTACAATTTGGCAAGCCTTTATTGGGCTGACCAATCTATGTCGGCTAACAACGAGTCCAACGGCCCCTTTCCTGAGCAGAAGTCCCTATGTATCGTTGTTTGACCAACTAGCTGACCAGGATGTGTGTACTTAGATGGAAAGCTATCCAGAAACAGCTGGTATCCATCAAAAGGGGTGCTTGAGCTCACTGTTTGTGGGCTTGCGACCGAGAGATCCCCATGAAAAGGCGATGACCCCGCCACAATTTCTTGGGTGCTTCCCTTGTTCACCGTATCATATACCCCTAGAGAGAGCTCTAGTACTCTTTCACACCGGGATAACAGTTTCTCCTCCCGTCTTTCCTTCGCCCGCGAAGCGTTTTGGCATCGTGTGTGAGCCGTGCAAATGTCACCTTTCGGATAGCAGGGACATCGATCATGATGCGTACTATGATGACACTCATCAGCAAGGCCCGGATATAGCTCTTTGACGCGCATGCACATTGCATCAAGGGACTTTAGTACCAGAGACGGCAATGTCTCTGATTTGGCTTCACTCCCCGACATGACGGATGTTAAGCCCTCTTTTATATTATCTTGAAGTGGTAATGGACAAACCATAAGCCAGGAGGCGAGTCGAAGATCGGCAGCAAATGCAGCTGAACCAGATGAATTGTGTATGGTGGAATCGACTCTCGTATCGTGTATTTCTTCCGCTGCCGACTTTTGAGGCGAAAAACTTGCATAGCTTTGTGGTTTCTCTGACATTGAATCCCAGTTGGCGTGTGATGCCCGGGTCTTATGCGCCGGTGATGAAGCGTCTTCCGGTATGAGAATTTCCTCGTGTTCTGGCATTGAGTTCCTATTTTCAGGAGTTTTTTTGCCTATGGTTGTTGATTCTCTGCTTTTAGCTGTACCTGCAGCGTCCTTCAAAGGTAAACCTCTGGGTGAGCATTAGCCTTCCTCTCTTTCAATAAGCCAGTCTGACCTTAGGCTTACCTGCGCTCCGCTTGTGACGGACGTTGCTTTCGCTTAACCACGAAACACGGCGTCCCTACAGCCAAACAGCTGCTGCATGGAAATTTAAAATCTGCTGTGCACTTCCCCTTGCGAGTTCGGCATCTCTGACACGCGTTGCGAGCTCTCTTGCGCTTCGGGGATTCCATAATTTATCACAGAAGCTTTGATAAGATCCCAGACAGGAAGATGTCAGTTTTCAGAGATGATGCATGAGAAACCCTCTGAAGGCGTCCCATAAGCTTTGCAGCAGTCCGTGGTAGTTTATCTTGAGATCATTGGGGTATCGGCCGTTCGCCGGGGATTCGCCACCCGGCCATTCTCCGCCACGAGTCAAAATTCATCCCTCGACCCAATATTTTAGGTTCGGAAAATGGCCGCAATGTGCTTGGCTGGATATAATCATACAGAAAGTCAATATACATCACAAGATAAATGTCGGCTAAGCGTTAGAAAGCAATTTATAGGTGATTTGACCGCCCATATCATTGACATCAACTTTACCCCCTGAGTCTTATGAAGAGTGTCTCCTCGGATCTAATTCTTGACTCCTCATCTCTCCAAACCAACATGCGTCTTCCCTACGCCCCTCAGACTCCGGGGGATTTGAGCCCCGAGACACATGAAATCTACAGTCGCATCGCTGCCAGGCGTACACCAAGGCCCCTGATTGCACTTGATCTTTCCTTGTTGCATGCCCCTCCTGTCGCAGATGGCTACAACCACTTCATTGGATCACTTCGCTCGAAAACAGTCCTGGATCCGGCTTTGTTGGAACTTTCCATCAGTCGCATAGCCATTTTGAACAATGCCGTTTACGAATGGAATATTCACGCTCCACTTGCTTTGAAGGCTGGACTTAAAGCGTCAGCGTTGCAGGATGCGCGATCACTTCCATCGTCCTGCCAAGCGACCGAGCAAAGCATCGATGCCTGGAAGTCGTCGAGTCTCACGGCTAGGCAGAAAGCTGTTCTTGCTTATACCGACGCTATGACGGAAGCTGTCACTGTTTCTGATGATGTGTTCCAGCAACTTGTTAAGGCAGAGCTGTCAGACCGAGAGATTGTTGAGCTTACTGCCACGGTTGCGGGGTACAACTGTGTAAGTAGGATACTTGTGGCGCTGGACGTTGGAGAAAACAATGCTCGTGAGATGAAGAGTGTTGATGAGCTTGTTGCAAACCTTGTATGAGACCTAATTGGGATTTGAACGAGCCAATGATTTTTTTGGTAAATCGTCTCTGGAAAATCAGGAGTTTAAAACGACCCTTTGGACTCTTCTAGGCCGCTCTTTGTATTCGGTAGAGGATGTATCAAAGGGAAACGATTGGATATTACCTAGTGTAGTGGGGGAACCATTCTCAACAACGGAATCAGAAGATCGGAATTTTAGCAACAAGGTGCCCGCTCTCAGGGAGATAGTTATCTAGTTCGCGCGATAGCATTCCAAGAATACACACACCTTTCGTGTCGCGAAATTCGTCTCTTTCAGCGGCCTCGGTGGGCTCGCTCGCGTATGGCTACGGTAGTCGATTGTTTGTATCTCAGTTAGATCGCTCTGCCTACTACGCTCCACACGATACGTGCACCCTGCGGGTGTGGTGTTTTTCTCTCGTTCTCTCCCCTCATCTGCCCACGCAGATAGCCATATAGCATATCCCATCTTACACTAGCTGAGAGATATGTAAGAGAATATCAACCTGAATGTTCATACGAAGTGAAGCAATAACGAGAAGGTATAAAGACCATCGGTCTACTTATAAAACTTGTGATGAAGCTTATCTTAGAGTAAATTGAAATGGAATGGAATTTGTCTAAATTATTCTATTCAAAGCTCTAATAAAGATAATATGGCTATTGATTAAGCATTATTGGGGATTCTCGTGTTCTGCTCGGCGAGGGTATCAGACTTCAAGGCCGGTCTGTCTGCTTTTCCTGCGGTGGTCTATTGAAGAGAGGTTAGATTGAGTCTCATTGTATGCTTGAAAAAGGGAACAGCTTACGCCGCCATCAACGGGCATGATCAAGCCAGTGATCCATTTCGCCTCGTTACTGCAAAGGAAGAGAATAGCTGTTCATTCAATGTTAGTAAATGTACTGGTCCGATGGGATAATCTCATACCATAACCAACATCCCATCCTGTACCTTCCTGCTTCAAGAGGTTCTGGTTGATACGATCCTGGCGCATCTTATCCGTCATGCCTCTCCCTCGTACCATTGGGGTGAACACCATTCCGGGGCAAACACAGTTAACCCGGATATTTTCAGGGCCGTGCTGGGCAGCCATGGCACGGGTCATTTGAATAATGGCACCCTTTGTTGTGGGGTACAAAAGACTGGGGTTCCCACCGAGAACTTTATTTCATGTCAGAGATATTCAAGAAACCGAGAGCCAATGGGGACTTACGACCGCTGACTGAGGACATATTAACAATGGCACCTCGTCCATTCTTCCTCATCTCAGGAATGGCATGACGACTCATAAGTACCATGCTGGTGACATTGATCTTAAAGTCGCGTTCCCAAGCTGCAAGATCAAGCTTGGTAGCATCTCCCATGGCACCGCCAACTCCGACTAGTAGTTTTCATTAGATTCCGTAGAATTTACGAGGTGCGAATGGAAATTCACCAATGTTGACAAGAATGTTCACAGTTCCGAACAGCTCGACGGTCTTAGCCACAGCATTCTTGCAGCTTTCCTCATCAGTTACATCAGCCTGTACGACTTCTGACACACCGCCCTCAAGATCAATCATGCGCTTAGTTTCTTGAGCCCATTCGGCGTTATAGTCAACTAGTGCCACCTTGGCACCTTGTCTGGCGAGTAAGATAGCAGTTGCACGACCATTGCCAATCTCGGCTAGACTTTGTGAGTATTAACTTGCATAATAAAGCAATAGATCGAATTGAACTTACCAGGCATACGAGATCCAGCACCGGTGACCATAGCCACCTCACCAGTGAATTCGAAAGCTTTAGCAGCGGTCATATTGAAAAGATATTGTTATACAAAGTGATTTTTGGAGTTTTTAGGAATAAGGTTCCTTGCAAGGGGCCTTTATAAAGAGTCATCCATCCTTGGAACATGAGTACAACAGTAGGCGGCCATCCTCCGGTGGCCATGAAGTTAGTAAAGCGTATTCGGCCATCCGCCGATTCCCCGGCCCCAACTGTCAAAGAGGCTTTGGAGACCCCACAAAAGCTCAATTTTGGTCTCTCTGGGGAATTGTTAAACGGCAAATCGGTTTGACATCGGGATCCCCTAGGCCTAGGTTTGCTACTCGGGTGGATTTAATGCCGACTCCTGTGGGTTGTAGCCTGGGGCCGGTCTATCCATAACCCAATGATCATAGAGGCTTTGTCACCAGTGAGAATTTGAGCGCGTGTTACAATACCTTCAAACTAGTTTCACTATCTCTACATTTATCTCCCGTGTGGGAAAGTTTAAAAGGTCATGGGAACAAGGCATGGCACACCATTTCATAGGAATACTTTCGTTCAGGCTTATTCAAGTAAAGTTACGTTCTATAGCAATTTCAATCTATAGGATAATGCCATCGCCTAAATTATTGCGACAACCAAAAGTCAAACCATTCTACAATTACCTTCAAACTCTGTTCCTTTACGTAGCCTGGGGAATGTTAATTTTCAAGATCCACGGTGAATGTATAGCAAAGAATGATTCCTTACGTTCATAGGGGTTTTTCATATTGCCTCGTAGAGCGAATCCGTGCGATACACCAGAGAACATCTGGAATTGATAGGTCTTTTGACCCTCCTCCAGAATATCTAAAGCGGCCTGTCTGGCTTCTAGAGGAAACGTGTGATCTTCTACAGAACAAGACAGAAATAGTGGCTCTGTTGAGATATTTTAGTATCTTAATCAGGGTGAGTAAATCAAACAAGGGCAACGAACTGGTGATCTTTGAGAAATGAGAATCTTTCAAAAAGGCCGGATGTGCAAATGCACCAGCGCTGACGGTGTTCTTGGCCAGCTCGTCGCAGACATATGGGGCACCAAAACAATATCTGAATCAAGGCTTGAGGTCAGGGCTAACCCAAAAATTGACAAAAGCAGGGAATTACATACCCAACGCAGGCATACTTCGTCGATGTCTGGCCATACGAGCTCTTCACTTCATCGATCCACCGTGGGACTGCTTCATCCGCAAAAGACATATGCTTTCGCTTCCAGGCCTCGTAGTCGAAGTCTGGATTTGAGCTATCATGACGATCGCGACGATGTTTCCAAACCGGATCCTAGAAAAAAATCAGCTTGGTCGAGAAAAGATGAAAAATCCGAGAATAGCATACACCTCTGAAGTAGTCAAGCCCTAGTACAAGATAGCCAGAGTCCGCAAAAGCATCCATCACCAGGAGACCATTCGGAAACATTCCCCATACGTCAGGGAAGTAAAGTAAGATATGGCCATTTGTGTTGCTCTTCTTAGGCTTCACGATGTAAGTTTCTACACCGGCAACCGTTATAAAACGCCCACGTGAAGTGCCTTCGTGAAGGGTTCCCTCTAGACAACAAGGTCCTGATGGCTGGGCCAACCAGGTGTTGCTTTGGTCGACGTTACTAGAAGGTGGCATTGTATGATGATAGATGGGGTAACAAAACAAAGTAAAAGTAAAAAGGTTCACGTACTAGCCTTCCAGATATATGAATACTATGGAAAACTGCCGATCGTATTTATCACAGTTTAATTTTCCAACGAAATTGGAATTGACCAGTGAGACACAGCGGGCATCCGCCGGAGGCGAGGTGGCCACGGAAGTTGCCCGGTTTCTGGGGATTGGCCCCCGTAATCTGCGAATGCGGAGAAATGTTGGGATTATAAGTCCTACTGGTTCCAGATAGATAATTCGGATAAAAGGCACGCTGTAAACCATTTTTCAGCCTGCAATACTACCTTGCACCTTTTGCAATGTCGTCAAAGCAGGAAAGATCCGACAATATCCATATTGAGCAGGCGGCCCCTTTGCAGAATCCTCTTCACGACGATATCGAGGAAGCAAAGGCGATTTCGATCTACGAGGTACGATAACTATGTTAAGAGCATTCATGGCGGTTTGGTCTGACGCTCTTCTAGGAAAATGCGGTCGGATACAGGGAATATCGAGAAGGATTGCACCTTGAGTTCACTGCAAAGGAGGTGAGTGGGCTTTTTCCCGGCCGTCTTGCAGCTGAGTTCTAATCGAGAATCTCCTAGGAAACCAAAACCAGATGGAAGATTGATTTCGTTGTACTCCCTATCTTCCTCGTCACACAAGCGTTGCAGTTCATGGACAAGACGGCCTTGAATTATGCGAACCTACTCGGATACCAGGAGACCCTGAACTTGAAAGGTCAACAGTTTAATTACCTTTCAGCAAGTATGTTTCTCCTTCAAAGAACTGGCCTAGGAAATGAAAATCTAATCTATTTTAGTGGTGTATGCTGGCTACTTCTTTGGTCAATACCCATGTGGATGGCTCGTTGGAAGATTCCCTGCTCAACGTGTATTGGGAGTGAGTTGCATGATGTGGGGTTTGATGGTTATTATCATGACCCAATGCCATACATTCCCCAGTGCTTTGGGTGTTCGTTTCATAATGGGTATCTTTGAAGCCGCTGTCACACCTGGCTTGACCCTCATGACCGGATTCTGGTATACACGACAGGAAATCCCTCTTCGCCAGTGTATATGGTACTCAGCACTTGGCTGGGGGGGGCATTGTCGGATCCTACATTTCGTTCGGTATCACTAAGCTTCCCGTTGACATGAGCCCAGCACGCTGGGAGCTGTTGTTCTATATTCTCGGAGGCGCCACTTGTCTCTGGGCGTTTGTGATCTTCTTCGTTCTGCCTGATTCGCCTTCAAGTGCCTTCTTCTTGACCAAATCTGAGCGCATCATTGCGGTCAAGCGTGTCGCCGGTAACGAAACTGGTATCAAAAACAAGGCATTTGACACGAAGCAGGGAATGGTCGCGTTTAAGGATCCAAAGGCCATCCTACTCTTTATCTCCGTGTTTGCTGCTGCCATTCCCAACGGTGTTGTCAACTCTTTCTCGACGATCATTATCAAGGACATGGGCTTCTCCCAAACGATGACTACAGAGTTGAAATCCGTTGGTGATGCAGTTGTTATCGTTGCGTTGATTATCGGTGGCACTATCACATTGAACGTACCCAATTCCCGACTGCTCACCTCGACTGCTGCCAATATCCTTTGCACCGTTGCTGCCGCCTGTATGGCTTATCTTCCCAGAGAGCAGAAATGGCAGAGACTGGTTTGCTTTTGGCTGGTAAATGCGCAATCTGTCGGCTTCACGGTCTCATTGGTGACCATTTCCTCCAATATGGCTGGTTATACCCACCGGGCTATGGCTAACGCTCTCGTGTTGTAAGTGGTACCCAGTCTGAGCTTTATATATGTTATTTGAGCTAACTTATTGTAGTACTGCCTATTGCTGGGGTAACTTTGCGGGGCCCTTTGTGGTGAAGCCATCGCAGGCCCCTCGCTACGAGGGCGCCACGATTGGTCTGCTAGTAGGCTACGCAATCAAGGCAGCATGCCATCTTCTATTGCTTGGTAAGATCCAAGTCCCTTTTTCTGGAAACTGGCGCTAATGAGCCTAGGCTACATGTTTATCGTCAATCGCCGTCGTGACTCACGCTACGGTCCGGCTGACAAGGCTAGAAGTAATGAAGCCGGGATGCAGGACCGGACTGAATTTGAGAACAAAGATTTCAGATACGTGCTCTAGTCATTTTGCCGGGAATTTGTTTTAGCGAAGAAATCCTTTATATTATGTTTATGAGAATGTATATCTGGGTTAGAGTTGCATCAGATTTAAGTGGATCGCTTGAAAACATGGGATTTTATAATTCACTTCCGATTCAACCGGCTACCCCAGATCCTGAGATCTCGTAGGGCGATGATTTGGGGCTGAAAACGCCTAAATAGTGAAAAAACACAGGCAAATCCCGACCATAGACTTAAACAGGTCACGTGGAACGCCATGTTATGTCATGCTTTATATCTCAGCCAATTAGATTGCAAGGCTGGAAGAGCCGTCTTTACGGGGTCACCGCACGACCTAAATTTCCTGTAAAAAAGAGCTGTATGGGGTCGACGATGAATGTCTGAGTGAGTAGCAGCTCATTACGAGAGAATAACTACTACATATATTCCTACTAGCAATTTAATAGGCCATAATAGATATATATAAAGCTGATTTCCAAGCCTAAAGGCTCCGCTTGAATGGGAAAGCGTGGGGCGTTCCCCACTCTTTCCCATTCCCCCGGCAATTCTGCCATCCCAATCTCCCCAATTCCCTTTTTCCCTTTCTGCTGAGTAGACTTGGTGAAAGCGTGATTCGCCGCTTCACTTTTGCCATGAAGCCATGGTGAGGCATCAGAAAATCGTATGCTCGACTTGTAGGCGGCGGAAAAGCAAATGCGACGGGGCTTCGCCGAGCTGCTCCGCTTGTGTCGCCAGTGCTTCGCCTTGCCACTATGATAAGTCGCCCTCGCTTGCCTATGTGCGCTCGTTGCAATCTCGCATTTGTGAGCTGGAGCGCAATGCTAGCACACAGTCAACCTCTCCATCCAGCCCGTCTTTTGCTGGCTCGACTTTCAGCAACCAACGCGGCGACTCTATAAGTCTGGATGCGCTGGGCGATGTTGGCTACCATAACCAGACATCTGCTATACATGAAGATCTACCGCAGAAGAATTCTCAGCCATTGTATGTTGCATCCCTGTTATCGTCATCGACAGACAAAAGCCGAGCAGCAGATATCAGACAAGAACTGGTGGACAATGCTGCCACACAAAAAGGCTTAGAAATTATGAACTTGGATGCATCCCAGTCATTGGCAAATTTATCCTATGATCTCGCCAGTACTTTACTGCAGCTACACTGGTGCTGGTTGCATCCGAGTTTTGTTTTCGTCTACCGCCCCGCTTTCACGAGAGATATGCCTCTACTTGCGCGTGGGGATCGATCCGCTACACATTGCTCTTCAACCCTTGTAAAGGTGCTTTATGCTCACAGTTGTCGATTTATCCGGTCACCAGATATGGTGTGGAGCCCGGATAGTCATAGAGAGTCGTTTCAGGAACTTTCGGACCGTTTGATGGCAGAGGCAAAGGCCTTGCTGGCCATGGAAACTTTGAATCCCCCTGCTATTCCTACAATCCAAGCATTACTCCAGCAATCAGCTCGAGATGTTGCTTGTGGTCAGTCTTCCTCTGCATGGCTCTATTCCGGCATGGCTTTTCGTATGGCCATTGATCTTGGCCTACACGTCTCTCCCGACAAACTCCAACAATATTCTACCTCGCTCTCATCAGAGGATATTGAGATCAGAAAACGTCTCTTTTGGAGCATGTACGCCTGGGACAAGCATATCAGCTTGTACCTAGGGAGGATGCCAAATTTCGTGATGGGCGCTGAAAACGTATCATTGGAGTTTCTGGACGACTTCACTGACCATGATCCCTGGGTACCATTTTATGGACCCGACCCAAAGTCTGGAGAGCTCCCCCCCATATCCCCCAACCCCAGGCCATGTTATGTCCTGCTTCACAGAGCTATGCAAACTCTGCAAAATTCTCACGCGAGTGATGCTAGAACTCTACAGCTCGCAGTCCGCCAGACACTCGGACAATTCCCCAGATCCACGAATGACTGTCTTTATCGAGATCAAAAAGGAGCTACAGGATTGGCACTCATCTTTGCCATCGTTCCTACATATACCGTGCAATGATATGCCTCAAAAGAGTCCACCGCCGCACATCACTTCGCTCAACCTGATGTATCACAATGCCCTGATTCTTCTTCATCGGCCTCATGTTGCAGGCGGGGATGTACCTTCCTCTGCTGCGATCCGAGAGAGCTGGAAGATATGTCAAGGGGCAACCACCGCGATATACAATCTTCTCAAAATGTATATTTATACTTTTGGATATCATCATATCACATACATGAACAGTTATTGCACTTATATGGCTGCTACAACTGCTGTATATCAACTAGAAACATCGGAGGCAGGATCGCAATCCTCACAATCATATCAGTCAGCTTGGACAGAATTAAAATTTCTGCTGGACGTACTTCAACGTACTGCCGCGGCTATGCCTGGTCTGGATCGAAGCATTGAGATCATCCGAGCGCGGATCAAAAGGATTCTTGACCGCCAAGTCTCCAGCCAACTCGATTCACTATTCCCTGGTCAAAAGTCAAAAGACTTTGACTATGCGCGGCCTGCAAATGACATTCCCCGAGCACATACCAAAGGCGAAAGGGCCTCCAGTGCAATCTCCACTGATCCACCTGTTTACGAATGGGGGAATAATATGGGCACTGCAACGGACGAAGATCTCTGGCTTCCAGCATTCCCCGCCCAGGACATTTCTTACGGACCGGAAGTGATGCTCGACGTACAGGACACGTTGAGCCCTCAAACGAGATCGACTCTCATGGGTTCAAATCTTGATCCTCAGCTTCGGCTGAATATTTCAATACCTGCCGAACATACGATGGGCTACGGTCCTTTCCCCAATTCTTTGCTTGGCCAATTGCCAGACGCTACAGTGGAAGGCGCCGACACCACGTATCAAACTATCTGATTATGTATATTACTATTCATTCCTCCTGGGGAAGGCCATCGTCGCTGACGAGGCAAATACCTATTTGATTACTATATGGTAGCTGCAACGAGCTCTTGTGGTCCAATGGGTCAACGCATTGCGGACAGGAAACCTCAATCAACAGAGCTCAACAAGGCCGAAATTATTCTGCCAAGATCGGTGTATATTGTGGGTCAGTGTTCTATTCTACGTGGCACATCATGATGGTGTCGCTGGGAGTACTCGGGACTAGGCTTTTTGGCCGTTCTGGTGGCAGCAGATTCAAGGAACGATATATTTTTGATGTCTAGCGCAGGAAGTAAACTATAAATTCAACGAGAGAGACGAAGATGAAGGCGTCAGAAATTGTTGTAGAAAGGCGGCGAAAAATAGATAATTGGTAGGCAGATGAGGGGGTATTCGAAGAGGAAGATTATCGTCGCATAATCAAACAGAATCAGAAAAGAAGCGAGCGACCGAGCCAAAGGCAAAGCGATATCATAGCCGATATGATAGTTGAAAGAAAGAGCTTCAAATGAATATCTTGATAAAAAAAATACTCCAAGGTCGGAGCATGGGCTATTCATGTATCGTCGAAATCTTGACTAGACTCAAAAACTGACCTGACAAAGAGATCCTTTAACATTTGTATAAGCGGTTACAATCGGATCACAGAGAACAGATATTCTGATGACGTGCCTGATCGTCTACCCAGAGTGCCCTGGGTACGGTGGATTTGATCCCTGAGTAGCCATGAGCGCTCAGGGAGCAATCCCGGACCAAACGATGAGGATGCTTGGTTTAGATCACGTGATGCAATTATGGCTAAGATTTCAGTAAAATGAACGCTTAAACTGGCGTCGAGTGTTGCCGTTTTGGGAGTTCGATTTACCGTCACTTAGCATTGTGGTGTAGTATACGATCTACGCGGGATACTCTAGATACTACTATTAGTAGATACTAGAGTATGTGGTTAATAAATATACATTACCCGGGCATAGGTACTTAGGTACAGTATTGAGTATACATAGTAGTAGTATTGATGTTCATATTATCACTGCGAAACTACAAGCTTGAAGCAGAGTAGACTTGTCACCCAAGCACTGCTACTATACTACTAGTAGCACGATATCTCTTGACACTTCACTTCTTCTCCGCTTCCTCCACTCCCCCAACAAGCTTGACACACTCAAGCTTCTACTCTTTAGTACACTCTTATCCTCTTTACTTCCACAACTTCCACAACTTCCTATGCATGAGCTTCAGTCTTCTCCGTCATGTTGACCGTCGGCGCTACCTCCTCACGACCCTTGACTGTCTCCAAATCACCGTGTTCCAGAGCCACGGTTCGGTTGGTAATCACTCGCGTCTTCCAGGCCGGTGTGCCCAGATACTTAGGTCCATTCGGATCCTCAAACATCGCCTCCGTCTCTTCCAGAGTCTTACCTGCCGTCTCCGGGAACATGAAGAAAACATGGATGAACATCGCCGCATTGAACACTCCAAACAGCACATAAGTCCGCCAGGTGATGTTCTCAAACGCCGGCGGGGTGAACAATCCTAGTGCCGTGTTAAAGGCCCAGTTACCAGAGGTCGACAGAGACACTCCCTTGGACCGCAGTCGCAGGGGATACAACTCTGGTGGGTAGGTCCATGAGACCGGTCCCCAGGTCGGCGCATACGAAGCCACGAACAGATAAGTGCAAGCAATCAATCCCTTGGCTGCCGCGCCCTTAACACTCATCGACTGCTCGGGAGAGGTACGATCATCCATGGCCAGGATCTCAGCGTGGGCACCGAGAATTCCGGCATTGGCAAACATAAAGATGCACATCAACAAGGCACCGACCAACATCGTCGGTCGCCGACCCCAGCGATCTTGCCAGATCAGGGCGGGTAGCGTCATCACGACGTTGATGATGTATTGAATGGACGAAGCTAGCAGAGTGGCGTTGCCTGTGTAGCCTGCCATGCCGAAAACATATCCGATGTAGTACACTGTCCATCCAGTCAGCAGGTTGCTCCGAGGGAGAGGGAAATCCCAGTCGCCATGCTATGTATCATTCTCGGAGAACTCACTCATCACGTTCATTCCAGTCAGCTGGGACCAGATCTGCGTGAACAGACCCACCATGGTTCGGTTCAGCATCCGAGGCTTGAACAGGTCAAGGTATCCGGCGTCATTGAAGGTGCGCTCCAGCTCGCACTGCTCGCGGATGTCCTGCAACTCCAAAGTGACGAAGGCGTGGTTTCGGTCACCTTTACCGTGAACCAATGCCAGGACTTCATGAGCCTCCTCCCAGCGATCCTTGCGAGCCAGCCAACGGGGGGGATTCGGGGAGGAACATCATCGCAAAGAAGAGGAGAACGGCAGGGACCATTTGCAAACCCCAGGGAACACGCCAGGAGGCAGCACTCCAGTTGTCTACGTCCGACCCACCAATGAAAGCACAACCGTAGGAGATACTAATCGTGTAAGCAGCTGATATCATGAGGGGAAGAAAGCACATGGATCATATCGGAGCACTTACTAGTACATAATCAAAATACCCCAAGTGATGGCCCACTGTTGCATACCCACAAATCGTCCACGCTTAGAAGGTGGGGACAACTCCGAGATATAGACAGGGACCTGTGCGGATTCGATACCAACGGCGATACCGTTGATGATGCGACCGACAATCAGCATACCGATATTCTGCGAGGCACAGATGATGACGGACCCGACGACCCTGAATATTGACATTCATGAGCACTCTCTTTTATCCAGGATCAACAACTTGAAACTTACCAAATCACGCAACCAGACATGATTGCATATTTACGACCGAGAATATCAGACACAAACCCAGAAATCAAAGCACCGAGCCACGACCCCGCGGCCATGGAAGCAGTGATACCACCCTGAACGAGCGAGCGAGGACCACTGCACCCTTTTTCGGGATTATCATAACTGAAAGGAGGGCCATTCGGACCCTGATTGAAGTAACATTTATAAGAATTCTCCGTCAGCTGGGCTGACATGGAAGCAATATCGAATCCAAACAGTCCGCCGCCGACGACGGCGACGGAGGCGATCACATAGATGTTTCCGATGACCATCATGATGACGGTGGGTAAAGATCAGATTCACCTGGCCAAGGTGAAACTTCCCAGGACAGGGAGGGTGGGGTGGAGGGATATTATATATCAGACCAGTCACGCAGAGACCTCACGAATCGGGCCCGGGACTGGTTCGAAGGAAACGCGCACCAACGAGACTCGGACTCGTTTTAGTTTGATGCGATGTAGTACTGGGATGCAAGTGGTCGACCCTTCAAGTCGGATGGCCTGTTACTTGTCTGGTACTTGATCGTTGCCCCAATTTTCCTTTATTGATGGACCAATGTCCGGCCGGTGCTCGTGCGGCCCCCATGGGAAAATGCGACCCACCCCGCTCCCCAGATGACAGTCTGAACCCCTCGTTTTTCGTGTGCGAGTATTCATGTTTCCAGATAATTCAAGACTCGACGAAGAAATGCTCGCAGAATTTTGAATATCATGATGTTGACGCACTTCATACTTCAAGCCAAGGCAAAGCTTGGCCTGTGGCGTCCGGCTGTCGTTGTCCATCCGCAAGCCAGCCGAGATTTTCCTTCCCCCCCCTAAGCCATTCGAGGTGTAGACGCATCCACGCGAGGCGGCCAGTGCTTGGTCAACCAATCTAATTCACTTGCCGTCCTTTGGATGCCAAAGCTTGCAAACCTTGGACATCCATGGGGTGCAACCCCCCTAGTCTAGCGGGGTGCTGGTGCTTCCTCCCTCCAATCCTAGCGAGGGGTGGCGGTCGGGCAGTGACCTCTCAAAGCTTCTCAGGTTTCGGATTTAAGAAGCCCGAGGGGATCATCTAGAAGGTATGCCGGGGTTGAGGAAGAGGAAGAGGACATTCCTGATTGCCTTTTGTACAGCACAACGCTATAAACAAAGTCCCTTGCGCATATACTACTAGTACGAAGTTGACCTATACAACAGGATACTGTTCATTCTGTTTGTACTATTTATCTCAGCAATCCCCAGGCTGACTAGAGTGCAGAGATCATGCAACCCTGTATTTCCCGTTTCCCTTTTGGGTACTTCCTTCGGCCTTCCAGTTGAATTTGATTCGGAGAGCCTTGCGATATTTATCCGAACCCGTTTGAGTAACAAGTGGGTCAAATGAGACGCGCACTTCTGTTGAATGTTGGATGAAGTGTTACAAGCATGACTCAAACTGCCCCTGATCATTGTGGACACACCATCAGTGGCGTCTCGGTTACATCGCCAATCGGACTCAAGCCTTGGTCACTTCTGTCGAACTCTAGCCCAAGGATCTAATCTGGTATATACTACTAGTATTAGATGGTAAACTGGGCAGTTTGACTACAACAGATAAAGGGTACAGCGGTGGAAGATGGGTACTTGATAGTTCTTTGACCGGGTTGAGTCAAGATGCCCACATGCCAAAGGAGTACCTGTGCAGACTGGACTCTGGAGAGGTTCTACAAGGAGCATCTGAGGGTAAATTCAAAACTCTAACTAGACTGCCCCATCGCATTATTAGCTCGCTCTTATCTGTTGGATCTTCATCTGTTCCACATTTGTATACTCCTTCCACCTGCCTGGCACTGTGTACCGACCACAAATCCACCCACCCCACTCCCCGACGATCAGGAAAGCCTTTTAGAATATCACTAGAATGTATTCTCTACTCGTATTATCTTGCTCATACCCCTACAACTCAAAATCATATCTATCAAGCACTGTCGACAAGGGAACCAAGAAGTGAGCTATACAGCCGAATGCAAGACCGACGACAGCCGAGGTCCCGCCGATGTGATTCTGGGGAAGTACAAAAGTGTGGGGAAATTCGACCCCTCCTCAACAACTTCACATCATCAACATCGATCGACTTGGAGCTTTATTTGCATCCAGAACCATGTCCACCACCATGCAGGCTGTTGTCTTCAAAGGACCGCTTCAGGTCGCCCTGGAACAGCGCCCTCGACCTCAGATTCAAGCGCCGACCGATGTGATTCTGAAAGTGAGGTACACCGCACTCTGCGGCAGGTAAGCATTTCTATTTCCGCGATCTTCACACCCATCTTGACTTTACCTTGTTGTGTTTTTGAGATCTCTGCTGTACGCTGCTAATCATCTTCAGTGAACTGCACGTCTTCCGTGGCCATCAACCATCGGGAACGGGCTTCATCATGGGCCACGAGTTCACAGGCGAAGTTGTCGAAACCGGTGCAGATATCCAATCCTTCAAGCCGGGTGATCTCGTCGTCTCACCTTTCACCGTCAGCTGCGGCAAATGTTTCTATTGCGAGAGCGGGTTCTCCTCCCGATGCGCCAACGGCCTGCTATACGGCAGCCCTGTTCTGGATGGCGGCCAGGCAGAGTATGTTCGAATCCCGCTCGCCGAGTCGACTCTGTTCCAGGCCCCCGCGGCAATCGATGAGAAGAAGTTAGTGCTCATGGCCGATATCTTTCCGACCGGGTACTTTGCGGCGAGTAATGGGTTCCGCTCGCTAGAGCCCAAGGCGATCCAGAATAGTACGGTACTTTTGTTTGGATGTGGTCCGGTCGGAATTTGTGCCCTTGTGAGTGCGCTGGAGTATCGTCCCAAGCACTTGATCGCGATCGACAGCATCCCCTCTCGTCTACAGTTAGCGGAGAGTCTTGGTGCGGAGCCGTGGAACTTTGCAGAGGATGAGGCCGGGCTGAGAGAGCGAGTCAAGACCATCACGGAGGGCCGGGGTGCCGATGTGGTGATCGAGGTGGTTGGTCATAGCAGTGCTCTCCGGATGGGATTTGAACTGCTTCGTCCGTGGGGAGTCTTGTCGAGTGTGGGTGTGCATAATGGCGAGATTCCCTGGACGGGCAATGAGGCATATGGCAAGAATCTGCGGATCCAGATGGGACGCTGTCCTGTTCGCAGTAAGTGTAACTTTTTTCTTTTCTTTTCATCATTCAAATCCGAGTCTTGGTTACTCGAGCTTCCTTTGCCAGTCTGGATGAAGGCTAACCTCGGCAGGCATCTTTGGGGAAGCGATGGAGCTGTTGGTGAAGAAGCAAGAGACATTGAAGTAAGTGATCAACTTTTCCCCTCTCTCTAAACCTGATAATATTACCACCGTCGTTCCGATTCCGAGTCTCACAAGGTCCCCAGTTTCATGGCCGAGGATATTCGCCCGCTTTCTCAGGCAGTACAGGCGTAAGTGATAGTGCCACCTACGATTTGCCCGAGAGTGCTATTAACCATGGAGATGCAGATATGATGATTTTAATCAGATGAAAAGCCAGAAGATTGTCTTTGAAGCAGATAAGTAGGGAGTATGGGTACATAGCACAGCATGAGTTCAGCGTTGTTCCAAGGTGAGGGCGTTGAAGAAATGAAGTATTTTCAGAGTGGACGATCTCTTAACATTTGGTGCCTTGATGACAGCGGTAGGATTCGGACCTGCGATTAGAACCGTCCCATTCTAAACGCCAGTGGTGCATTACCCGTTCTTTGATGTAGGAAATGTAGTGATTGTATATCATAACTACTAACTATACGGACTACTATACCTACTACCTATATCTACACTCTTTGGCTGCCACTGTGAGTCCTACTACTACTACTACTACTACTACTACTACTACTACTACTACTACTACTACTACTACTACTGCTGCTGCTGTATTAGATAGTACTCAAATTCAAAGAATACTACTTGAAATAACACTGATACTCTCATATTCTTCACCTACTTCTGTTCGGAGTTCCCCCCCAACCAATCCCAATCGGCCGTTCAACTTCCGCGTGACTCCGCAGTTCTTGTTGTTTTCCCTCATTTTCCCTCTTTTCCTCTGAGGCTTCCCCTTTTTCCTCTCAATCTAACCCATCCAACTCCCACAATGGCAATCAAATCCCTTCTTCTTCTGGCAACGGCTGCCCTCGCGACTGCGGAATCTTCCGTGGTCTCGATGTTCATTCCCGACGTCGAGGGCACCGCCTTGGTCGCCTCAGTCATCGCCCAGGTTGGTTGAGACCCTGAGACCCGCTGATCGACACGACCTCCACTGACCATGAATTCCTTCTCTCGGTACGGATCAGACCGCTGGTACGACCACCTACAGCATCAATTGTCCGCCTGGGACTGATAGTAGCGACTGCGGCGTGTCGCCGGGTCTGTTCCTAACCTCCGGACCGAAGAAAGTGGAATATTCCATAAGCGAGGGAGATTTGTATTGACCCTTCCCCCTCTCCTCCTCTCCCCCTCAATTGATCGGAATAGTCGACTAATCTCCAATTCTCCCTTCAAATAGCTACGGTCGCATGGTCTGCTCCTTGGGAGGCACCACGACCGCTGTCTGTACGGATATTAACAGCGGCGCCGATGCCAACTTCCCCGGAACACACACAACCACCCTGGCGAGCAGCGATATCACTTCCCTCCCCGTGACCATCACCGCCGGCGCGACCACCGGTGCCGCCTCTGACACCTCCGCCTCCGCGTCTACCACTGAGTCCTCGACGACCGCTACTTCGGATACCACCGCTTCGCAGACATCGGCCTCGAGCTCAGGCGCGATGGCTTCGTCCACCAGCTCCAGTACCGGTGGCATGTCGCAAATTACCGGTGCACCGGTGCTCGCCCTGGGCGCTGCGGTCGCATTCATCGCAGGCGCATTGTAAAAGCATGTTGGTGGCAGAGCATCTTGCAAAGCAGCTTGCAGAACATATATTGGGGTCCATGTTGAATACTAATTATATGCATATACGATGAAATTTACACTAATCATTGATCGTTTGATATACATTGGACAGTAAACTTTCAGCAAACAGCTAATATTCCCTTGTATAGAGTGGAAGATGAGAATAGCCACATCGGCCCCAATCAGCTTTGAGGGCCGGTCCATATCAACATCAATTCTCACTGGACTTGGTGCAACACGATCATATTCACCGGCAGCCATGCTGCCCATCGCCGGGATCTGGCAATGAGATATCAAAGATACAGGCTCCATCTCCTCATCCGAGTTTCACACGCCCGTTGCTGAAATCCTGGGTATCACAACCTCCTATACCAACCCGGATTTCAGAAGGATAATCCGGAGACGCATGTCTATACCAAGACGTGAAGAACCCGTCTCAGCTGCTGAGGATCACTGGATATTGGTCTCAAGAACTCAATACCGAGACCGATGTCGCATACGCCGCCAACTTTCTGCCTCGGATGTTCGAGTTTGTGAGCCAAAAATCTCTCCAAAAGCTTGAGTTTGTGCCATGGGATGGTCAAAGTCACTGGCTTCGGTGCCGATGCCGGTCGACGGGGAGACCATCTATCTGAAGAGATCCATGAGCCGGTAGAAAGAAAGAACGATGTGAGATCGTGAAAAGTACATGAATTTGAAAGAACCTATCGTGGTATCTTGCTTATAACAGCAACGCAATGCTAAACTCTGGTTGCTTCCCTCCTCATGTGTGCTCTTGACTGCATAATCAAACCAACGATTCCTGCTGGTGATTGACAGCTGGCGCGACCACATTTTCCCTGGCCTCAGTACCTCCAACACCCGCCTGCGAGTTGTTGTTGGGTGTTGGGGATGGGTCCTGTGCAGTGCGAGGACGACTGTCGGAAAAGGGATTGTCTTTCAACATCACCGACGAGCTATCCGGCAACAGATTTGCGGTCGAGTTGGTCTTGGTATGGCTCAATGGCTCTGCGGAGGTTGCGGAAGCTTTCAGTAGCTCTCTCGCGGCGATTCGCTTTGACTTGGCTCGGTCCCGTGCACAATGAACGATGCTGATGCCGAGGAAGAGGGAGATCAGACTGACTGAAAAGGCGACCGCGGCGATATTCCCTTTTCGGTTCCACTCCTTCACTTCAGCACTAGTCGTGCTGGTACTGGTTGCAGTGCTGGTGGTTGTGCTTGCGGTGCTTGTTGTTGTTGTTGTTGAGCTGCTGGTGGAAGTGGTGGTGGATGTCGTGGAGGTAGAAGTGGAGGTGGAACTGATCGAGGTGGAACTGGTCGAGGTGGAAGTAGTTGAAGATGTGGTCGTCGAGTCTGAGGTTGTGGTTGAGGTGGTCGAAGAAGTAGAAGCGGTCGTGGTTTCTGAAGTGCTGGTCGTTGAAGTCGTCGTACTCTCCGTTGTTGATGTGGTTGAGTCGGTGGTTTCGGTCGTGGCACGAGCGAAGAGCCTCGCCTTCTCATCGTCCTCATGATCCCGAATCTCCAGTACTTGGGTTACCTCCGCACAGCTCTCGCTAGCAGAGATACTGTTGATAGTCTCGAGTGATGGTGCCAGATCGGATGGAGGATGGTTATAAGGTTGGCAAAATACCGGAACACATTGCGCAGCCAGAAGAAAGAGAATAGGTTTCTTCATTTTTAATCAAGTTGGAAGAAGGAATCTGTTATTGGGAGATAATATGAGGGGGAAAGGAGATGAATCAAGGGTTTATTGGACATTATCTAGTATTTGACGGCATGAAGGGGGAGGGGACGACGCGCCACCCTCGTCTATGCAAATGGTTCCACCGATTCTATTTTCTCCCTTCATGCCTGGCTAGATCGCTTCCAGTGCTTCCAGTGCTTGCGTTGATGGCCTGCTTAGCCACTGCAAAATCCGGATCGAAGCTCGGAATAAGGGCTATTTTTTGCCTGGCATCGTGGTGGAGGTGGGTTTAGTTCAATGGCACACGCACACGCCGCGCGGCGGATTCCCCACAGGGCTGAGGCGTTTCCTCTGCACCGCGTGGTTCCTGTCAAATTTTCTCTGAGCCTATCTCTAGAAGGCTCATCAGTATTTCTTATCGCGAGAAATCACCGAGTCGATCCTCATACTTTCCCTTCTGCACTGACCTTGAAGCACATTATGAAAACAAAGTTGGATAAAAGGAGCTGGATGACGCTTGTGATCCCTATTCTCGTTGGCCACTCCATTTTTCGCCTGGCTGATCACGAAAATCCATTTCTGCTAAATTCATTCCCGTCCATCCAACTAGCTTTGAGAGGCATTGCTGCTAGATTTCGCTAGTTTTCTGGGAAATGCGATCTGCTTGATGTCTCTCAGGCAAAAAGTCATACCCGCCCAGCCTGGAAAGCCCTCCAGGCAGTCCAACATAATCCATCTGTCTACTCCTCAACTCCTTGTCAATTGTAGAAATCAATCAAATATTTTTCCTTGTTTTTTTTTTCCATTTTTTTCAATCTTTTTATTTCAATTTCCGGGCGATCGTGGCGTCGACGTGATCTCGGGCTTCCGAGTTGAGGACCCACAAGTTGGCTCTCCACTCTAGTATGAATAACTAACTAGTTCAATTAGTTACTCTGTAGTGAATGTGCCAAGTGGTGTTTGTTTAGGGCGATTCTATTATTGTCGTTGCCACGTTGAAATCAATGTCCATCATATTCCCGATTCTCCATCATATGTGCCTTTTGGGTTTCACGCATGTTGCTACGAAAGTGCGCGCGACGAAGCGCGCCAGACCATCTTAGTGTGAAGTCTGCGCCTGTTGTGAGTCAATCGCATACCATACCATGAAGAATCATGTATGAGTACTTTGACCACTTCAATCCATCTGGGGTCTCTTCCCAAGCTTGAACCTCAAGCGAAACCCATTCGAGCCCCTCTGAGAAGAGCTTCTCCCTGCCGTCGCCAGTCATTAGGTTCTGTCCAATTCTGCCGATCAGTTGGTACTCGCTACTAAAATCCAAAACATCGAAACACTCAACTCTATGTTATATGACGCGCTGTGTGTACGTTGTTGACCGCTCTGGACGCCACACACTTTGATGGCAAAGATCGACACATTCGGATCTTGTTTTGGCTAGATCAGCCTCTCGATCGAGGAAAGATTGTAACCTTGGAAATCCGGGGTAGACCCTTCATTGGGCAGGTAATCTATTTTATCTTGACAATTTGCATACGTGACGCAATATAGCAGGGAGCGCCCTTGGGAATGGAAGGAAATGGAAAGGCATCACAGCACGGCAACAATGCTAAAATACGCGCTCAATTGAAATGGGATATTCAATTCGACCAGCATCTAGAAATTCAGTTATGAATCAACCTTGATTTGTTCTCAGCCCTTGGGCCGCCTTCATAAGGGAGGAGGGTGTGGCTAAAAGCGCCTACATGCCGTCGAGTTGAATGCGCATTGACGTCAGCCACTCAAACCCATTGGGCATGCAAGGATTTGACGACGTATAGCGATGCTCTGATCGACGTGGCTTTCTTGACGTCAGTAAGGTTGTACATGGAGAAATGACAACTCAAGGCAAACCCGCTCTATATAATGACCCTTGGCGACCATGTCGAGAATACTCCAAACTTGAAACCCCAAAGTACCGCTACTCGCAAATAGTTACCACCCATCATTGGACAATTCTCGCTAATTGAATCAAAAATCCTTTTTGTACCCACCTTCCATCAAAGCTCATCCATTATGCCGATCTTCCATCGCGACTCCATCGCGAGCTCATCTTCCTCGGGCCACAGCATCGAGGAGCCCCATCAGGCCCACCGCAGCAACTCACTGTTTGGGAGTCGTTCCACCCATTCCGCACACTCATCTAGATCTTCGAGGTCCTCAAGGTCCTCAAAATCTGGCGCATCGCATCATAGCCGTCGTCACCATAGTCTTTTCCAGCGTTCTCCCGAGGACCCGTCAATTCAAGCTGCCCGTGAGCAGGTTTTCCGCGCTGAAACTGCAGAGCGAGACGCAGATAAGGCGCTCATGGCATCTAAATTGGCTGTCAAGGAGGCTAGGGATCATGTAAAGAGCATTGAGCGTGAAGCTGCCGAAGAGTGAGTTATCGTAATTATTTTTGAAGTTCGAGATTGCAAAAGAATACTGACCAGAGAAACACAAGAGCACGGATGGCCAAGATCAAGCAGGACCAGGCCAAATCGATCTCGAAGAGAGCCAAGCCACTTGGACGTAAGAATTCATTCGCTCAAAGATTCACGATGAAACAGTTGAGGTTGACTAACTATCATACAGGTCATTATTAAGTCAGGTTACATACCAACCTTCTGGGTCTTTTTGTTCTCATATGATCGGTCTATTATGCCTCCTTTTGGAAAATTAGCCTTTCCACCAGAAGTTGTATTATACTTGCTAAGTTGCCACATTCGGGTGCTGTACGACTATCACTTGCCATGCCATTTTCGCTTTAATGGAATGTATTTTTATTTTATTGTATTATAATTTCTATTACTATTACTAAGATGCGAAATGAAATCTACCGACAACCTTTAGTCAAACCCTATGGTTACTATCTCTTCTCCACCCGCTTCTCCTACTAGTATTTTGCCCTTCCTCGTTCAATATGCTAAGATCATACTCAAAAATATGCTTCCCCCATTAAATCCATCATGATCATGGAATATTCTAGTCTGCACGTGGGTTACATTCGGAATGTTACTCCATAGCCGGGTGACAGGGCCAGGTTTTGAGGCCTGATGCATGCGACTTTTGTCGTTGCACAATCAAACCAATCATGCTGTCGTCGGAAGAATAGTGTCCACGGCTCATAATTGCTGTCCGACTAGCATGTTAGCCTCACGTATATACTGAACAATAACGGGGAACAGGTCTTGTGCCCTTGGCACTTGTCTGTATCTGGCCAATAGTGCGAACATGATACTGATATCTATGAGATGCACCATAGGGGTAGCAGAAGCTTCTTTCGATAGCTGCATGCGCTTCTCCTTTCTACATTCCATATTATAGTGGCTTTGATGCTTGTAACCTCTCGACGAGCGCGTGAACTCTGACATAGATTGCTCCAAGCTTTGAAGAACATCCAATAGCGCTTTGGAAGACTGTGATCAAGCCAAAGGTCGTCATATAGTATGCACGTCTTGAATGGAGTATCTTCCATATAGTTACACCCTGGTGATCATCTGCCATGATCTCCCATCATTTCTTCAGATACCCCATCCCTTTATTAACAGCTCCAATGACTACTTTATTCTGAAACCATGTCTCAGGCTCAAGCCGGAAAAGTTTACTATTTTTTGGAGCCGAAACTCAAATCAGTATGATCATAACGAATATTCTTGCAGTTATGGTGTCCTTTTTGGGCATCATAGCTCAGGCTGTGCCTCGTGTTTCGGGAGAAATCCGAGAGAGCAAGAGACAAGCCCCAAACCGTCTCGTCTTCGCGCATTTTATGGTACGTTTACAGTTGCTACGGAGCTTATGGTTCCTTTATTCAGACAGCCTTTTCCTGAAATATTGGCCTCTAGATTGGGATTACCAGTGACCGGCACAGTTCCTCTGATTATGACGATGATATGAAACGCGCTAGTGCGCTGGGTATAGATGCATTCGCATTAAATATCGGGGTGGATCCCTATACGGATCAGCAGTTGCAGCTTGCTTATGATTCAGCCGCGAGAAATTCAATGAAAGTATTCATATCATTTGATTTCAACTGGTGGAATACCGGACAGGCATTTGCCATAGGCCAAAAGATTGCACAATATGCCGACAAACCAGCACAACTAATGGTCGATAACAAAGTTTTTGTCTCGTCATTTGCAGGTGATGGGTTGAATGTAGGGTCCTTGCGCGACGCTGTTGGACGGCCAATATTCTTTGCACCAAACTTTCACCCGTCATATGGAACTGGTACATCTTCTGTTGACGGGCTACTCAATTGGATGGCATGGCCAAATAACGGCCAAAACAAGGCTCCTTCAGCGGGACAAAATGTCTCTGTCACAGATGGCGACAACGTATATGTGAATGCTCTCGCCGGAAAGGCTTACATTGCACGTGGGTTGCCTCAACCCCCTTTGCGATACTCGCATAACCTATCGTTAACAGATTTATTGGCATAATACAGCGGTTTCTCCATGGTTTTCGACCCACTTTGGCCCTGAAGTATCCTATAGCAAGAATTGGGTATTCCCATCCGATTTACTGTGGTATAATCGGTGGAATGAAATTCTCGAACTAGGGCCCCGCTTCATTGAAATCGTAACATGGAACGACTACGGCGAGTCACACTATATCGGGCCCTTAAAATCCATTCATACTGATGACGGGGCATCAAAATGGGTAAATGATATGTAAGACATGAAGAAATTCCTTGCCTACTATATGTACTTTGCTGATCTTGGCAGGCCACATGACGGGTGGCTAGACATCTCCAAGCCATATATTGCAGCCTTCAAGGACGGAGCAAAATCAGCTGCCAAATACATTACATCGGATGAGCTGGTTTACTGGTATCGACCAGCCCCACGTGATGTGAACTGTGATGCGACTGATACATGCATGGTTCCAGCAAACAATGGCAGCGGAAACTATTTCATGGGCAGACCAGACGGTTGGCAGTCTATGCAGGATGCTATATTCGTTGTATCCCTTCTCCAATCCCCTGCATCGGTGCAGGTTAACAGCGGGGGAACTCTCTATCAATATGATGCACCGGCTGGGGCATTTGCTCAGCAGGTTCCAATGCAAGTTGGGACTCCATCGTTCACTGTTCTTCGCAATGGAAACCAGGTCCTTTCTGGGACAAGTCTGAAACCAATAATTAACGGCTGCGTCTGTGAATTATACAACTTCAATGCATATGGTTTGATAGTTTCCTTCTGAACCCAATAGAAAACGACACTCTGCTAATTTTAGATTAGTTGGAACGCTGCCACTCGAGTTTAATGACCCTCTTCAGGCAGACGGATTGGCAGCTTTCAACCAAGGCCTTAAGGTTCAAACTTGCCAAGCTACTCCATCACTTGGTACAGTACCTCCAGAATCTACAGCTCCCACAAAGACATCTATAATAGGCTCTACTTCGCCGAGTTCCCCACCGACTACGACTCCTCCCACCAGCCTGCCTCCGACTCCACCTCCCACTCCGCCAATGGGCTGCCCAACAACCTGTCCTACAGCTGGTGGTGGATACACAATAACTTCCACCACTACCACCACACAGTTCAATACTGTAACAGTGACCCAAACTCTCCCATGTACTCCTACTGGGGGAGGTGGTGGCAGTGGCAGTGGCGGCGGTAGCGGTAATGTGTGTACTGGCGGAACTGGCCCAGGAAATTATGTTGGTCTTTGCAATTTCTGCTGTCGTTATGGATACTGCCCCCCCTGGACCTTGTACTTGCACACAGTATGGAGCGTCTATTCCCGCTCCTCCAAGTACCGGATGGCATGGCGCGCCCCTTTCAGGGGAAGATAGTTCATACTTGGGGCTTTGCAGTTTCGCTTGCGATCACGGATACTGTCCCTCGACGGCCTGCAGGATTGTCTAGAATTCGTTTGGTCTTTCAAACCACTCTAGATAAAGTCCACATAGTATGCAAGAGAATGTATATCGTTTCTTGAATTGGCGCGAAAAGATCAAGGGAATTCCAACACGAGTTATATTACTTTTTTCTTTAAAAAAAAAAATACAATTCTCTTTTGAATTCTGTCAACTTCAACTACCTAAAATGGTTCGAAAATCTTCAAGTTTTACCTTATGACAAGGCCAATTTCTACCTTTTTTACCCCGCGATCGCCAAGTCGCGGTCGTGGTCAAGCTATCATCAGTCCGGATGACACCTGTTGGACGCCTAATAATATACCGCTTATCCGTGTAGGCTGAATGCGACGCAAGACGGAATTAACGAGGCCCCGCTATAAATACAAGATCAACATGACAGCTTACTATTTCCCCACGCTGTCTTTGTATTTTCTTCATTTCATTTATCATGGTCCCAATTCCAGACTGGATCCTTCACTATATCTATGGGCTTCCATGTCCAACAACCGGTAAAAGAGATGAGAAGACACGCATGAAAGTACTGGCTGTCGGTATCTCACGGTCGGGAACCGAGTCCCTACGCGAAGCGCTCCATATTATCGGCTTCGAACATACTCACCATGGTTTCGACACGATTCTCCCACCGTCATCGTTGGAGACAATATACCGTCTTCTTCAAAAGAAATATAGCACATTCGAGAATGATAAGCAAACACAACAATTAAATGCGGAAGATTTCGATACGGTTCTAAGTGATTGCGTGGGTGTTAGCGACCTCTTTGCGGCGGAATTTGCAGTAGAGCTGATTACCGCATACCCGGATGCAAAAGTAATTCTCAACATCCGCAAAGATCTGGATGGCTGGTATTCCAGTATGGAGCAGACAATGGGTTATTTTGCTCGGAATCCGATCGATTGGGATTGGTGCAAAAGCTGGTTCAGCGCCGAGCTATTTTGGATCCGCCAAACAATGTCCCGGACGATGATGCCCCGGTTCTTTCGGGGAGGTTTTCATTCCAGTGGGAAATTGATTTACAAGGAGCATGTTGCCACGATACGAAGTTTGAATCTTCCAGAAGACAGATTGCTGGAATGGTCGGTAGAAGATGGCTGGGAACCCCTTTGCAAGTTTTTAGGCCGAGATGTTCCAACTACAATTTTTCCTAATGGTAACCCCCCGAAGGCCTGGGCAGACCGCATCGCAAATACGATGCAAAAGCATCACGAACAGGCAGTCAAGAATATGATTGCCTTCAGCTCGGCCGTATTTGTGGCGTCGGTTATGTTGTGTACTTACTTATCCATGCGTTAGCTAAAGACATGCAAAGATCCAACGATTAAGCTATGCAGGGGCTTGAACAACAGTATAGGCCAATGTATAGTTAGTAGCTATGCATGCAATAATGAAATCTTCAAATAATCAAGACTTCCAACTCCTCATTCTATGTATAAGCTGACAAACGAGAGAAGATACGGTAGATTTCATCATCGACACCTTTCCATCCCTAAGCAGGAGTAGGATTTCCTAGTCCTACTGAAATTCCAATTTCGAGATAGGCAAAACCTCTCAGACACCGATGGCTGTCAGTCCCATCGCATGGAAATATTGAATCAGGTTTTGCGTTATGTAGACTTCCTGCACCAGGCCCGTACAGTTATCTCAGGACCAGAAAATCGGTCCCATCGTAGGTCACTGTGGCGCTTGCTTTCAAGGGACTGTAGGCCGTGGAAATGTGGGACTCACTTCGGGAAAAGTGTGAAGTTGCTACCAATCACTCCATGCATTGCGGGGGTGAACGTATATCTCTTCCAGCCCTTTCGCGATCTTTCAACAAAGGCGACAAATTCGTCTCGGTTGGTGACACTAATCAGATCACTGCCCTTGCCAGTCGAGGATGGAAACTGGTTGGAATGAAGGGGAACATCGGGATGGAAAACTGTTTCTGCGAGAGTCAGATTTCCGCTCCAAATAATTTTCGAGCAGGAGAGTCAATTTTTTAAGACTTGAGAGATGCTAGCCAATCTTTTGAAGTTTGTATGAAAATCATCCACCTCGTTCCCCGTTTATAGCTACTATTTTCATCAGGCTAGTCACGGCGACAACAGTGAAATTTCACCCGAGGGCCCGAAACGCGTTAAATTATGAAGAACGATTCGGCAAAGTATAAGCCTGCTGTTCCTGCTTACAGAAATGGTTCATGGATAATGCCTCTCGACTTTTGGTTGGGCATCTTTGGAATTGGCCCCCAATTCCTCAGCATCCGCTCAGAAGTCAGCAAACAAGGCGCGCAGAATGTACCCTTTTAGGCTTAGTCTCCAAGGCTAACAAACGCCCAGTAATCCCCCCCAGCTCCAACGTTGTCATGCTGCCAAACACTCAACTTTTGGACTCTAGCTCTGGTAGCTACGAATCGCCCGTTGTATAAAAGGAAAATCGGGGGGGTTCCAGGCCTTCCCGAGCGCCGTGATCTTGAGCTCTCACTATCGACGACCCCCATTTGAATAATAATAAACTCCCAGCGTGATGGTAGGAGTGCCTGGTCGGTCAAAAGCATGCCGTACCTGCAGAAGACGGAAGAAAGGTGTAAGTTCCAGGTTATTCCCGAGTCCCACGATCTACGGATGAGCACGGAGAGTTCATAACTGACTAACCACATGACTAGTGCGACCTGCAGCAACCCACCTGTGGACAGTGCAGAAAGGCATGCATCAAGTGCGAGGGGTATAAGGACGGTCTGGAAATCTACCAATACCATGTGCCCAAGTCACATTCCCAGATATCGTCTTCTAAATCGCCATTAATATTTGAGAGGGCCGAAAAGGATATCCGATCTCTCCCCCCCTGCGCCGGGTAACGCTTTGTCCCTTTCCAAAAGTGCATGTCAATCGGGCCTAGAAGCAATATTCTGGAGCAACTATATGCCAAACGGCCACTCGTATCCACTGTTTAATGAAACGATTAGAGCCTTGGGTGGTTCCATCAGCGCGTTGCAAGAGCTTGTTCCCCAGAGCAACTTGCTGAAAATTGGACTCGGAGCCCTGGCATTGAGGTCTATTGCAAGCACAGAATCAGGTACGGAATGGATGGAAAGAGAAGCGCTTAGATTGTATACTCTTTCTCTCCAGAAAACAGGGGCAGCCTTAACAGCTCCCAGGACCAACGATCTTGAGTTGATTGGCGCAACCCGTGTATTGAGTTTCTATGAGGTATCCACATCATCATGCTTGAATATGCCACCTAGATTTGACTGACAAAATGCGGAGGATAGGCCTTGTATGGTGGGGAAACTGGAAATACCATGGCGCACTATCTCGGCTGGAAAGCTCATCACTCCGGGGATCTTGCAATTACCCTCTCCAAACACCCATTGTTCTTCGCCACTGGCCGAGCTCACAGGTTATTTGCTGATGGAAGGTTCAACCACGTATGAAATAACTCCTCTAGTTTGAATATGCTCTCAAACGCTAATTCCAAATTCACAAAGGCTGTCTGTGCGATACGTATCCGAAAGGCCTGTGCTCTCAGCAGCACCGATTGGATGACAATTCCTTGGATTCATCACCCAAAGACACCCAAAGATTTGCTCATAGATATTGCTGTGGAGCTTCCCGGTCTTTGTGAGGGCATCGATGATCTGATATTCCTGGGAAATTCTGCTGCTGCATCGAAATTGAGGGCTTTGCTTCGTAGTAGAGCTTTCCAAATGATTGCAAAAATAGCTATTTGGGACGCAACACTCTCCAAGTCCACGATCTTGTTAGATCCGGACGAGCCACTACCAGAGACTATCTCGAGCGAAGAGCTTGCAAATAGCCACCTTATGACTTTTTTCTGGGGTATCAGTCTCAACGTCTACGGCCAGATCCTCCCCATTCTGGACGAGGCTACCAAGGCATCTCAACTCAATCCAGATGCGTGTTGCCGTAATATTATTCGGTCTCTACCCTTGCTTCTTCATCCTTCAGTTGGTACATTTCGCCAGCACCTCGTTCCTTTCCCAGTGATAGCCTGTTGCGCATACCTAGCAGGTTGTAGATCACCTTCTATGCAGCCGGAACGAAAGCTTCTTGTCTCGTTTTTCCAGAGACCCGAATTTGCAGCGATGCGACCATTTATGTCGAGTATGAACTCACAAATCTCCTTGTTCACTAATACAACCTAATTCAATTCCTTTTTCAACATACAAAAAATATTGGAAAGTCCCGGTAGTCCAGCTAGGCAGCCACCCGCGTTTGTTTCTTCTGCAACACCCGTTGACATCACTAACCTCCAACTTCTCTTCTCACGCTCACCCTTCTCATCTCGCCCTCTCATCCTCGCTTTCCAAGGTTCTCATCCTCAAAATTCCTCTCACTCTCACTTTTCTTCTCCGGGCTTTACATTCGGCTCAGTCTGCAAAGGTAAGTCATTACGCCAACCTTTTGCCCCGGTGACAGCGCCAGAATATCCGTTCAGCACTCAGCTCACTTTCACCTCGTCTTTTCACTAGCAACCACGGCACCTCGCGGATTCTCAATATTTACACCTTGTCAGATCTCCAATCGGGTGCCCTGCCTGAAGATACAATCCGGTTGTGGCGTCTGTGGCAAGGATAAACCACTCCTGAGATGCTCCCGATGCAGAGTGATGGTTTACTGTGGCCGCGAGCATCAGGTTGAACACTTTCCCGAGCACAAATCCGCCCGCAAAGCTATCGAAAGGGCCCGAGCTTCCCTGGAAGAGCAAGAGCAGATTTTGCGTGATTCATCGAGCAGCGACCCCTTCATTCAGGGCAGTATCAACGAGTTCGGACCCGAGATGCGCTCTTATATACTCCATCGATGCGTGCTAGTGGGGATGATCAGTGGGATCAACACTCGGGAAGCCGTCGAAAAGCAGTTGCAGCATTCCATGGAGATGCTTCGCCTATCTCCGAACGACAACCTGGGTGAACGCAAGACTGTAGCTCCGATGATGATTCGCCTCAATCAGGACCGGGAATGCTATGCTTTTCTCAAGTCTTGGGTGCTGGTTTCCAATCACTCCTATGACAACTGGAGCAATCCTGGGTTGCCACACTTCGATGTCGAGAATGCTAACATATTCGAGCCCGTAAATATTTTTTTGGGCTTGAATATCGGGATCTCCCTAACCGTGCCTCTTTTTCTTCTGAAGCTGAAGACATTTCTCGATCTCAGCCTAGTGGAAGCTCAAAAGGGCGTTGCTCTGTCTACTGGTCCCGTCGGGAGTTCTCGAGAGTACGTCAACTCGCTCCAAAAGGCAGTTTACTCGCAGTCAAGCATTTCTATCGACCCCCAACTTCACCGATCAGACCACTCGCATTTCCATTCTTTCGGGGCTCCAAATTCAAGTGGACATGCTGTTCAACGAAGTCAGCAGGACACACGCCGACTTTTGGCCCGCTCTCCTCAATCCCCGAGAATTTCTTGAGCGCCCTTTCTTGATTACAAGTGGAGGAGAAGATGTCGTGGATGAGACGCAGGGAATTCTGAGTGCCTCATATGACGCTTGGCGTGACACGATCGGTGCAATCACCTTCGTTGAGGGGAAACTCAACCAGTGATGGTAGGATTCTGGACCACCATGCCGGGCAGACAAAGCGGCCAGGGGAAATAATTTCAAAGACGGATGGATGGATGGGACACACTGAGAGCTGGGATTAAGGCAATGGAGTCAGTGATGGTGAAAATCTAGGACGCAGCCACGGGAGGTGATCATCGAAAGGTCGACTGGAGGAGGAGGCACAAGGAGCTAGATGGATATGGTAAATCAGATCACCATGGACTGCTTTATTCAATGGCCTGAACAATGATAACATCATTCAAGTCATAAATTCGTAGAATAACAGTAACCTCTCCCTTCTTGTTGTAGTTATCAACCTGCCTGAGGCCTCATATTTTAAACCAACCAATGAAACTCGAAGTCGGAGAAGATCGGAGCGAGTGGAGTTTGCTGGGGCACATCGGGAAACGCACCGGTGGAATTGCCGAACGGATCAAATCAATTGGCAATAATTAAAATTAAATCCCTGCACTCCGTACTCCGAAAAGCACACTACGAGTGTTTACTCGGATCAGGCCCGTCGGTCGCAATTTCGACTCTGCGTCCAACTGCTGCCCACGGGGCCGTGGTCATTGATGTGACATGGCCCCCATTCTCACCCATTGATGTGGCAAGACCTAATTCGATGTTGCGCCGAATTTGGCCGGTTGTACTCGTATGGATTAGTAGGTATACTCCGAAGCGCAGAGCAGGATTGCTTATATGGAATACGGATGCCGAGTCAACACTTAATGGATGACGATTTCTAGCAGTTACTCCTCCGATGTAAAAGATACTTTTGTGAGAAGGCCTTTGGGCGTATAATAGTGTCGAGATGATACATCATGCAGGTGCACCGCCTGTTAGCACTCGGAAGAGCAACTATATCCCAAGGTTCCCATAAAGTTTGCTCTCTTGTACTTAGATGTGCTCGAGGTGCATGTCGGAATAACCGGTTTCCAAAAGCTACAGTCGTCCCATGATTTGTAGCGACGCGACCGAGTTCGACTCTCGCAAAAAACGCATCAATATGCCACATGGATGTACACGCACATGCTTTCTCCGACTATTGTACTCCGTATGATTCTCACCTACAGAGTGCATATACTACCTCATGTACGTGCCCGTGTCTTTCGATGGATCCCTATACTATCCACCCGCCCGACTTACCGGTGAGAAGCACAAGCCAATCGAATTAGATCTTGGCTTTAGCCACGGCCCCGGTCTTCAAAACCCGGGCCGTGACAAGAACTACAGCGCCTAGCAAGAATGTCAGGCTTCCCCAAATCTGCGCACCCATATAGCCATCGAACTTGGCAATGAGAGCGCCGCCGAGTGGAGGACCGGTGAGACAAGCGAAGCTAACAATCGTAAAGCCCATGCCAATACGAATGCCGATTTTGCTCAAGTCCGGGGTTAAGCTAGACAATGTCGAGGGCCAGAGGCCCTGCACCCCATTGGAGAAGATCCCGTAAAGCACGGCGAAAACATACAACCCGGGCGTCGAGTGTACGGCGGTCCAACAAAACATCATCAGACTAGCGCCGAGAGTCAATGGAATGATGGTGTTTAGGGGTCCAAATGATCGATCGGCCAGATAAGCGGGAATAAGGCGACCGACAATTCCAGACCCATTGGTCACAATGATGAGCGTATTCGAGTCTTCGTAACTGAGGCCAAGAACACTGCGTCCAAAGGCACCGATGTAATAGAACGCAAAATAAAGACCCCAGAAGTTCAGAAACATGCCGAGGCAGAATAAAACATACGTTGGTTCTCTGAAAGCCACCCAGTCCACTAAAGGACCCGATCTACGTGGTGGCAATCGCGGTTGCAACAGTGCCATGGCAGGGATGCTGGTGCCCAGCATGACGAACCCCAGTATTCGTACTGTCCACGCAAAGCCGATCGCAGGAATGAGCGTTTTGACTAGGCCGGGGAAGAGCATGCCTCCGGTCCCACTGCCCACGAGGACAAAGGCCAAGGCAAAGACCCTTCGGTCGGAGAAATATGTGGCGACCAGTCCCGTTACTGGACAGAACTGCAAGCCATTGCCCAGACCGGTGCACACACCTTGAGCGAGAAAGAGTTGCCAATACTCGGTGGCGAGTGAGGTCATAAACACTCCGACCAGCTGCAAGAGCACGCCGCTGTAGAAGGTTGTGCGAAAAAAGCCTGCGTCCAGGGCGCGACCGGAGAACGTGCCGACGAAAAAAATTAAAAACACTTGCACGGACCCTACCCAGGAGATGGCGGACGGGGAAACCCCGAGAGCCGACTGGTAATAGGCTTGGAAAACACCAAAGCTGGCAATATATCCCCATGTGTTGAAGGCCACGAGATGGCCCATCACGGCCTGCGTCCACGCCTTGAGGCCCCCATCAGGGGGTTCAAGGACGGGGGAAATGGGGCGGGGGCTGAGGGGTTCAACGGGGTTGATCAAGTTGACTGGGGGCGGGGGATCGGTCGGGACCCCAGAATCTATGTTCCTTTGCTGTGCCAAGGAGGACTGCTGTGAGGGAATGTCTGGCGAGAGAACAGACTTTCCATTGCTGTGCATGGTGGCTTTTTGGTATTTCTGTTATGAAATCGAGTCATTGAAGGCGTCAGAGTGAGTTTATTAGCTCTTTTGACTCATTCCAAAGCGAGTGCAGGACTTGGCAAAAACATGCCACGCCATGTTACTTTAAGGCTGCGGGTTATGCCCGCCAAAGCCACTGGCACATGCGAGAGGCAGGCACGAGTATCGATAGAAAGGCATCCTCGGCAATTGGTGTCGCTGTCACCTGAGACATCCAAGACTTACGGAGTAAATATTCAGCTCTCAATGATGGTAATTTGCAAAATCCCACTGTCCTCGGGACGGGTATTGTCGGGCATGGGAGACGGGCTTTCAGTCGAAGGAGCGCAGGATTATGTTTAGTGCGTATGCAAGGTGCAAAGCCACACAAGTTATTGTAATCCTGGAAGTGGTGCAAATTAGTTATGCCGTACTGCGTTCTCCTTAAACCAAACCCCCTGATCAATGAGGTGTATACTCGTACACAAGGGTTTGGGCTTCCACGACTTGTGTCTGGATGAAATACTCGTACTCTGTCAATTCGAAACGTTTCATTCCCCGACATTGAATGCCCCATCAGCCTCCGCTCGATATACTTTCTGCCTGTCCGCAGTGGAGCAGGCCATTTTTCCTGTAAACATTACCCCTGACGATCCGATCAATTAGCGAGACCAGTCAACCAGAAAAAGAAATAAACATGAGATTGTTGAATTGAGGAAAGATCAGCAAGGGCTAGAAGCATACTGTACGGAGTACGGCACAATGAAAATTGGCTCAATGCACGTCGCGGCTAGGTGGATAGTAGGACCCAGCGATCGCCACATGCCAGTGAGATGGTCGAAGGTGGACAGCTACTTTATCGATACGGAGTATGCTTATCGAGGATATGCAAGGTGGCAGTTAAATTAAGAAATGAGAAGCCTTGGATGTCTTGGCTGTTGGATTGGCAGGAGTGGCTAAGAGGGCTTGGAGGAGCTTGGAGGAGCTTGGTGTGTCTTGGTGAGTCTTGGTGATTTCTTGGAAAAATCTTGGAAAAATCTTGGGTATTGCTTGTTCTCAGGCTCGCAGTAAATATATATTTTGACTACTACTATGCTAGTACCACTCCCGCGGGTACCATCACTTCAGGTTCAAGTTTTCTGCCCACTCATGCGAGCAGTACTAGTATCCTCAATGATGAAATAAAAACTACCAGCTTCGATCACCCCAGGGTCCTTGCATGTCTAGATCTGCCGTCGACCTCTTTTAATTTAAGGTTATCTGGTTATCTGGTGGTGGTGGCGTGCCCGCCAGGGGAGGACCGTCGGCACGTGACTTTGCCATGCGGCCACTACCATTCTGCCGGGCGGTCAAGAACGGGTGGCGCAATTTAAAAACCCTTAAAATCGTCCGTTTTGGGCGGAGGCTGCCCCGCTTCGGGCTAGTTCCGTTTCTTGCCTTCCGTTTTCGGTTCTCTCCCGTCCGTTTTGGGTTTTAATGCCAGGCCGATTTTTCTTACGTTTGCTATTGGAGCTTGATTTTTCTTGGTTTGCTTGGTTTTTTTACTATGTATTTCTCACTGTGATTCTATGGCCTGATCAGATTTCTTTTTCCCGATTGGCGCCAGGCAGGCATCGATGGAGTAATGGAACACGAGTACGGAGACTCTGTTCGGAGTATGTACGAGTACTGCTCCATCTTAAATTGAGAGTAGGGCTGCGCTCGGTCTTGGTTCCACGGGGTAGAATTGAATTGAAATTGGAAGTGGAAGTGGAAAGGGAAAGGTTAATTAAGGCCTTGATTCGAACCTCGAACCGACACACTGTAGTCTACTCGTATGTGGGGAGATCCTTTGTCCCTCTCTGGACTTACCTATTCCGATCTCCTTTGTGGAGTGGGAGATGGACCTTTGAGCAGTGACGTAGGGGGGCTACCACGGCCACAACTACTATGTACTCGTACGGAATCTGCGCGGCAACATCGGAGATTATCTGGAGGGCGGGATGAGGAGAGCTAAAATAATCCGCATTGGTACCGATGATGGCTTGGTTGGAGGAAGGCCACCACTGAGAGACTGAGAGAACAACCCGCCTTTGTCCCCGCGGGGAGTTTGCCGCTAAACCATCACTACGATTGGCTCTCGGTCAACCGAGGTGGTGGGCCACGGTCTCAAGAAGTGCAACCTATCCGACCGTCGGCTTCGGCGTCAGCGTTCAACCAGGCAGGTCGGGGGCCAAGACGGGGGAAAGCAAAGAGGCAACTGAGGCGAGTTTCATGATTAATATCCAACGGTATGATTCGGCCTGGCCCCGGTTCGCTTCACCAAGGTAGGCTCTACTCGGAGGACGCTGACTGGCTTCAGAAGAAGACTTTTTAGCCCCTTGGCCCACCAGTCTCTTCCAGTCTTTCCCCGTTTTTCCCCGTGGAGGGTCGGGCGAGATTCCTTTTCCGGCAGCCGAAAAGATGATCCTCCACCCGCTCCAGGAAGTGATCCACCCCCACGAGGCGAGGGCGACGAGTAGCAGGGGGAGGAGAGCAAATGATGATGTTCATTGCCATGATCGTTCTGTTCGATTATTAGTTAGTTTGGATAAGAATGGATCTTCTACTACTTTTCTTCACTGCCGGCATTCGGTATTCATGCTGAAAATGTATTGCAAAGTTGCTTAATTGTACAGAGTAAACCCAAGCTTCGCCAACCCTAAACCGCTGCGAACGGGTGGCGCTCTCATTCTCTTAGCGGAGCTTCTTTACCCTTGGCCCTTGGCAACGGGCCAATTTTCGGCCCCGACATCGTAATTCTCGACGCTGACAACTCTCCATATGGTCTACACTTTTTTTTTTTGGTTTTTGATTTTTGATTTTGAATTTTCCCCTTTCTCCTCCCCCCTTGGTTTGGTCTGCTCCCGGCCGCCACATTTTTGGTGGCGTCCGCAACCGAAGGAGAGAACCGAAATCGAAAAATGGAAAATGGAAAAAGGAAAGAAAAAAAGGGAAAAAAAGTAAGCATCCAGTCGCATGAGACGGGGCGCTTGGCCCTCTCGGGAGCCCGCGAGACTTGCCCCCTCCCTACGTCGTTAGTCCACTCATGTCCACTCACAAGGCCTTAGTCTCCACGGCGGGTCGCGAGACTTGCCTGGGGCGCCCAAGCCGCCGTCGTCATGTTCAAACTTTTCTCCCCCTTGGCGCACCCAATCGATGGAGACGCGTGGGGCCGGGCCCTGACGCCCGCAGACGAGTGAGGAGGCAGACGCAGGCCGCATACATCTGAAAAAGGTACAAAAGCGTCGCCCATCCCCCCCCAGAGTCCGTGCCGTTTTCCTGTCGTCTCAGTCCCTCCTTTCCCTCCCTCATTCAGTAAGGTCGAGGTCACTTCCGAAGAAAGGAAATCACTCAAGATGTGGACAACCACTTCTGGCCTTCGAGGCAAGAAGCTCCACTATGCTATCACCTTCACTTCCGTCGTCGGTTTCTCTCTGTTCGGTTATGATCAGGGTCTGATGTCCGGTATTCTGCAAGGTTCATCCTTCATCGGCGAATTCCCTGTTCTCAATAAAGACCTGCCTGGCCACTCCGCAGAGCATGTCTCTGTTCTGCAGGGTGCTGTTACTGCCTGTTACGAGCTGGGCTGTTTCTTCGGCGCTATCTTCACCCTCATCTTCGGTCAACGTACTGGTCGCACCCCCATCCTGGTTGCGGGTGGTATGCTGATGGTTCTCGGCACTGTCCTCTCCACTGCTGCCTTTGGTGAGTCTTGGGGCCTGGGTCAGTTTGTCATTGGTCGTGTTATCTCTGGTCTTGGAAACGGTATGGATACCGCCACTATCCCCGTGTGGCAATCTGAGTGCTCCAAGGCCCACAACCGTGGTTTCCTCGTCTGCTTCGAGGGTGCTATTATCGCTGTCGGTACCTTCATTGCCTACTGGCTCGATTTCGGCTTGTCCTACGTCGACTCCTCCGTTCAATGGCGATTCCCTGTTGCCTTCCAGATCCTGTTCGCCATTATGGTTACCGTTGGTGCTCTTATGCTGCCTGAGTCCCCTCGCTGGTTCATTATGCAGGGCAAGGATGAAGAGGCTCTCCAGGTCATGGCTCAGCTTAACGACAGCTCCCCTGACGCTGAGGATGTGCTCCGCGATTTCAACCTGATGAAGGCTGATATGAAGGCTTCTGAGTCTCAACAGGCCTCCAGCTGGAAGGTTCTCTTCACCACTGGCAAGACCCAAGAGTTCCAGCGTATGATGATCGGTTGCTCTGGCCAATTCTTCCAGCAGTTTACCGGCTGTAACGCTGCTATCTACTACTCAACCCTCCTTTTCGAGAACAACCTTCACATGGAGCACAAGATGGCTCTTATTATTGGTGGTGTTTTTGCTACTGTTTACGCCCTTGCCACTATTCCTTCCTTCTTTATGGTTGAGAGAGTTGGTCGCCGTAACCTCTTCCTCATCGGCTTTGCTGGCCAGGGTCTTTCTTTCATTATCACTATGGCCTGCCTGATCGATGAGAACGCTCAGAACGCCAAGGGTGCCGCTGTCGGTATCTTCCTGTTTATCGTCTTCTTCGCTTTTACTACGCTTCCTCTGCCCTGGATCTACCCCCGGAGATCAACCCTCTCCGCACTCGTACCATGGCTGCCTCCGCCTCTACCTGCACCAACTGGATCACCAACTTCGCTGTTGTCATGTTCACTCCTGTCTTCTCCTCCCAGAGTCCTTGGGGTATCTATCTCTTCTTTGCTCTGGTCAACTTTGTCGGCATTCCCTTCGCCTATTTCTTCTACGTTGAGACCGCTGGTCGTGACCTGGAGGAGGTCGATGTCATCTTCGCCAAGGCTCACATTGAGAAGAAGTGGCCCTTCAAGGTTGCCCAGGAGCTGCCCAAGCTCTCCATTGAGCAGATCTCTGAAATGCAGCGCGAGCTGGGTCTGACTTTTGCGGACCATGCCGCTGATGCTGAGAAGGTTGAGATTGGAAGCAGCGGCGAGAGCGAGGACAACAAGCACGCCTCCGATTAAATGTGTTAATAATAGAGAAGTGGTTGTGTATAGAGGGGATAGAAGTTGTGAAAGATGCGGTTAGGCGGTGCCGACCCATCTGCCTCTGAAACATTGAGGTTCGTTGGGACTTTGGATAAGTCCCTTCAATGATATTATTATACCATTATGTTTATATTCTCAATGAACTGTTTCATTTCTTATGAATTTTATTGCCCTTCAATATGTAGACTTCTGTAGGTTTCGATTTGTTCCCCAGCAACACACCCCGTGCCCTGAATGCGTACGCCCGTAGAGCGAAGCACGATCGAAGACTAGCATCATCGACCCATCGACAGCGATCCGTAATACCCACACTAATCACGGAAATGTCTTTTGTGTTATGTATCTATAGATGTGGATGAAAGGTCAGCCGAAAAGGCCTCAAAGAGGTGTTCGGGTCTTCTTCACCTAGGGATACACAATGAGCAAGAAGGCATGAATCATTAGGAAAAGGTGATGGAGAAAGATACAATTGTGCGAGGACTCCTTAGTTATATGAAAGCCCGCATGTTGAAATCAGGTTAATGGGCTGACGGATCCACAGACATTCTGTCCTGCACGATCTAAAATCCCATGTAAACTGGCTGCCTGTGCATATAACGATGCTCAAGGGAATGACCCAGCAAGTTCGCACCGTACTTTCTGTAAACAAGCAGTTTCAATTGCTCCAAATTGGCCAGTCTTCTCACATTCCACAGTGAAGTATTGTTTGCGAGTCTAGTCTCACCCAAGGCATTAGGTCAATTGTTGCTGTCATGAGTGGCGAGCCTCGAATCTTGTGGCTGACTGTTGAGTAAATTTATGACATGCATAGATGAGATTGACGCGTACGACCCGGCGGTCTAGTCATCGGATACAAGGCAGCCGTATGTTTGTGCAGGGTTGTGCTCTGTACTGTAGTCAATCAGGAGTCACCAAGCTCACAGGTGAGTGGTCATACATATTATTAAAACTTGAGGCTTGCCCGATGATGTTATTCATCGGGCAGTGCGGGATCCATCCCGCAGATCTTACCATTTGAAAGCATCACATCGCCATCGCCCCACCCTGCGAAATGCACCGCCTGGCAGACTGACGATTCACACGCCAGATACATTGATGTGCGATTTCTATTTCTGTCGCGGCGATCAGGCTACAATTTTCAAGTCAGGGTCCCAACCATGTCATAGTATCCACATTAATTGTGTCACCAAGCCGATGAGATCTATAAAGATGCTACATATTTCCTTCATCGCTACTAGTGTATATCAAGTTACTATTCACCCCCCCTTCAAATCAAATTGTCACACACAACCATTTTCGAAGCTCCGAAACAACTTGTCAAAATAAAATATGCATTTCACCACTTTCATCTCCATGGGCCTTCTCGGTTCCGCATTCGCCTTGCCAGCTCAAAATTCCGGTACAAGCTGGGCCCCGTCCTCCACCTTTTCAGCAATCCCGACTTCGGTATCGGCAAACTACGCTAGTTATACCCCCGCTCCATCCGTACAGGCAGCCGAGTCAAAATACCTCGCGGACTACTCCAGTTACCTCCAAGCCACTGGAACCGCACAGGCTAGCTTGTATAAACAGCTGAACCCGGACCTTCAAGTCATTCAGAGCGCCCAAGCTGAAGCCTGGTCCTCATCCGTCCCCCAGGCCACCGGCCCTGCCAAGCGCGATTGAAAGCAAATCGGCATGCCGGTCGAGACAACCACACAGGGTCGGCCAACTTCACGGTCAATCCCGCTTTTCATTTCATCTAAATTTTAATCAACATTTTGGGGTCGGCATGGAATAGAATGGAACGAATCGACAATCCGGGGATTGGTTGAAGAAGTAGATCGCAAGATCGGAGTACTGGAGTAATTTAGAAATCTTGATTTATATGAATATATTTATGCTTTCTCTTGATTAAAAACGAGAAAAAGTTGAAAAAGTCGATAGCGTTTGTAAACGAAGTCGACGTAGTAAATGGTGAAATCCACTGTTGATAAATGTAAGTTCTATGTACCTGAGCTATGTACAGAATGATTCAACAAAGTCCCGCCATCATCGGCCATATGAATTTCAGGCTCTCCGCTTCTGGATTGCTGGGATGGCCCAAATGTAGCCAACTCATGATCCTCTTCCTCTATCGCAGGTTTCTCGTCGTAATCAAGGCCGACCCGACCGTCGGCACTGCCTAGGTTGCCAAATTTGTACCGATGACCAAGCTTGCATAGGTGCTCGTTGCGCTTTTCTTCACTCCAAGTGCTGGTACCGCGCACATCATTCAACATTCTGCTGTGGAGGACCCAGGGGATCAAAGATCCGATTGAACGAGGAAAGGGCGGACCGGAATAATGCCCATGGCGTAGCCAAAAGACACCCATGAGGATGGCAAGATCAATGGAAAGAATAACAATAATTACAACAATTGTTATGTTGGATGGTTCAATGTACCATGCAGCAAATGTCACAGTAGCGGGCAAACTTGCGTTAGTGTTTCCCGAAGACGTAAGAGGAGAAAGGTAGAGATCCCGCTGGAGGCTTATATAGCTGCTGAAAGCTGTCTGATATGCAAGTTGCACAGTGCGCATGACGAGCGCCTGCTTCTGGGACTCAGTTGTCGGGAGAAGTTTATGATGGTGCTTGTGAGTAGGCCGTTTGGAGTGAGAATGTGGCGAAGAAGAGCCTCGAGAAGCTGAGCCAGAACCAAGAATGTTGTAGACTTGCGATGTCACAAGCGCGTTCCAGGAGTTGTCGACTTGGGCATATCGCATAAAGGCATCGTTGAATGACGATAGGCTGTCCGAGGCATTTTGGAACATTTGTCCACTCGTGATCGAGCTGGCATGTATAGGCTGGTGGTGAGAAACGATTCCATCAAGGTCGAAATCCAACCTGAAATCTCCAAGTATGAGTTTAGGGCTGCAGTAGAAAACGGTTGCGAAGCCCCCATGGGCAATCCGAGTATTGTTTATCTCCTCGAGGCCAATAGTGAAAGACCTCTGACATGCGCGACTTGAATTTAAAGCAGCACTGAAATAGAGCGATCCGTTGTATGTTTTAAATGATGTATCGAGCGCAACTGGCGATTGCATCTCTGCGGTGCAACTTGATTCTGTTGTGCCCACGGAGGAATTGTAGTTCCAATACGAAGAATTGGACGAGCTATGGCTGTAAGATGCCTGGCCACACTGAAGCTCGACCCCAACCCCACGCGTTCGAGCGGTATAGATAGCCCGGTCCACATATTCGGCGTCAGGGTCATCTATTCCAAGGGGGTAGAACGACAGGTTGGCAGTATTCCAAGAAAGCATCGGCCTTCCGATGAGCAGAACATCAGAAATCAAATTGGTTCCACTGAATTCGGTCCGAATATGTGGATTGACAAACACCGAAGTGTTATACTGTGCGGTGATAACTTCGGTATGGTCCATCCATGTATCGACAGAGGGCTCAAACATTCCACTGCTGGCGATGGTGAGGCCAAAGTCAAAGATACAGATCACAGAGAGAATGACAATGAGAGGCGGCCTTTTGTCACGGAACTGCCTCCAGATCGTCAGAGAAGTATGAGAGCCAAAATTAGCTGCCAATGAAGCTTTGGACGTAGCCATGCCTTCGCGGAGCTGGACCCACGGCTCAATGCTTCCGATGTGTCGGTGGACGGAGACAAAGAGGGAACTGATCATAGAGGCGACAACAGTCGGGCCATAGTCCAAGAAAAGCCAAAGCACGGTAGTGCCGGTAGAGTCAGATGTATCAAATTTATCCAGCCGAATAAATTGAAAGGCTATTCCGAATGTAATTAGTACACCTGTCATGAGCAGACATTCTATCAGAAACCAAAGAGGCGTCAAGAAATGGGGTCGCGTATTAAGTTGCATCCTGCGCGGAGCTCGATTCTCCACTGTTGCAGCCTGGCCCTGGCGTGGGGTTATCTCGATGTGCTTGCCATTAGGCCCGTCAATCAATTTACACCACAGAGACCGGGAAAACCGACGAAGTTGCCGGGGAGTTGCACGGCAATAATCTATTCCAGAATCCGTGATATGGTTGAGCGAAGTGAACATGTCTGTGACAAGGGCACATTGCGCTGCGATCGGACCAGGATCTGAACAAAGAAAGCTTGGCCGTAGCGGGTACAGAAAGAACATCACGAGGAGCAATGAGGCTGCTGAAAGCAAAAGAACCTCCGCCAGAGTGGCTGTCTGAGATGTGACACTATACACGATGGTCCAAGAGCTATGCTTGGCCGCAATCCGATTCGGATCCGCTGTTGTGTTGAAAAATCGGTTCATTGAGGCAACAAAATGTTGATTCCAAGTCTCACCGATATTTTTTTGGTACTGGGCGAGACTGATGCGATCAGACTGTGCATCGGCCAAGGAAGCGATGTCCGATTCTATTTGGTGCAATCGCCCGCGACCATCAAGAGAAAGCCTTGAGAAAAGCATACGTTGGAACTCCGTAAGGCCGAGATCCGTAGAAGTCAAAGAAGTTGTCGAACTAGAGATATTCGTGGCAGTGGCTATTGACGTGTTTGCTGGCAGGGTTATGTCGGCATTGGTGCGTAGATATGTGCTCGTACACCCGAAGACACTGGCTTTGGATGATAGATTGTTCAACGTGGGGTTTACATCGATGGAAATTCCAAACAGCGAGAAGGGCGTACATCCGTCACCGTTCCAGGTGAAAATGGCACTGGAATTTCCGTATGAGCCACGAGGCTCCCAGTACATGAGCTGAGGCAGTCGATCGTTGGGCGGGTCGGTGCTGGTCAGAGATATTTTTATCTCACAATTGGAGGCCTCTTCAGTGCCCGAGGAGCTCCGAATCGACAAGTTGCGAATGTTCCATTCCAAAAGTGGCGTGCCATCTTGAGAATCAAATATCTTACCAGGAATGACTTCGGTTGAATGGGTTTCCACACAACTAATGTCAGACCAGTAAATGTCTTGATTGAGTTCCCAGGTTGAAGTTCCCGTTCCCGGTCTGGAGTGTGCTGGCATTGAGATGGGCGGCATGGAATAACTAGGTACTTGATAAGCGAAGAATGTATCCACATGAGTTGAGGCGTTATTCCCGAGACGGGCTGCAGCGTTCGCTAGTAAAGTGTTCTGCGATTCCAGGCTCATCAGACTGGGCCAGGTATCGAGATGCCTCGCGAAGACGATGTTTGGCTCATCAAGGTCCACGAGACCAGACAGTACGGAGGGCAACATCATTCGTAGAATAATTGAAGTCGATGACACAGCCGCTACAATCCAATGTCGGTTTCGGATCGCCATGATGGGGGCCATGATGCCATAGAAGAAGCAGTAATTGGTGAAGAGAATGTCTCCGGGGACACCATTAGGTTTGGCGAGTTGAAAAAACGGCTCCAACCGCAGAACATCCAAAGCGCATACATTCCATAACGCCACTGCTAAAATGGCAAATGCAGTGGGTACATAGGTGTAGACTCCTGAGGTAAACCGGGCGAGGTCCTCGTATGACTTGACATGAATGAGCCCATGGTGACGGTTTGAGTACTGACGAAGAGCCTCGATGGAAACTGCCATTAGAATAAAGTAGACAGCCAAAGCAGAGAGGTAGGGACGCCTCAGAGAAGTGGGCAACCAAGGCCTTTGCTTGCTTGGTGGAATGCTTCGGCCCGTTGGTCCATTGTCAGACTCGACCATGTCTGCCTCATGGGCCTATTGAGCCTCGAAGATGTTATCGAATCATTGGTAAATAAACGGGTGCACCAGTCACAATGTGCTCGTGTCGTGCAGTCGCTGACAACCGCCTTTCACCCCGTGTCAGACATCGAGGCTTTGCCCAGCCTAGAGGCGTGGCACCCCCACGTGACTGGACATGCCCGGAGAAAAGATTAAAGTTTTAAGTATACATCACGTGCACGAATGACTAACCAGACACGTGATATGGTCTGGCCAACCTATGAATAGATCATTGCGTTTATCTGTACATTGGGAAGGAGGCTCGATGGAGTTGCTGGTCATAAAAACACCGAGGTTATACCCGCTCAGCTCAGCCCTTATCCTCATCCATCTTATTGTCAAAAATAACGAACTCGTCGCCGAGCATCATCCTAAGACCGGTAACCCAATAGAAGAAAGGTGGATTAGTAGCAACAATTCGAGTCGGTGAGGTGGGTCTGATTTCGCGGCTAGTACATACCCAGGGTAGTATTATCTAGTAGCAGACTGTGGCCAATCGCTCTAAACTACCCAACTGCCGAAAACCGTAGCTACTAAGAGCAACTACTAGGCCGAACAAGGATTTAGCACCAGCTGTGTCCCTGATTCCCGAGACCAATAATTCCCTGAGCCCCCAACGACTCTGCTTAATGCTCAACATCTGACAAGTGACACGACCTCGAGATAGAGTAATATTCCCAATCCAAAATGGGGATAGAGATAGAGAGTCTACCTCTAGAGCTACTCGAGGCTATTTTGCTGGTAGTCGAAGACGAAAAGACCCTTCTGCTCGCACAGCGAGTATGTCTACGATGGGTCAACTGCATCCGACAGTCCTCTGCAATCCAACAAGCCCTGTTCTTCCAGCCCGCAAACACAGTGTTACAAAGATGCCAAACACCTCGTCAGAACCCCTTTTGCAGCAAAATTTCCTTATTGGTTCCCCAGCGATAATCTCAAAACCTGCGCCATGGCATACGGAGCTGGAGACATGCAAGATTTTCTCGACAGCAAAACGGTATATCTGCGACCAACAGCGAGCTGGCGACGAATGCTTGTGCAGCAGCCTCCAATTATGGGATTGCAATGGATTGACCGCAGTCTCGGTGATCGTCGCATTATTACCATGCAAAGGTATAACCTTCCATCAGAGGCATGCGGAGATGGCCTTCGGATGAACACGCTATACGACTTAGTGGTCTGGTCTGCGGAAGATGCCGAACAGTTCTTTTATTTCCGAATCGCCTGGAGTTCTTACAAAACATATTCCCACCAATTCAGGATGCCCAGCACTTCGAATCCGGACCCTTGTGGAAGGAACGATCCCCAATACAAATCAGCGTTCAGGTACGCGATTCAGAACTCGAGTCTTCTCCTCGATACGTGGCATACTGAACGTATGCCTTTTGATCTATTGAATACGTTCGGTGAAGATACATGGACGTGGGACTTGATACGCGGCCTGAAATTGCCAATGGGCGATTTCGATGTCGACAAAGTTCTTCGAAAAAGGAAAGTTGAATTTGTCAACAGCTGGTGCAGGATGGCATCAGACCTTTACTATGGGTATACGCAAGAGATGGATAGTTGTTCAGGAGGCTTTCCATTGCCGGATGAAGATGATGAAGATCTATAATGTGCATAGGTATCTTTTCGTTGATTCAAGCACATACATAGTATGTAGTAGTAACCAGGCAGTGCAATTAGTTGGGCGTTGCCGATTGTGGGTTTCTGCGAGGGACTTGAACTTAACTTGAAAGGACTTAAAAGTCACAGGGAGTTGAGAGCCCAATGCCTACCACCACTTTGTGGAGATGGGATAGCACTACTAGATAGCTTCATCCGACCATTTGTCCAATGCACCATCTCGCTTCGTCCTATTAGTATGGTACCACCCCATACCCCTCGGAAAAGGGGATCGGGCAAGAGGTGATGGGGCAAGTCTAGGACCTAATTCCTGGCCAGATTGGCTTGATGGAGTAGTCGATGGAGTAGTAGCAGGTAAGACCAAGACCTAGCGGCACCTTCGACGGCCAGAACAACGGTCACATCTCCGACGGCTCTGATAATATGAAGGCAGTGGAACTTGGCACTGATCACATTGGCGAATACTCCCAACAGCTGCTTGCGGCAGTGAGGCAACCCGTTCACTAACACGGCAGTCTGAACATCTCGCATAACAGCTGATGGAGGGTTGGGGAGCTGCACAGAGGTCACAATATCGGGTATTGTTTAACCATCGCATGCAGCACATCGGTAGACAGAAGCACAATCTCGACAGCGGGTTCCCTGGGTCCGGCGAGTAGTGTTTAGAAGCCCTGATAAAGAAATTGGTACTGCGTAGCGCTGGCAAAAGAGGTTGATTGTATCCATTGGAAGTCGGAGGACTTGTCGGATTGAACAGAAAAGAGAAGATAGAAGGAAAATAGAAGGAAAATAGAAGAAAGATGGAAGAAAGTGAAGTTTGGTACGCGATATACGCGTCGACGCGACCAAAAGAGTCTAACCGCATCTGGTGCCCCCCCAGCTGCATGCAGCTACAGCTCCATCTACCTACATCCTCCGTCACTGCACTACACTCAACCAGTCCTATTGGAAAACGGCCCCGAGTTATACCTTGCAATCACGTCTCAAAAAGGGGGAAGCCTCTGAAGATGGGCATTAGGCGGGCTTCGGTCTCGGTCACCGTCCCGGCCCGTCCTCCCAGGACCAGGGCCATCCCGGCCGATACAATGTTCCCCTGGATGTCTCTCAATTTACCGACCTTGTCAAGCTCCGGTCTCCGAGAATTACCATGATTGGCACCACTCCATCCACACTGCATTCCAGAATCAAGGCGTATGGGCACTTGTGACTGGGTTGGAGCAGCCACTACTCGCGCTGGATCCTCCCATTTGCTCAAATGTATCAAAGTTGGCAGCAACTGGACAAGAGCCTAAGCGCCTTGCTTGGTTTGACGGTCGATAGGGCAATCCTAGTCAATACCCCCGGAAATGTCAGTAACGATGCGATGTACGACTTCCTGCAAACCAATTACCAACCCAAACCCAAGCCACAATTCCCCCAGCTCCTCAAAACCCTCTCCCGCCTTCGACTCGACAATTTCGCATCGGTCAGTGGCTATGCCCACAAATTCATGTCCGTCGAAAGCGAGATGGAATCGATGCGACCCAATGGTATCTCGCAGACCGTGGTGAATACAATTTTCCTGGAGGGTCTTGGTCGAAAATGGGAGGAATTCAAACAGCGCATGATCGAGGACAATTTCGCGACCAACGGGTTCACCCCCATGCCATCGGAAGATTTGGTTATGGAGGCTGAAGCCATGAGGCTTTGATTCGAGAGGATCAAGCTACTCCAGCTCCTCCGGTCACCAAGCGACGTGGTCGGCCTTTCTGTGGGCATTGCAACTTGACTGAATATATACAAGAGGGCTGCTGGCGCTTGGAAGGGAGGACGGAAGAAGAGATTCGGATCATCCGGCGCACACTGAATCAGGACCGGTCGAGAAGGGCTCGGAAGCCTTCAAGATGGGTGAACAGAAATCGAGTTGTGAAACCTTGAACACCGCACTGGAAGAGCCTCAAGATTATCAACCATGATCGGCGCCGACCGATACACCACGAGCTTAAATTAATGCTCTGCCTCTGCACAACATATTATACCCAGCATTCCAAAGTCAAAATCTCGAGGTGGCTTCAATCAATCGAGACCACAAAGAATGAAATGCGGTAATAGCGACCGTGACCAAGCGAGAGAGCGAAGGAGAGATGAAGATGAAGAAGACGAGGGCGATGAACAGTCGCTGGGTCCGCCGACCTTCATCTCTTTGTCTTCCACAAGCGCTAGATTTCTCACAGCGGCCAGCCAACATTCTGGTTGATCAACAGGGTTGGTCGACCATGAAGCATGGATTGAGCAGACCGCGTGGGAATTGCTTTTGTAACATACTACAATAGTTACTATACCATATTACACTATACTATACTAGCAGTACTACTACTCGTATACTCGTATATATTCCTCGTAGACACTCGGCTGGGCGGTGGCTGATCAACTGCCGTTATTGTCTTTGCTGGTTGAACTTCTCCCCATCTTCTCCCTCTCCCTTTACCTCCCCCTCACAATCAATCATGGATCGGGATGGAACCACTATGTCCCCTTCTCGATCAAGCCTTGTCATCGAAAACTCGAGCTACCATGTAAGTTGATGGATGCCTGCCTATTTTCTACGACTTGGTATGAATAGTTACTCACTAGAGACAGACTCGACAAGCTTCTCGATAGTCTGACTCACCACGAGATTCGGAGAGTGAAGGCTCGCTTCCAGAATGAACACTTTCCGTTCGACATTGTTGGCAATTTGCCGATCGAAGTTGTGACTCTGATCTTCAAAAACCTCCCTTTGACAGAGATGCTACGTCTGCAGAGAGTTTCATCGACCTGGAAAGCGCTCCTGTCTTCTCGCGACCTGCAATCTGCTGTGCTTCTGACACGAGAGTTGACCTGCGAAAATACCCAAGACACAGTTGCTTTCATAAAGAAAAGGAATCGAATCGAGCAAGGTAAATTCGTGTCAGAGATTGCCTTCACGCCGCCCCACAAGGGAGCACCGCAGTGGTGCATGGCCGCGGACTATTCGGAAGGTCATTTCGCATGGATCGATAACACAAAATTCACCCTCAATGTGCTCAATCTTTGGACCGGACAACTCAGTCAGTTTGTGACAGAAGATCGACAGACCTTTTCTGACACAAAAGTATCAAACGCCATGGTAGTGGCGCTTGCTCGACGGTGCGTAATTCCGCCATGACTGACTAGCCATGACTATGATGCTAACTGATCCTGGTCATCGAACAGAACCTGCCATGTATGGAATCTCGGAACCCATGAATACACCAATTTTCAGTTGCCTCACCCCAATTGGACGGGCAGTTTCTTGGTTCATGGAACCAATGCAATGTTCATCGGGCGGAACGACTCCAGCGGAATAGCTGACCTCATACACTGGAGCTTTGGGTCGCGTATTGCACGCACTATCCCGTGGAAGGATGCGAGAACTATCAAATCCTTGATTCTAGACCCAGACGAGGAAAAATTTATTGTCTTTCATATTGACGACCTCCCCGACAGCTCCTCCGTCCCCAGTCTAACAACCTCCTTCATTCCAAACGTGGAGGCACACCTAGAAACCTTTGCACTGGATGATCGAGAAAGGGGTGGGGTCTTTCGATCTACATCAGACCGGATCCAAAGTCTATTCCTGCGACGCGATAGCTCTGTGAGAAAATCTCCTTTCCGCTGCGAAACACACCCCGGCCAGATCAACCTCAATGTCGAAGAAGAGAATTTTTGGGATGAAGATCATCCAGATGGGTCCGAATCCGTTGACAGCGATGACCCGTATGGCGCCGAAATTTATGACCCTGAACTTCACACGTGGGCTTCTCAGAGATTCTTCTCCTTTGAAAGGAACCAGCAACTCGTCGTTCATAGGGTCCACACAGTTCGGCCCTCATTACCAGTGCCCGAAAAGCTCAAGTTCATTTCTCCGAGCCCGGGGATCATTTATTATGCAGAGTTCCAGACACAATGGGAAGGGGATCCCGGCAGGGTGATGGTTCTGCATGCTTCCAAATCAGACCGTGATCCAGTTCACGATTATGAAGCTTATTTCGAAGTGAGGAAGGGGCATGGAGCTAAAATCTACGGAGATGGCGATTTTATGGTCTTTGTCAGACCTTACGAGATGTCCATTCATAGCTTCAATGACCGGGCGGTTTGGAATCCCAGCCAGATAAGTTGGCCAAAAGAGATATTGAATCTAGGCGTAGCGAAAAATACACTGATTTATGGGCGCTAGTTAGTTGTTGATCCTGCGCAGGAACATATTGAAGGAGATGGGAGTTTGCTGACTACTTTACAAAAAAGTCTTAGCCAAATGCTCTCATATTTGTGAATACAGATCTCAAAATTTTCGTCCGGTGGACTACCGGAACCCGAGAAGTTGGAATGGTTTCTTAGTAGAGGAAAATCCGGCTTATTCTATTTTTTTCTGTCTTTTCAGAATTAGAAACAACCTGTAACCTAAGCTGTGGCTATTCCTACCTAAAAGGGAAAGCGACAGCCCTATCCAGAGATTTGACGTCATGTCCACGATACCACATAACGTGTTTTACCCACGAGTCGGCCACCCCTGCGAGTCGGCCACGTATCTCCACCACCACTATTATATATATATATATATAAATCCACCAACGATAATTAAATTGCAAAAACTAGGTACTAGTATTAAGTGGGCACCTATTGCGCTTATGCCCTTTCTTACGGCAATTGCTACAACGCTGTGGCGCCCTCTCATTGGTCGTTCTTGCTGTGCGCGGAGGTGCCGATGGTGTAGCCATATTGGTTTCATTTGCCAATTGCAGGTGTATTTGCATATCTTCCACAGTAATGCCGCCTTCATAGGGTATTTGGGCACTAGGTAACGCTTGCTTGCGTAGTTTTCGGCGATTTTCAGCGATTTTCAGCCATCACACGGCTATAATCGGCAGCTGTCATGACAAGCTTGCTTGCTAAGTTTTGGCACCTCCGCTAGGTTGGTCCAATTGCCGTTGTATCTCAGCTTCGTTATCGCTTGATCGCTGCTTAATTAGTTGCTTAATTGATGATCCTTGCCGCCGAAAATTGGCTGATTTGTATGGCGTATGTGGCACAAATTCTTTGCTACTACTACTACTATGTGATAGTGGTGGTGATGTTAAGGGGGTATATCAAGCTTTGTAGTACTCTCTCTGGCGAATAGGGTATAATACCAGAGCCTGCAAAGCTACCTATAATAACAGAGCTTTTGTAGGTTGCTGTACGTGCTGCAGGGTATATATCGAGGAAATCGAGCTTGTCAATATGGGTAGTATCTATACCGGCTATATTCTGAATATGTTGGCGATAAAAGTGCTTCAATATGCCGAAACAGCCAATATCTAGCGGCTGTAACAAATTTGATGAGTGGGCAGGCATACAAATTGTAATGATATTATTTGCCATGCAAATTGAGTCAAATTGTAAGGTAAGATGACTCCTATGGTCATCCATAACCAGCATCGAGTAGGCACTACGTCGTCTCTTGATAATATGCGGAATGAAGCTTTCTTCGAGCCATGAGAGGCCTATAGTATCAGTTGTCCATCTATTATCACTGACCTCGAAGCGTCAGTCTCTTGGTACAGTACTAAACCAGCCTGTCATTAAGTTTTTAGCTTTGAAGATGATGGTCGGAGGTAAAACCTCGTTCTGGTTGATACACTTAATTATAGTTATCCACTCTTGATTGCCAGGCTGTAGGAGTTTTCGCCGCCTGTGGTAATCCCTTCCAGTTACAACCTTTGAAGTACTGGCAATCCCCATTGTGAACCTAGTTTCATTAAAATTATAGATGTCGTCGTCGTCAATACTATATTCAGTAATTTTGGCAGCAAAAAGAAGAAACCACCGATGAACGCGGCCGTTAAGCCGATTTTGCAATGTTGCGCGTGGTACATCAAAAAGCTGCGCAGCTTCGCGAATAGAGGCTACTTTTCACTTTTTATGGCCTGGATGGCAAGTTACATCCTACCCTCCTGTTCGATCAATTTTTTGTCGTTTTTCATGGCGAATTGGTGGCATGGCGATGGTTGCAAAAAGGAGGTTGCTACACGCGACGCGGTTGTGGAGACGCGTGGCCGACTCGCAGGGGTGGCCGACTCGTGGGAAAAACACGTTAGTATTCTAGTGTACTAGTTATCTTTTTCCCTAGTAGTATCTGATAGTGGCCCTTGTTTAAAAACTTTCTTGGCTAATAGTGGCAGTCTTGTTAAGCTAGCTGGAGGCTACCCCTAGCCTTGAAGGGCTTCGGAGGCCCCAGCCACCATGATCCTATCCAGGGGCTCACACCCCTTGGTATTGTCTACCCCGTCCTCCCGGCAGAGAGCCGGTCTCATCTCTCATCATGATCGCAAACATCGCAATTCCTCGATGAATCGAACGCCAGGAACATTTGATTATATGTGTGCCTTGAAACCAGATATCTCAAATATCAAATCTCCATTAAAGCCCCAGCAGGATGTGTTCATGGTATGGGCCTGCGCAGACCTCGACTCTTTAAAGCCCGACTACACATTCCTCTCCTATTCAAGGTGGATATACCGCTCAGGAACGGTCCTGTCGATCATAACGGTCACCTATCATAACCCCGCACATTCAGGTTTTCACGAGTCAACCAGGTGGGGAGATCGACCGGGCCCTGTTACCGTCAAAGCCCCACAAGTACATTCGATCGGGAACCCGATCCGAATCATATTCGGGCCACTGTTTAGTGAATGGCTGTCTCTACTTTAGAGAAGAAATTTCTGGTTGAGGGTGTATTTTAGAATTGGGGAGGCAATGAGGCATTGAGTTTAGACTTATCTTGGGCGGAATATTGTCTTGGTGCATGAGAGACATGCATTTGCGGTTTACGGCAAGTTGCAGGAAAATTCCGGAACGCCACAAATTCCATTGGATCCCATTTCAAATTCAAGAAGACACGGTGTAGGGGGTGACCATTTCCATAGGGAGGCTTACTTAACTTAATTCTGTTGCATTCTTCGAGGGTTGGATAGGCCGTCACATACTAGAGAAGGGTGATAGATTTTAGAATTACCACATCAAAAGAGCATTGAGCTACGGTGATAAATCAATAAAGATTTCTATTAATCTGTGAGCTATTGCCTTTCTGTGAAATATCTGACTGCTGATGGACGACAACATTCAAGATGCAAGAGGCCTGCAAGGTAACCCTCATAGATACCACTGGGCGAAGGAATGTAGGGCGTAGGAGTCACTTTCTGGCAAAGGGACGTTATGATTGACGGGAGTATTCCGGGATTAGAGAACTTACCAATTGAGGAACACTCTGCCCTACATGATCAAGGCCATATGAAAGATTCACCCCTGTGTGAGGCATTCCGGGCCGAAATACTCGAGGGTTGTTTTTGGAGGAGTATGGACTTAGCACGAGCCCCAAACAGACAAATCTTTTAAGATAAGAGGCGCCTGATCAATGTTCCGCAAGGTTCTCTATCCAAGCATCTTCTCTTCTCTGCTCATTACATCTCTACCTCTTCCCCACCCTATCTCTTTAATTAAAGACCCTAATCTTTACTCTTTACCACCGTCAAAATGCAGTTCTCTATTGCCGCTATTGCCGTCGCTTTCGCCTCTCTGGCCGCTGCCATGCCCACTGAGTTTGGCATGCAGCAGCAGGAGGGTGGCGCCGTCCGCTACCCCGTCCCCAGCGACATGACCGTCAAGCAGGCTCAGTCCAAGTGCGGTAACCAGGCTCAGCTCTCTTGCTGTAACAGGGCTACCTACGCCCATGACACCACTAATGTCAACAAGGGTCTTGGTGCTGGTCTTCTGTCACACCTGATCGGTACTGGCTCCGGTGCTGAAGGTGTCGGTATCTTCCGCCAGTGCTCCAAGCTGGATGTTCAGGGTAAGTTTCGCATATTTACAATACTATTGACCTGCATACTAAATACCACACAGTCGACGTTACTCTTATCCCTATTCAGGATCTCCTTAACCAGCACTGCAAGCAGAACATTGCCTGCTGTGTCAACTCTCCCTCCTCTGCCGTAAGTTACCTCCATCAGATCTTGTCCATTTCAACCACTAATACGATTCACAGTCCAGCGACCTGGTTGGCGCCGGACTTCCTTGTATTGCTCTCGGCTCCATCCTCTAAGCACATCGCTTCTAGGTTTATTGGCCTTGGTAAGAAGTTTCGGGTGTCGTGCGATATAGCTCTATCGTTTATTTCTTTTGCTGTTTTCTGCGGCTTAGCTACTTCTGTGACAAAACACAGCGGTTATCATATCCCCGCATAATATACAATTTTCTTATACCCTTTCCCATTGAAGAATTAGATTCCCCGTAACAAGACCTAATGTGTGTTATTCTATCATGGTTGATGCCTGACACCGGTCTCACCACTGATATCCCACATCCCTCACGTAGCGGTGGCTAAAATCTACCCATAGTTCTGACCTTCGTCAGTATTTGCGGCAATGGAAAATTCGTTGATAAAATCCCAACTGACTAGGTGTATTCATTGAGTGGTAGATCGTCCACTATGGTTTCACTATTGATATTTGCTCGGGATGCATGAATTCCTTTATTCGTCCCTCCCTTCGTGGTTTCCATGACGGTAGTCAAGCAAGCAGATATAGCCTGGATACGAGCCTCCAGAGGCCAAATGTCCGCACCACGAATGCGCTGCACCTCCTTACCATCCTTCATGAGAACGAAAGTGGACATAGCCGTGACATTGAACTCGGAAGCAACACCACGCAGCTTATCCACATCGACCTGCACGAAGCGAACGTTCTGGTACTTCTCACTCAGTTCACCGACCTTTTAAGCAGACAAATCACTCCACCAAATAAGAACGGCCATGTGCCACCATCCAAAAGATCAAGGAAGTGCTCTCAATCTGCCAATCCTCGTTTTTGTCTGGACCTAGTGAGTTTCCCCGTGTTGAGTCAAATTAAGCCGCAGGCTCCACGCCTTGTGGTGCCCTTCCGTCAATTTCTTTAAGTTTCAGCCTTGCGACCATACCTCCCCCCAGAACCCAAAAACTTTGATTTCTCGTAAGGTGCCGAACGGGTCATCATAGAATCCCGTCCGATCCCTAGTCGGCATAGTTTATGGTTAAGACTACGACGGTATCTGATCGTCTTCGATCCCCTAACTTTCGTTCCCTGATTAATGAAAACATCCTTGGCGAATGCTTTCGCAGTAGTTAGTCTTCCGCAAATCCAAGAATTTCACTTCTGACAGCGGAATACTGATGCCCCCGACTATCCCTATTAATCATTACGGCGGTCCTAGAAACCAACAAAATAGAACCGCACGTCTTATTCTATTATTCCATGCTAATGTATTCGAGCAAAGGCCTGCTTTGAACGCTCTAATTTTTTCACAGTAAACAGCAACCGGTGTTGACGAAACCATTGAATAGGGGCGACAAGACAAATCTTCGTCGTGGACATCTGGACTATGATCGTGTTATTGGAAATCGTGTCTGGGATATTGTACAGGCGCACAGAGGTATGGCAGGTATACCTTCGCGATGGCGATCGACGTGACTTACCAGGGGACAGGCCCCGACGTTCGACCAAGCCTTCCAACGCTAGATGAATACGTTGCTTTGACACCTCGCCATGTGACACCGGTATACGCTTCGCTTGATTGAATAATTGAAGGAATCCCACTCGAGACAGCTGCTCACGCCAGCAGATCTACCCCTACGACGCCAATTTGATCGTCTCTCTCCTCGACCTTCACCCTAATCCTCCGGCCGCAGGTGTAAACAAACCTCAGATAGAGATCCTTGAATGCGGCACCGGCCATGGTTCTTTGACTCTGCACCTTGCGTGCGTGCCATCCACGCCGCCAACTCGACTCCGCCGCCCCGTCCATTGAAATTCCAAATCCAAATCCTCGAAGATGGAGCTCAACGACCAGGAGAAGAGGACTCGGAATAAATTGAGGGTAGCTAGGCTCAGCATGCCGATGCCGATACAGTGCAGGAAGAGTGGGATACATGGCGAGCGCAGCGCAACGCAATTGTTTATACCGTGGACGTCTCAGCCAAATTCTCCAAGCTTGCCGAGAAGAACGTGCAGAGATTCCGTCGTGGAATGTATGGCGGAGATGTTGATTTCTATGTGGGCCCGGCTGAGGACTGGATTGCAGAGCAGAAGAAGCAGCGTACCAAGACCGACGTGCTGTCTTCTTTGACAGGACAGAGCTCGGTCGAGCCGTTCCTGTCACACGCGATCCTAGACATGCCGTCTGCACAACTTCGAATCCCCCCATGTTGCGCCTATGCTGAAACGCGATGGCTTCCTCGCTGTCTTCGTGCCAAGTATTACTCAAATCGGCGATTGTGTGAGCCTGATTCGCCAGCACCATCTGTCTCTAGTCCAAGAGAGGTGGTGTACCGAATGGGTGCTAACCGCAGATCGATGGCGGAGCCACCCACGGGAGGGCCCGAACCCCATCCCACAAACACCCAAGAAACCATCGCCAGAGTCGCAGGAGACGACCACCAAGCTCGAACGGTCATCGACACAGCCGGCTTGCTGAATGAGGACTGGAAACAATTTCGAAGCGGCGATGCCTTTGCACCATCGGATCCGGCGGGTCGGATCACGACCAGGGGGGTGTGGAAACTCATCAGCCCCCTGAAAGAGATCATCCACCATCAAACTGTTAGCAATCGAAGCCACCCAGAACGAGGTCCAAGAAGTCAAACATGGCCAACACCTGCTCCAAGAGCAGAATGACAAGCTCCAGGAGGAGATGAAGGCTCGGCGAGCGCAAATCGAAGCTGTGCCACCGTCAGCTCCAGCCAGATCATGGGCAGAAGTTGCGGCAGAAAGCGGCCAGGGTCCACCCCAGACGACTCCACAACGTGCTGAGAGAGAATCCGACTGCGTCAGAATTAGCACCCAGAGAACATTCGTCGACCAAGGGATGATGAGAACAGCGGCGGAAATACCTTTGCACGATACATACCTTTCAATCGAAGCCGCATACACCCACATCCACACCGCACTCACGAACGCCGCCTCAACACAAGACGCCCAGGTAGCCGGGGTTGGCACCACCAAGACTGGATATGTTATTCGATTCAAGGACCCAGAATCGGCTGATATGGCCCGCAGTCACACTGAGTGGCTGGAAGGACTAGGCAACAACACCAAGCTGGTAAAGCCACGATTTGACGTGGTCGTGCATCGGACACCGACAGAGGGCCTCGACCAAGATGCCGACTACGATCAGGTGATGGGAATAATCATGGAAGAAAATGAACGGCCAGAAACGGGCTATCGCATCGAGGAGGTAGCATGGCTCAAGAGAACAGACAAGGTCCTTGGGAGGTTTGCTTCCCTGGGAATATGGCTAGACTCCCCAGAGGGAGCAGAGCATTTCATCAGCAAGGGCTTCATAGTAGACAAACGTTAGATAGGGAGTGTTGAGCGCCACGATATCAAGAAAAAGAGGTGCCTCCGATGTCAACGATTCGGACACCTAGCATGGTCATGCAAGGAGACTCCACGGTGCGGGCATTGTGCAGGTCCGCACGAGCGGCAGCATGCCCACCAGGAGTCAGGGTTTGGTGCCTCGATTGTAACAGCGAACACGCGACCGGTTATCGACAACGTCCAATGCCCGCGACCTCTAACCCCAGTCGATGCTAGAGAGCAACCTACGCATACTCCAGTTGAACATCATGAAACCGGGGCCAAGAATGAAAGCACTCATCAACGATCACAAAAGCCAAGACCTGGAAATACTCCTTATGCAAGAGCTATCTATTACCACCTACCGCACACAGGTCAACCATAGCGCCTGACGACTCTACCGGCCTACAGTCGAGATCGGCGCAACTCGGTTTCATAGTCTGATTTATGTCAATCGGCGCGTGTCTACAGTCTCGCACCGCCAGGTACCCTGCAACCACCCGGAAGTTGCAGCCGTCAGGATTTGGACACCCGACTCCCATATTATACTTGTCTCGGTCAACCTACCCTCGGTTCCCCTGTACTCAGGTGCCAACAAATCTTCGGAGCCCGCACTAACAGCGATTCAAACCACCATCACGTCTATACCAATTCAGCCGACGAACCGCTAGTATCATCCTCTCCGGGGCTTTCAACCGCCACCATCCTCTGCGGGTCGGCAATCACATACCAGCCCATTTCATAGAGGACGCTAGCGACCCAGTCGCCTTCTTCCAAATCACAGCGATCATGGCTGCCTCCTTCGGGGGACAGCACTTCTACGGGCCCAAAAGCGTGGGAACAACGTTGGATCATAAGCACGCTTCCCGTTCGCGGAAGCGTTGAAGACCATGAATCTCGACAGGCTGCATGAATTGGAAACCATTGACCCGCAGCCGCAGCTGCCGTATCGTGCTTATGCCTTCGGGGAGATTGAGATCCAATCGAAACGAGAAATAGCGAGGGAGCTGGCGGAGACCGCGCGGTCCACGACTGATGTGATTGTATAATCGGATGCCTCGGGTCTCGAAAATCATCTAGGCGCCGCCGTGGTCGCACTGGATAAAAGTCTGGAAGTAGTGGAATCTGAGCAAAGTAAAGTGGGATAGATGGGCCGTTGGTCAGTTCACGTGGCAGAGCTGATTGGCATCTTCTACGCCATCAACGTGGTGTTTCGACTGGCCTATCAGCGCTAAACTAATGCGTTCGGACGCCCAATGAAGACGACGATTCTGTGTGACCGCAAGTCAGCGCTACAATCAACCCAAAACGCCAGAAACAAATCAGGACAACGTATTGTCCATGTAAACGGCGGACCTGTGAATTTCCATTTCGAGTTAGTTTTGCACTTTTGGGTTTCGCGCCCCAATACCCCGTCACGTAGCCTCCCTTTAGTGCCCCTCGCTATAAAAAGACCCGCCTTCGCTGCTCTTTGCTATTCCTCTACCTCTCCACCTTACACTTATCGCTACGCCCCTATAACTTCACCCACCTAATCGGACTCACCGACTGCCCTATTCGCCCCCTATTTTCGATCGCAAACTAAGGCTAAGCCCTTATTGCCTTTACAATTCACTCTTGGGATCGGAATCATTCGGCCTCTTGGCGTAGGTAGCAATTATAAGGAGGTAACAAGAATTCTAGAAGAGCAATACGGTACAGATTATTCGTTTACAGGGTAATCACTTGGCCGTTATAGTCTACTCGTTCTTAAATAGATTGTTCTCTATCTATTCCCCTCGATCATTCTCTCCTCCTTAATTCGATATTTATACACCGGCAAAGCGGATAGAAAGGTACATCGTACATTAAAACAGCGCGCCACTTCCCGAATGGAAGAGAGTTCTTTATCCTCAAAGCCTATATAACTAGCGAGGTCCCACCATCTTTCTCTATTGAAATTTTTAAGGATTAGGTGCGAATTGGTGGCATGGTGGGTGGTTGAAGAAGAAAGGTTCAAATTGATTGACGCGTTTCCGGTGGTGGCGCTAGCTTGGTAGTGAACTACATTAATATGCTGCAGGAAAGGCTGCCTGATGAGCAAGCGGATGTAGATCCAGTAGTGCACTATCGAAGAGTGATAATGTATCATGTTAGCAATAAGAACAGCGATAGAATAGTAACCTTGTTAAAGTTTGAAGGTTAGATTGAACTCACAGTGTTCCCACAACTTCCACAGTTACTTGCATCTGTATCAAGGTCGACGCAGGCTTCATCACAACAGGTCAGGCCGGACGCGCACTATCGAGCACCAGTTAGTCGTTGTCTCAAAATATGCGGTCTATGGCCCCTTACACATTGCCCGTTACAAAAGGAAGAAGGAAGGTCACAATCGCCTGGTACACAAATACAGCGTCTATCTCATGTCAGCTTCAAATTGGCTCTTCAATCTAAACACGATCGAGAAGGAGACTAACGGCGTGGTTTGCCCAAGAACAAGTCCAAGTAAACTAGGAGAGCCACTCCCGCTGTCGCAGTAGCCAGATTTATCGCCTAATCCTCGACACTATAATGAATCCATATGTTAGTATTCATGTAATCTCTTCGGACATCTATATAGATATCTTACCCTGGCGTCACAAGCGGCCGAGTCGCAACCACCACCACCCCCTCCACCCCCAACCCCAACCCCAATGTCTCCAATATCACCACCCCCAGTGTCAATGGCAATCCCACCACCATCTCCATTGCCAATATTGTTGCCCCCGTAGGAGACCTTATCCCCACCCCTCGGTCCACCCCACTTTTCTAGAGCTTCTTCTCCAGTGAGCGCAGTGACAACAGAGCAGCACAAAAGGGTGAGAAGAGCAGACCGCATTTTTCGTAAAGGCGTTGTTTGCTAAAGACGATAGAAAAACAAATTGGTTAATCCCGTCGTACTGGTCGTTAAACTAGAAACAGCCTGTCTTGCTTCTTAGGTATTATATTCAGCGCGTTTCTACGGTTAATGTTAAATAAGGTTCCTTATTATAAATAAAGCGCTTAGAAATGTTGCCTAGGATGTGAACTATTGACTTTTATTTTTACACGAATAGCAATCACGCAGAAGTCAAGGAGCTTATGGTATGTGCTTAGATTCCGGCAAAATATTCCGGCAATCAGAATAGAGTCTTGTGGAATCTGGTTGGTCCCCGTGTGTCCTCTGGCCCGGCTGTTATATTTGGGAACACCCTCTCAAACCACAAGGATTTATATTTTAATCAAGTATATTAAATATCTTAAGTATCTAGTTTCTCTAAAAATAGTGCTTTAGGTTATAGATAATTTGTTAGTCTAATGGTTAGTAAATTAACGCTATATATACCAGCAAGAAGAGCACTATAAGATTAGACAGCTAACCTCCACTTTACCTCTCCCACAGTCGATAGTAATTCAATCTGGTGTTAGATATATAGGTGTAAAAATCCGAACGCAACGGTTTGGCCGGGAGCACACATAGGCCGCTAATTATATCCCACATAAATCAATTCTGACTGCCAAAATATGTTGCCGAAACTATGGCACATACCATAAGACTCTGGTATGCCAGAAAATAAAGTCCAAGCTTTTCACATTCCAGGGAACATGTCTAAACATTCTGATCATAATAACTTACAAAACTAAAGATACAACAAAACTGGAAGATGTATTCTCACGTATTATCAGTCCGTTCGGAAGAGTTGGTACCACGCGGAGTGGCGGAAAGTGGTCAAAATAGAATGAAGGCTTGTCGGTCGGGTTCAGGCCTAAGGCAGAATATCCCGATACGCCCGATAAAGCCGTGCCATACTTCGACCTCTATAAGATAAATTCAACGTCCACTGGACCTGGCGGTACGGCAATGTCCTTTCCCTACCGCTAATTCTCGATCCCATATCATGCTCTTGTGTCGAGTATAAAAATCTACATTCTATTGAGGAAATTTTTCACATTCTCATCAACTTTCAACAGCCCGAAACACAATCTGTGCTCGTCAAATCGGTCAACTCTACCATCACAGAAAATGCCTCTCAATGTGCTCGTCGTCGGTGCGGGAGTCTGTGGCCAAGTTGTCGCCATGCCTCTCCAAAGGTTTATTCCATAACACAATATCACTATTGTAGAGCGATCTTCCACGCTACGATCCACAGGTCAGACAAATCGACTTGAAGAACCAAGCTCCCCATATCCTGAGGAAGATGGGTCTGTTAGACGGAATCACGGCGCTTTGTGTGAATGAAACAGGTCTTGAGGTGGTGGACTCTGCAGGAAAGCAAATAGCCTGCTTCGGTGCCTCTGCTTCTGGCGAACGTCGTATTGGTTTGACCAGTGAGTATGAAATCATGCGCGGGGATATGGCACAGTTCCTATACGATGCCAGCATCAAGCAAAACGCGGTGCTTAAAATCGATCTAGAACAACGGATAGCCTATACATTCGACCGGACTGTCACAAGTCTGGACCAGAGCGCTCAGGGCGTGGATGTGACTTTCTCAGATGGTCGGAAGCACCGATATGATCTCGTCATTGGGGCCGACGGACAATACTCGCGTACTCGACGACTTGCCTTTGGCCAGGAGGTTAGCGATGCCGCGTTCAAAACTCTTGGAGTCCACGCTACTTATTTTAGCATCCCTCGAATTGCAGGGGAAGACACTTTGGCTAGAGGTCACCTCGCTCCACCGAGAAAAATGATCTACACTCGTACGAGCGATTGTCCCATTACAGGGGAACTTCTTTTTACCATGGATGAATCGCCGAGACTGAAGGCTTCTTACAAAGAATTGTTGGAATCCCAAAAAGAGGCATTCGTCGAGGTCTTCAAGGATATGGACTGGCAGACCAACCAGTTGATTAGTGGGTTGAAGAAGTCCGATGACTTTTACGCAAACGAGCTGGGGCAGATAAAAATGGACCGACTATCTACGGGTCGGGTCGTGCTTCTTGGAGATGCAGGCTACTGTCCCAGTCCATTTACTGGCTTGGGGACTAACCTGTGCCTCGTGGGTGCATACGTGCTTGCAGGGGAATTGGCACGCCAGGGGAACGACGTTATGGGGGCGCTAAAACGCTATAAAGAAAAAATGCGGCCCTTCATTGTCGAGTGTCAGCAGTTCTCAAAAATTTCTGGGATTTCTCTTCCCATCTTCGCGACTTGGCATTTGGTCTATGCATAATCTGGTTTGGGTTCTGTCGAAGCTCACTGGACTCTTTCCGCAGTCCCGAAAAGGGGATAAACATGATAAGCGTCTCCCTGAATATCCCGAACTGAATCTCCCATTTGATATGGGGAGTCCGACGGAGAAATTTCTGGGTAGGGTTTTTGCAAATAGCTGGAGTTTAGCCTGATGGGAGGAAGAGCGGCAATTTCAGAAAGGAAAAGACTGAGTTTCAGTAATTAACACAACAACGCCAAAGCCAATGAGTCTGAGTGTAAGGGTACTTGACGCGCTCCGCGCAAGAAAGTAAATTTAATGCTTCTGATGGTCCGGAGGGAAGGATACGTTTGTTTAATTTCTATACAGTTATTCTCGAAATCGCCTTGACCACTACGCACAGGGAAACCTTATCCTAGTCCCACTGCCAAGACCCTAGCGCAAGTAAGTAATTGGGCTGGCCACCCACCGGTGTAATATGCACCTTATCTAGTACAGTTATCATCACCTTTTACCCTACATTCACGGCGCAGCGCACATCTTAACGAGGGGGAGGTACAATACCATACAGGCTTCATTGCACAACAGCCCTCAACTGAGTTTGAACCGCCCAATTAATGATCTGCGCTAAAGCCTCGGCTGTGGGGCCGAGAAAGAGAATCTCAGTGTGTACTGGTCAAGGCAATTTCGAAAATGACTGTACTGCTGAATACTGCAGAAGAGATAATTGAGAGTAGAATTATTGGATAAACGAGTTATGAGTTGCAAACAAACGAAGAAATGGTCGTACTGTTACAAGACTGCCAGCAGCAATTCCAAGATTGGCCTCGACATTGGACCATATTGAAATCTGTGTTGTTGCATCTAAGGACTAGAGTCAACATACGAAATCGCGAAAGGACATTTCCACTTACAAAGGAAATCCGAATCCTTGGCATGATGAAGGAATGGAATGCGCACGATGACGGCAGCGCTCGCTCTGAAAAAATGCGTATTGGGTCAGAATTTATTCTATGTGAATGCAGAGCATACGAACATCCCGGCAATACTTAAAATTCCCGACACAGCACTCTTGGTCCGACGATCCATTTGGAGTCTCCATATCAACAAAATGGGTAAAGATCCAAGCATGATATCGCACGTAGCGGCAACTCCGCTGTACATATAGACGATGCCAAGGAGGATGTTGATGTCGAGGCAATGGCCGGCTTCTGGATAGTGGTTCCAGTAGTAAGCGACTGGATGGCATTGAAAAATAGTGAAGAACAGAAAAACGATCCCGATAGCGGTTGAAAAGGTAACTACTCCGTACAAAATGTACGAGTGAGTACGATCAATCGTAAGCCGAAGCAGAGTTGCGGCAATGGATAGCCTAGCAATCGTGCAAGTGAAAACGTAGAGAATCTGCCCTAGCCACCAACACTTTCGTATGGTATGAATAAGTAGTGAACTAGAATCTTCAAAGTTTAGAACACCTACTAACAAACCACGTCGTATATCCTCTTGGTGGTGGGCTAAATAGCCTGGAGTCTTCCCCATGCCATATACAGCGCCCACAATACTGCACGTGGCAAAGCCGACATTAAAGGCCTGGACTGGTATAAGTACACTTACTGCGGTGATAGGCAAATGACAGCCCTTTGTTGACCTACAGTCGCTGCAACCATCAAAGCATCATCATGGCCAAATGCTTTGACTATCTCCAATCGAACGTAACACCGAAGACTAACGGCCGCAAGCGAGATGCTCAAAAATACGGCAGTGGTGATGATAATTGCATCGCTCCCTTCCATGCCCTGTAGTCTTGATATGAAAAGACATCCAAGAGCGTTCACAGGAGACTATCGAAGCTAAACTGACCTAGTGGCCTTCGATGATGTAATGATGATTACATAATCATGGATGAATCCTAAACTGCTTGGACCTCTCGCGGGGGGCACCTAGCTGACGGGGTATTGGAACGGATGCCTGACCGCCTAAGGCAGAAGTAAAATTTCAACACCCGGTAATCGTGCTCAAGGGACTAAATTATCTCCTGAATAAACCTCGTTAAAAACATTTAAAAGGTTGGAGATGCTGTGTTATGGACCCTGTGATATGAGGTGCCGCAACCTACAAATGGGCCATCGAGAGCCAATCATCCCACAGGAACTACTGTCGGAACGGAATAGGCGGAGTGTATGGCAGAACGCTAGCGAACCTGCCAGAACTAGTTAGCGTGCTCGGAGGAATATTGTACACAAAACCTTAGGCAGAATCTTCGAATAATACTCAGATTTCTCACACCTTACGCGTATGCTCTATATTAGGTCTCACCGCTTCTGACACACAGGCCTACGGAGGGGTTTCTTCCTTCCTGCAACTGCCTCACGGGAGTCAACCCCCACCTGAGGCTCTCCAGTCCATATAAGTATATTTTCCGCCTGCCTGATTCTGTCTATTTATCATCGATTATTTAACGTGAAATACAATAATCCCATCTCTGTTTGGCAATCGTGAATCTGTTTCAACATCGATTGGTAGATATCTTTATTTATGCAACGCTAGCAGCCAACCTTGTATGTACAGCTGCTCCCGCATTCGCGTGATGACCGTGGGAAAACCTTGTAGGAAAAACCCACGTCGGAGCAGTCCAGGGACTTCACTTATGCGGCCAAATCACGGAGGCTTTGCTCCAGAGCAACTTGAAGCTGGCGAGCCTTAGAACGAATATGGCCAACTTGCGGAGACTCGGCCGTTAAGCCAACAAGCTCCTCTTCCGAATAGCAGCTGACCGTCATTGGATCGAACGCATTAGCCAACTTTGCAAGAATATGTCGCTCAACGACTTGGCGACAGACATTATCTACGAACGTCTTCCGTGCAACCTACTTCATAAATAAAACAGATCCTTTTAATACCACGTAAAACAGACCCTATAATAAGCAACTAAGCCGGTTCTTGCTTCAGAACATGCTTGCTCCTTCATGTCGACAATGACCCGTTTCTTGAGGGATGACAACAGTTTGACACAGTCCTTTTCTGTATTGTCCAAATAGAGAGTACCGTTCCAATCATTTTGGATCGCATCGCGTACAGAGTTTTCGATGAGGCTTTTTGAAACTTCAATTCTAGCATTCCGGATGTTGTCCGTATAATAATGATTGTAAATGATTGGCTGTCGGCTTTCATCTTCAAGAATCCTTTCGAGTTCATGTTCCGCTGCTTGGACATTCTCCTCTAGCGTGAGACTGACCAAGCGACAGATGTTTTCGCGCACCTTCACATCTTTGATTGTGTACGTCACACGGCGTTCGCGAATCGAGAAATGATCCTTGAGACCACCACCACATGCTCTCGAGCGATCTCGGCCCATCGCAATGACTGCCCATGAAACATTCCGGTAAGGAGAGCCTGGTTGTAGTTTCCTGGTAATTCTTGACCCCTCGTTTGATCATATGTCTGTTTTGTGTTAGCATAAATAAATTTTCACCGGCAAAGACGAAGTCATACCTCTTTAATCCAATTTTGCATGTTGAGGCAAGTTCTATCTTCAATTGCGTACGTTGATGCTGAAACTCTGCCTCAAGTCTTCGTTTCACTGTTGTTCGTGAAAATAAAGCTGAATCAAGCTCCGGATGTGGTAGATCTATGAATATTTGGCGGAATGAGGGCGATTCAATAGTGGTAAAGGCCATCTTTTCCTTGACAACCCATCGTAGAATATTCTCCTGGAACTGAGCTACCACTGATAGCTTTGGCTTCATATTGAAGGAATCGACGATCGAAGGTTGTTTAACTGAATCGGAAGATGAGGAAGATGGCTCAGAGAGAGTATGTTGGGTGTATAGATGAAGCTCTATGTTCTTAGACGATCCCGATCTAACAGAGTCAGATGTTTCCCAATTGCACTTCTTGCATTGGATAAGACGGTCTGTATCCATTGGCTTCTTGGCACGAGTGGTCCAGGGACGCTTAATTGATATAATATCAAAATGGCCCCATAACCATTGAGTTGATAGAGCGGTTTTGCGAGGTCGTTTCCGAGTTGAGGGTTGGGAGACTATACTCAGGCATGACGATGTATCAGGGTCTGGTATAATAGTCTGTGAGGCTGATTCTGATGGGAGGATTGAATCAGGAGTTGTCTGAATAGTATCAAGTGTATCAGAAAAGAGAGTAGTCTGAGTGGGATAATCAGGATATTGGTCTTCAATTGGGACGTTGTCTTCGTATCCATAATTCAAAGCTAGATAATCACGCTGCGTATTTGTACGCTGAGGCCGTGATGAAGCCATATTGAATAGAATAACGGAATAGGTGGTAAAAATTCAAAAGTGTGGTAAAGGCTTCATGTTGCAGAGTCATGTTGAAAATGTGGGGTCTCTCGGGTATAGGGCATAGGGTATAGGGACTAAAATGGTACAGAAGCTAGTCTAGGATAGGAAATAGAGGCTGTTTGGTTTTTATTGTATTTTTGAGCGATTCAGTGTATTGTGAACCGTGGTAGTGTTGGGGGCTGAGGTGGCTGATCTTGAAACCTGTGGCATCTCACCTCTGGCACCTCTCCCCCAGTACCTCACCCCGGGCACCTCACCTCTGGCACCTTAGCCCCGGCACCTTAGCCCTAGTACCTCTCCCCAGGCACCTCTCCCCGGGCAGCTCACCTGTGGCAGCTCAGCCCTGGCACATCAACCCCGGCACCCTACCTTATTATATATTATTTCTACTAGCCTAAAAAGACTATAATATAAAAGCTTATACTTTAATATTCCTATATATAGATATATATACTATAAGGTATTATACGACAACTGGCCACAGTAACCCCCAGTAATATTGTAATGGTTACTAAGTTGTCAGGCTAGAGACCTGTGACTAGGCAAGGATATCGGACGGTAGAGATCAGATTGGGCAGTCGATACAGAGACTGATTCTTGAGAGGATCAAGAATCCTGAATGCTTGTGGGATCTTAAATACATTAGGGTTCGGGTGGATATCGATATGCAGGTGACTCAAAGGGGATTCGTCCATGAATCGGCCTCGAGAGTCCGGGGTATCGCATACTTCGAATCCCGTGACAATTCATTCTCCTCTCTCAGATATGGTCGACTCGACCATCAACAAAGGTCAGAATTAGGTCAGGCGACCTGAGCCGAATGGCGTCATCTCGCACAAAGGCCTGGGGCAGATGCCGCTTTGGGTGCGTTTGCACGTGGATGTAAACAAAGCAATACGATCTCTTTGATATCTTTGAGATAAAGGCTTCCACCTTTCTGTCCTCAACTCTCACTTTCCTCTCATCTTCACCTTGCCTCATCCCTTTCTTTCATCGTCAAATCGTGATCCTTCGCTATGTCTGCTGCTGCCGGTCCTGCTGCTGCCGAATTCGGTGGTCCTGGAAGTGTGGCCAGTACTGCCCTTGGTCCTCGTCCCCTCCGCGATCGAATTGCCCGTCCTTCGTTCGCCTTCTGTGTTAAATGTGTGGCCGAAGCGGCCCTTCGTCCTCCGGCTGGTACTGTTCCTACGATCCAATACGACTGGGACTGTTCCAACTCGATCACTTGTGCCCTGTACAAGAGAGATGAAAAGGCTTGCTTCTAGGTACGAGACTCTTCCGATTTATGTTTGATTCAATACTGATTTATCTTAGATGCCCTGTGGGATCTATAGCAATTTATACCAGCTCTAGTTGATCCTTGACTGGGCACGTGAAGTTTGGGGCGGTGGTACTGCTGTTGCCGTTACTGGTGGTGCTGTACCTGTCTGGGGTATAGGAAGCGAGACTACGGCTGTCGAGGGATCTGCTTGCCTTCTGGTGTCGTTTCGGAAGATGATCTCTGTCTATCTCTCTCGGCACGAGCTCTATTTTGATATACAGAATACGGATCAAGCTATGGAGGGATATGCTGCGTTTATCGTTAAACGACGAAAGGAGTTGAATACCAAGGCTGGCTTACCTCCTGCTTGGCCCCCCTGGTTATCCTGGTAACCTTCTACGGCTGTAGATCAGTGATGCTGGTTTTGATCTCTGGCAGAGTGCTATTTAATCCTTCTTCTTGGAGGTTGCGGCAGGGTTTGAGTATGATATGACTCTGAATAGTATTATTTTGACTCTGGCTGTAGTGCAGATTATTGACCAGATTAAGGTGCTCTCAGATTTGTATAGGCTTTTGTGGTAGTCTTTATTCTTTGTCTTGTTTATCCTCCCCTTTTATAGTCGAACGGCCTCGTTCGGTGGGAGTCTGATGGCTTTTCTTTTCGGTGTCGATTTGGGTATAGTTTGAAGGAGTTTCGGGGATACTTTGTTGTCGTTAGGATACAGTTTTTCGAGTTTGTTTCTTTCTGAATGAAGATATCGTATCTTTTGCGTTTTCTAAGTGCTCTGCGGGTTCCTATTGGTTATATTCTGAGGGCTATCCAGTCTATTTTATATAGTAGTGTAGTACTCTATCAAAGGTTCTTTTACCTTGAATCTCCTTAACTTCCTATTCCTCTTTGTCTTTAAGTTCCGGTATTGGCATCAGCGAATCGTCTTTGTTTCGGCTGTTCTATAGCTCGAGGAGAGAGACAGAGAAGACGTTATATAGTCTTAAATACTTTTCTGGTAATGCGATACGGTACGCCTGAGTACCGACCTTTGTAAGGATACAGAAGGGTCTGATTCACCGGGGAGATAACTTCTTTTCTTTGGCTTTAAAGTAGAGGTTTTTTGTCGAAAGGGATACGAGGCTTCTGACTTTAAAGTCTTTTGGCTTATGGGTCTTGTCGTATAACTTCTGCTGTGCTTCCTGTACGATTCGAAGCTTTCTTGCAGCCTCTTTACGAATGTTTTGAAGGTAAATTATCTGCTCTTCGGTACTTAGGGCTTCTTTCTTAAGTACTTCTTCTGGGGCTTGGACTTAGAAGTCAGGATTATGTCCTAGCAGTATACAGAAAGGGGTCTCATTGGTAGATATGTTAACAGTATTATTGTATACAAACTGTGCTATCTTAAGGAGTCAAGCCTAATTCGATTACTCTCCGTTGACAAAATACCTAAGATAATCTTCTAGAACCTGGTTAAGTCTTTCTGTCTGTCTGTCAGTTTGGGGATAGAACGCAGTAGAGAATTGTAGCTTAATCTTAGAATGGTAACAAAGTCGTGACCAGAATCTGCTTATAAAGATAGGTCCTCTATCAGATATGATTCCTTCTGGATTTCCGTATTTAAGTTTGATTTGATCAAAGAAGAGTTCGGTAAGGTCTCCTACTGATATTGTTATTGATACGGGGAGGAATCAGGAGAATTTCGTAAGTCGACAGACGATCACTAGAATTATGTTATATTCTTTGCCTTCGAAGATTATGATAGGGAGTCCTGTAATAAAGTCTATATTTAGCTCTGTAAATGGCCGATGGGGAGTTAGAAGAGGTTGGAGTTCTCTATAAGGTCGATGCCTTGGTGCTTTAACTCCTTAACATATTAGGCACGTTGTGACGTATTCTCGTACGTCCTTTGGCAGCTTTTCCTAATAGAATTTTCTTTTTAGAAGCTCTTCTGTACGTATTCTTCCAAAATGTCCTGCAAGTTGCTTATTATGATAAAGCTTAATTAGCTTTTACCTTAGATTCCCTGCGACAGAGATATAGAGACGTCCTTTATAACGCAGGAGCTTCTCAGAGTCAATACTCTAATACTTTCCCTGTAGAACGTTTTCCAGGGTTACATTAATTCTCTCCTGGACTATCTCGTCCTTATCTTAGAGTTCCTTAATCAATTGTTTTAGTCCCCTTAGGGATTTATCTGCGAGTGGATCTTTATTCGTAGTTGTAGCGAATACTATTTGAGGGGGTATAAATTGAGAGCGACTCAAAACCTTATAATATGTTATATTGTGGCCCTGACTTAGGAAATCTTCTTTATTATCCCCTGGATCTGAATGATCAGCTTCGCTGGACTTATCCGTGGCCTTCCCTAGATCCTCCTGATCTATAGGGGCGGCAGTATTGTTTTGAACCTGGTTTGGCTCTGACTCTGGGTCACTGGCCAAGCTACTTACGGTTAGAGAGGGGGATAGCAATGGACTTCTACAGGCTAATACGGTTGTGATCATCGATCCCTGCTCCCCTCTGCTTTTCTTTCCAGACGGTCTTGTACCTGCAGAAAACCACTGTACTTTTATAAACGATACGGCCGTGATTCGCTTATAAATCGGGCCTAAAATCTCCTCAGCTGGCGGAGGCTTCTCTTTGCTAGGAGTTCAGGATAATTTATCTGCTGGATTTGTCTTGCCTGAACGGTGATAGATTATAAAATCAAAAGGTGTTAAGGATAGGTACTATTAGGCTTGTCTCCTATTAATATTCGGTTGATCTATAAATAACTTCAAGTTATGATGGTCAGTTAAGACTTTAACTTAATATTGGCTTCCCTTGAGGTATTGACGCTAGTGCTTGAACAAGTGAATAATTGTGAATAGCTCTTGATCCGGTGTTATATAGTTCCGTTCTGTGGGTGAGAATTTCTTCGACCAGAAGGCAATAGGATGCTATATCCCTTGATCGTCTGGTTGTGAAAGGATTCCAGCTATTCTGAAACCCGAGGCATCAGTCTCAAGTTGGATAGGTCTCTCTGGATTAAAGTATCGCAAGAGAGGCGCGGTTGAAAAGGCATCGATAAGATCTCGAAATACTTTCGATTTGCGGTCGTCTAGCTTGATATTCCCTGGTTTCTTCCTATCCTTACTTCCTTTAAGGAGTTCTGTAAGCGGTAATATGATTAAGGAGTATTTCTCGATAAACCTTTGATAGAAGTTATAGAATCCTAGGAAGACTTGGATATCTCTGTAGGATATAGGCTGCTCCTATTCTTAGATGGCTCGAGCCCGTTCCGGGTCTATAGAGATGCCGTTTTGACTAACAATAAAGCCGAGGAATTTAACTTCTTTCTTGTAGAATTAATATTTGGAGGCTTTGACGAATAGCTAGGCTTTCCTTAGCCTTTTGAGCACAAGACTAAGGTATTCTGTATACTCTTTGTAGGTCTTAGAGAAGATGAGAATACCGTCTAGATATGCAATACAAATAATATCAAGGAGACTATAAAGCGCAGTATGAATATAGCTTTGGAATGTCGCTGGTGCGTTGGTGAGGCCGAATGGTATGACTATATATTTAAAGTGGCTATATCTTGTGCGGAAAGCTGTTTTCTATTCCTCTCCTTCTTGAATACGGATCCTATAGTATGTATCTTGTATATTGATTTTGCTGAGGTACCTGGCCCCAGAAAGGCGGTTAAGGATCTCTGATATGAGG